CTCCCTGAGGTCCCATCATGGACCTTTGCTCTGAGGTCCCATCGTGGACCTGTCCATGGTCTTGGCATTTGGGACCTCTCCAGTCATCACGTGACTTGGGGAGTTCCTGGGTTCTTCCGTCCCGTAACCTTGTTTGTCCAATGAGCGTATTTATCTGGGCTGCGCCGCAGGTGGTCTGTAACAGCGCGTCACTAATCCCTTGTCGTGATAGTAGAGCCTGTCCTCTCTTATAATATTAGGTGATTAGTTTCTGAGGTCCCTATTTAAGGGCTAATAGCTTATTAATAAGTGGAGTGGGTTGATAATCTTAGTTTGGCCCCGGGAATCTAAAATATAACCTTTCTCTGATGGTGGCCACGGTATCAACAGTCCCCTTATTTAATAAAGTCCTAATACCTAGATCTTCTACCATCTAGTCCTGGGCTAGCCTGGTTAGTAAAATCTTAATTATAATAAGGTAGTCCGCTAGGGGAACAGATAGAGAATCTAGAGAGTAATCTACTAAGGGTCTAAGCTCCTAATCTAGCTTCGTGAGCCATAGTTCAGCCCCTCCTTTCTTAGTCCCGCTAAACGGGCTATAGAGCTTGAACTCTAGCAATCTCATATTCTAACTACTTTGAGGAGCTATCTTCTTTGGACTCGCAAAGGTAGTTTTTAGCAGAGTAAAATTATTTTTAAAGGGAGCTATGTCCGGATTAGAGAAGCTTAGTCTCCTAGTAGTAGGTATAATGTCCCCTTGATTAAACCCGTCGCTTGAGGTAGAACTCAAATATCCTGGTGAACTCTCCTCCGTTAAAGCTATATTTAGAGTAGGAGTGACAGGCTCTATTACCCTACTCCTGATAGAGTTAAAAGGGTTTGTAATAGGTCTTTTCTTTAACTGGGGAGCTAGCTTAGCGGTTTACCCTAGCTTAGGCCTTGTAGAGGACGCTAGCGGAGACGGAATAACTAAGTAGGTGAGTAGTATTAAATTCAGGCCGCTAATAAGAAGTTATAGAATAAAGAAAACTTGAATATATTTAAACTAAGAAGAGACGGAATAAGGGGGACTTCGACGTCGTACTCGAGTGTAAATAAGCCCCGCTTAAGAACTTCCTAATCCGGAGAGACCTACTAGCTCTTATCCGATACAGTAATAAGGACATTAATAGTAATCGGGGGGATAGCGATAATAATAACGTCGTCTATCTTAGGACTATGATCCCAGTACATCGAGCGCTGCTCTCTAGAGCGAGTAGCGAGCTCTCTAGATTTAGGTCTTAACGAGTTCTTATAAAGATATTAAGTATCTAGACATAAGGAAGAGTAGCGGAGTTTAGGGTCCTCTCGTTACAGAATCCCTGCGGTGTCGCCACAGAGGAATGCTTAGTAGAGATAAGGGAGACACTAGGTTCAAACGGTATGAAACGGTTATCCTGAGAGCTCTTGGGCAAAACCTTAAGTACCTAAGGCTTCGGAGCAAATTGACAGGCATAGCTTAGGTAGAATAAGCTATTTGAAAGGGCTTAAAGCCTAGTAATAAGAACTGATAGAATATATTGGTTGGTTATTTATTTTCTACTGCTACTGGTGTAGGTTAAGATATAGGCCATAAGGATATCACATGATATCATGTGATAGTTACACGAGAGAGAGAGAGCTCATGTGTATATAAGCATGCCTCACTACATCCCTGAAAGAAGGTAGCGATTAGTTCCTCAGATATCGAGATTCTTGCAGCGACTTCCCGTGTAACGCGTACTCCAGCCATTGAGCACTACTGCAGCGTCTATAAGCCTCACCGCCTCACAGATAGATAGGAATAATTCGTTTAACAGCATGTTCAAGCCCAATTAGGAAGCCTTTCTCATCGAAATTATATATATTCTCCGGGGTAATGTTGTATTTGGCAATCGCTTCTCTAAGTTGAAAAGAGCTGTTAGCAGTTATCTCTTATAGCTAACAATATAAATCAAGTACTTGCAAGCTTGTAAAAATGCTCAAAATGCGCAGAATTATCAGCTACATGCCTGGCCTGGTCAATTGAATGAGTGTAGAGACTCTAGATACGATCCTGATGCCTCTTACAGAACCTAGTCACCCAACTCTTACCTACAGGCTCTTTTAAGAACTCGCAGATAAGGTTTCGAATGATTTGGGGGGTGGGAGCAAGGCCACGCTTTGCAAGCTTCTCTATATATTATAAGAGAGCTTGTTCTTGCTAATCAGGTAACCTCTTATAAAATATAGATGTTGCTTCGGCTCGCGAGCCTATAACGCCTCGATATCGGCGCGATAACGTTACCCTATTGATTTTAAATCTCCTTGCAGTCTCAGAGATATTTAGAACATCTTGCAGTTCCAAATCTGCAATCGCTGCAGCAATTGCTTCTTCTGACACCATGTTATAGCTGGTTGAAAGTGGTGGATGGTAAGAGTTTGAATTTTTTGATGTGTGTACATTTGGTGGTGGTGTACTTTGGGTGGTTGATTACGTTAGTATAATATTAGCACTCTTGTTACTAACCACACTGGAGACATATGCTCCCAATTCTTAGGTAACTCACTGTTATTTGCCTGGCTACCCGTAGAGCTAGGATAAAATGTGTCGCGGATAATGTCGCGGTCAAATATTTTAAGAACAGGTGGTGCTTGTTCCACCTCTCGCCGAACAATTAACAAACCTAGCGTGGTTAGATTTATCTTGCTGGAAAGCGATAAAGTCAAGAGGCTGCGTCAGATACGTAAGGTGAGGATGAAACAAATATATAAGTATCTTCTGCCTGTCGCAGTATTCCAGCAAGTCCTGCATGAGATGTGCTGAGAAGGGCCTCTCTCGCTCCGCGTCCGCAGAGCTGTGACGAGTTTCGAGACTGGATCCCATTGCTCCCGTCTGTGTGGCATGGACGGTGTGTGGTGCTGCGTGAATGGTGTCCGGCGTCTCGAGATGCGCGAAGTGTATTTCTTAGCTGTGCCAATGCTATTGCCCCCTTCATCCTCCTTGACGTCGACACTAATACAGGAGTATCTCTGAGAACACCGTGGTTCGAGTCATTCAGCCTTCGTGAAGAAGTATGGCTCCAATAGGTGTCTCCACGAAGCTTCTGTTTCGAGATACCATCTCTTGGAGAATGCTCTGCGCTTATCCCAGAACGCCGTTATACGGCTGGAACAGTTGATTCATTAAAGGAGTAGGGCCGGGGGCTGTCAGTTGTCCGAGGGAAGAATGATTCTATCCGGAGTTGGCTAAAGAATTTTCTGGAGCGTGCTGAGGGCCATGCTAATACCTGCCATGGGTCATATCTCCATCAGCTTGGGTATAGACCTCCGCAATAGTGGTAGCGGGCTAGAGTCCATAGTCAGATTCATCGCTGATAAGAGTCAGGCGACGCTATTAAGAAATCCTTCCTGCAGAAAGGAGAATGAAGGACATAGAATCGAGCATGCTTGTGAGGAGCCCTTGGCAGTAAAATCGCAAAGGAGAAAAATTTTCTTCTGAGATATTGGGGTTTTTTCAGTGGTTTTTCCCTGTATAGAAAAGGTGTTTGAGCACAAAAATTAAATGGAAGAATAAGCCTGATAAGAGCTTCATTTTGTGTCGCTTTTGGCCACGTTTGGCGACTAGCTGGGTATATTGCGACTCATAGTCTTTGGCTGCATAGGAGTAAAGTGAAGAAGAAGCAGAATCAGGAACGAACGAGATCGCCTTCGATGGCTTACGTAACCAACAAATCGTGACAAGTATATGGCTTATAGTTAAGGAAGCATCGCTTTTGGTCGGAATGCGCCTGAAAGCAGTGTACATGTGTATATTCGATAAAGAGCCTGGTTGTTGATAGCTACAAAATAGCAATAAATTATACTACAACACCAACGTTCTTTCTCACCCGCAGTAGATAACAATTTTCCCGCAGATGTTGTCGATTTTGCACGCAATAGTTAGTCACCTAACAATAGCCTTGACCACGCCTCGCACTCGAAGCTACCCGGGAAGAAGATCCCCCAAACAAATAGTTTCCAGCAGATGTTCTTGACCGGGAAGACTTGGCTGACCTTGTAGACCTTGCGGACTTTGCAGAATATATACTAGGCGACGACTCTGGGTAGGCAGCAGGCAAAGGTGTAGGTGTGGTAGGAACAGTTACAGTGGGAGACGGGATGACAACAGAGAGGTGATTTTGACGCTTGGGAGTGTAGTCCTGTACGCCCTGAAGGAACGCATCTAGAGACGCTTGGTTGCTCTCGGTCAGAGAAGCCAGAAGATCGGGCACTGGGCGAAGCATATCCATAAGTGAGTCGACTTTGCGGCTCAAGGCAGCCACGCTTGCCTGGGTCGTAGCCCTGCGAGGGAGTGGCCGATTGACACTACTGTCATCGCTAGTAGCATTGCTGGTCGTGCTGCTAGAATCACTTTCCTCGATGATGAAACAGTCGCTTGACTCGCTACTGTTGTTTTGAGTCTGCAATTTGCACCTCCGCATAGCCTCTCCCTTTTTCTTGCTGTACAACACAGGCCCGGTGGTGGTTTTCTGCCGGCGCCGAGCTAAAGCGGCCTTTCTATTTATGAATTGGTTTTGGGCATCAATAAGCCGTTGCATAGTGTTATTTCGCTCCTGGGAAGTAGTGGCTCTGTCCGGCTCGAGCATTCCCTGTAGATCATGGTAGGCTCGCATTAACTCTTCCGCCAAAGGGACAAGATCCTGACAAATCTATGCAGGTTACATGGTGTCAATATATATAACTAACTAACTGGAGTACAACATGACAAGGGAAATAGAAGACTCACGGTTGCACATCCATTGTCACGAAGTCGAACGCAGCGAGAGCATGCAAAGGGGCCTCGCTTGCAAGTCATCTCCAAGTGCACCGGACTCTCTCGTCTCGGCGAATATAGGTTTGTCAGGCATCGCAGGCAGGGGAGACGTTCAGCACGACCAGAATCTAGCGTCTGGGACATCGTGGTAGAAGTAGGTAACGACAATGCTGGGCAGCGAGTAGTTGTTATGGTTAGGCAGAGCGAAGCTGATGAGATAAGGGAAGAAATTTTGTCCTTCCTGCAGAAAACGGTTGGCTCCTTAAATGCTTGTTGGAGAGCGCTTGATGTAAGGCAAATGTCTCCTGAATATTATGCTAGCTATAGCGGTTGCCAGGTCAAAAGTAGTTACCAAACGATGGTTGAACAGAATACCTCTTATTAAACTTTGCTGGATGTAATAAGTGGATAGAGCAGGGTGAATCAGGGGGATTTCACGACGCTGGTGTCTCTGCAATGGAATCGAACTCCAACTCGCGAGCTCGGAATTATTGTGAAAACGACTGAACGGAAAGAGAGAGCCCACTTCAGTGGTTAGTAAGTTGAACCTATTGAACGTCTGTTTTGATATATAGTTATTTAGCTTAACAGGGAGTTTTCCAATTTCCCGCTGTTATCTAGATCATAATAGCATTCCACAATATAAGCCGTACCTCTTGAACCGCGGAATATTCCATAGCCGAGCAAAACTCCCTATTAAAAGATAATATCCCCCTCCGACGTGTCCGAGAAGCCTGCAATAGATGCAGTATATATAGGCTTTTCTCGCTCTTATAATCTTTTGGGGGTGGTATAATAAGTTGGTATCAAGCGGAGGCGTACTGTGCTAGGTGACTGCAGCTTGTTCGCAAGCGATGACGGTAAGGCTCCATAGTTATTGAACACAACGGCGCTAGGTTTTCAGCTTGATAGTTACCTCTGCTGGCTTCGTAACTAACTAGTTATTGCACGCTAGTCTTGACTCGTATGTTAAGAAAAACCAAAAAAAGGAGATGAAAGAAAAGAAAAGAAACGAAACGAAAAGGCTATGGCTTCTTGATCTCCTTGAACTGATGCTGCGGGTGAATCTTCATAGCATCCGCAAAGCAATAGCAGCAAAGGTCAAAGTCCGGGCAGCGAGAGCACTTGTAGCGGCTCCCATATACCTTCTATATGGCATCAGCATCAAAGTGCCTGAGTGAAGCAGTTCCCATATAGAGTCGGACACTTACCGATGAGCAGCTGTCGCACTTGACGCCAGAATGGCATACAGGCTTATCCTTTTTGAACCTGTGCTGGGGGTGAGTCTTGTCTGCCTTGGCATAGCAGTCCTCACAATAGTCGAACCCCGAACACTCGCTGCACCTGTATAGTTTGCCGAATATCGTCTGGGGCAAGCAGCCATATTAGCCCGGCCTTCATATTCCTTGGGGGTCGGTTGATGGGGGAATAGCTTACCAGATGGCAGCCATCACACACTCGATCACGGTACCAAACAGCTTCCTCGTCATAGTGGGCGATGTAGACCACCCACATTTCCTTGCCCTTGACGGTCTCTTTGAGGATGAGGATGCGAATGTAGTCGTCGATATTCAAGCCGGCCTCCTTGTCGCCCACATGCACCCCTTCAAGACGGGGATTCATCCAGTCCGTCGCCATGATACCATCGAAAGTGTCGCGAGCTGGAGAGCCAAACATCTTTGGCGAGTAGTACTGCCCTCCAAACTGGCAAACCGGATTGAACTTGGGGTCGAATCCAAGCTTGACATTTTGGGTGATGCCCACCTCGGGCTTGTACCGTATAACGACAGCGGTCCCGGACTCTCCCTTCGGAATGGTGAAGACCATGTTTTGTCTTGTCCAACTCTTGTTCCATGCAGTGACGTCGAAAGTGGCATCTGGGGAAGAGTTCGGTTTGGGCATCCGACGCAGCCAAAAGCCGTACTCCCGCTCTGTTGGTTGCAGGGAGCCTCGAATGTTCTGTCTTACATAGATATAACGGTATTGGCTCTGGCGGTTGGTGGAGAAGCGAGGTAGGTCGACACCGTCGAGCATTATCCTGGCATACTGGTTTTTCTCCGGTAGGTCAGAGAGGAAGATGCCGACACGGCTGTTCTGCACTCCTTCGGTTTGGCAATCCAGCGCGGCGAGGTACACACCCATAGACCACTCGACCATGGCGAGCTCGATCGAAAGGCCCATGTTGGTTAGCGAGTAAGGCTTCATGTTCCACTTGCTGGCAGACTGCACGAGATTGCCGCTATCGGCAAATGCAGCAGGGGATTTGGCGAACAAGCCCCGGAAATTTTGGTCAGAGCTCTTCCAGGCAAAAAGGGTGTGGTCGTCCGACTGCTTCATGATCTCCTCCTGGAGACGCAGGAAGGCCCTCTCGCCTTCGCCATAGAGCATGGGCATATTGATGCCGAAGATTCCCAGCAGACTGTACGCTCGATCCTCAACCTTTGCAGTGGTGCGACGGGCAGCCCAGGACATGCGCTGGGCAACGGAGAAGGACTGCAGGTCGAGCTCACCCGTGAGCACGCCGGGATGAATGCCCGTCACCTCGCATATCGCATCCTTGAGCTTGACCTTGGTACCGAGCCTCTGCCATGCGCCGTTGAAGAACTCGACGGTGGCCGGGGCCAGAAGCTCCTGTAGCGTCCATCCACGGGTAAACCAGGCGCTGCGGTAGAAAGTCGATGACTCCTTGCTAGTGATGGATGTCTCATCCACGTCGAATAGGTAGGCATAGCACACGCTCGCACGCTGGTACCACTGGAACATGGAGTTGAGGGCCTCGGACAGCTCAGCGCTGCTGGTCTTGTCGATGCAGCAGGTATCGATCCAGACGTAGTCGAAGCCGTCACGCAGCGCCTGGGAGCAGCTGTCTGCCAGCTTCTTGTAACCGTGCAGCTGCGCCGCCTGGCCGTCTCTCAGCTGCTGCAGGGAGACCTCTTCGTCCTGCCATCGATGCGAGAGGATGGCATATCTGGGGAGGGTGCTGTCGTCGAAGAACTCCTCGACGCGGAGGGTCCAAGCATTGAGCAAGCGCATGTTAGTTAGCAAGTTCGTATGTTGAGCTAGTTACTAGAAGAGACACTCACCAGGCAGCGCGCCCTCGCGTTTTTTATCTCATGCTGATCTCGTCCTTGGCTGTCCTGCCATCGTCGCATCCGAGCCCAGGTGGGAAGCTGTTCGTATTTCGTGTCGCATCCTCGTTTTTATCTCGCTCCGCGGATACCGTGCAACAGGAGAATATGTGGGCGATGCTATCGCTGCAGCGCTGCTATATAGTAGTCTAGTAGCCATATAGCTAGGAAGGGTTATTTTAATTTACCGAATATTTCATGCTCCTCCGTATGCGATATACCTCGGAGGCTGAGTGGAATGTCGGGTATAAATGTGACTACATATGGAGCCACAGTGAATATATAAGCTGACTAAGCAGAATATTTGACAATAAGGTCCAAGGTTAATTACTAAGAAAGAACGTGTACGAAGCTAGCTATAAATAGTACTACGGAAAGTTATTTTATCATCTTTGGCTTCAGCTTCAACTTCATCTTTGGCTTCTGTTGGGATATTCCACTTTAGTTAGACTCACACACATTACCCATGGTATCCATGGGGCATTAGACCTTTTTGTCACTTGACTTGTGGTCCAACAGTTTCATCTCCAACTTCGCCCAAGCCATGCCTCCCAGTTCTTTCAACCCGCTGCCTACATGCCCCATCCCCATTCAGTGGGATGTGCCAGGCCGTATAGCAGAGCTTCAAGCCATGATCGACGACCCCGCCACCAGCGAACCACAGAAGATAAACCTCCAAGCTGCAATCGATCTGTATCATCGAAAGGAGCTTCCAGGACCGGTAGTAATTATCCAGGACGGCAAAGTTATTTCTCTTAAGGATTTTAATATCAACCGGCCGTGGTGGTCTAAGGTATATTTCTCATATGAATGAATATCTATCTATCTTCCCTGCTTACCAACTTTCAACCTAGGGTTATAGGCAGCAACTGTCCTTATCTCGGCCTTATTAGCCAAGTTCCTCAGACACTATTTCATCGCGCAGGAACTCTTTGAACTCCTGAACCCACGCCAGGAAGCCAGTCTCGCCCCGCCAACAGCAATACCATGAAGCCCCCCTTAGTAGGAGCCAACTTTAGGAGCGTCTTCGACGCTAGCAGAAAATTGTAAAGGAGGATCAGCTATTTCAGACTGGAAGGACACTTCGTTTCATACCAGAGAACACTCGAATTCGCTCAACACTATAAAAGGATGGGTTATCCAAGGAGACACCCCGAACGGACCGCCTTGAACAATCAGTCTTACAACTTACCCGCATCAAAGTCGGTATTGCAACCGACGAAGCCAAGCCAACTAAGAGGCAGATCAGCAAGCATGGTGACCATCGTGAAATCTATCCAAAAGACGAGCCTTTCTATACTCACGGTAGACCCGCATTCCCGCTCTAGGAACACGCGACTTCCTAGTAACCATATCACAATGGGCCATACCCGACTGGATTCGGGCTTCAACACTCCTGAGAGATGCAGACCGCTCTAATCGCGCCTATAAGAACGGCTGATAGGTGTCCCTCTACCCCTAAGGCACGTCGTGCGAAAGGATCCTCCCCTTCACGCCACACCCCATTTAACTAGGCTGATGTCTAAAGTTAAACCTTTCTCCTATAAATAACAAAGCTCTCTATAGTGAGTTGAAGCGGGGGCTTATTTACTATATTATTGATCTTCTAGTTAATAGCGCTCGCATACACTTGCTTACTATAAACTAAGGCGGAACTTGAAGCCCCTCGGTTTGACATATGACAACATCAATTTAAAAACCGACATTTATATCAGTTACACTGGGTTAGTAGTCCTTAGGCAGCGTGAACTTGCGCTCCTGGATGCCGTTATAGACAACGCGGTTGGGGCTGTCCTTTGCGTCCTTGACTAGATTGGGGATAGTCAGGTTGAGGACTCGCGCGGTCACGGCCGACGGAGAGGGCAGGTTCTCGAAGCTCATGAGGTAGGCGACCAGGCCGGCGACGTGAGGGCTCGCGGCGGATGTGCCTGACTGCGTGGACGTAGCGGTATTGCTGCCCTTCCAGCACGACTTGATCAGCTCGCCGGGCGCCCATATGTCCACGATCTTGCCGTAGTTCGAGAAGCTGGGGCGGGTGTTCTCCCAGCGGACTGCGCCGACGGTGATGGCGTTAGGTGACGAGGCCGGGGTGTTGTTCTTTGCGTCTTTCTGTTTGGAGCATGCGTGTTAGTAGGCATTGATATATTTATAGATATCTTTGGCCTGTTGGTTCGTTGATGAGGATCCTACTTACGCCATCGTTGCCGGCGGCTACCACGGTGGTGATGCCGGCCTTGAAGGCGTTTTCCACGGCGTCGTCAAAGGGCTGGTACTTGGCGCCGGCTGCCGCAGTTTAGCACATGCTGTCCGTTACCGTTGCAGGAGAATGGAATGGATACATACAGATGCTGAGGTTGATAACTGCCTTGTTTTTACGGTTGGAGTCGGTTATGTTCCGGACGATCCAGTCGTACGTCTCAAGAATGTAGTTGTACGTGCTCTGTTCTCTCATCAGTGTCGTTTATCACGGCCGTCTCTCGTTAGACACAACTGGTGTACGTGCGAGTTTACTCACGGAGCCAGTGTCAAAGGCCTTTGCGGACACAACGTTCGCCTTCTTCGCAACGCCGTATGTCTTCCCGGCGATGATACCCGCCACGTACGTCCCGTGGCCGAACTCGTCAGTATGTGGTTTGTTCGGGATGGCGTTGTGGCCCAGGATGCCGCGTCCCTCGAACTCGACGTGGTTGACATTGATACCGGTGTCGAGGACGTATGCCCACACACCCTCTCCGGCCTTGTCGTCGTACAGGTAGTCTACAAGTGTGCTGTGCAGCGGGACCGGCTTGCCCTTGCTGGACATGTAGCCCAGGCCCCAGCGTGCCTGTGGCTGCGTCACCGTCTTTGCGAGGTAGACGTGTTGGTCCGGGTGCACCGATTTGACCTGACGGCTTGTTAATGAATAACGTTATATCACGGCTAAATATATAACTATGGGTTTGCGACTCACGTATGGGTTGCGGCTAAGTTCTTCCGCCGTCTTCTCGTCAAAACCGCCGGAGTACATGTTCAGGTTGTGGATATGGAAATGCTTCATGATACCCTCGGTCTCTACTCCGCTAGCGCCAGCGGCAAAGCTGTCAAGGTTAGCCCGGTGCACGGAGTTGACCCATTTCTTGTGGTCCCTGATCTGCGCCGAGCTGAGGCCCTCTTTCAAAGTGACGATATATTGGCCTGGAACAACGTCGCTGGGCCCAGCGCGCAGTGGCTCAGGCTGTGGAGCAAGGTCACCCGCCACAAAAGGGAGGAGAAGAAGCAAATTCAAGCTTAAGAACTGCATGGCGGGTATATGTATAAAGGTAATACGTTAAACCAGGAGGATATTCAGTTGATGGCTGAATCGAAGGCTCAAGACGCTGCACTGTTCTTGATATTTTATATATATATATATACTTGATATATAAAAGTTAAGATACGTCTGATCATCGGTGAATCGGCTATTATCGCTCTACCCTCTCGTCGGTTGACAGGACTTGTCTTCGAACAATAAGACGTGCCAGGAAGGTTGGGCCTAAAAACAAGCCATAAACCGTGGTCAAGATGTATCTGAGTAGTTAAATATGAACACTCCAAGGAATCGGACACCGTCCGCGGCATAGATTGCGAGCAAGCCGTGATATGTTGCCCTGTACGGGGTATATCCATGGGTATCAAGAGGCACATCTGATGTCCTTCCAGAACAAGTAATACCCTCATCATGTCTCTCCATCTTCTCTCTTCCTCTTACGAACACTTGCATGGGATGTGCTTCGGCTCGTTATCTCTGCTTGTTTCATCCCATCCAGAGCTGGACAAACCAGATGGCAACCCGCCAGATACCATCACTAACCACCTTCTAACCTTCGTGTTCCTCGAATAGCCTATCTCTCCTTCACATCTCTTCTTTCATTGATTGCTCCAGAGGTACGGCGATGTTGTGCTTGTTCCCCTCTTAGTTTTCCACGCTGAGGGAGGCGGCTCCTCGGGAAACTGGGGGTGGCGGCCTCAGATGATATTGTAGATCAGCTACAGAGTATCGTTAGCTAAGACAGAAAATCGGTGTGAGCAGGGTTAGGGGCAGTTCGACTCACACTTACATAGAAGTATGAAATGGCGACATCATCAACGTAATTTCATACGGATGCGAGATTGATTTCCCCAAACGGTGAATTCTTCTGTAGTCATCTTCTTCCGTTCGCCCGGCGTTACTAGTTAGTCATCCCTACCAGGGGGCGCAATTTCCAGATGCAAAAGAGAAGGACGAACGGGGCAAAAGGAGGATGAGGAATTATAGAGAGGTATTAGTTATGGACTAGTTACATTATAAAGACTTAGATATAAAGATGAGAAAGACTTCCCATAATTAATTCTCTACGGAGTACCTCACTCTCTCACTTTCGCGCTCTCTGCTGTCCGATGTTGTCGTATTGTTAACTATGGTTTGACCTGGCTCGGCCGTTTTTCCCGAGCCCCCTAACTAGTTACGTTCCCCCGGACGGACTTCGCTGCCCAAAGAGGAAGCTAGTTTCATCGCCTCAGACACTTCCCAGATTCTAGAGCAGACGCCAAAGCAAGCATGTAGTTATTATGCCCCAGTTTAGATCTCTTTGACGTCGAAAAACGAGTCATGTCTCTAAAATAAACCAACTACTTTGATCTCGCCGGTTAACTAGTTAGCTACTCCGTATATTGTCCACCTCCGCATCGGCCAGCAGTTTAACCACTTGGACATAGATATATAGTGTCGTTGTGATGTGCAATGATTTCCACCCTTACCACGGCATCGGTTTGCCGCCCGCCGTCCGCCTGTCTAAAGCTTGATTTGTGTGGAGAAGACTTGCTCCGTGCTTAATTAACTGCCTAGGTACCCAGTTAACGACTAGGTAATAAATAGAAGTTGCTCCGTGCAACGAGCGAGATATCAAGGACATTATCTGCCTCCGTTATATCCCTGGCCGTGAGGGTAGTCAACTTAAAGGTGAAAGAGAGAGGGAATGAGAGAGAGAGAGACCTATTGACGGATGTACATTCCTTTTTTAGTTAACCTAGGTAGTTAGGCATAAACGACCGGAGAGCTGAAGTGTTAAGTAGTGGGAGAGCTGGATCTTATGAGGACTCTTGATATAGATTCAGCATAAAAACCAGATTCCACGGATATGTGGTGGCGGCGATGATACATTAACTACTAGCTCTAGCTCTATCCAAGATCGTCTGACACGCCGTGTTTTGATAACTGCCCATGATGCCCGTCCTCGACATGCTTGAGTCAACAGCATCAAACAACACCGACAGTAGGCCATTATCAGCTCCAGTCTGTCCTCGGCTATAGTTATAGCCTTACTAACGAACCGGCTCATATATCTCTACTTCGCTCTTGTTGTCTTATAACCAGACAACCTGCAGCATGGGTGTCGTATGCATAAAAGGAAGGTGATGTGTACCACAGAGCACTATGAAAAGTCCAATCTCCACGTACCGGAGGACTCCATGGCAACAGAAACATCTATTATGCTTGGAAAACAATTAACTAGCTATAGTTGAACTAGTAAATGGACAGCGGCAAAGCATAGTACTACCTCTTTCTCAATCATAGGAAACACTGAGAACCTTGAACCTGAACTGAGCCGAAGCCTTGCCGATGCTGACACCTCCCTTGCTGATAGTGACAAAGCTGTTATCCCCTCCCTTTGCATACTTGATGCTGTAGCCACGGGAGCCGCCCTGCGGGCCAGCATCGAAGTCGATATCCATAGGCGCCGCAGCTTCTCGAGACCCGACGAGAGTCCCATCAAGCCCGATCCACCGTGTTTTGTCAGGGGTAGACACGAGGAACGGCCCGTCCTGCTGTGTTAGGCGAGTCTCCAGGTCCGTCGCGCCATTGTTGTAGTAATGGATCACAAATCGGTTGTCCGGCTGGGCATAGCGGTTCGCATCAGTGGAAGACTTAGAGACGCCTAGCTTCGATCCGCCCTCGTGAGAGAGCAGGAACTCGTCCTTGTCCTGTGAGGAAGAGAAGACGAGATATCGTCCTTCGGTCAGGTAGCCAACCACTTGCTTGTAACCTTGCTCGATCAGGCCCTTGGGAGGGAACGTCTTTGGCTGAGTCTTCCAAGGGGCGGTTGGGTTGCCGAAGCGGGCCTTACATTTGGACATGCCATCCCAGGCTCCCGCTGAGTTCTTGCTGGGCACTTCAGCCTTGGGAATGTTGGGAATCGAGGTATCAGCCTGTTGAGAGAACGGTTAGTTGCATGTGCCTTTCGTGCATGAGATACACTGCCCACTCACGTTCTCAAAGTCCAGCATGCTGACCAAGCTTGACATGTGCTCGCGGCGCCAGTGAACCATGCTGGGCAGCGTGACGTTGCTGTATCCTTTGCTAGAAAGCCACTCCTCGACGAAGAGAATCTGCGAGGTATGGTCTGCGTGCTCGGTGAAGACACGGCCGCCGCGGGTGAAGGGGGAGACAACATAGAAAGGCAGTCTCCAACCTGGCACAGCATAGTGTTTAGTATTACCCTATACTCACCCGAAGGCATAAAAGGGTTATTCATATTCAACACGTACCTGGACCAACGAAGATGTCACCCTGGAGTCCTAGGTAGTCCTTCATCCATTCTCCAGGGGTTCCCTTGGGCGCATGGTAAGGGGTAACGTGGTCACCAAAGCCGCCGGACTCTTGCAAACCAGTCAGGAAACCATTCAGTCGTTAACTAATGGTAGAACGAAGAACGAAGAACTTACCGTCGTAGCTGATCAGCAAGACAGTCTTGCCATACTTTGGGCTCTGGGTGACAGCGTCGATGACCTGCTGCTGCAGCCAGGCTCCATCCTTTGGCAGCCAGGGGGGATGCTCAGACAGCTCCATAGGACCAACGATGAAGCTGACCTCAGGCAAAGTGCCAGCACGAGCATCCTGGTAGAACTTCTCCAGCCCAGGATATGACATACCCTTCTTGGTGAGAGGCGAGTCTGCCGGGGCGTCGCGGAAGTTCTTGAAGTGAGCGAGGGGGTTGTCTCCAAAGTTGTTCTTGTCCTGATAGACCTGCCAGGAGACACCAAGCTCTTCATAGACCTCGTAGCAAGTCTGCCAGTTGAGAGGGTAGCAGTTAATGTTTGGCAGTGGGCAGCCTATAAACCGTTAGATATATAGAATACTCAGCACAGAAGACAGATATAGGGCCTAGTTGAATTTTATTTATTACCAGGCACCTCCCAGTTATCGAGATAAGTTCCGCCGTCTCCTGGCTTCTGGGGGCTTCCAGGAACATTGAGAGAACCGCTAACCAGCATAACTCTGTTTGGGTTGGTTGCGGTGATAGAAGATTGCTGCAACATATCAATACTTTTGCTATGTCTGGCCGTAGGCTCAGGGGGTGGTGATGATGATAATTGCATACCTGGTACATGTCACCAACAGTCCAGCCCTCAGCAACAGAGAAGTGGATGGGGATTTCACTTCGCTTCAGGAATCCCCAGTTAGCCGGCTCACCAAAATCCTGCCAGCGGTCATTTCGCCCGTGGTTCAGACTGGCCTGGTTGTAGTCATAGCTATTGCTACCCCCAGTGGCGCATTGAGCACCCTCAGCCCAGTCTCCTCCCTGGTGAGCTAGATGCCATGGGGCTAGGGTGTTGACTCCCTGTCTCGGGGGCCGGACCTTTCTACAGCAGCATGATATCAGAATCCGTAATCTGTGGATTGCACAGATATACCTCTACAGCGGCAGAAACTCACTGGATCAAAACGGATCTGCCGTCATCATTGATCTGGACATTAGGATCTGCAAAGTTGCGAGTTCCGGCCATGGTGCCAAAGTACTTTTGGTATACACTGTCAGCACCACTGCGGCCACAGTCACCGTGAGAAAATATGGAAGGTAGACATACATGGTTGAAAGACCGGTTCTCCTGCATGAATATGACAACATGTTCGATCTCCTTCAGCGAGCGAGCTGTCTCTCCAGCCCCAGCAGCCCCAGGGGCAGCAAAAGCATGATGACGACGGTCAACAAGGACGGTCGACAGAGCCGTCAGCAACAGCACAGCAGTCTGCATGGCGTTGTCCCAGTTAGGATATCTTTTTCACAGCTCCTCTGCTTCGAGAGACTTGCCCACACGGACTGGAGGGAGATCCTCAGGGTATAAAAAGCATTTTGAGCCGTTGAGACATGCTCTCTGTCCATTCTCGGTCAGCCGGCCGCTGGCCATTCTCTGCCCTGGGGCGATGCACGACGAGATTGATATTCTCCCCTCCGCTCGCAGCGTTGCATCATCTCTTCCCCACCGCCCAGCTCCCGCGGCATAGTTTGTCTTTGCCTCTGCTTTTCTGCTTCTTCGCCTCGGGAGCAACACGTCTTGACCTCCACAGGGCAGGCAGCAAACTCTAGCAGATCAGCGGTCCACCTTGCCGCGTCCCCGTCGTGTAATAGCCATGGGGGAGATGGTCATTCACAGCCATGCCATTGGCCAGGCATGCAAGTAGAACATGGATGGCGGGTGGAGGATATTTATACAGGCGACGAAGTAGTTTATATCAGAGAATCCAGCTGCAGAGGGACTGCATCTGATATCGGCCTCTAGAAAGCCACATCCCGTCCGTCGCACCCTCAAACAGTGTCATCAACAGCCACTGACAGGGCCTCGACCGAAAGAGGCCTGTAACTACTCCGTGCGCAGCTGCGTGACTGTCTGGCTGTTTGCGGCTTTGCAGTCACCCAGAATGTGTTCAAGATCCCTGGCCGTTTGGTGGAGATTGATGGACCCCTGTCGCCCTGGCAGCGTGTCACCCCAGTGGTCCAGCTCGTATTCTAGAAGACAAAGACGCCGTATGCCTGTCGCGAACGGTCAATACTCGCACGGAGTATAGGCACAAATGGCGAAGGTGGTTGCTGTTATCAAAGGACGTCACTCGCAACATCTCCATCATCCTCAGCGCCATCTCGGCCAGTGAAGCGGTCATGGAAAATAAAAATGATACCATGACACCCCAGCTCCACGGCTTCGTCGGATCTACCGCGTATTGCAGAGCAGACTCCACACACGTGTAGCCTAGCAAAGAGGCCATGGGGTGAACTGGGACGGCCAGGGCTTCGCAGCGTTGCAAGCGGGAGAGGCCAGGGGGTGGTTGGTCATGGTTGTGGTGGTTAGTTACCGCTCAAGAGACGACCACTATGGTTACATACCTATTATGTACACCCGGCAGCAGATCAACCGCGGCTCGTGATATAACCAGGTCGAATGGCTATATATCTCATGGAGCTAAGGATTCTGTGCATAAGTGCTCAAGGCAGACAGGGTCCAGATTCGCCATTTGGTTGATGCTTGTGACTCTCGCCTGCAACAAGCTATCTGTCTGTCTGTCTAGGAGTATATCGCCGATCAACCGCCATCTAGGTAGTTATATCATCCATCTGGGCAGGCATACAGCTAGACAGAGGCCCGTCGAGCTCTAGCCCTGGTTTTCAGACATCTAGAGAGATGGACAGGCCGGCCAGCAGACGACGGCACAACTCGCAGCGGCGGCTCCTGCAGCCAGAGGATGGGAGCGCTGTTGCTGATACCCCTATTGCTGTGCAACGTGAAGCCGGAAAGGAACCGTCCAGGCCCTCAGCAGGTAGCCAGACAGGGGAGCAGAAGCCTCAGAATGAGAAGATATTGCTGCCGGGGGGCCCATGGCCGCTCGTGGGCTTTGTCTGCTGCGTCTCGACTCTGCTTGTCTTCCTGAGGCTTGCTGCGCAGTGGCAGCAAGGTGCAGTCCCAAACATATTTGATATTGGCTCTGGCATTTTCCGGCCCAGCACGTCGTCGTCTTCTTTGGAAGAAGGGGGAAGCGTGCCCTGGAGCTCTCTCCTCCATCCGGAGGAGCATGTCTTTCGTCCAGCAGCCACGCTCACAATGGAGTGGTCTATCACCACTGGATACCGCCGCCTGGATGGAGTGAAGAAGCGTGTTTATCTCATCAACAGTGAGTTTTATAATAGTTACTTGCTATAGCTATATCACTCTATCTACCAGTTACTGACTTGTCTGTAGACTCGTTTCCTGGACCGACCATTGAAGCACGCTCCGGAGACTCACTTCATATCAAGGTCATCAACAACATCCAAGATGAGGGTGTTGTCCTTCACTGGCATGGCTTGCACATGAGAGGTATAGACGCACGGTCAGAGACAACAAATTCAAGCTATACTAGTGCTGCTAACACTTGTACCAGGTGCGAATCATATGGATGGAGTAACTGGAGTTACTCAGTGCCCGATAGTGCCAGGCGACTCGATGTTGTACAACTTCACCATTTCGCAATCACAGAGTGGCACATTCTGGTAAGTATACAGCAACTACTACTACTTCTCGTCTATGTTAGTGATATCGAGCTTATACCATCTACGCTTATAGGTACCATGCACATTCAGGGTTACAGCGAGCAGAAGGTTTGTATGGTGGCCTCGTTGTGCACGAGCCATCAGCGCCCAGTATGCGGATAGCAAGGGATTCGGCCATGCATACTGAGGCTTTCAAGTACCAGTACGAAAAGGAACACCTTCTCCTCATCGGGGACTGGTATCACCGTCCGGCGGAGGACGTGTTGAAGTGGTTTCGATCATTGGAGGCAAATGGCCAGGAGGTTAGTCGCAGACTCTACCACCTCCATCCCAAGTTGCAAGTGGCTTTACACTAACGTCTATACAAGCCTGTCCCTGACTCCTTGCTGATCAACGGTGCTGGAAGATTCAATTGCTCGATGGCACTGCCTACACGACCACTTGACTGTGTGGATGGCGGATATCCTACTCCGGAACTCCTCCTTGATTCTAACACTTCGCACCGTATCAGGGTTGTGAATGTTGGGTAGTTGTCACTCCTTTTCCCCTTTGGTCAAACGATATATCCGATACTTACCACAGCTATAGGTCATTGGCTGGTGTCAGTCTCGGTTTTGAGCATGGTACTGTGACACCGATACAGGTCGACGGCGGGACGGACGTTGAGTCACCATCTCAATCCTCGAGTGCTCACTCAATAGGCATCGTCTATCCCGGGCAGAGAATAGACTTTGTCTTGAGAAACACCCTCGGCAAAGCAACGCAATCTTCTATGACAGTAGAGCTTGACCCAGAGTAAGTTACTAATTATCGGCGACCCCAGTACCAGCATTCTAAATTCAATGATGTAGATGCTTCAGTCTCCCAAATCCGGCGCTCACCAATACTCAAACATTCCCTATCAGGAGCACAGCAAGGAAGCCATCTCTACCGCTAACTGATAATCCCATTGGCGAGCCTGGGACGCACATTGACCTGGCAGACTTGACTTCCACAGCCTCCACAATATCGCATATACCCGCAAAGGCGGACGACACATTCCTCGTCTACACCTTGCTATCCAAATTATCGGCCAACAACTATGTTCCTTTTGCATTCTTCAATCACACCTCCTGGCGACCACAGGCAAACCCGCCTCTACCTCTGATCTCACTGGAACCCGAGAACTGGGATAAGAACCAGTTCACGGTCAAAACAAGCAGCAACGCCTCATGGGTAGATCTGGTGGTGAATAACCTCGATGAAGGTCCTCACCCATTTCACATTGTACGTATGGGACCCTCTGGTATAGATTCCCCTTTGCTAACAGTTCCAGCATGGCCATGACTTTTACGTAATGTCTATTCACGAAGCTGATACAGGGATGGGCTCGTACAATCCGTGGGATCCCAGGAATGACCCCCTAGAGGCAGTGTACGATCACTCTAGGGCCATCCTTCGAGACACAGTGCATATCCCTGCCCGGGGCCATGCAGTACTAAGGTTCCGGGCCGACAACGCTGGAATCTGGCTATTCCACTGTCATATCCTGTGGCATCTTGCAAGTGGTATGGCGATGCTAGTGGATGTCATGAACAGCGCATCGAGGCCGCTGCATGATCTTCCAAACCAAACTTGCAGCTATCTATCCTAGGAAATGCATACCATTTTGCATATAAAAAGTCTATACCATTCATGACTAGTTATCAACAGCAGAGTAATGGCCTAGAGGATAAGTAATAATAGTTTTCATTCAACGAAGCCTACATTCCGGCCCCTGGCAAATTGATAAGTTCTAGCATTTTACCTGGAGGAGGTAGAAGAAGAGTTGAGGGGAGTGTGGAGAGACTTTCATCGCAATGTCCGTTGAAGCAGGACGTTGGAAAGAGGTTATACCCTATCTAGTCGCTGTAGTCACCGCCGTCAGACCCCGAATCTGAACCGCCATATTCTTCCTGGCGTTCTTCAAGCTCCTCCTCGCGCTCCTCTTCCTCATGTTCATCTAACGATATATCAGTCAGCGTGATAGTTGTAAAAAGGAAAAGATCAAAGACGATGGGTGGAAGGCGGCGTACTAATCTCATGTGCGATGACCGCAGTGCCTACCGCACCAATAGCAAGGCCACCGACACCAGCAGCCAGCATCGCTCCCGTGTTAGAGCTCTTCTTCTTATCCTTATCTTTCTCCTTCTCCGTGCCATAGCTGACATGGGAGCTGTCGTAGTTGGATGCGCCATATCCTCCTGCTCCAGATGCTCCCGCCATGCCAACAGCAGGGCCAGGCGCATTTCCGGCATAATATGCACTATTGCTGCTTGCGTCGCCGCGAGTATCATACCCTCCTGAGCTCATGCTTGGGGCCTCCCATTGGGAACGACCAGTGGCCTGCTCGACATGGTATGCACGTTGATTCACCTGGTCCCAGTGCTGAACCCAGCCGGCCGGAAGAGGGGGCGGTGGGCCTTGAGGTGGTGGAGGAGGCCCATACTGCGGCTGGCCATATGGCTGCTGCTGTTGCCCGTACGGCGGCTGCTGTCCATATTGCTGCGGCGGTGGCGGCGGCTGCTGCCCATACGGAGCCTGGCCATACTGCTGCGGCTGACCATATGGAGGTTGGCCGTATGGAGGTTGACTGTATGGAGGCTGGCCGTATGGCTGCTGCTGCTGCTGCCCGTATGGTGGCTGTTGGCCGTAAGGGGGCTCGCCATAGCCGCGTTCGCCTGAAGATGCAGCCGTTAGCTAGGACGCACAGTAAGAGAGGGTTTAAACCGGACAGACACCAGACCTCCTTGCGGTGGCTTGTCTGAGAAGCTGGCCTTCAGCTCATCGAACTTCTTGAAAAAGGACATGGCCCTCGAGCGTACTGCTGCGTGTGGTTAGCCGGTGATGTCCCTTGTTGTTGTTTCTTGCTGCTGATGGTGAGGTTGCTGCGGTTGTAGTTAGTTAACTAAATAGACTGCGAGCTGAGCCCGCAAGACAACAGGAAACGCATCTTATATAGACGCGCAGCCGGGCCTGTCACAGCGCGAAGACTGCCGGCGTATCCACGGATTCACTACATAGTATGACTCGGGCTGCCCCTCTGTCACCTTTGCTAACTTATGGAGTACTGACTGGCCGAACGACAGGATATTTACTAGCCACGTCAGCCACAGATGCTGCATGCTTGGGATGCAAGACAGGACCGGGGGGGAGACGTCCGATGGCAGCCCTTAAGGAACAGAGATATCGAACAACCCGCAAGCTGCAACCCTCTGTGAGGTACCCATCAGCCCGTGTGTGACCTAGGGACGAACACTGTGGACACACATGCCAGGCCAGAACAGGCGCACGACGACCGCTGGGAGGCCGTGTAACCCTCTGTTATTCATAGCAGAGGACAGCGTAGGATGAGAGATTCAGCCCTGCCCGCTAACGGACGTGAGCCGGGCTGTCGAGCTGAGCAATATCAAGAGCATTATTCATGCAGCTACAGGGATTATACGAGTACAACAAGCTTTGTTTCAAGCCCACAGTGGAGGCGTGTGGCTTTTAACCGATGCTCAGGGGCTGGAGGGAGTCTGTCACCACTTACATATACGGAATAAATGGATGGCTTCATTATGCGAACGAACTCTGTATGGCAGAGCGCTCAGGGGCTACTGTACTCCGTAAGGGGATGCACTCTCAGAAGCTGTGAGCACACCCAAAGGCTTATAGAGCGACTAGCATGGATTTATCAGGAACCTCTGCATGAAACAACCATAACGGTTACAAGTTGACGTTACCAAGTTAACGGCTCTATCGGCTCACCTCAGTTCTCGCCTACACAAGCCCTTTTATAGCTTCTATCGGCTCACCTCAGTTCTCGCCTACACAAGCCCTTTTATAGCTTCTATCGGCAATGTCTACATTATATGGGCGGTCGAGCCTCTCAAGCCCACGGAGTAACAACTCTAAACACTGTACTGGATAGTTAAGTCGGTTCACCCTCAAGTTAATTATCTGGAGACATGTCGATCCAGGCACGCTCCGACCGACAAGCACTAAAGCCACAGACGAGGCCTACTTTCACGGTATCTTCAATGGCAAGCTGGACGATGAGAAGAAGACGCCGACCAAATACTACAAGTCGATACTTGAATCAACAACGCTTGAGAAACTCGCAGCTACACAACCTTCCCAGTTGAAGAACAACCGCACCTTGATGGCGGATACTCGAGCAATTTGTCAGTACACTGCAACGCAGCTTCCAGCTCGATGGAGATAGGGGCGTTTGCTGGAAAGCTGTTGAAGGTTGGTGACAGGATAAACCGAAGCCGTAGTAGCAGTAGACGTCGTGCAAGGGGCAACATATCAGGTACCATACATTACATCACTGTGGCCATTTGAAGAACAAGAACCTACGGGGTGCAAAGAAGCGAGATATGCAGTCGATGTCACAGCTGTGGTCATGGAAAGCGAGAAGGGAGCAACACTTGATTGACACAGCCAGGCTCGACTTGTCACTTTACGAACGATTTAATGTATATTTCTGACTACCGAGAGCTCACTATAACTATCTTGAGGATACAGGGCAGAACTAGGTGCGTTTCCTCTGGGCCCAGATGAAGTTCCCCGCTACACCGGTTTTGTACGTGTCCATGTCCTTCTCCAGCTCTGCAGCGAGCGATGGCCGGCGGTCCTCGCTCAGCCCGACATCTTCCAGTCTAGTTGGGTTCCCGAAAGTTAGCAAACAATGGCGATCAAAAAGGGTAAAAAAGTAGTTACTCTATAACTAGGATATGGCGGATGAACGGCTGGATGACTTACTTGACCAGGCTGCCAAACGAGTGGAATAGGACCCGGCTTACCCGCCGTCCTCGCATCCCTTGCTCTCGATCGACATGTGCGTTTCCAGCAACCATCTCTAGGCACTGGCTCTGGATGTTCTCACACCCAGCATCTTCAAGGGCGTCCATGATGTCCGTCTTGACGTTGAGATTCCGCACTTTCTGCTCTGCAAACTTGTAGAAGAGCAGATAGGTCGTTGCACGGGGATCTGTCACCATGGTGTAGTGGTCATACTCGAAGAACTGGATCCATCCACCAGGTTTGAGACAACTAACGAGCCTCTTGACGATCTGGTTGATTTCCTGGCGCTGGAAAAAGGCAAATAGCAGACGCTGGTTAACCAGATCAAAATTGCTCTCCCAGGCCGGGGGGACGGGCTCAGTGACGCTGTGTGGTACCAGAGACACTGTTGGTGGCAGATTCTCAGGTGGTGGAAACAGCTCAGTCCTTCATGTTGAAACTCATGAGTAAGCCTGCGTGTTTTCGTTAACGATTCACAGGGACAGAGAAGACATACGCAATATCAAAACCGACATATTCTGTGTCGTCAGGGAGCACGAGACGAACATCGTGGATCCAGAAGCCTGGCCAGGTCAGTCAGATGGATTGATACCCTACATTCATTATATCAGTCCGGCTTACCGTCAGCAGTGGCCGAGTCGAGAACCTTCAACCCGCCGGCCGTCAGGTTCAGGGGCGCCTTGATAAGGCCACCTGCCGTTCCTTTGATCCATTCATGCTGAACTCGCAGACGGTCTCTTTCAACACTACCGCCTGGGATGACATAGCGCGACTTGTCTTGTTCAAACTGGCGGTCTTGATGGTCACCCATACTGGTGAGGCTAAAGCGGATGCGTGTATGGGTAAAGGAAGCAGACGTACTAAGTAGGTATATTGGCCGACATCTTTGCAAAGAAGACATAGCCCTCTTTTTATACCCGACTCAACAAGGCTGGATGCTGCCCTGCTGCCCCCTTCAACCACTATTCTTCGCACCTGGTTACGGCGAACCGGCGAACCGGCGAACCAAGCAGAGCAGGAGGATAAGTGACTGGCTGCAGTCAAAGCCCGATCTTCCCCGACTCCAGCATAGTCACCCGGAGGGGGACTGCAGCAGCGTCTAGTCGCGATCACTGGTTCGATGATGTCTCCAACAGACCGGTTTGGTAGCCTGATACCAGTATGGAATATACATATCTGGTATATTTTTGGCAGCCTACCAAATCACACGATAGAGAGACTCTGGCTGGGCGGCGCAGTGTAACAGCCACATTTCCAACTGGGCGACAAAACAGGAACACGCATGGCGCATGGTGTGCACTATCAGCATCGCGGCCGGATCTGCCGGTAGATCATCTTCTCTTCTTCGTTTTTTCTTCGTCTTCTTGATTGGTACTTAAAAAAAAACAGTAACCTGAAATCAATTACTAACCAGCCACTGACTACTTAGTCTCCCATAATGAGCGAATAAACAAACTATACCGTCTATCAAAAACCTCAAAGTGAAACATTAACAGTGAAAGCAAAGGAAAAGACGAGAGATTTCTCGGAGATGAGGTCAAGAGATATAACAGTCACAGATATAATAAGTTTCATCCAAGGAGCCCCAATACCATAGCTATCCTATATCTTAGCAGTTACCGCCCTTACAGCCATTCCTTAAGGAAAGAAATAACCAGCACATTTACCAAAAGAAACTCATAGTCCTTGAGGCCTATCCTGTAAGCAGAGCTCTGGACAAAAACGTACTGCATTAATACTAATTATCATGATATTGCATAGTTTACTCCGTACAAGAAAACATAGAGTTTTATTCCTTGCCGTGGTACATTGTGTATACTAAGTTACCGGGGATGTAGGTGACGGGTAGATGTGCATGAGCCTGTGGTCGACGAGTATGCATAACGCGTTACAAGCGCTTAAGGTACGGGTCGTGCAGCCCTCTAGATTTTCAAGATCAGAGTGAGGCTAAACGGTGTAATAGAACCACGACTACTCCATTCATATAATATTATAAAAGCAAAGGATGCCACGTTTGCACCGAGCATTAGGACCGCTAATCGGACGGCAATTGGTCCAACATGTCTTCAACTGGCATCACGGCGATGCAATTGGGGGTCAATGTAATGATTCGTGAGAGTCGCTGGGCGCCGAAATATCACGCGGCTTCGATCTGAGCGTAAAATCATTAACTGACTAGCGCCATAAATAATAAATTTACTTACAATCTGTTACTCCCCAAAGCATGACTGTTACCAAGGAGGTCTTCCCGCTAGATCGATTACCTCCGCCGGAAGACGCGAATAGTAGAAGAGGATATTTCGAAGAAAGAAGTAGTGATATTTCCCTAGGAATTAGCTCCATACTCTAGCCTTTTTCTCCTCGTATATATCCTATTCATTGGACTGTCAATAGATTGTGAACGTGACACCACAAACGATACTGGCTTCCTTATATCACCTCTCAGCCTAGAATTCATAAGAATCGCCCACAGGTGTAGCTATTTCTGCTCTGCATTCTCTATACCAGGGGAAGAGCACCATTTTGCCAGGCTCGTTGCCTTCCCGCTCATTCAAGTGTCAAGCAGCAGGGCATGAGTAGGGCTTCCAAGGCTAGGTACGCCACGATCTGTTAGATGATGTAGTCCGAGCAGTCCAGAATAGCTGGTCTCGAGGTTGGCATTCCATGGTCGAGTATATGGCGATACCTACCTGCGTCAACATACCTGTCCCCTATTTCAGGGTAAGAAGAGAGCATGATGTATCAACTGGGTATTGGCACACCGAGTAAAGCTAGGCGGTAAAAAGGGTTGCCAGGCCTGGGGAGGCTGGATAGTGAGTTGAACGGTCCTGGCCATCCTGGCCATCCCGAGAGGGGTCAACGAGGGGCATATATTGAGTTATATTGTACTCCGCGCTGATACAAGCAGGTATGTACGTAAAGTGTATAGGGTCAACTGCAGGACTTCATGCACGAATACAGAATGGTTAAACGCTCGTAGGTAATGTTATGGCCAACATTATAGGCACTGCAGGCGTTGGTTGCGGGCTTAGTGAATTTACTTAGTCAGCATGTCAATGTTTCATCACGTGAATTTGAGGCTAACCTTATAAGGGTTGTCCACCCGCTTCTGATTAGTCATAACTGGCGCGTGCTTTTCCCTCCAATAGAAAGCCACGACTGCGAAAAGAGGTCTCCGCTCTGCGGGCCGAAGTAGCCAAAAGAGGCTAGCCAGGAACAGCTGCCCCACCTCCTTCGGCCACATAGTCACCCCTGATTGGTCCACTGTGGCTCCACCCGCGACATGCTCCGCCCGCTCTAGCCGCGGCCCTGGGCTCATTTCCCGCCCGTCCTTATTTTTCTCTTCTGACAACACATCGCGATGTCTCATCCTCGTCTTCGTCATCCTCATCCTCATCTTTGCCCTCGTCTCTCGCTCTTCGACTCCCGCCTCGCCGTCTCTCGTTCGTCTTCATCTCCATCGCCATCGTCTTCGTTGTCGTCGTCGCCGTCTCTCCCAGCCATCTTGCTGTGGCGCCAGTCAAAGAGTCGCTGAGAGAGAAGTTATGTCTGCCCTGATCTGATCCGGCCCGACTTTCGCATCCGTCGTCGCTTCACACTCGTTTCAACGCCCAACCAACCGTCGACCGCTAATATTACTCTTCTTATTACCGTCCAGCCTCGCCCTACGGACGCTCCCCCCTGGCTGGCCTTTGTCCTTGTCGTCCTCGCTTTTCCACCGTCGCTCATTTTTGACCCTGCTGCTGTGCAGCTGCTCACCTTCGCTTTTACAGCCATACGCTTGCTCTTCTCTCCTCTTTACTCCCCTACATCCCATCCCTCCCTCTCTCACCAGCTTCTCAGTGTGCACTGCAACGCGGCTCCATCATGAACCCAGAATCAGGTACGTCTACGCCGTCCCGACTCGACTCTCCTTTCGCTCGCTTCGCTGACTTGCTTTCAACACAGTCGTCTACGGGCGAAGCCCCCGTACGCTCTTCCGTCGATGCGTCGTCAACTGCCCGACCGAGGCGCCGCCGTGTCCACCCTGCAAGGGCACTGAAATATGCACCCTCACGGCCAAATCGTGCGAGGCCTGCGCTGCTGCTATCTGCGTCCCCGATCCCCTCGCCAGCCAGCCGTCGGACGACTCGGGCGCTCCAACAGGCGCTATTGCCGGCGGTGTCGTCGGCGGCATCGCCCTCATCGCTGCCATCGTGCTTACCTGGTGGTTTTGTGTCCGGCGTCGACGCAAGAACACTGAGCTGTGGGATGAGAAGACAAACGCCAGCAGCGTCGACGTAGACAGCAACAACCAGAAGAGGCACTCTGCTGTCGGCTCCATCGCCTCCACTGTCCTCACACGCGCCTCCAACGTCATCCAGATCGCATACATCCCCGGCATCACCAACAGATCCGCTCCCGGCTCACCAGACCTCATGGTCCCTCCTGTGCCACCAATCCCATCCGCCGTCGCCAGCGGACAGAACCAGCACTTCTTCATGCCTGGCGACATTCGTGACTCCATGTGGTCTGGCATGACCGATGACGACGGCAAGAGCATTAGCCCCAGTCTCGCTCGCAGCAGCGTTGCCACGACCATCTACCGTCATAACGCCATCGTCAGTCCCGTCCCGGCCCAGGAGGCCTACCAGGCCAGGGCAAACATCGTCAGCGTCAAGTCAGGCGCCAGCTCCTCCTCCTCTCAGTCGTCTCCAAAAGTCCCGGCCATCACCAACTCACAGATCAACAAAGCCAATGCAGTTGCAGCGAAGCTTGGTGTCAGCTCGATCGTTGCTCGCAGCGCAGTCGCTCGTCCTATCAACGTTACAAAGGGTGGTCGCTCCAAGACGACGACCACGGCAACAACTATCACCGACAACAATTCTTCACAAAGTACACCCAAGGTCACCGTCGAATCGCCTGAACACAGCCCATCCACCGGCGAGTCTAGCAACGATTACTCCAGCCCAAGGACGATGCTACCACCACCGGTAAACAAACTACCGTCAAGGGGAAGTGCCGTGGATCCATCCAGTCACTTGCAGTCAACGAAATAGATGACTCTCCTGAGCCAAAACAAAGCCCATTTGCCGACCCAATTGCTGAAGAAGAACCCATACCCTCGTCTTCCTTAGCCAGCGGTCCAAACGGCCAGTCAAAACGAAGTGCCAGCCCTTTTGATGACAAACATGAGGTCAAGGGGTAGGCCATATCGTCAAATACATAACACACCCACTCTTACGAACTAGCTTTCTCCTACATTGTCCTCACCTTGTGTCTTCGTTTTTCTTTCTAGGACTAAAGCTCGTCCCAATAAAGGAGCTTTTTATGCGGCGTCTGTTAAAGGAAATTGGTGGCCCCCGGTTTTTCATTCTCTATTGTTCAGCCCTTTCTTTGCGTACTACCCCTGTTCTCTTCTCCCAGTGTCTTCCTTTAATGCCTTTTTGTCTGTGTCTTTGTGATATCTGGCCGAACCACAGCTTTGTTTGTCCATGTAATAATGTTTCTTCAATCTGTACTACGAACGAAGTTGATCTACGATTCTACCTATAGTCGATCTTATACCACATTCCTTAACGTATTCGGTTCCACGTCTCGGGTTATCTTCCTATGCTGTCTGCCTCTTCTCACTACCCTGATCAAAGTCCCTGGCCGCAGGGATACCTTTAGTCTGCCACACTTCGATCGCAAGGTTCTTCCCTACTTCCACGGTCCCACTGGGGCCCAGAAAAAACTCCGTCACAATCTGTTTGCGGAGAGGTTTATCGGTATATGACCGGGGGATGGCTTCCCGTCTAGCTAAAATACGCAGCATTGTAGGCAGATAGCCGACCGGTAAGGTCGAGGTAGACAACAGATCCTCACGCAGCTTTGCAAGAGTCAGGCCACCTTCTTGGGCCCCAGGCTTCAACCGTACAAGGGCTGCGATGTGTTCGCCTACCAAGGCCTCCGGAACTGGAACAGCATACACCTCATCGATGTAGGCCAGTCTTAGCAGCTGCATCTCCAGCTCGGGGATTGGCACCTTGTATGAATAATGCTTGATAACTACCAGCCCCGAAAGCAAGACAGAGATTAGCCATAACCTGAAGGATCAGGGAAGTATATCGGGGCACAGCCGGTGAAAGGGGGTACTTGCAGTCATGTTTTAGCCGGCCATCAATGATATAAACGCCGTTCTCAAGATGACCCCTGTCTCCGGTCTTGTAGAAGCCATCATCATCAAAGACAGCCTGTGTAGCTTTAACATCTCCCAGATAGCTGATCGATTCTTTGGTTAATAACAATGGAATAGTCAGTGCTCGTAGGGTATCCACTTACTGAGATATCACCGTTGGCCCCTTAATCAGAAACTCACCATGCTCGCCTTCAGAGAGCTTCACCTCCAACTGGCCGTAAGGGGTTCCGACAGACCGCTATAACACAGGTTGTTAATTAACATTTTGCACATGTTTGCTGTATCAGAGGCTTCGGCAATCTAACCTCAATATCTTCCTCAACATCTGCCGCAGTACGGAGCCCACATCCTCCCATCTCGGCAGCAGAGTATAGATTCATTAGCGGGCGGCCGAGTACTCCTCTCCAGAAGCTAAGTACGGGAGGGAATATTGGTGTTGCACCAGCCATGGCCAACTTGATGCCCCTTGCTCCTTGAACATACGGTTCCCGCTCAGTAGATGGCAGACCACCCAACTCGTCAACATAGTACTTCATCATGCTTGTCCAAACGTTCGAATGGGCCATGACAAAGGTCACGCCGCCCTGTCGAAACCGCTCCCAAGCCACCTCTGGCTTGCTAGGCTGAGAGTCAAATATTTCAATCCTCACGCCGTTTAACAAAAGCTTGGTAGGGGGCCAGACGCCGCCAATCCAGTTCATGGCCGTGATCATGGTGATGAATACATCACCAGGGCCGCCGTCAGGCATAGGGGTATTGAAAAAATCTCGCGTTAGGACGACTCCCTTGGGTGGGCCTGTACTTCCGGACGTACCTAGAACGAGGCTGGGGCGAGTGGTATCAATAGTAAAGCTTTCGTTGATTGTGATATCGATATCACACGCTTGTTCTCCTTTAGTGGTACCCTCAGCAAACGATATTGGAGCTAGGTCAAGGGAGGTGGACTGTTGAATCTCCAGTGCTTTAGGTTCCAGTTCTGTAGCAAAGACGAGACAGGAAGCCTCTGATTTGTCCATGAATCGTGCAGCCTCGTCGACAGATACACTGACAGCTATCAGTTTTTCATGAGTAGGCGGTTAGTCGTACTTGTACTTGGAAGATAACTATATTCATCTAGGCTGACATGGCCACTTACACAACGGCACCACCGCTGCTCCTAGCGCCAGAATACTAAAGAAGCCGACAAGGTAACGGTAGCTGCAAGGAGCAAGAAGCAGGATATATGGCCTCTGCTCATATATCATACCGCGCTGATCAAGCATCCCCGGAGGTGCTGCATGTCTAATAGCATCTCGGGTCGCAAGCACATCACCCAGAAATTGAGAATAACTCGCCTTAGTGCCAGAATATGGGTCATCGATGGCAACATGGCCATCTCCGAGCTGCGTCAGGCCTAGCAGTCTTCTAAAGAAGGGCTCATTTGGCAGAGTCTTGCCTTGCTGTGGTACAGTCTCTATCGCAACCATCTTGGATTGATATTTGTTTATGTAGTTGATAATATAATAGATAGCTCACCGGCTATAAGAATCAGTCTGCCTCAGTCGGGTTTTCTGGCGGATATTTCGACAGCAGCAGTCCACGCTGTCTTGATGATCCTTCCTGTGCATGTAGCCCTGGTCCAGGATGTAGAGAGGGGTCGGTTATTACCAGTCATTTCCGAGGTATCCCCTCGTCACACCCAAGGGAAGGCAGGAGGGACATGTGAGTACGTAACCTGTGCATAGTACTGGCAGATGTCTTTACTGGCCTGTGTTCTTCATGGGTATATATATGGGGTATGTGCGGGCACAATTCAGGGACACCTCAAGGGCCCTTTTTGAACGAGCTGCTGGTGCAACCCTGGCCCCAAGGCTGAACGGCTGAGCCAGCTGCCATCTACCACAAAAGATATCTATATACGGAGTATATATATGTATTTTGAGGCCATTTTCGCTAAGTAGGTGAATCAGGAACAGGCACTAATCGTGGCGACATCGTATAGGAAGATGCACACAGCCACTCGGCGTCGTTTTCGCCAACGGTTAGCCTTGCCAGCATCAACAACCAGACCAGAGTCAGAATCTCAGTTGCGAGAGTGGACCTTAGGGAGTTTCATGATCATCTAGACCTGTCCACCGCCTCTCCATCTCCTGCTCCTCCCTGTCATCTCAAGTGCTATTATTTTATCTTCTTATTATTAGCATTCGACCAAGGATGGATTTATTACATATTATCGCCTTCACTATAGAGTACTAACGCGTGTAAATATTCGTAAGGTACGCCCCTGGATAGGCAAAAGGAGGGTATGATACCGTATTTGATACATAGTGCCGCCACGAGGCGCCGGCCAATCAGAGCGGGTCTTCCGTCTATTTTTAGCCAGGGGCTTTGCAATTACATAATACAGCACCTAAAAAAAGACAGAGTCGAATGAGGAAGACAGAGAGGAGAGTCGAAAGGGGGACGAAGACGAAGCAGCAGACGGTGTCAAAAGGTGCGAAGATGGAGACGGCAGGGCGCAAGAGAGAGGATGTTAGCTGTGCCTCTGCCCTGCTAGCCTAACACCAACTCCAGCTCCAACTCCAACTTCCAGCCGCCCTCGTCCTGCTAAGATATTTTATGCGCCAGAAAGTATTATTAGATGTTTCAGAGTGCTGACGTAAGGGCGGGTGAGCGGGTTCTTCCGAGCCGACAACCTTAAGTACCGATACTTGCTGCTGCATATAAACTCTGCGCTTAAAATAAGTATCACTACTTCTGCGCACGTCTCGTCCCCCTTGCAAGACCTCATCCTTTCGCTGGCCAGTTGCTCAGGGGGCTGTGAAAGGGCAGAAAAAAAAGGCAGAGGCGAAAAAAAAAGGAAACGAAGCGCTGGACAACCTCTCCAAGGCGTGCGTGTGGGCTTTATTTCTTATCCATCCTTTTCTCGTCTTCACTTTGTCTTCTTCTCCTTCGTCCTCGTCAACCTCGACTTCAGCTCTCCTCCTTGTCCTCCTACAGGCTCCCCGTCGTCCGTCACTTGACACGAGGGTCGTGATCCAGAGTGCCAGCACCCTTTTTCACGCTACCTGTGTGACCGCTCTCTGCCTCGTCCATCACGCTCTTCATTCACCATCGTCAACTCCTTTGATCGATCCTTGACCGCTCTCCGGCATCCGCCCTGACATTCGTTGACCCGACCTGATCTCTGGCGCAAAACAAGGTGCTACTCTAGAGAATCGACAACCTCGCAGAGGAAGAAAAGTAGCGGTCGTCCGCGTTTGTTACCATGGCCTACCCGGGCCCAAGCTCGCCAGGAGGCTATAACGATGGCCATCGGCTGCAGGACATCACTCCCTCTGCAAGTGTAAGTCCAAGTCACTCAATCACTCCCTTCATCCCCGCTAGAACAAAATGGAGGGTGGTATCGACATCATCATCTATTATACTAGCTACTCTTTCCTCCCCCCCTGCCCAGTCACTTGTTTCACGTTTGACTGTGAAATGAATGATGAAGAAAATGAAAAATAAAAATACAAAACAAAGGCTGCCTCCTCATATTTGCTCGTCTCTCCGTTACTCATTTGGCATTTCTTTAGCAATACCATCTGCCGCAGGAGGACGAGTCGTCTCGCTCGCTTCTCAACCAGGGTCCCTACGGCGGCCCCTTTGACGACCCCCAGCAACGCGGAACATCTCCTGTTAGGCCCTCCTCCAAGTACAGCCTGACTGAAACCTATTCGACCGACGCTCCCGCCATGGCCCAGTACCCGCAGGACCAGATGCAGAATCCTGCAGCCGGCTTTGGCGTGCCCGGACGCGTGCCTTCTCCTTATACCCGCAGTGAGACCTCTTCCACCGAGGCCTGGCGCCAGAGACAGGCTCCCCAGCAAGGCAACCTGCGACGTTATGCCACCCGAAAGGTTAAACTTGTCCAAGGATCCGTCCTCAGTATCGACTACCCGGTGCCCAGTGCTATTCAGAACGCTGTCCAAGCCAAGTACCGCAACGACCTTGAGGGCGGTAGTGAGGAGTTCACCCATATGAGATGTGAGTTTCTTTCTTCCTCGTCTTATCCAGCATACATGGGATATATATGGTGATACTTACTATCTGTAGATACTGCTGCTACCTGTGATCCTAACGAGTTTACGCTGCACAATGGCTACAATCTACGTCCCGCCATGTACAACCGTCACACTGAGCTGCTCATTGCCATTACATATTACAACGAAGATAAGGTGCTTACTGCTCGTACTCTTCATGGTGTCATGCAGAATATCAGAGATATTGTCAACTTGAAGAAGTCCGAGTTCTGGAACAAGGGCGGCCCAGCCTGGCAGAAGATTGTCGTGGCTCTCATCTTCGACGGTATTGACCCTTGTGACAAGGATACTCTTGACCTCCTGGCTACCGTTGGTGTCTACCAGGATGGTGTCATGAAAAAGGATGTTGACGGAAAGGAGACCGTTGCTCACATTGTAAGTCAAGTAACAAGGCCGGAAAAAAAATACTGGGATTGATGCTGATATGCCATCTTGTAGTTCGAGTATACCACACAACTTTCTGTGACCGCCAACCAGCAACTCATCCGGCCCCATGATGACAGCCCTTCTACTCTTCCGCCAGTTCAGATGATGTTCTGTCTCAAGCAGAAGAACAGCAAGAAGATCAACTCCCACAGATGGCTCTTTAACGCGTTTGGCCGTATCCTCAACCCTGAAGTCTGCATCCTGCTCGACGCAGGTACCAAGCCAGGGCCAAAATCCCTGCTTGCCCTCTGGGAGGCCTTTTACAACGACAAGGATCTCGGTGGATGCTGTGGCGAGATTCACGCTATGTTGGGTAAGGGTTGGAAGAACCTCATCAACCCTCTTGTTGCCGCACAGAATTTCGAGTACAAGATCAGTAACATTCTCGACAAACCCCTGGAGAGTTCCTTTGGTTACGTCAGTGTGTTGCCCGGTGCATTCTCTGCCTACCGATTCCGTGCCATCATGGGAAGACCGCTGGAACAGTACTTCCATGGTGACCATACCCTGTCCAAACAGCTCGGCCCTAAGGGTATTGAGGGCATGAATATCTTCAAGAAGAACATGTTCTTGGCCGAAGATCGTATCCTCTGTTTCGAACTTGTCGCCAAAGCCGGATCCAAGTGGCATCTTACTTACGTCAAGGCCTCCAAGGGTGAAACTGACGTTCCCGAGGGCGCCCCAGAGTTCATCGGTCAGCGTCGTCGATGGCTTAACGGTTCGTTCGCTGCCAGTATCTACGCTCTCATGCACTTCGGCAGAATGTACAAGAGTGGACATAACATCCTTCGCATGTTCTTCTTCCACATTCAGATGTTATACAACACTTTCACCGTCTTCATGACTTGGTTTGCTCTCGGTATGTCTCTGCCCCCGTAGGTACTTGCTTGCCAGAATTGATCTAGAGGCTAATATGATAACATTTCAATAGCTTCGTATTGGCTTACTACAGCCGTTATCATGGACCTTGTCGGCAACCCTGGCCCATCTAACGGTAACAGAGCTTTCCCTTTCGGTAACAAGGTCACGCCCATTCTGAACACTCTTTTGAAATACGCATACCTCGGCTTTTTGCTCCTACAGTTCATCCTGGCTCTCGGTAACCGACCCAAGGGGTAAGTTTTACAGTATATTCTATCCTGCGTTTGCGCAATCAACTCGCTAACTTGGTTATCCTCCAGTTCCAAGCACTCATACATCACATCGTTCGTTCTCTTTGGCATCATCCAGCTGTATATTATCATTCTGTCCATGTACCTGGTTGCTCGAGCTTTCTCTGGCGGTACCTCCCTGTCATTCGAAACTGACCATGGCCCCGTCGAGTTCTTGAAATCCTTCTTTGGCTCATCTGGCCCCGGTATCATTGTCATCGCTCTCGCCGCTACCTTTGGTCTCTACTTCATCGCCTCGTTCATGTACTGTGACCCATGGCACATGTTCACCTCTTTCCCGGCCTATCTACTTATCATGTCCTCGTACATCAACATCCTCATGGTCTATGCTTTCAGCAACTGGCACGATGTGTCTTGGGGTACCAAGGGATCCGACAAGGCCGATGCTCTACCATCTGTACAGACGACCAAGGAAGACGGAAAATCTGCCACTATTGAAGAAGTTGACAAGCCCCAGGCAGACATTGACAGTCAGTTCGAAAGCACTGTCAAGCGCGCCCTGACCCCGTATGTCGAGCCCAAGGTGGATGAGAAGAAGACGCTCGAGGATTCGTACAAGAGTTTCCGTACCCGTTTGGTCTCTTCCTGGCTCTTCTCCAATGCTATCCTTGCCGTCGCCATTACAAGTGATAATTTGACAGCTCTCGGTTTTACCGTATGTGGCTACCATTCTAAATCCCCGTATATTCTATTGCTTACTTTCCCACTAACTCATCTCATAGTCACGAGCTACCGAACGTACCAGTCGTTTCTTCCAGTCTCTTCTGTGGGCAACGGCTGCGCTCTCCCTCATTCGATTCATCGGAGCATGCTGGTTCCTTGGTAAATCTGGCATCATGTGCTGTTTCGCAAGAAGATAGTAGTTCTTTTAATACCTTGATTCCGATTGACGGCTTTCCTTTTCTGATTCTCCAAATAAAGTTTCCCTTTCTCATTTTCTTTTTGTACCTTCTCCTGTTTCCTTTTTCCCTATGTCGTCTTTTTTCCTCGATGTCTTCTCCTATCTCCCTTCCTCTTCTCTTTTGCCCAGATTATGTCAATTCTATTCTAATGTCCATTCCTGACCTGGCTGGGGACGTGTCTTGTATTTTAGATGAATACTCTCTGTTATTGTGTGTCTGATCCCTTTTCCCCATGTTCCAACTCTTCACGTTGCGTGCCCACTGCTTTCCTCTCTCACTAGCCATCTACCTACACTTTGGAGGCTCTTCAACCAGAAGCTATGCTCCTCAATTTCTCCATGCTATGAAAATATGCCAAATTGCGCCCACCCCACACCCCTATAGTATCTATCAGAACGTCTTTCATATATATAAACATATACACACATATACCTAGCATCCAACATCCAGTTATGTCCCTTTCATCTCCTACCTAAACCAAAGTCCTCTTTGCGTTTGCATCATCTCAAGTAGATCAGATAACGGGTACCTATTGGGTTAACCAGTCACGTGTCCCTTATCAGGCATCGCCCTTTTTGCCCGCCATCAAGAAATATCCAAACGTCTTGTTAACCGCTTCGGAGCAGCTTTCATATTCCCTTTTAACGACTGCCGTTACGACTTGTCATTTCCCCTTGTGCTTTGCCGTACGATTAGAATATATACCCCAGTACCTGGTATTTTTCTTATTTGGCTTCCACCTTGTCCACCATCCGTCGGCGTTCTGCGAGTCTTCTACATAACTACCCTCCCGCTTATCGGTAAATAGAGCCCCTTCTTCCACAAGTATTACGATATTATATTTTATATCAGAGTATATGGTGTCACTTCGCCAACGTACCTGTCGAGGCAGCTTCACGAATAAACAAATTTTGCCTGTCGTATATACTGACTTCTCAAATGTCCGTAGAACTGTACCTTGATACCCAACGCGCAACACGCACCTCCAGTACAATACACCAACTTTAACTGCTCGACTCTGGTACCCCAAGACGAAAACTGAAAACGATAGCTAGGCCGATACAGGATACCGAAGTACCCGTTGCCTCATTAGCTACCCATCTCTCCTTTAAACTGGGCTCTGGTTCCTCGGACTATATTGAGGTTGCTGGGGTTTTTCTTTTCCACCAACCGAATCTTCCCGATATTTTCAAGATGTTGAAAATATGGTCTATGGTAGGGCCCTCTTCAAGGCTCCTCACACCCTATATGTTTGTCTTTGCAGCCAGGCTTACCTCGTATAGAAACAAAAGCAGCAGCAAGCTGAGAACTCGGAAGGGGGCACCGGTGCGGTAGAAACGAAAAAGAAGAAGAAGGTCACCGCATCCCAGTTACGAGTACAACGCGGTATGTCTTTTACCTCGATTCCATTTCTATCTTAACCTTCAACTAATTCGAGGACTATAGATCTTGCAGAGCTCTCCCTCGGCAGCACAATGAAAATGACCTTTCCTAACCCCGATGACATCTTAAACTTCATTCTAATTATCGAGCCAGACGAGGGCATGTACCGTGGTGGAACTTTCTCCTTCACCTTCACCATCAACCAGAATTTCCCGCACGATCCTCCAAAGGTTAAGGGCCAGCAGAAGATATATCACCCCAACATTGATCTCGAAGGGAATGTCTGTCTCAATATATTGAGAGAAGACTGGAAACCTGTGTTAAACCTGAATGCTGTCATTGTTGGGCTACAGGTATGCATGCATTCAATTTCCTACCAGCCCTCTCCTAAGTATAGTTCTGTTCCGCTGACGACTCGCGTAGTTCCTTTTTCTCGAGCCAAACGCGTCTGACCCATTGAACAAAGAAGCAGCTGACGACTTGCGACTGAACCATGAGGGGTTCAAGCGGAATGTTCGGACAGCCATGGCGGGAGGCACTATCAAAAACATACAATACGATCGAGTTACACGATAGGCATGACCTCATGTATCCCATTAGCGATATTCTCACCATTGTCCCTGGTTTCCTGCATTTCTTCCCCTCCAACGTATTATTATCTTCCATAGAAGTGTTCTATCCAGCATACATTCATTTGCATTCGATCAAGTTAATCACGCTGCTACGTAATGTGTGGTCCCGTAAGCCGTCAAGACCGGCTGTGTACATATATAGGCAAATAAATAACCTTTATATACTGTCTCAGGTACAGAATGTTGCTAGTTGAACTAATAAAATGCGAGATATGAATTGCGAAATTTCTATAAAGACGTTGGGTTCTTTCTGTTTTCTGAATTTGTCTTTTATACAGTACACAATACGCAGTCCGAATGGCAGTTCTCCAGCTCTGATATCATATTGACGGGCCCGCCAACGTGGTGATGATATTCGCAGTCAAAAAGTATGCGGCACTTCACAAATCGATGAGCAATGACCGGACAGAGATGGAGGAGGCGTGGATGAGAAGAATCGAACACGCGTAAGATCGAAGATTTGTTTGTAATATGACAATCGTTTAAGCAGAGAGTTCCTCGGCACGCTGGGCTTCGAGTCGGGTGTAGAAGTTGTCACGGGCACGAACGCGAGGAAGGTGGTAGCCTATATAAAGGGGTATATCAGAAATCTGACGACGGATGCCGGCGGCTGGAGGATAGGAAATACACAACATACCGTACCACCACAAGTAACCGGAGCTAACTCCAAGGCCTACAATTGACGGGGCGTGTTAGACAAATATTCGAGTAAAAGCATTTAACAATTGATATATGTAATTAACGGATCGAGAGGTCGTCTTGTTTTTTTTTTCGAAACAGGAGTCTGCGTCTTTTCACGATGGTCTTCCCGGCAAACCTCAGGCTTTTGCACTTACCCAAGGCGGTGCTGAGATCGAGCACCAAGCCCCGGCGGAGCATCTACTCATCAGGCAAGGCAGTTAGCATGTTGCTTCAACTTCAGTCTTCAGGGCAGACCGTAAGCCATTGGGACGTAGGGCATCCAGAGCAAGCCGTGACAGCTCCGAAGACTCAATCCGGCTTCCCCATTGCGCGGCAAAGACGGCAAACACCAGGACTTACTCCAGTAACGGGCTTCATAGCCGTGATGCCAGCCATTGTACAGCACTAAAAATCGGTATCGGGACAGAGAGAGCGGTGGAAGAAGACCAGGAGAGCAAAAGTGTCTGCGTCGTTGAAAACTGTTTTTGAGTGTGAAGTCGAAGTCGAAGTCGAAGTCGAGACAGATTAATCACGTGATTCTCGTATGAGCAACACAGAAAAAGCTGCCAGAGGACGATGACAATAAGACGAACGGTCGGGGCGGAAGGGGAGAAAGGGGACAACACTGCTGTCTGCGGGGATAATGGGAGCCTCTTTTGCATGGGAGTGTTCTTGCTTCCTACTATTCACCAGCCCGGATATCATCATATATCGTATCGCCAGTAAATGAATACCATACCATTGAATAAACATCACGTGACAGTACTTTTTCCTGCTGCTCAGCGAAGTTCGAGATTCAACGCCTTCATGCGAGCAACGCGGACGACGACGAGAAAGACGCAGAAAGAGAAGACACAGCAGGGCAGGCGACGGCGACGGCGACGGCGACGGATAAGAGAAGACGAGAGGCCTGGCAGCGGGTCATTTTCATCGTGCGCCCCAACTAATTACTGATCCCATACGCTTCTGGCTTCTGGTTACCTGTGTACATCGATGCAAACGGCCACTCAGATGGCTCTCACCAACCCGACCCAGACACCTCCCTCACCCCAAAGCTCTGCGAAACGCCCGTCAGTCGAGGCAGATGGCGCCTCTCCAGCAAGGAAACAGCGGCAAGCATACCGCCGGCACCACCGTTTGCGGCAGTCTCACGACCTGGCTGCCGCTGCTGGCGCAGAGATCTTGAACGATAGCATTTCCATTGATAGCCAGCTGAATGCGTCGATAGTGAGGGTCCTGGATGAAACAGGATTTGATAACGTCGAGCCAGTGGTCTTGGACAGCTTCAGGAACAATGTAGAAGAGCGTGCGTTCATTCTGACCTCTGTTTCGACATACTTGCCTGTTAAAGCTAACCCATCTTATCTAGATATGCTTCACTTTCTATCCTACGTCCGCCAGTCGATGACATCCAGCCGGAGGGTGCAGCCCATCCCGCAGGACTTTGAACATGCACTCCGCTACCACTCGATACGTGTAGACTCCCTTCGGCCGCATCTCAGCGCATTCCAACGTACGACCCAGGCCAGTCCTGCAACGCCCTCGTCCAAACCAAGTCTCCTTACTCCTCCACCGGAAGAAGGTGCAGACGATGATGAGGACGACAAGCCCATACCAACGCGAAATTACGCCTTCTTAGGACCAGAGTTAAATTCCGGAGACAGTGACCCTAAGAAAATTTCCTATATACCCAAAAACTTCCCCAGTTTCCCCAGCAAACACACATATCAAGAGACACCCGTATTCGCCACCAAACGAGAAACCAACCCCGAAAAAATACGAGAACGCGCGACAGAGGAAGGACGGTTGGGCGAGGAGGCCTTGCGCAAGCTCACCCGCGCTGCGAGGGAAGGTCAGGGCAATACTCGAGCTCACCGGGACAAAACGCTGTGGGGTCGCAAAAACGAGAGTATGGACAGCATGTTTGATAAGACACTGAAGGCATTAACAAAGTCAACCTCTGCCGCCAAACAGCCCGACGGCTCCTTGGTACTGGACCTGGGGCCGATTGTGAACAGTAACCGGGTTTATTGGCGCAAGGCATCCGCGCCGGCTGCCCGTCCCGACCCTCAACGGACGACAACAACGGCTACAGCGATGCAGGTTGAATAGACCGGCTGGTCCGTCGTCAATCCCGAACTCTCTTCCTATTCCCTCTGCTTCGTCTTGGCCGCTCGTCCGCTGGGTTCAACTGGCGTCGACGCCGATGCCCTGACATGACTTGACATGACTTCATCCTGCACTTCTCTCTATATCAAGCACCATTGATGCATTTTCCTCAGCCTCCCATGTAAATATATAACAACACAATATCCCGTAATGCATAATCCACGCCGTCTATGGCCTTGTTGATGCCGCTTTCTCCCACGCTGTCGTCTCAGCTGTAACTCCGTTGGCGCATCTAGGGCGTCATCACCAACATCAGCACCGTGTACAACGCAACAAGACAGAAAATAGAGAGACGAAATACCTCCGGAAGAGCCTCTTAAAGGTTGTACATCTAACCACGCCCGGCTCCGGCGGCCCTGCGTCGGGCGGATTGCATGAATACTGTGTCAGCTCGTAGAGAGGGCATCGAGCAAGGTCGACGACGCCGCCTTTGCGAGCTTTCTCCTTGTAACCGACACGATGGCTTTGCAGGCGCTGCGGGAGCTCCGTAGCCGGCCACGACTCGATCTGAGGCGCCATTGAGTGCTGGTTATCGGGTTCTTAGACAGTCGACGTTCGACGCTGAGCGAAGTGCAAGATGTTGAAGCTGGTTTTTGCTTTTTCCCTTGTGGAGTCAGTTTTGAGAAATATTTAACCAACTACAACGACGCCGAAAGGAATCACCATCTGCTTGCGGTAGGCAAAACATACGGCCATACACAGCTTGTGTGGACTACATGCCAGAAGCTGTAATGGCTACGCGGGCTTCTGGCAAGCGGCTCCGCGAAGAGACCGCAGAGGACACTCTCGACGGCGTGAGCAGACATTCGATGGCAACCCTTCATATTCAGCATCAGCTAAACAACCAGGCAAATACCTAGATCCTACGCGACGTCCAGCGTAAATGCGGCAGACACCCCCAAGGACATATAGAGACGTCCCCCGTCGGCATCAAGGTGATCGATGACATGCTACGCATCTTCCATAGGCCGCCGCGTCCTCGCCCCGGAGTGCCTGATCGCCACAAAGTGCTGGAGATTGTCGGCCCCAGACGCGGCCTGGGCAGGGGCAGCGGCAAGACCTCACTGCTATACTATATCGCTGCCGTAGGCATACTGCCGGCGTCCTTTAACGGCATCCATCTCGGCGGACAGGACGGGGCTGTGGTATTTCTTGACTCGGAGAACCATTTCAACGCTGCCCGGCTGCGTGATGTAGCTCTACATTACGCGCGCGAGACCATCTACATACAGAAGCAGAAACAGCGCGGCGCCGGGCTGTCTCCCCGTAAGCAGCAAAGAGAAGACGAGGCTGAGCTGCGCAATATGGTGACGGCTTGCCTGCAGCATGTCCATGTCTTCAAGCCTACCTCGTCAGAATCTGTCGTCGCAACTCTACAGTCACTGGAGGAATATCTGCTTGACACAATGCGCCATCTTTCTGCTCAAAGAAAGCTTCATTCTATCATGCTGGATAGCACCTCTACATTCTACTTCAAGGACAAACGACAAGCGCTCATAGACAGTCTTCCAACGGAGGTGCCTAAATTCCCCTGGGCCGAACCGCCGCCGCTCTATCAGATCGTCCACTCAGCCAAGTATATAGTCCAATGTCTGCGCCAGCTCCAAGACCGCTTTGCATGTACTGTTGTCTACACCGCCACCGGCAGGAGGAGGGCTGACCTACACACTCCCACGCAGAGCGGCTATGGGTATCCGGCCGAGCTACTGTACCCGCGTCCAAAGGTCATGTCCTTTATTCCCCATTTACCCCCACGCATGGAGGTCCTACTCAACAGTGCGCTTAGTAGTCCGACGCGATGCAGTGCGTAAATTCTCTGCACACTCGGCCAAGGAAGCTCTTCGTCACGGCCGCCAGCGCAGGCTTGTAGTTGCGCAAGGCAAATTCTCGGCATGGATTGACCCCTACGGCAAAGAGGACTGGCCGTCTTGGATCGGACCTTCGATACAGAATTTAAAAGGCAAAGGACGGTTCAGTTATTTAGTCCATAAACGCGGTATTGATGTAAGGGAGTGAGAAAATCGCACGAATTTATTTGCCATCTAATATGTATGTCTGCGCTATGTGCATATATGTCTAGGTGCAAGGATTTGTCTATGATTAAGATGCAGTGAAGAGCTGGGACATGGCTTCGATGGTCGTATTGCCTCCAGAGAAAATGACTCCGACATTCCAGCCGGCTTCACCACCTTCTTGCTCAACAATTCGTCGAAACTCCTCGTCGTAGAGGCAGACCGCGAGGGGGACAGCCGCACTGGGCTCAATGACCATCTTCATCCTCTCCACTACAAGCTTCATCGCGCTCTTGATTTGCTCCTCGGTCACGCTGAACACGCCGCGGGACTTGGTGGGATCGGAGAGGATGCCAAACGCGATCTCACCGATGGGAACCCTCAGCCCATCGGCGATGGTAAGTGACTTTACCTCTGGAATCCTTGCGCCCGCCTTAAGTCCACGGCGGGCATCGTCAGCTCCTTGAAACGATGGCTCGGCACCAAAGACGTGAATCTTCTTGCCATCTGCCTTTGGCTCGGCGAAGACGGTAGCGGCTCCGGAATTCAGGCCACCTCCACCTAGGGGGGTAATAACTGCATCCAGACCACATCCCTTCCCATCCTCAGTCTTGCGGACGCTCAGCTCGGGATTCTCAGACACGAGCTTGTTTACTTGGGCGTCTAGTTCAAGGCTAGCAGTTCCCTGGCCAATGACGGTATCTGAGTGGTCGTAGGGGTGAATCAGAATAGCTCCAGTTTCCTCCTGGACCTTCCGCATCACTTCTTCGCGCTCTTCACTCGTTGAGCCAGAGAAAATGACCTTCCCGCCGTAGCCCTTGGTGGCTTCGATCTTGGATGGGATAGATATCGTCGGCATGATAATGTATGCCGGGATTGAAAGAGTTGACGCAGCCAGAGCAACAGCCTGGGCATGGTTTCCTACACCCATCCATTAGCCGAGCGGTTCACGCCAAACCCAGTTGGTATCAGGACAGCAACGATAGAAACAGTCAGAGACAAGAAAACCGACCAGAGCTATGCGTGATTACACCACGCCTTCTCACTTCTTCCTCGCCCCTGGTCTGGAGCACTCGCAAGATGGAGTGGAAAGCCCCGCGCACCTTGAATGCACCGATTCGCTGGAAATTCTCGCACTTGAAGAAGAAGTTAATCTTCGGGCGAGCTGGCTGCTGGCCTTCGAATGGAGTTCCTTTCAGAGCATCAGCCGTCTGCGGAGAGGACGCGAGTGAGTTCAGCGTCTTGGACGTCAGGACTGGGGTCTCGTATATATGCGGCTTGACCATAGAATGTGCCGCCTGGATGTTCTCCCGCGTTACGGGAAGCCAGTGCTGCTTGTCCGTCATGTTTTATCGAGTCTTGCGTACTCCGTACCCTGTGCTCTAAGATAAGAGTCACCGCTGCAGTACCTTTTTGGAATTTCTATTCGTTTCTCATCCGTCCTCCAACCGTCCACAGTTCGGCTTTATATATCTCGATCTCGTATTCGCAGGGCGTGCGGCTCTTCTGCGACACGTGACACATGCACCACCAGCGCTACGGCCAGCGAGAGTGACCAGATACGTACGGAGTAACTAACTGACCCCTTTTCACCGTCATTGAATGATGCGAAGTCATTATTACAACCCGACAATAGGGCGCTACGTTCTTTCGTACACAAGGAGTCAAAGACCGTTCTCTACCGGCTCCCTTTCGTGGTGCGATAATGAAAGTGTGTTTGTTGCTAGTGGCCTCTTAGCTACGTCCCGTCAGTTCGCTTTTCTTTACTTTTTTCTCATGTATCTTCATGACTTTGTAGCACGGTAATGAGGAAAAATATCACCTTCTCTGCGTCATCAGTACGACCAGCCTCGATCACTATCGATAAACCTCCCTTTTCATTACTTACACGACCGCATCTATAAAAAGGCTCGAAAGAACGTACGCTTACCTTTTTTACCCTCAACCATCAGCTACGCAACAAATACTCTACTCTATATCACCACAGCCTTGAAATCGATCAACTGTTCGTCTGGACGCATCTTGAGCTAGTTTGACCTTGTATGTGCCATCCATCGGAACAACAGACTACAACTAACCCAGTATGTAACTTTAGGGACAGCACACCCGCACGCACTGGAGAAATTCCACATTTGTCTGCATCTATCACGAAATCAGCCATGGCTGGTATTTCAGATAGAGCTCTCTATCATAAGCTCACAAAACCTTCCACTATGGCGGAGAAGTTTAAAAAAATGCCATAGGGTTGGAAGCCTCCTCCCAGTCCTTACAAACTAGATGCCGATGATCTAAAGATTGGCACGCCTGAATATTTCTGGAAGTGCTATTTTTTCATCCATGGGAGTCTCATGGACATTGAAGTGCTTGCCGAAGCCCTCGGCGTACCATCTAACGATTTGAAACTAAAATTACGCCCTGCTCAGGTTCTGAGCTATGAGACTAAGTTCTGGCGCGGATGCCCTGTGCTTCAACATTCACAATTTGATGCTACTGTCGATGGTATGGCTTACTACGTGAAGACCCGGGAAGAGAGAGAGCGCCTCATAGAACATCAGCCAAAGGAATATATCCCGCATAACTGTCACATCAGATTCTCTGATCTTCCAAACGGAGAGACTGAACAGTTTGTTGGCGAAACTTCCGTGTGGAATGGGAATCCTAAAGAATTAACAGAAGAGCAATGAATGTCTCTGCTTCACTTTCTAGAATTGTCGAGAAAGAAATGTCATCCAGCATAATAAGTGAATGGCCCTCTGTTGCTTTAGGAGGAGATGAAGATCATCCCACTGCTCACTCTTCTATTCCCTTTTTTAAAGGTCTGCTTGATATTTCCAGTTATAGGAATATATCACTTCTAGCCTACATCTACTTTTCACCTATTTCCATTCACTGCCAAGTCGAGCAAATGGACGCCGACTATAAAGTCGGCATCGAGGTAGAGATCGTCCTGATACCAGAGGACAAGATGCTCAAGTCAATAGAGGACCTTGCAAAGAAGTTTGTAAACCGTTACCGCGAATTGGCAGAACAAATCCATTCTATGCATTATGACTTGGATGAGCTCCCGTACAATGGATCAAATCATCTAACAGAATGGAGGATGAAAGAATACTGCTCCCTTGATACTGAGAAACCTGAACAATGTATGTCTTTGTGCCTTTTCTATATACTTACCTGCTAATAAATCAACAGTTGCTGTCGAATGCTCATCCCCGATCATGCATCACCAACTGGAAAAAATCAGTAACATCGGTTTTCAACCATTTGAGATCCTTCGCAGATCTTGCAGTGAACAGCTCGTGTGGTTTCCATGTCCATGTGAGTAAAGAGAAAGGCTCCTGGAACCTGGAAGATCTTAAGCGCATATCGCGCGCTATTAATTATTTCGAGTCGTCTATTGAACTCGTCGTCCCTGAGAGCCGTCGAAGAAATATCTGGGGGAAAAGTAACTGGACAGATAACCCACGGTTTGATGGGTTATCTGAGGAAGACTCGTACGCTCTTATCGAGGCCTGTACAAACGATGTTTGAGCTTATACAGCTCATGAATTGCGGCAATGACCGCAATTATAGTTGGAACTTTACCATCCTGCTGGGGGAAGATAATTTGACAATCGAGTTCCGCTGCGGCCCTGGCCTAACCCACGAACAAGATGCATTTACATGGTGGGGTTTGTGGTTCGGTGCATTAATAGTTCACTGAACACGGAGAAACTCGAGAATTATAAAAAGGCCGTAGATGGCCTAAAAAGCTATTTATGCGCCTATTCCATTCCGAATAGCGGTCCGAGTTAGCTCGATCCCCTTTTCGATGGCAAGACGGGTGTCCTGGAGCCACGAAAGCTCGGCCCATTAACTTCAGGACAAGCTAGACGGCTCAGGGACAAAGCCGATGGAGCGAAAAACAAAAATACCACCAGACAGAGATGATCCTTGATCCCGATATGAGATGCTAGTACTGTGTAGAGGATACGGATATAGAATATGAATTGTTGCAGCATCTTTTGTATTCCCCCATATGGGCGGCAAAAATTAAAACAAACTACCAAGCTATTTTTGCAGTAACCAGAAGATAATGGTACAAAATGGGACAGCTTAAGAAGATGAAAAGGGAATAAAAAACGAAGGCCGTGGGTATCGGTCGGTTGGGCGGTAGAATGATCATATGCTTATCTTTATTTCTGGTTCTCCGGGCGCAGGGATCTATAGATAAGAAGACAGTGAGCATGAGGAAGCGCAATGACAAACTAAACACAGTAGATACTGAAATGGGTCTTACCTGACAGCCTTTCCAGCTCTCCAGATCTCCAGATCGCGGATTTCCTGCATCTCCTTCTCGTACTTCTCACGGTAGTCCTTCTGTGAGTTATAGTCCAAGGAGCGCTGAGTCTCCTTGCCGTCCTTCACGCTGTCATAGAGCTCGTTGAAGACAGGCTTGAGAGTATCCTTGAATTTGCTGCTCCAGTCGATGGCGCCACGGCGGGCGGTGGTGGAGCAGGCAGCGTACATCCAGTCCATTCCATTGGCGCCGATGAGAGGATACAGACTCTGGGTGGCCTCCTCGACGGTCTCGTTGAAGGCTTCGCTGGGGCTGTGGCCGCGCTCGCGGAGAACCTCGTACTGGGCGAGGAACATGCCATGGATGCCGCCCATCAAGCAACCACGCTCACCGTAGAGGTCGGAGTAAACCTCCTTTTCAAAGGTGGTCTTGTAGAGGTAGCCACTACCAACGGCGACGCCAAGAGCCACGGCTTTTTCCTCGGCCTTTCCAGTCACATCCTGGAAGACGGCAACGGAGGAGTTGATACCACGACCCTCACGGAAGAGAGAGCGAACGGTTCTGCCAGAGCCCTTGGGTGCCACCAGGATGACATCGATGTCCTTCGGCACTTCAACCTTGGTCAGGTCCTTGAAGACGGGGGAGAAGCCGTGCGAGAAGTAAAGGGTCTAGCATCCATGTCAGCGTATCTTCTTCACATCAGCGTTCAGCGTACATAAATACGACTGAGCCGCCGGGGAGCAACATTAGGTAGTTTACCTTTCCCTTAGTAAGCAGAGGCTTGATGGTAGGCCATGTCTCGCTCTGGGCAGCATCGCTGAGCAAGTTCATGACGATGGTTCCCTTCTTGATGGCCTCGGTGACATCGAACAAGTTCTTGCCGGGAACCCAGCCATCTTGAACGGCCTCCTTCCACGACGCACCGTCCTTTCGTACACCCACAATGACATTGAGACCGTTGTCACGCAGGTTAAGGCCCTGGCCGTGGCCCTGTGATCCGTATCCAATGAGGGCGAGTGTGTCATTCTTGAAGTACTCCTACACCGAACTGGTCAGCAAAAAACCGCCCAATTGACCAGTTTCCTTCCCCAGATGCACGTCTATGGACACTGCGGACTCACCAGGAGCTTCTCGCGTGGCCAATCCTCACGCTCTGCAAGCCTCGCTATTAGCACAATTCGACACCCCGACCGCAAAAAAGCCCACCCACCCAACCGGGCCCACCCAGCTCAACAAATTGACCGGAACAACTCACCGTAGACGGTCTCCTTGGTGCCGGCAAAATCGATGGTCTTGACGCCTCGAGTCTGCTGCATGGCCGGGGACGCAATGGCAGCTCTACCGGCAGCGACCAGGGTCGGTCGGGAGCTTGCAGCTACAACGAACGATCTCCGAGAGACGGCAGAGGCCGACTGGGATACATGGCGGGCAACAGCCCTGGCCAGAGGACGCGCAGCCATTGTCCGTGATAGCGTGGAAGAGGAGAAGAAGATGATGATGATGCTGAGGTTGGACTGTTGGAGTGCCGAAGTTGAAGTCTTGACTTGAAGCTGAAGTCGAGATCCAAGTTTGATTATTTAAATAGTAAAAATGAAGACGACGAAGGCGGAATGAGTCAAAAGAGGAAAAAGCCTCGGTCCGTCTTTGTTTCCTTTTGTGGCACTTTTTATGTTTTTTTTTCGGCCAGGGATGGCAGGAGCTTGGGCCATAACACCAAGCCTCTTTAGGCATAGCGCAAGCGATATCGGCTACAGGGATCAATAATTCTCCGATTGCACGTGATATAGATGACTAAATGCGTACGCGCTTGTCCCGAACCAACTTAGTAAGCGGACGCTTTCGGGCCGCCCAGATGTCGCCTTGATGCAACAAAATTCGCAATTGCAATTGACCTGCGAACAAGTCGGTATACTTTTCGTCAGTTCTCGCAAAGCGCCTTGAAGACCAATATAGCCTGCCGCAAATATCCAGCCGCCATATAGGTTATTGTACGGAGTATTCCCCCATCAGGCCTTGCCGTTATAACTGTTCCAGGGATTTCAAGGCCGCTTAACCTACGTATATTTGCCACTCGACGCCCGGGATCCTCCGAGACCTCGTCATGATATGCTCGCTAATTCCGCTGTGTCTCTACTTGTCATTCATGGGGATTTGCAGATGCCGGTATTCAACATTACCGGCTTCTTGGATGATTGGGAACACCTAGTTTCTTGCCCTCCGCCGTCCTCCGCTCTGGTCGACCATGGCCCCAACAATGAAATTAGGTGCCTGGTATACACGTTAGGTACCACCGCAAGGCCCAAATGAGTCGGGGTCAAGCAGCGAAGTATTATTTCTTTCGTCTCTGACAAAAATGCGCTATCCTTTTCGCCAGGAAACCATATAGCCCAAGTAAACAACCTCGCCTGGGGACGGTCATATTATTGATATCTGGGGTAGCCTCTTCTCTCGAGCTACGCTGATATGCTCTAGTCGACTCGAAATCTTGGATCCCCTCGTTCTGTCGGGAATGTTTCATCTTGCATAAATAGACTCTTGTCTCTTTCCAGTGTCCATATGCCCTCACTCTCTGTCCGGAGCTGTTCCAGACTCTACGGTGTTTACTTGTGGTTGGGAAGGCTTCTAACTATGAGTTTTTGAGCGAGATTACGACTAGTAACCCACATATATCAATTATCAACGCATATGGAAACCCATGCTTTTGCGGCCAAGTTGGTTGTTGTTCCACGAGAGCTTAAGCCTAATGGGCCAGTGGCCCAAGATACGCGGCCCAAGACTTGATTTATCAGAGATAGAAGCCGCTATCATTCGAGCAACTGGTGTGAGAAATGCTGCTGTTATTTCTTTTAAACCTGATGGCCACATTAACGTTGGCCTAGTGGCTTTTGTTGTACCACAGAAAGCGTCAAATCAAGTGCATGGCCTAGGTAATTGTGATCCTAATGCAATTGGTGAAGCCTGGGCTGAGCATTATGATGAGGTTTACTCGGACGATATATCAGTGCTCTCACTTTGCTGCTATATTAACCATAGCTCTAACAATTTCTTTCCTCGATTTTCAGCGTCAAACTCTGTGAAGAGTCCATTGGCAGGGATTGTATGATAGCATGCTCCCCTTTTTGGCTCTTGTTCGGGGAACTCGATGGCGATGTCTTAGGAAGGACAATCAAGAAAATTTTCCGCCGCCACGAGATTCTCCGGACTGTTTTTATTGACGTGGATGGGTCAACCAGGTCAGCAGTGGTCGGTTTAAAAGTGGCTCTCGAGCGAGTCACTCAACCCAAGGATGGTCCAGGAGGGTGCCAAGTCATTTATGTGGAAGTACGTGATGCGTCCTTTTGACCTGGGCAAGGAACCCGCGATCAAGCCTATTTTGTTTGAAAGGCAGCCTGGGCACAATAAGGCTCCTGGGTTTCAAGGAGTTCCTAGAATTCTCAGGTGTTCTACCACTGGTCAAAGTCCCTGTACCCGATTTATAGGTCTGGGAGAGTCGTGTGCCTTCCTTCAATGAATGCTGTGTATATTCCTTGCAGTTCTCTTCTGAAGACGTCATATGAATGCCAATGATATGGTGCATTAATAAACAAAAATATTGGGTTTCGCGCCTCCAAAGGAGCAAACCAGCACGATTGCCCTTATATTACGAGAGAACGTCAACCTCTCAGAACGAGGCAGGAATGTTTAAACTCGTAATTAAGAAAGAACTAAAGGACAAACTATGGGCCCTCTGCCAGCAGGAACTCGTCACCTAGTTTACGCTGCTTCTCTTGGTGTTCTGTGCTGTGTGTTTTCAACGGACGGGAAGGTCAGACGCGTCACTATGGGATTGCGAATCATAATAAAGAAGAACTGCAGCGGATGCTAGGTTTTTTTGCCAACCTCCAGGGGCAAGTCAAAGCAATAGCACACAAGGTCAGCCAGGTGATTTGTAGCAACACTGAAATTGAGCGAAAGACATTAGATTGCTCTAAGTGACAGAAGGCCCTTTTCCAAATGATTGTCTTCCTACAAGAGCATCAAATTGGGGAGGTATCTGAGCCTATATAGAGCAAAGTATTGTTTTACTTGTTTTTTCTTTCTTCCTTTGTAATATCTAATGCAGTAAATGTTACCTTTCGTCACCGCCGCATCTGCTAATTGGGTGCGCAGGTTAAAACATGCTACTTGATGGCGGATCAATACAGAGGATAAAGATACCGCTAAGCTACCTATGCTGGACAGAGCTAGCTAAGGCATTTATAATTTGGACAGGTATGATTTATGTGGCCTTCACAATTAACTATATGGCCTATTATGGACGCGCCGAGGTGGGGATGATTAGTACATCAGCTAGACAGAGCAGCGAGTAACTAGCGTGATCACGCCACTTGCAGTTACTGCACGTTCCAGCAATTAAATATAAATATTGTATATCGAAAATGTGCGCAGACCTCGAAGGGTCATCACTGGCGCAAAAAAGACTGAAAAGTAGTGCGGGGGTGCAGCAACCTTTTTGACTCAAACAGAGAATTCGCAAGAAATTCCACCAACCTTGCTGGAGAAGCCAGGCCGGACTACAGCAGTCTGTCAGGGAAATGGGAAATTCACTCAATGGACGGAGTCACCTCACTACCCAGCGGACTGCTTGCCGCGTAACCGCATCGCCGCCCCGCAAACCACAAGCTGACCTACTCCGTACATTAAATACAGCAGTATAGTTATGTAAGTATAACTAGTCCCTCCTGCCAGACAGCTGCTCCCACTACTCTGTACGCCGCTGTCAAACAGTAGACACCGAGGACGCGGTTGCGCGGGCGGGTTTGCCGCAGACCCTGTGACCCCATGACCGCGGGAGGCTCCCAGGCTCCCGGCCGCACTAACTAGTGAAACTCTAACCAACTTTAAAGTGGCTGCAGCGTTCGACCAGCCGCTGGCGTTGGTGGAACACAACTCGATCCCTGGCTGCATAGTTATCCCAGTCAGCCGAAGGGCCTGCATTCGCCCAACCAATCAACAGAGGTCGAGAGACTGGGCGCACAGCGTGCAGAGTGTAAAGCTTGCGGACGGGCTAGCCAGCGGGCGGAGACGCTTGAGGTCGCGCTGTGATGTGTCTCGTACGTTCGACCATGCATGGAGTAAATAACTCGTGAAGTCGTTCTAAGAGGGCCGTCTTCCACCCCTGGCATGGATAGATGGATCGTTAGTTAACTAGTTAGTTAACAGGTGGATGGTGCGTTGCCCCCACGTCTTCCATGCTGATTTTCCACCCCTGCCGTATCCTCGTTCTTCGTCAAGTGAACACAGAACCAAAAAGAGATTAATACACCTGAGAAACAGGAAACAGTGCGAAACCTGCGACCGAACGCCTGGCCGAAAGAAAGGAATATAAAGAGGACAAACGACGGGCCCCGACGATGCTGGCCTCGAAAATTCTCTCTTCAGCCCCCCACATCGCCACTCAACGGGCTCTGCTTGTACTTGACCTGCAAAACGACTTTGTCAGACAACATGGAAATCTATTTATCCCCAATACCGCAGACTTTCTATCGTTCATTCCGGACCTGGCTCGTCTTTTCCGCGACTCTGGAGAGGTGATTTGGGTACAGTCCGTATTTGAAAGGCGTCGTCCGGTAGTCAACGAAGCTCTGGGCGGAGGTACTGTTGTTTTGGAGGATGGACCACCTGCTACCACCAACGCGCCCGCTCCAAAAAGGTCGACTAAGAAACAGCAAGCAGAGCAAGCTCAACAACAGTCTTTGTTCTCAGACGACCTTGAGGCCTTCCTCTCGGCCTCGGACAAGGCCTGCGCAGGCCGGCGATGCTGTCTACCCAACTCCTCCGGATTCCACTTCCCTGCCCCGATTCTCGCCGCCATAGATCCCAACGAGGACACAGTCCTTGTCAAGTCAGAGTACTCGGCTTTTGAGACTCCGGGCCTGCTTCTCTCCCTTCGTTCTAGGTTCGTCACCGAGATTTTTGTTTGTGGCTCTCTGTCCAATGCATCCGTGTATGCTACCGTGGTCGATGCCGTCCGCCACGGTCTTGCCGTCACCCTGATTGAAGATTGCCTGGGATACCGGAGTTCGTTACGGCACCGCGAGGCAATGAGGCGTATGGCTGATATAATGGGTGCCAATGGAATAACGAGTTCTGAACTGATGGATGGCCAGGACTTTACTGTTGCTTCACCTGTTCGCGAGCAAGCAGACTCGTCACTTGTTACGGGCATCGAGGAGAAAATAGGTACGCTTGGACTCTCCTCACCCAACCACCAAAGTGCCGACAGCCAAAGTGCCACACGCCGCTTCGAGGAGGGGGGTGCTGACGAGCCGCAAGATATCCTTCAAACAAGCCAGCGGCCAGTCGATCGTCCCGAGGAGAAGGAATTTAGAACGTCACAAGATGGTCAGCAGCAGCCTGTGGAATCGCCATCATTATCTCGAAACCAAAAGGCACCTCTGCCTCTCGTCTGTTCCCCTGGAGACTGTATTGCAAGCGGAGACTCCCGGATTCTCTACGATCTCGCTATCCCTGCCGATTCATTCCAGCGACTCCGTGGCGAGGTCGACTGGCAGAAGATGTACCACATGTCGGGACAAGTCCCCAGGATGGTCTCTGTTCAAGGTAATGTGGCTCCTGATGGATCAATACCAATATACAGACACCCGGCAGATGAGTCCCCGCCGTTATCTCCATTTAGCAAGACTGTTGATGAAATACGGATGGTGGTTGAGAAGCAGCTGGGCCACCCGTTAAACCACGCCCTTATACAGTTATATCGGGATGGTGAAGATCGCATCTCTGAACATTCTGACAAGACCCTTGATATAGTCAGGGGATCGAACATCTGTAATGTTAGCCTGGGAGCGTTAAGGACAATGACACTACGCACGAAGGTTGATGCAAAGAAATCTACAAATTCGCCATCTGAGAATGCAAGGCAAACACAACGCGTCCCTATGCCACATAACTCTCTTTTCATTCTTGGGGAGAAGTCTAACATGGAATGGCTTCATGGTATCCGGCCGGACAAGAGAATGGAGAAGGAGAAATCCAAAGAGGAAAAGGGGTTTAACGGGGAACGGATTTCTCTAACCTTTAGGCACATTGGAACTTACATCAATCCCAAGTCAGACACAATCTGGGGCCAGGGCGCTGTGTCAAAGGAGAAAGAGAGAGCCGGAAAAGTTGTACATGGAGTGTCCTCTGAGACCGAGCGGATGATTCGTGCATTCGGCCAGGAGAACCATCAATCGAACTTTGACTGGGATATAAATTATGGGCGCGGGTTCGATGTCGTTAACTTCGTTACCACTTCCTCCGTGACATTTGTGCCTGGGGCTTGTGACAAGGTAACAGACCTACAGGTACGCCTTGCGCTGACCGAAAACGGAATTCGGTATAAAATATCTACCGCTCAAGACTGTCCATCGAATGTTGAAGCTGGCACCAAGACCTTGTTGGCGAGAAGGGAACAGCCCTCTCTACTTGTTGACGCAGATGGGCCATCTGTTCTGACTGGACGTGTAGCAATTCTTCAGTACATTGCCAAAACCGCCCATCGCCGCCTCACCGACATGGTGCCCGACCCTGATATGAAAGCAGATGGTTTGACCTTGGAGGACAGGCTCGATGCTGCTGATGAACTGCATCATGCATGGATTGCATCTTCCGGTAGCAATTTTGAGCAGGCTACAGCGAAACTATCAACCTTCAATTCACTAATTTGCGGCAAGTTATATATCAACGGAAAGCTATTTGGAGTTGATGACTGTGCTTTTTGGTCTGTGCTTAAACAAATCATGGAAACAAAAGACAGTGATAAGGTTGTCGAGGAAAAATTCCCCCTTCTCATGGGGTACTATTCGAGAGTCCGGAAAAGAGCCTGTGTGAAGCAGGTCATGGATGAAATGCTGGTAGCTTCTGGGTAGACCTCCGCTCGCTGTGTCGCTTAAATGTTTGGTGCGAGAGGCCTTTGTTATAGCGTTCAGCTTGGAAATAACAATACGTTCTATATAATCCCGATTTGTTATGTACAGATAAATCTTTCATTTCAAATGCTAGCAGGAGGTGTTTCATACTTTCATAGCTTCTCGAATGTAGGAGTCCTTTTCTCCAAACCCGATAGAAGGGCATTTGATATATCGTCTGTCTGAAGAGCTGCGCTGTTCCACACACCAGTATATCTCAAACCTTTCGGTATAGTTAGCCACAACATCCCAATGGTTTCTGCATGGAGAAGAATCACATACCATCCTGAACGGAATGGTCAATTGACCAGTTAAGCAGCTCCTTGGTACCCTGGACAGCGACCGGGCTCTTGGAGGCAATCAGTTTTGCAGTACCCAATGCCTTTTCGATCATAACCTCTTTGTTATCGAACACAGCGCTGACATATCCCACCTCCTTCGCCTCTTGGGCTCCAAAAACCCTGGCCGTCAAACAAACCTCCTTAACCCAGCTATAGCTTCCTACGGCCTTGGGGAGGCGGGACAAGGTACCAATATCCGCTGCAAGACCAATATCAACCTCCTTGACGGAAAACTTCGTATCAGCAGCGCAGTATCGAATATCCGTCGCAGCTGAGAGGTCAATCCCGAGCCCAAAATTTATCCCGTGCATCGCCGCAATGACCGGCTTCTCGCACTTTTCTACCGCGGTAATACAGTCCTGGAAAGAGGCGATGTGACGGCGGAAAAGGGCAGCGTTTCGTGCAGCATCGCCATCTGGCTTGGGACCCAGAAGACCCTTCGATGCAGCCTTGACGTCTAGCCCTGCGGTGAATGCGCGGGAGCCAGCACCCGAAAGGACGACGGCCCGTACGTTGGGGTCGTGGGATAGCTGGCCGAATATATCGCGGAGTTCTAGCCACATCCTGTACCCGACACTGTTAGTAGGTTACTCTATAGTCGCCAGTGAGAATACACAACCATACGCTTCAAAAAAGGAGTTGAGCTTGTCTGCTCGGTTGATTTCGACATGGGCGACATATTCGGCTGGAAAGGTAACGAGGAAGTGTTTAGGGGAGTAGTTGGAGGCCATGGTGATGATAAATTCGTTGCTGTTCACTGAAATTACAGTAAAGAGAGGCCGGTAGATAGATGTACGCTTGATGTAATAGCTTTATAGCTACATGTCTTTTCTTCAAGCCGGCCATGTGAAGCAGCGCGGCAAACGGAAGCGTAACCGTTGGAGAGAAAGCGGCGCTGGACCTCGGCTCAAAATCGTTGTTTATCAACACAGCTATGTTAGCCATATGCCAAGTTAACCGATTGATGTTCCATTTTTCAAGTAGCAGCATAGAACAGAGTGGATGTCAGAATAATCAGAAGTTGTTATTTCGAGTTTCCCTCGTTGTGTCTATTGTTTACTTATAACTACTGGACAGCATTTTCCCAACCGGCTCTGCTAGGGTTTTTATGGCTATTGGTCGCGACATGTCTCCAGCATCACAGATAACAGTCCAAAAGTGTATTAGCCAGGCAGATATTGCTATCTCCACGAGATATAACTATGCAGATGCTTCTAGTGGGCCATTCAAACGGTTACGTTGGACAGCCATGGGTGTCGATCACTGGTGCGAACCAGAACCCTGTTTGATAGGAACCAGCCCAGGTGCGCTGGAGTGACTTGAGAGTATCGGACACGGGGTCGTATAAGGACGGCGGCTACTCTGACTCGGATTCTTCTGGTTGCATGAGCTTCCCATCGAGTTCCTGCATTCATGGTTAGTTTTATATCTTCGCGCGGCTACCGGTGGCGATGAATCCGTGCCTTTGCCAGTCGAATTTTAAGGCTCGCAAGTTGGCTCTCTTTGACAACCAGGTATCGGTCGTCACCCTCTAGGTCTTCAACAATATACTCGTTATTCTGAAGCCTATCATACTTGAGTATGATGGCTTTCACAGACGGGTCGCACTCGATTAAAACGCCTATTAAAGAGGTTAGCTGAATAGTCAAATGCAACATCCACCCAGCCCATCTCCTATCGGCGTACCTTTCACAGCTCGGGGCATCTTGTCTCTCCTATGCTTTTCCTTCGCTAGACAGAGTCGCATGCGTCAAATATTGGTGGTAACTAAGCGCCACTTCAGACTAACTATTTATAGCTAGTTTATTAAACACGAAACATGAGAGCCTGCACATTCGCTAGTTAAGCGCCTGCAGCCTACGACCGTAGTTTGCCGACCAACTCGTTAATTAGCTAGCCGCGGTAAATTTTAAACGTCATCAACTTGTTTGTTCTTTTCCTCCTTTTCTTCTACAGGACAAAGGAAGAGGAACACACAACCCACGCCATGGCTCTCTTTGTTATCTTACGTCAGAGCAACACAAGTGAGATGAGAACTTTGAACATAAAAAGCCGCTTCTGCCCACAAATAACTACATGTCATGGGCACCTATTACTTTTTCTCCTCCCAGGCTGGCATTTTTATCCAGCTTAAGCTGAGGGCATTCTCACAGACTTTTGTCTCTTCAGGTAACTCTTACGGCTGTTGGGCTACCTCCTTGCACTTTTAAATCTGAATTTAGAGCCCGTTATCACACCCAGAATGGTCGGAATACCACGGAGGCCCGAAGGCTCAGAAGATTCTGGGTATGGCAGCAGTAAGTATTCGAGAGCTCTTCTGATACAACATGTTTTAACTAACAGATATCAAGTACCACCTAGTGACTCTCCTATCACAATAGAGCATTGGGTAGCGAGCAGAGACAATTTCCGAGTCGCCGCTGATAACCAACTGCCTATGCCTTGGCGCTCAAAAATAGTCTCTGCTGACATTGAGTGGGAGGAGATATACAAAAGAAACATCCAGCCACAGATTCCTGGTATACTAGCCAAGTATGGCCTTTCCTGTGGTGCAGACAGGCTGGACCGTCGTCAGCCTTGGGACGAGTCCTATGAAACTAAAGACGTCATCACAATATCTACGCACGACACAAGGCCGAGAAAAGACTGGCAGGATGCGGCCAACGCGGTGCTTGCGGTGGTTAAAGATAACGTCCCTAACCACCTCTCATACCCCATTCAAGTTGAGATACTTAACTACGATAAGATATATGATGATACATCGAGTGCCTTGCCGAATGACCCATCCATTGTTGGCCCTCTCGAGCAAGTCAAAAGCCGAATCGTGGAAGAGGTCTCAAAATCTATGGACAATGTATGGTCATCCATTGCGTTTCATATGCGTCACCGTCGCAGTGACTTTGATGCACCTCGGAAACCTACCATCCTCGTGGTGTGCCGTCCACACTCCGTGTGTGACTTTGTGGAGGCCGAAGATCGTCTCCTTGATATTTTAAATGAGCTGGACATTTCGGTGTACTTGGAATTTGTTCCGGGGAAACTTGTCCTTGCGAACCCAGGGCCTAAACCAACCCCCATGTACGTCCTACCTCAGGATCTCCCGGCAAAGCCTGAGAATGGAAGCTCCATAGGCGTCATGGGAAACGACACCAATGCCGGAACATTAGGGGGCTGGCTTTTACTCAATCTCCCACGAGAGAAGCGGCAAATCAAATGCGCCATGACATGCTACCATGTAGTACGTGGTAATGACAACAGCATGACTGGCTACACCGATTCACATGGTATTCATTGGAGTGACCCACGCGGGCGGCTGACCATCCAGTATCCGGCAGCCTTAGATGCAAAAGGTGCCCGAGCTGACCTGGAGGCACTGTGTCAGGATTCCCCTGGCAGTCAGCAATTGAAGCTGCAGCGAAGCATGCTATCAGCCCTCATGTCAGGACCAGGAATTGGGAAAGTCCTCCTCGCATCGGGACATCAAGTTCGAAACAATCGTCGGGTCGACTGGGCACTGATCGAGAGTCCTGAGACATATTCTAACAATAGGCCCCCCCAAATTAGCCAAGGCCGTTTCCGCATGCCACCTAATCCACACGTTTATAACCCCCGTCCTGATGCAAAAATTCGACAATTTGATTATTGGAAGAAAGACGAGTGGGTTGTCAAACTTGGGAGATCGACTTTGACGTCCGGGGTTGTTAATGGCATGAAACGGGTTGAGTGGGGCCCTGGTTACGTTACCGAAGAGACCGAGCTTATGTCTGACTACACCGATATGGCGATTGACGGCGACAGTGGATCATTTGTTGTCAACAAGCAGGGACATTTACTTGGTATGCTATTCGCAGTATGCAAGGAACCTACATCCTATCACACCGCGTATATGACTCCGTTCAATGAAATACAAGCCCACGTCAAGGAGATGACTAATGGAGGGTTCTTGAGCTTCGACTGAAGAGGAGTCGGCGAGTTGTCACATTGCCCGCTGGAGTTTTACTATGTTTATACTCTATAGACTTCATTTAGATGGATGGTGACTATTAGCGAGGAGCTGTTCCTAGCCCTCCGGTTCAGTAGCAAACTAGTTATAGATTATTCTTCTTCCGCTCCCACGGCCTTTTTGAATCCGCTTGTTTCCCATAAGACAGTTAACTAGTTACGTTTAGCCGCGCAGAAGCATCACTAAAATATTTCAAAGGCAGTGACATCGACACCATGATCGCTATGATGATGACTCCCCGCCAGTAACGTCCACTTCAGAGCATCCTGTCTGCCTTTTCAGCGTTAAAAATCAAATGCCTTTTGCCAACCCAACTCCGGATTGTCTGAATCGCCACAAGCATGATCTCCCCCTCACAAACAGCTTCACCAAAACACAACCATTGCGCTCTTTAACCGTGAAACAGCCCAAAACTTCCTCGAATATGTTGCTACCTGGACTCGTGGGCGATATTGCTCTACGGCATCGCATCCGCTGTGCATTGAGCCGGTGGCCCAGTTGATGCAAAGATCGTTCGATGCTATGCGTGCCAGTGCAGGGAATGACTGGCCACACGCGGGTATAGCGACGGAGGCATACGATATCTTTCTTGTCCATAGCTATCACTCGCCCAAGGCCCGACGATATCGTGGGAGAGCCAACAAGTCTTTGCTATGATTTCGGCGGACTTGGAGTCGTAATGCTTCTATGTTGAGTTTCCTAACTATCTTAGGTAGTAGGGGCTTTTATGAAATGAGGGGGTTTAACCAAATTTATACCATGGTTCCCCTTATCGCCCAAAACTTGTACATGGGGAAAGTATTCTTCCCAAGACGGTTTCTGCTCTTGAATAAACCCTTCAAGTTCAGGCTTATATGGAATGATTAATATCTTTTGTGACTTACATCACTCCGCAAGCAACCCTGTTACAAAGAATCAGGGATTGTCAGAAACATATCAATGTTATCGTTGTTGACACCTTCACGTCAGATATTGTTCGTCTTGATGAAGCCTTGGAGTTGGATGGAGTGTTGCTTCGTTATTGTGATGCCTGCACGAAGTGAACGCCATATAAGAAACTGCCTGTCTACCTGCTACAAAGCTGTAGCAAGCTCGTTGTGACTGAATTTCAGGTCTTTGTCGCAGGAATAGACGGATGACCACCGGGCGACCTTTTATCCTAGCTGAGGTTTCAATCACCCTCGGGTCTATCACTTTAGTGTCGACGTTTTATATTCAACTAGACTCCTCACTTGTCTGTGTATCTCATTATACCCATTTCCTTACAGCCGGGATGGCCGCATACGTACCGTGTTTATCATAATCAGAGTTTCTCAGCAGCTGTTTCTATCAAACGCCGGACACGCCATTTACGGTTATCCGACAGTATTTTGAGAATTCGGGATAATTAACCCCGCAGCATCCTGCCAGATCTGCGCGTGGCGTTCTTAATATGCATGGCTAAGTGGTCCTCAGCGTCTGACAGGTGGGCTGAGAGAATGTTTGCTACGGCTGAAGGATCTTCAGCTATTCCTTAGGGAACTACATATATAGGAGCGCTGTCTGCCCTGCACGGAAGATGAAGGATGGAATCTTGCACCTCTTGAATATACCCTTGAGAAAACCTCCTCTCCTGCCCAGCACTCATGCCTTCTTCCGGATCTGCCGCTTTGGATGTTTTTTTTATATCACTGAAAGACGAACTGGCGCCCAAGTTGTCCAGCTCAGCTTTGATCACAGTTCCAACTGATCCGGAAGAGAAGGGATATACTCGATGGAGTGAGTACAATGCTCCCACCCCCGGGGCGATTGTCACTCCGGCCACCGAGCAAGACGTTGCCGCCATTGTATGTTTGCTAACCCCTTATTATTTCTTGTGCTATAACAACCAAGAAGATAATATCTACTGACTAGTGAAAGGTTCAACACTGTATATCCCATGGAATACCTTTCCTAGCCCAGTCTGGTGGGCACGGATGGTCCAGCACCCTTAACCTGGATCACAGTGGGATCATTATCAGCCTCAGGAAGCTGAACACCGTCACTTTTAGCTACGATGGCACAGAGGCGACCATTGAAGGCGGGGCTTTAATCTCTGAGGTCATGGAAGCTGCCTCACAAAAGAGCTCGCTTGTCATTACAGGTAATTGTAACTGCGTCGGCGCTCTAGGTGCTGCTCTGGGTGGCGGTTACGGCTACTTGACTGGCCTCCAGGGCCTTGCTATCGACAACATAATCTCCCTAACTGTTGTCACCGGTACCGGTACCCTCAAGACCGTTACTGCTGATAGTGATCCCGACCTCTTCTGGGCCCTACGCGGCGCTGCCCCCAACTTTGGCATCGTCACCTCCATCGTGATGAAGGCATATCCAGTGGAGGCCTCAGGCCAGTATGCTTGGATAGGAGCCCTCGTTTATCCCGCCGAAAAGGTCGAGGCAGTTATCAGGGCAATCAGCAAACTCACCCTAACTCCAAAGATGAACGTATTCTTCTACTTCCTTACATCTGGCGCCCCAAACTTTATCCCACAGATAGCTGTTACTCCATGGTACTATGGCACAGAAACTGAAGGGCGCGCTGCCTTTGCCTCCGTCATTGATATCGGTCCCATAGCCGATACCACCAAGGTGATGCATTATCCTAGGTGGAATGACGGCGCTGCACATTTCTGCGTCCGTGGCGGCTACAGGCCTGGGTTCGGTGTAGCGCTTTCTTCCATCGTACCCGAAACATGGATGAAGGTATGGGACGAGTATGTCTCGTGGACGTCTTTGAGCGACACCGGCAGCAGCGTTGTTTTGATGGAGGCATATTGCCTTAACAAGATCCGATCTGTCCCTAACCATTCCTCATCTTTTCCATGGCGAAGTACAGTAGCTGTCAACGCTATCGCTCTTCCTTTCTATACTGATAAGAAGTTGGAAGCGGAGGCCGTGTTGCTGGGCCAGCGTATTCGAAGTCTCCTCCAGTCTACCGATGGTCTAGGATCCCGCGCCATGTACGTTCCTATTTACTCTTGACTCCCAGTAATAGAGATTTATTTTATATTCAATCTAGGTACGTCAATTTTGCCCACGGAGACGAGGATCCCGCAGAGGTATATGGTTTAAATCTCCCTCGCCTACAAGAAATCAAGGCTAAAGAAGATCCAAACAACTTCTTCTGCCACTGGTTTGGGTTGGCCCGGCGTCTTGAGAGTCCTTCAGCAGCAGGGATCGGAGGAGGTGCGCTTGACTCGACTAGTCACTAAGCTGTATAGTTAAGTTCCCTACCATAGAATTAATATTATTTACTCTTTATCTTCATCTACTCCCATTAACTTACTGATCACCGTTCGCTTTCTACGTACCAAGCTAGACGCAAAAATAAACAACCAAATTACCAACCAAATTACTTCTGACATCAAAAAGCTCGTTGGGAAAGAACGCCGTCGAGTTGCTAATAGTTACATAGGTAAAACTTAGGAGGGATTGGCTAACTAGAGGCCCGAGTCGCTTTCATTGTAATGGAAGCTTATGACGACGACAACTACTCCGTATTGACCTGGGCTTGTCTTTGGCCTGTCTCTGGCCTGTCTTTTAGTTCCCTTCGCGTCGCGTCTCTTTCTCAACTTTCTTACTACATATTTTATCCTCGTTTTTGCCAGACATAGTTATCAGTTCAGGCTGGCTGCAAGGATGTCAACTCGAGGTAGTTAATAGAAGACGCACTTTTCGACGCTTCGTTGGGAGCGCCACTGTTTCAGCAGCAACCTGGTCTGCATTTCCCTACCCACGCATCCCTCTCGAGGCTCAGGATCGAGCCGCCGACACCCTTACTGGACCGTTCGCCTCCGAGCCAGTTTGTGGTTCGGAAAGATGGGACAGATTCCGATCCAAGTGGGCCCACGACTTTTGATTATTATAAAGGGGGTTTCGTTCTACCGGAGGAAATAGTTACGGGAAGCGAAGATTGTGTTTACCACACAGGAATTCGCCGTTAGTAGAAATAGTTATTCAATCTGATTCCACCCCAGATCGCCCTCCTCGTGGGCACGGACGGAATGGATTTAGTTCCCCGTGTTAGTTCAGAAGTAGTTTTTGCTGCATTGGAGGATTAAAAAAGATTAACTACCTAACTAGGAAGGTAATGCGAGGTGTCGGCTTGCTGGGTCTGTGATTATTTACCAAGGGGGTATTGGCTTTAGAGGGAACTGAAGAAGGGCTTTTCTACCTAAATATATCGCTACCCTATTCCTTTTTTTTTATACTTACTACTCATTGAGATGATTTTTCTGCGGCAAGTATTCAAATAAATTTGGCCTGGTTTTCCACAGTATATTAAGATATTGGCTGTAGAGCCAAATGGATGATAACTTTCGATAGTACTAAGAATATATCACCTATACTAACTACCTACAAATATAGATATACATGTAATATACATAACGCTAAGCAGTTTAGATATATGCGTTTCCTGCTCACCAGCAGACGTAGTATCAGCTACTAGCAAAGGCAGCCTAGAGGTTTAGAAGCTGACTTAGCCATCCCTCGTGTTAATCTGGACTCATGTTAAAAGCCGGTTAACCAACTAACCCTTTGTTGCCCTGGTGAACCTTGACTTACATTGGTTAACTGCCGCATTGACTTTATCAGTAGGCTGCTGCTTTCCGTTGGCTGTAATATGAAAAATTGATGATACCTTGTGAATAGCACCAGGGTCGCTCTCTACTATCTTTGCAAAGCTCTCATTTTGTCAAACATCCCTAGAAATCTTCTCTTGATCGGTCTGAGAGCATGCTCACTTTGGCCAAGCTTTTCAGAATAGAGATCTTCCAGCTGCCCAAGCATCCGAGTACAACCAACTCGATAAATGTCCACCGAATTGTATAGGCGATTTTCAGTTTGCCATAGCTCATGGGAAAGGTACTATATATGTGAGTGGTTAGCATTGGTTGAATTGTCAGTATAGGGTGGGACTAAAGCTTGGGCTATCTTTGTACTTACTTTACTTGTATTCAGCAGTAGATCCACGTTTCCTTCATTGTTATCCGAGATTTGTTTCATCCCTCTAAGATCTCGAGGCTCCACTGGTTGTGTGAGCTTTTGCCGCCAGAGCTGTGGTAAGCATTCGTCATCAGTCTCTACCTCTACGTTTACTCCATGCTCCTCTTGGTATATGGTGTTGAACTGTGTTGATCCCCTAGCGTCTATTGAAGGGCGTTCCCTGTCCACGTGTTGGGGTATTCGCTTGGCTTGATAAAAGTTCAATCGCCGTATCAATTCAACTGTATTATCCTGAGTTGATGTAGCTGGCTTCGCTTGGTGCCCAAGTTTCTCACTAGGTACTTCATTATCATAGAATATGTCATTTTTTTTCATTGGAACACGCCGGTCGCTATGCCTCTCCCTTGGTTCAAACATATTCGAGGGTTGAAATGAATCCCCGTCGGCTATACCTTGCTTGCTACTCTTCTCCATATGCCTATACGCTGGTGAATTGATAGCAGACTTTCCTTGAAGCTGGGTACGTCCGGAGCTCAAAGGTGGCATACGTACATGAGCTGGCTCAATGTGGTGTTCTGGTCTAGACATTTCAAGGGTATAATGGTCGCAATTATGTTTGTTCATTTGCAGCCGTGGTATTGGGCTTCCCTTCTCGTCAACCGTCCGAAATTGCCATCCAATCTGTTTTTTGCGCACTGATGTATATTTCGGTCGCTCGTTCATAGCGCAGGAGGCCGGCTGTTTGATTTCACCCTCACCACTCACCGGGGCACTAGGAGCATGATTATCCCTTAAGCCTAGTGGTGGAGAGGTATCCGCGCTCTCGCTGGCAGCAAGAAATACAGCTTTTTCGTCGACACCCGCTGGTCCAGGGGGTGTAATAGCATTATCTGATGACTCGATACTAGGCGTATGACTATAACTATCTAAATCAAACTTAACGGATCTAGGAGGCTTTTGCTGTTCGCACGCCTTTGGTACTGTTGGATTCATTTTTGTCAGCATCGCCTCTGTAGGTTGATTCCCAACCGGCATGAAAAGTTTACCAGCATTAGTGTCATTTGATTTTGAGTTAGATATTTTTAGATCGTTTGATCGCTTCTGGTCTGGGTTGCGGCTCGTTGACGTAAGAATCGGCTGATGAGCTGTCGGCTGATTGCGAGACATGAATTGAGACACATTCGTAGAAACTAGACAACCATTGCCAATAGAAAACTTTCTTTGATCTTGTGGTTCTGGTTCTGGGCCCTTGCATTCTTTTCTATCGGAGCGTTTGATTTTCTGTCCTTCCATAGCAGGTGGAAGTCCCCCGCTTGCTAATGTAGTAGCAAGTTCCTTTGCTATAGATTGAGGTTCGGTTCCCTCAGAAGCCCCTTGTGGAATGTCACCCGCTATTCGCTCCGACAATTTCATCATTGATTTTGGGTTGGCTGTACTTCGCCTGGTTTGGTCGATACCCATATTCTGAGGGTTGTCGCTGCATAAGTCTATGACAGGTTCCCTTCGGCTATCAGGCTTAGTCGGCTCTGATTTCTGAGACTGTGTAACTTGCTGCACTGCGGCCTCGGGAGCCATGCATAGGCTTATTTGTTTTGGCACAGTATGTTTGCTGTATGGTGGAGGTACTCCTCCCGAAGGATCAATTGAGCCGTTATTGAATGGGATTGTTGGAGCTCTAGCGCAAACATCAGGCGGAGATAGTTGCGGTTTTCGCATTGATTGGTCGTTAGCCTGGAAATGTTCTGCGAGGTCTTCCAAGCTTATCGACGCTGAGTAGCTTGACTCAATCGGGTCGTCAAGTTCGTATATAACATTTTCCTGCTCCGTTGCGAGGGCAATCTTTTTGTTGGCCGTGTCTGCAGCATTTCGAGGTTGGCGAGCGGAAGCCATTGTCTTAGCAACTTGATGGCTGCTCTTGTCTTGTGTTGCCAAAGCATTACCAGCATGAGGCGTCGATTTTTGTGTCCTGACATTTCGTTTGGTCCCACGATTCGGTTTGTTCATACTTTTGGAAATACCGGCCTCATCAATATCTTGTAGTATGCTCTTAGCATTCTTCGCGGACGCAGCGGTCTCTGCTTGTGGCTGGGGGGTTTCCGGTTTCACACGGAGACCTTCTTCCCAGTCGAGGTCCGCTTTCTTCGTAGAAGAACCACATAGCTTATGCGCAGGTCGCTTTAAACGAGAGTTATTCGTTGAATTGGACTCGCCCTTGGGTTTTCTAGTCTCCTGAGGTGGTTTGAAAGGTGTCATGGTATCTAGTAGGTCAATCTCGGGCTGTGAATCAGGTATGATTGTTACGGTCTTCTCAGCACCTGATGCTGGCTTCCAGCATGTTGTTTCTTCGACACACGATGTACTCAGCGCCTGCTTCTCTGCTGTTTGCAAGTTGGAGTCCAAGAGTTGACGTTGAGGTAAGAGTGTTGGATTTGCCAAATTAGGCAAGTCCCTCAACAACCCCGCCGCACGGTCCACCTCTCCAACTTTCGCTACGGTTGAATTTGCCGAAGACGATGAGTTTGGCGAAGTTTGCAAGACTTCGACCCGATCTCCCCTAGCCTGCACTATTACTTGCTGGGGGCGCCGTTCTAAAGAGTGCAGACAAGTGTTCAGCTTTCGTGCCTGATTTGTGGGATGTAAATCTCTAGTCGCGGGTGTATTTCCGATCAGTTTAGAATCATGTTGTTTGTGTGGTTGCTGGTGATGTATTTGAGAGTTTTGAGTACCCCTGGGCTGTAGACATAGCTGTGACGCGGATAGAACTTCTTCTCCGGTTGGCAGCTCAAGTATGGCAGATGAAGGTGGCCGATGGGTTTCTTGCCATCGCGTGGAACAAACGTCGTAGTCGCTGCCTTGACGGATGGATGCATGAGAGCCTGGGGAACCGTGTTCAAACTCATTCATACATCCCTGGAAAGCGATAACTGCTACTGCCCTTTCATTTGGGCCATTATATTGAGGTGACCCGTTGTCGCTGACAGGCAATCCTGAAGATATATACTTTTTAGTGTCATGTAAAGATATACCGTCATCATAGTCAATATTCCGACCTTTAATATCCTTGACCGCCTTTATCGCTGCTTCCACGTCATGAGGTGCTTCCATCCGAATGGAGATGTTATTCAAGTGCAGTTGGACTCCATTCATTGTCGAGTAATAGCCGTGCCTAAGAAGGACTATTAGTTCATCACGCCTTGCTTGTACACTTTCAATCCAGGCCAAGGGAATTTCTATGAGGTTAAAACGGGATATATGCATGATTAGGACGGCAAGGCCATTTTGGGAAACTGTGAGAAAAGAAAAATCCGCTGAGGTGACGTATTCCGCCAATCCCTCGATAGAAACAACCAGGGCGCAAAATGCACCCGGATGCGGCGTAACATAATGGGATATAATCTTCATAACCTCCTTGGCCCACTGGAAGCTCCACGTTGGTAGAAGGAAGCCTGGGCTCCTCTTGAGTAATTCGATGCGGTTATCAATTCCAGATAGTTCTGAGAACCTAGATTCACAACTGGCTACCTCTTTCATAATGGCTGCAGCAATAATCTGGAGGCATTGGTCGTTATCCTTGAAGAGGACGTCTAGGATCCCCCTAACTTGTTAGTTAGTATCCAAAACTCATAGAACAGCGATAGCAGACGCGCCCTACCGCACTCCTTCCGGCATACAAATAAGAAAATGTTTATTCTTATCAAACTCAAGGATCAATTCCAATATGAATTGACCAGCCTATATTGCGTTAAACCGTTTCGCTATAGTATATGTGATTTGGGATGTACTGTTTACCCATTTCCTCGGCATAGAGTAATTTCCACGTGTAAAGCAATGCACAAGCTGGATACAAGTCTTCTGGCACAAAGTCGCCTTACGTCGCAATGCCGTTAACATAGCCTCTTGGCTCAAATCCTGTCGCAGGACATCGGACAACTCAATCATCGCGTCCTGTAATATTTATTAGAAGGAGGGATATCCTGGCAAAACTTCAAATACTTACAAGAAGGAGATAAAGACCCTTCTCCCGTTGTACGCATGCTGGAGCGTGTAGAAAAAGGAAAAGAATGCACTGGAAAGATACAATGTCAAGCCTGGAACAGTGCCTCCGCTTCTGGGGTTCTCCAAGTATCTGGACCAACGTGGAGAGGTCATCCATGTGCAGAGCCGGGGTGGTCTGAAGGATATCATTGATAATACTAAGGGGTATTCTATCTGAAAGCGTTAACCGGCTCTAGTTCATGGAAAGAAAATTGTTCCAAAGCAGGTTCGCGAAGACTGACATCAAGATATCACTCCTCGTTGCACGTTGGACCGCTGGCTGAAGATATGTTATTAGTCTGTTAACAACTGCAGGTTGCTTTAGCACACGTAAGTGTGCTTGCGCTCCCACCGCCATGAAGAACGAATCCTGCGAAATAAAGAGATCAACTAGACAGTTAATCTACTCCAAGGCTTGAAAAAAAAAAATTGTCAAACCTGAGGTCTTGCATTGTCAACTTGGACGTGAGAGAATGGTTTGGCAGAATAACCACCTAGCCTGAAGCGGTAACTAGTTAGGCGGTGTCATCTCTACTCATGGAGAATAAACATCTCGACAGAAACACTAGCCATCGCATCTAACATGCTGACTCCGGCCTCCAGGAGAGGACAGAGAGTGATGATGTTACGCGGCCCATAGCATATGGACGGCAGACATGAAAAATGCTAATGGTCGACCATGCGACGCGAATGACCCTGCAGAGGGTGAGATCAAGAACAGCTGGCTGTCAACAAGGAGACAGGACCATTTGCCCGAGTCTTTACTTCAATATCATCTCCTATATTCATGGCTACTTACAAAACCGCCATGGTGGCGGATACGAAAAGCATTCCAGGTGCTCCGTATGCTCGTCCCTTCAGCTCAGCCTCCATTTAAAAAGCAACGAAGGGAGACAATGCTTTAGTTATAGGGCGTTTCGCAGCTCCGTCTAGATGAGCAATAAATGAACACGAAACACTCCGTAACTAACTACCCGTGATCACACCAAGGCTTACCACCCTGGTTGAGTCACCCACTCATTTTTCGCGGGTGACTCCCAGTTCAAGTGGAATGACAGCTCAACGGGAATATTTCAATTTTAAATATATTACTTAGGCTATTCCTTTATTATTAAACTATTATATATAAAAGACACCTAATACTAAATTAATAAAAAAAAGAGCAAGCTTATAAGAAGTAGTAGAGAGATAATATCTATCTTTTAAAAACTTTTAAGAATTTTCCTTAAAATATTTATTTACTCTTTTATAATATAATAATATTTCTTTTAAAGACTTAATAAATTAATAGATAATAAGTTAAATACCCTAGATATAGGGCTAGATAGTTAGATTTAATAATTAGTTAGGTGTTGCTATAATATATTTATTTCTATTAAAATATTCCCGTTGAGCTGTCATTCCACTTGAACTGGGAGTCACCCGCGAAAAATGAGTGGGTGACTCAACCAGGGTGGTAAGCCTTGGTGTGATCACGGGTAGTTAAATAGTTACTCAATTTGGCCTGTCGTAATGGCTGCTTTAAAGCCTGCCAAGACTGGATGTGCGAGATGAGTTGTTGTTCACCCGGGCCCGACGGCTTTAAGCCTTCATCCACGCCGGCGCAGACGGGCTAAAATTTCGGACGAATGAAGGATCAAGGAAAGTTAACACGTCAAGGTTTCGTTAACTACATCCTTGAGCTTAGCTGGGAGCCTGGGGATCATCGCCTTTTCTCCCATCAGGTATGGCGCAGCAGAGGTATATAAATACTGGTTTTTAACCGACTCCATACCCATAAAGTCATAACAAGTCATTGGCCGAAATATTCTCCATTTCAATACTCCGTACTGTCCACACTATGACAATGAAAGAAGCTCCGGAGGGCAAACGAGCCGAGCTTGAGACGCAGGCTTTGATTGATGCAGCATGGGATTCATCTACCATCAAACGGCGGCTGTCTGTTAGTCAGTCACAGCAACCAGAACCCCCGATAATACCGCATACATCCACTGGCCGACAACATGCTGCTGCCCATGATGAAGCCATCAGTATCAATGCTTTGGAAGCGGAGAGAGAACTCATTGCCGAGAAGCCTGACAATAAGGCCGTGCTGGAAGAGAGAGAAACGCAGAAGACAATCTTTTACCTCGCATACGGATCGAACATGTGTTCCCAGACGTTCCGCAAGATGCGCAAAGTCACTCCTCTTTCACAAGCGAATGTCTATGTACCAAACCTCTGCCTTACTTTCGATCTCCCCGGAATTGCGTATCTCGAACCATGCTTCGCAGCAACACAATATCGTGACCAAAAAACCGGCATGCCTATTTACCCTGGCAAACCGCAGAGCCCCAGTGACGGAGGGGACCTATGGCATAAACCACTTGTTGGAGTTGTATACGAGGTTACCATGAAAGATTATGCGCGCATAATAGCAACAGAGGGTGGCGGAGCGTCATATATCGACGTTGTCATCGATTGCCATCCATTCCCCGACGATTACGATCCTGCAAAGCCGGTACCTGATATACCAGATACCGAGCCATTCAAGGCGCATACCCTTCTCTCACCTGCCACTGCCGGAAAGAGTCATGACAATGGAACTGAAAAGGCGTCATCAATATTAAACGCCAGATTTAACAGGAGTCCTAATTACGCTCGCCCATCGCCACGATACATGAAGCTTCTCATCATGGGCGCAGAAGAACACGATCTTCCGGCAGAATATCGAAAGTATCTTTCATCTGTTGAGCCATATCGTGTCACTACGGCCATGCAACGTATAGGCCAGTCTATATTTGGTGTTGTCTGGGTGCCGCCTTTTCTTCTAAACCTGAGGCTCAATGCAATTTTTGCCAATGAAGACGGGAGAGCGCCGCAGTGGCTAGCTACATTGCAGCGCTACATCTATTCAGGGTCGTGGATAACTTATGATTTGGTTTTCAAACATATATTTGGGGATGGTGAGCGGACGATACCACCATACACAGGGTTGAAGATAGAATAATATCAACAGTATCAACAATGGTAATATAGTATTAATAAACTATGACTAGGCATTGACCCTTTGTCTTGTATACTACTAAGTTAAGTAGCCTTTTCTACATTGGCTTCGTTAAAAATAACACCTTCCTCCTGGCCTAAGCCTTTTCGTAACTTGCTTTGAAATTTTTGCGAAGGATAATATACCACGATCATGCAATGCAAAATTTCAGGTGAGTTAAAGGCAATTTTCGGGCAGGATGTAATTCCCCAGTAGTAGGGCCCAGTCAATCAGGGCAATCTTAGCCAAAGCAAAGTCGCATTTGCAAAGTATGGTGAGCTTGAGATGAGTGCTGCTTATCCACGATTTGGCCCCACCATACGTTCTCAAAGCCCTTTGCAGATTGTTCAGCCCATACTTCTTCTAGCAGCGGTATGGTGTTGCTAAACATATGATATCTAGTCCTCGAGTCCCAAATAGAGCAGAACTTCACAATCTTCCTACGTAATGGTCGATCTCTCAATTCGCATCCTGCAAGGAAGAGAGGCAGTAGGGCCTGCCTAGATACCATACTTTTATCACGGCACGCAAAGACATGGTCTGTAATTGCCCTTGCACGGAACAAAATCGGCATTGGGATGTTGCTTCCAAGTTCCCACCGAAAAACTCTGTATATGTAAATAAGAAGGCCATTTCTCCATGCCTCCGAACAGTGCATGCTATCTTGATCTTGTTGCATACTCTCTTCATCTTGGAAGGCTGCTTGAGAGGAAGTGTGATACCAAGTCTCCAGTGACTGCTCGATTTCTAGGATTGCGGTGGTATCAAATGTGGCGTACTGGATCGAAGACGACTTTCTCTTTTCTGCACACAATCGTGCTAACTGCATTACTATGTTTACGAGGCTTGGTGGACACCCGCACAGCCCGAAATAATCCCATTCTTGACCGTCATGCCTCGACAGTACGGCTTTGGGGTATATGTAAGGAAACACGCAACCTTCTCTTGATACCAAACTGGTTATCGCGTCCCACCTATGGAGTTAGCTAAACTTCATATTTCATCAGCGAGGTGAGCTTCATAACTACCACGTGAGAATTGCTACCTGGGCCACTGTCCTGGCAGACATGGCCCACACCTCGATACCACCACAGGCCTCGAGAAGCCCATATGCTCCCATAAGATGTGTGTTCCAGTTACCAAAGGCGGATTGGGTCTCCTAATATATCAACTGTCAATCCGCCCCAGTCCTGAGGGGTTAGCTGGTATAACTAACATCTAGCGAGAATAGGATGATAACTGTATCAAGCATAGCGTAAACGTCTCCTGCATTGGTGTAAGAGCCGAGCTTATCACGGAGAAGTTGAAATGCGGCAAGCCGATGATCCTGGGCTGATGTGCTCTCAACGTGATGGCCTGCTAACGCCATCACGGCGTGGACCAGAAAGGTGGGCTCAGGCTCGAGATTTTCCCGGTATTGAAATGGATTGATCCGTAGCTCCGTCGTTAGTGGGATTTTGCAGAATTCCTCGTTGTCTATCATTTGTCAGTAGATTACAGCAAGACGAATACGTGCAGAATGAGTATACATCTTTGGAGGGCAGGTCCAAACCGCTGACGAAGACCACCATATAATACACTCGGTGGCACAGAGGTATAAGGAAAACATGTAAGGATTATCTCTCTCGTAGCAACCTGGCACGACCACCTGTTGGAAGCACTATGGTCGATGTTACACTTCTTAGTTGTCTGTAATTGTCTGTCCGCTGTAGGATCGGGTAAAAATGAACATGTATACCGATCCTTACTGTTGCACGGATACTGACGAAGTTCTGGCGTTCTATCAACCGCCCCCAAGTCGGGAAAGATCTCGCTCTGGAACAGGGATGGTTCATTACCCAATGGCTCGAGTAATGTCTCGTCATTGATTATGACTTGCTCAATTCCTTCACCTTGCGACTGGGTTCCATTTTGGCCTGGCGTGAGGGGATGGAAGTGTCTATCGCCGCGATAGTCAGGCCTTACCCGACCGTCAGTAATAGGCTCGACAGGCGTTGCTGGATGTGTGATGTTGGTGGCTGATTCGGAGTCCACAGCCCCGTGCCCTCTCGTGGGGTTCTCCAGGATGAATTCAAAGTGCTGTGCTCTCTCCCCATCTCCCGATGGTCCACGTTTGACCCTGCGTACTGTTGGCCTCCTGGCTGGCTTCCTAGACAGAGAAAACCCGGGCTGCCAAGATAGTCGCATTTTAAAGGTATGGTATAGTTATCTCGATCAGTCACAACATCCGACTGTGTACGGAGTATCGCGTGAATGTCAAGCAATTTGGAAGTCACTCTGAGACAGCCTAGTTACCCTAACTCCAGCACACTGTGCTTACTAATTATCCAACGGTTACTGTTGGAATATCCATTGGCTACTACGACTCGCATTCATTTACCCAAGGATTCCTTAGGGCGTTTAGGCCTTTTTGTCCCTTGTGGTCCAACAGTTACTGATCTACCCACGCCTTCCCAATTAAACTACTTACCACTTTGGGACGATTGCTTGATCAGGACAGTTGCCTCTTTCAGCCGCGGCCGCGCGCCGTCCGGCTATCACGACCCAGGCAACTACCCAGTACCTAGTACTCCGTAGTTCTAGTTATGCATGTCAAAGGGTAGAGCAGAAGCTCCTCAAGGAGCTGCACATGCCCATGCCTAGCAAGACCCAATGTATATATATACTATGGAGATAAATTCCATGAGGCCCCTTTGTGCTCTAGCACTGTAACGGCTAGTTAAGGCTCATTCATATACGTTCTTCTGCCACCGTCTTGTTATGTCGACAGCTTAGGGAGAGGATACATACTCTATTCAGCATGGGAACTATGAGATCGGAGGGGCTTAAAGCAGCCAAGAACCCAGCAGCAGGCTCTCCTGCCGAAGGTTGGTAACTACTTACTTGGAGCTCTCGGCCTGGCCCCAACTAATCATGGCTAGCAGGACCGCATCACCATTCAGACGCTGTTATCATCACTTGGGATGGAAGGCACGACCCCGAGAACCCGTTCAATTGGTCTCCACGGAAGAAATGGCGGACAACCGGACTTGGTCTTCTAGCAAGTTTCGTCTGTTCTATTAATGGGACCATCATTGCAGTCGCTCACAATGCTATATCCGAGGAATTCAACATCTCCAACGTGGATTTTCCTCATTCCTACTGGCCCACGACGTCCTGGGGAGTAGGGGCGGCTCTATTACCCCTTGCCCTATTTCCTATCATGGAGGATTTTGGCATTCGACCTGTGCTTCTTAGCACCTATTTCTTCTTCGTCTGCTCCCTGATTCCAATTGGCCTGGCCCAAAACTTTACTACGCTTATAGTGATGCGATTCTTTAGCGGCGGGTGCGTCCCAATCATGAGCGATGCTGTTGCTAGTATGGTATCAAATGTTTTCCACGGAGATTGTGCTAGGAGCACGCCGGTATGCCTTTACGTTACGACCTATCTAGCTGCAACGAGCATTGGCCCGGTGGTTGGCGCCTCTATACTTCAGTTTCTTTCCTGGCGTTGGATTGGCCACATCGAATTGATTTGGACAGCCGCACTTTTCCCTCTCTTCATCATCGCTCTTCCTGAGACCCGCGGTTCTGCTATATTGCTAGCGAAAGCCAAACGTCTACGCGATAAGGGGGAGAAAGTATATACAATGGATGAGCTTCACCATGATAGAAAATTGTACCAGGCTGTCCTTCGGAGCGTACAACGGCCGTTGTACATGTTATTTACGGAGCCAGTAGTGTTCGTTGCAACTCTCTGGGCTGCATTCAGCCTTGGAACAATCTACCTGTTCACTCAGTCCGTCGAGCTGGTATATGGACAACTCTATGGCTGGGATGCTGTACTGGCAGGTTATGTCCAGGTTGCCATCGTGGTTGGCGAAATCCTCGGTTGCGCGCTTTGTATGTTTACCAACAGCTGGTACTACGCATCTGCTGCCCAGAATACCGAAGCTCCGGGAACACCTATCCCTGAGGCGAGGCTATATACGTCGATCATTGGAGGTTTCTTCGGTGTTACTGGCGGAATGTTCGTATACGGGTGGACATCATACCCTACTATATATTGGATAGCACCTACTGTCGGCTTGACAATGGTGGGATTTGGAACAACCGCTGTTGTGATAAGTATTGCAAACTATCTTATTGATGCGTATAGCAAGTACGCGGCGAGCGCTCTCGGTGCTGTTGGCTTGGTCGAGAATACTGCTATCGCTTTTCTCCCTCTTGCTACAATAGCAATGTACACAGGCCTTGGATTTCAGTGGGCCAGCTCATTGCTTGCATTTATGTCTTTTGCCCTTGCCATAACTCCATTCCTAGTGTTTAAATGGGGCAAGAAGATTAGATCTCGCAGTCCGTTTATGAAAGAGGCAATTATAGACCGACATGGGGGGGCATTGTTGCTATGAAAGCTAGTTATGTACCAGAGGATCAACCATGAACAATTCCAGCTAAATCCCTAGACTTTTCTAAAAGACAATACCACTACCCTTGACCAATCTGCCGTAGACTGTAATACTTTTATTGATACACAGAACATTGAGAGGGTAGTGAGCTACTTGCTATAGGGGGACGATCCATCCAACGATTGAGAGGAGTACTGGAGAGGACAAAGGAAACGAGCAATTGTGGTTCTAGATGTGGAAAAAGGAAAAGGAAGAGCACAGTTTATAAATACATAATAGGTAATTTCACAAAACTTAGCCCTGATTTTTATGGTCACTCCCCAGTCCTCCCACTCTCTAAAAAACGCGGAGGAAAGGTTGGAAAAATGTATGCAGCATGTGTGGTATGAGGAGTTAGGGTACAATCACAAAAGTATTCAGAGATGGTTGGTATTGGCTTCACCGACGAGTTAGCCCTAGCCTGGAATGGTTTTCCAATTTATCGCTTGGGGCCAATCGGTGGGTTGTAGACGATCTTTCTCGTTTTTATGGTGGCCCACTTGTATCGCTTGACCCAGACACTGACGGCAAACAAAGTGCTGAGAAGGACTATGGCCTTCATACCCATCTTCTTTCGCTCGTCCATCTCAGGCTCAGCAGTCCAGTTAAGAAATTCGGTAACATCCTTGGCCATTTGGGAGGTAGTAGCAGGGGTTCCATCGTCATACTCGACGAGGCCGTCGAAGAGAACACGGCCCATAGCAATTCCTGTAATCCTCATGTGAGCATAAAGTATATAATGGTATGAATGTTAACAGTTCATTTGATATGCGTACCTGTCCCTGGGAAGTAGGGGTTGAAGTTCAAGCCCTCCTGCACGCTGGCACCGGCTGGGGGTTCATCGGGATAGCCGGTCAAAAGTGAGAAGATGTAGTCACAGCCACCATGTCTGGCTTTGACAATCAAGCTAAGATCTGGGGGCAAGGCACCGTTGTTGGCAGCTCGAGCGGCTTCGTCGTTCTTATAGGGAGCCGGAATGTAGTCGGACAGCTTTCCAGGACGCTTCTCAATCTCACCCTGATCGTTAGGCTCGGTGTCATATTCGTGTTCCTCAGCCATTGCCTTCATCTCATCAACGGTGTGCATGACACCGACGAATGATCGCCATGGGACACGGGTGAGAGAATGGCACTGGGCGCAAACCTCGCGGTAGACGAGAAAACCACGGCGAAGACTGCGCAGAGAATGAACACATGATATTAGATGCAGCCTGCATGACATGAGTTAAGCCAGAGGTATTGAATAAACTCACGCTGCATGATCGAAGGTCTTGAGCCACTTGCTATGCTCCCAAGGGTACTGGGTAGCATGGAGACTATTTTTGACATCTCGTCCATTAGTGATGCCACATCGAAAAATCGAGTATTAGAAGGCCAATTGAATAGATATTATGACTTACCCTTCTTCGGCAGGAGTCATAGCAAAGGCTTCATCTCCATAGAGGTGATAATACCAGGCCATAGAGCCGATGGCCGTGGCTGTGGCTGCAGATGCGGTTAAGGTCAGGTAAAACGGAGACTGTGTTTGCGAGCCAGAAGCGGTCGAGGACGATCTCTGGGAGGAAGGGTCAGCGGAATTCTGTTCGTTTCCGTGAGAAGGCCATGTTGTAGAGCGCTGTACGCTCGAACTGCCAGCGCAATGGCTCTCGTTTTGAGGGATTGGGATGGTGTAATGTACCTTTGCAACCTGCTGGAAGCATTGCCTGGAGATGGCCTTCGAAGGCACACTCCGCAAGATAGACCGGGCCAACATCCTGAGGAGAAGAGATATACCCGGATGGAGGAGACGATGAGAGTAGATGGGGGCGAGCTGTTGCGATGAATCCGATATATGGGAGTGCGGTTCGCTCTTTGAAGGCAGGTCAGACTTTCTTCCTGGTCGTTCGAAACAATCTTTGGTGAGCAGTCCCATGATTGGCTCGCAGCGTCCGGTCGAATCAGCCGCCCTCTCATTGGTTGGTGATGGTCATGTGATATGCCCTTTCCTCCTTGTTGTTCCGAAGAGAAAGAAGACTTGGTGCTGATATGCAATATAAAAAATTACTCGATATTCGATAAGTGTATATACGGAGGTACCGGTACCACCTGATGGCTGCTTAGTTATGCCCTGCTTTGATGCTCTCCTCCTGCCTCCCGCTTCGCTTTCAATTCCTCCTTGACTCCACGTTTTAACGCAGCTATCGCTTGGTCAATAGGACAGACTTCATAGCTGGTATACAGGACAAGGGATAATGCAGGAATCCGTCGCAGTGACCGACCGCTGAGGCCCTAAGCCAAGGGTTAGAAGGCAATTGCTAAGGCACGGTAGATGGCGTATATGTATGTCACTTACTACGCTCATACGTGCAATATCAGCCAGTTGTTTTGGGATGGATGATGGAAACAGTTGATACCATAACTGCATCTCCCCATAAGAGGGTAACAGGAGGAACTCGGCAGACTTGGTAACGTACTTAAGTTCCGTGGTTGTGTTAGTTGGATCAACCGGAACCACATCGAATCGTAATCCCTCTACTAATCCACATTTACTTAGACTCTCCAAGCAGCTTCTGAAGATCTCATATACCCCAAGTTCTGATGGCGGTGGGACCAATTGTTTGATATCAACCCGATCAAGGAACGCTGAGTCCTGCAAAGATGTTATACTGGCATTAGAAGCAGATTCATGCTACCGAGTGGTTATCAAATGTACTCACCAGAGCTGAAAGGAGATTGCTTGTGCAGAATACAACAACATTAGGGTACTGTCTTAGGCGATCCAAGGACACGAGAAGGGAATTAACAGCTCTCATTGCGTCAAGAGGATCATTTCCACTTAATGTTTGTTCCCTCTGGGCGGTCATTGTCTCAACCTCGTCAATAAAGACAGAGACCAGCGTATCAGGCTCGTTCTCTAACATGCTTTCGACAATACCAAACATCTTAGCCACTAGCTTCCCACTCTCACTGAAGTATTTGCTGCCTAGGGAATACGCGTTGATTTCGACTAATTTACTGTGAGGGAACTGCCTCCCCAGACGGATTGACAATTTTTGGGCCAACGAACGGCTACAAATTGTCAGAACAGATGATCTCTTGAGGCATGGTGCAGTTATATCATACCACAGGCTTGTTTTACCCGTTCCCGGGGGCCCGTAAAGAAGGATAAGGCGGTTCCAGGTGATTGTCCTGTGATCAAGCTTACGCCATGAAAACCCGACTAATACTAAGCAATTAGTATTGGTTGCTACTCAGCTCGGAGGATGTACTGACGCATTCGGCTGATCGCATGCAGCAAGTTTGTGTGTATTGGCTGGTCGAATAAGAGCCTAGAAAGTCAATTCATGCACCCATGCATTATTAGACGCTTAGGGCGCCATACGATTCCCAGATACCGTCTAGTTCCTTGTTCGGCAATGACATCACTCGTGCTTGGGGAGAAGACTCATCTTGTTTCTCATCTCCATGGTTCTGTGACAGACTCTCGGGTTCGCTCGCACGCAGTTGATAGGGCTGGATGTCAAGGTTCACGTCATTTAAATGAACGGTCTCACTTTCATCCCGTTTTCCTGAGCATTCCATCACCTTGATTGAGTCAAGGTACATCGAATGAAACCCTTTGAAGTTGCCTATATATCATACTATATTAGTTCCGCTAGACGACTGCTAGACAAAGAGTTCGTACCCAAGTTTTTTATCTCTTGCCCTATGCTTAGCACGGCAAAGTTGTCAGTAAGCCACTGTGCAACTTCATCGCGCACCTTAAACGGTACAGATTCTCCTGTTAGTGTTTCTGAACGCTGTATATGAGGCTAAAGTGTTGCCTACAATATCGGTTCTCATGACAGTGCCACCATCAGGCGCGCTCAGCCTTGCCTCGACGTGGAGCACCGGGGCATTTACCACTCTTACAGCTGGTTGCCCCATTATACCGTCCATGGAACAACCGACAACTAACAAATATGTATATCTAGGACGCCGTATAGATACATAGATGGACAACTGAACGGAACCTGCTATACAGAGCAGTACTCCGTACAGACCCAGTGGATGAGGTAGACAACGCGAGTTCATACATGTCGACATCGGACAAAATACTGCCATAGACACATTGGTCACCGCCTTCAGCGTCACATCTACTTAGCACTTCTCTACATCATGCAAACGTATATTTTCCAGATATTCCAACTACAACTAGTATCGTCAATTATATCTTCCATTTCTGTTCGTTGGCCTCCATCACAGAATTGGCCGAGCCTCATATCACGTGAAATTTTGGCTCATCAACCGGTGAACACATTGAGATAACACATCGTGATAACCAGTTAACTTTTATGATAACTAACGGACGATTCGCGACTCGACAATAGCCAACAAGCTACCATTCCAACGCTTTACACGACTAGTTAAATGGGGGGCTAGTTGTAGATATCATGTCATCATGGTAACATGGTCTTCTTTTACTCGCCTCAGCTCCAGCTTTATCGTTAACCCTCTTGGGCAGTCGTTCCCAAGGTTACCCCCGGCTCCTATCACTAACTATTGTTGATGATTATTGCTAGTTATTTGCAAATGGGGCCAATGTGAAAGCAGGACCGTACCTATATATATTCGCATTCCCACCAGATTTCCCTGATTTAACAGTTTTGAAGCCGCAATGGCAAGTTCCATCAAGCAAAGACCAACGTCCAAGGTGCCTCGCGCACCGAGACGGGATGTCCTTGCACCATTAAAGCTAGCTCAGATTGAAGTTGTGAAGCCTTTACTCCCAGCTGGTATGCAATGAACGTTCAATAGGCCTTTGCTTTTTCCCCTACACCCGTGATACTAACATCATATAGAAATTATGGCCTCAATCCTTGACTATCTTTCCCCCACCGACCTTATAATCGTTGCAAGGACATCAAAGAAAATGCATGAGATGGCGTACGATGATACCAGATGGGTTAGGTTTCTAAGGCAGATAGGCTGTTGGAACGAAGCAGAAGCTAGGAGTGCGGCAGAGGGCTCTGAAGAGGACGCCGACCGCCCGCACGGTGGGAGAACACGCCCTAAGCCTTCGATACCCGGATTGGATACCGATACATCCAATGGGAATATTACAGACCCCAGTGGATTTGATATCGTGGAATTCAATGCAGAGGTGGAAGCAGAAATCACAGGCCCCCTGGCGGCACTCAAAGATGCTTGCTCGGTCAGAGGTAGAGCCAGGGAGGAGTACGGTAAAATCCACGAATCTCTGAACCCCTTCTACCAGGATATTATCAAAACCGAGAGCCCGACTGACTCCTTGGTTTTTAAATCATATGATAAGCCTGAGCAGCAGGCCCTGTTATTGTCAGAGCTACACCAGTTCTCAAATGCTGATATAGGACTTGGGTCCACGGCGCGCAGAAGAAAGCTGGATGATGTCATATCCGTATTTGAAAAGGCTGCTTTACGAGAGTTCAAGAATGGATATGAAAACGGGAACCCTGATGATATAATGCCACGTTATGCGCAGGTTTTAACAACCCTCAATGGAGGCGCGGCAGCTGTTGAGTTATTGATTTATCAAAATCACATAATCAAGCAGAAAACAAATTTCGGAAGCCCTATGGATGGATTCGATGCAGACACAGGCACAGTGTCCCTCGACCATACTCATGCTTTCTTGACGAGGCTCAGTGTGGCCTTCAACGAGGAGGCTGCTTGTATAAATCGATGTTTCCCTAATGGTCCAAACGTATCGTCCTTATTCCTGGAAAAGCTATGTAAAGACATACTATCTCCATATTTTCTTCCTTTGCTGGACCTTCTTCAATCCACGAATAAAGCAGCTTACATTCAGACACTGCCCGGGACATTCGCCCAATCGCTGAACTTCATTCGCGAACTGAATCCAGTTCAGGTACCCAGTGATAAATTCAAGGAACTCGCCCGGGGCGCTATTGAAGCGATTTTCGGACCTCACATTGATCTCTACCTTGCAGAAGAATTGGACCAGTTTCGGTCACATTCGGAATCAATAGTTGGAGATTGGGACAGACAACTGTCTGAACGAGCTGCCAGTACAGAGTCGCTATATATGTCCAACATACATAATCGACAAGCTGATAAACGAGATTTTCTAAGCTCGTTTACTAAAGTGATAATGGCTCCAGTGAATATGATTCCGAGTTTGTATAAAACTGCAGAGACAAAAAAGGGCGGAGCGAATAAAATAATGGCTAAGGCTACACAGCCGTCTAGCCGTTCATCCGTCATACTTGCTCCGCCTACTCCTCCCACACCGGCAGAGCTGCCCACAACAGAATTCGCAGCCAAGGCAGCGATTATGAATTCCAAGTTAGAGGGAATCCGCAGCCTATTCAGCATTGAAGTCGCACTTAACCTCGTCCACGCTGCGAAGTCAAGCTTGGAGAGAACTGCACAATTTGTGAGCCTCAAAGGGGAACAAGGAAAAGCTGCACAAGCACAATGCGAAGCTATCTTTGTTTCACTCCTGGATAACCTTGGCCATCGTCATGTCATTGCGGGCTTTGATCGAGCGGTCAATCATCTATCAGAATATCGCCCTCGCAAGCAGGCAAAAGAGGAGAGATCCGGTGTAGAGCCCCTTGTTACTTTTCTAGAATTAGTCAACGTGGGAGACCTGATCCTCCAGATGTTAGACGTATTTTATGAGCAGGAATTGGTGGCTGCTGGCCTGACTGACCGGAATGATTTTCTCGATCCTGCTGTTAAGGGGAAAAGGAAGTTTGAACAGAAACTGGATGAGCAAGTTGCTGCGGGGCTGAATAAGGGAATTGACGTGTTAGTGGAGGAAGTTGAATATCTTCTAGCCACCAAACAGTCTATTGGAGACTTTCATCCTGAAGCAGTTGACCTATCACAGAGAACAGCTGATATTGGTCCAAGCGAGGCTGCCAAAGCTGTCGTACAGGTCATCTCTTCTCACACGAGAATGCTTGTTGGTGGGACGGACAAAAGCACATTAGACGTGTTCAATCAGGAAATTGGCCTTCGCCTTTTCAATGCACTTTGTAAACATATAAAGCGGCATCGAATTAGCATAGAAGGTGCCATCAAACTGATAAGGTTCGATTGTCCCTATGTTCTATTTGTTCTCGCAAAGCTAAGGCACTAACTATCTAAATAGCGATATGAATCATTACTTTGGACTTATCCAATCCATGAGAAACGAACAGCTTCTACTCTATTTCAAAGCTTTAAGAGAGCTATCCCAAGTTTACCTCATTGATACCTCGGACTCGAAGGAGATAGCTGCTATTATCTCGGATGCCAGCCGTTTTCATGGAATCTTCCGTGCTGAAGAAGCTTACGAATTTGCTGAGCGGCGAGCCGACTGGTACCAAGTTAAAAACAGCGTTGAGAAGGCCATGTACGGTGTGGGATGCTCTGTGATGTGACTTGGTCTCTTGGTTTCAACCAGAATCCTCATCTTTTGAGCTAGTTCTCTGAGATTTGTACAGTGTTTTAGAATACTTTATACTATCCCATCTGGAGCCTAGCTGCTGGGGTTTAAAGCCCCTAAGTAATTATTGGTTTAAATGGCATCAATCATGAGAAGTGCTAGTCAAAATTAGATCGCTTTACCGTCTTCATACCTAGGCACCTGGAATGCTAACTAATCAGTTAACTACTGTTGGACCACAAGGGAGCCCCAAGGAATCCTTGGGTAAATGAGTGCGAGTCGTAGCTAAAGTGGAGTATTCCAGCAACTACTTCACAATACAAAATGTGCGCTATCTTCAGTAACATATAGCCCACCATACAGTCATATCTAGTTGAGGCGAGGGGGGCTTGAATATGGGGGCTAGACATATTTCGTAAAGCTTTACTCGTTCTTCATAGCAGAACATTCATCCAATTAGTATATATATGACTATATAGGCATATCGGTTTGAATAAGCTTCATGGAAGTCACAAATTGGGTGGTCACTCTGCTTTGATAGTTTAGCAAAATTAACTAGTTGGTTATAATAACATGAGCCATTTTAATGGGCTCGTGTCCGGAAAACTATAGACTGTCTACATTAATTATAGATAGACAGTTAAAAGACCTAACCAGGCCGCTCAATAGCAAAATATTGTTATAGCTACGTAACTTAAAAGACACGACAAATGTGTGTTGTATAAATGTCGAATGGAATTGAATGTTATAATAAGGTGTTATTGAGATAAGATAAGGTGGTTTTTGGTGTCAAAAGTATGGGGATTGTACTTCTCTACGATTTGTGGTTGAAGGCAAGCTTAAAACTAGTAACACTCTAGACATCTAGTGTCATTGATCACTAGATCACCGGAAGCCCCCGATAACTTGATGTCTGTTTTAACTGTGTTTAGTTAGAGGGGCGTTCTTCTATACGCCCCGTCCCCATATAATATGGGAAAAAGAGATAGTTATATTGTAGTCACAAGTAAGCAACGCTCTAAAAGGATCAATGGATATCGGGGATATATTTTCGATTTTATTAGTGCCTCCATATTCGGACTGCTTTATCTCTCCCACCACTTCCGACCCTCTCCCCGTCGGGGCTCCAGTCGACCGCATACACCTCATCTTGATGACCAGGTAAATCCATCGTCATTTTTCCTGTTCGAACATCCCAAATCTTCAGGGTAGTGTCCTTCGAAGAAGACACTAGAAGTCTGGAGTCTGCAGAAAAGCAACATTGGTATACAGGACCAACATGGCCACGGAGGGAAAATATAAACCTTGAAAGAAATATGTTAGGGTAGTACACTTTGTGGAAGGTTGGTAGGCTATACTTACTTCCCATCTCGAGCACTCCATAGCTTCACGTGGTTATCAAAGCTGGCAGAAGCAATATATACTCCATCTGGGGAAAATGTGACGTGATTGACCTCCTTTTGGTGGCCTAACATTCGGGCAACCGGTTTACTAGACGACTCTGGATCCCACAGAAACATAGTGAAGTCATCACTAGCAGAGACCAATTTTTCGGATATTGTATTATTGGTGGTGGCGGCTTTTTCAAACCTCTCCTTTGCTAGCTTTAACTTTTCCTCTTCTTTCTCTGGACGTTTCTGATTATGTTCATTGAAGGATGTACGAAGTACAAAATCAGTCGACAGAGCTAGATGGTTGACACGGTGAGTATGGGAGGATAATGTTTGTATTAAACTCCCATCCGCTGGGTTCCATATTTTGATGGTCTTGTCGTGAGAAGAGGTGTATATTTTACCAAGACCGCCCCATTTAACACATGATACGGATCCTTTATGGCCTGTTAATACGCTCTCTATTCGTCTAGACACGACATCCCATATTCGGACCGTTGAGTCTTTAGATGCCGAGGCTAGTCTAGGACTTCCAGGGCTTTGTAGATGATACGGCTCCCATGCAAGACCCATAATCCACTTTGTGTGCCCTTTCATAGGTGCGCCTAGTGCGTGGCCAGTGTGAGGGTCCCAGAGCCTGACAGTGTTATCCATGCTTCCGGTAGCTATCATCTTGTCGTTAGGTGACCAGCTCACGGCCAAAACCCAGCTAGTGTGTCCTTTAAGGGTGTGCAGGGGCGTCCCCGTGTCGCAATCCCATACTCGCGCAGTTGAATCACCACTGCCGGATACCATTCGCGAAGAAGATGATGAGGCGAAAGATGTCGCTAATATAGCTTCTCCATGTCCTGCGATTGAAGCGGAGCATCTTGATGCGACTTTGACGCGGAATACTGCTTGTGGTGTATATTGTAAATGAATGATGTCCTCGGTTGTCTTTATGCCAGGTTGAAGGAGAGAGTGATACAGGTCGGATGAAATATCAATTACATTCCCAGCCTTATCTTCTTGCTTGTATGTGAATTTATAAGGAACCCTTTCGTGATCATCCTGTCAAAACGTCCGTTAGTAAATACAAGAGAAAGTACACAAGAGGATAAACCTACATGTCCCTGAAGCGTATTCAGCAAGATCTCTAAGTTCTTCACTGTTGCATCGCCCAAAGGAACAGCTACAGCTGGACCGGAAGCAGTCCCAGTGGATTGATCGAAGAATTGGACTCGAACACTCCCCAAATTATCTGGAATTGAGTCGACCTCTTGTTGTTGCCGTGCTTTCTCATCAATTTCACGTCGTTGGCGTTTACTAGGGGGAGGTACCACCGTTGCCATCTTCGTTCGATCGCTTCTTGTCCTCCTGATAGAATTTTGATTGACCACACATCGAGGAATGAAAAAATTAGGTAGTTTGATGTCAACTCAATCTTATCTAACTAATAGGTCCATTCCAAGATAAGGTTAGCTCTGAGTCACGTGTAGATAGGCACTCCATTACGCTAGTCAACTATGTATCCAATGGCAATTCATTAAATGCGTTACTAGCTGCTTAGGGTGATAGACCAATGGCCTTGCGACATTACGTAATGCGAGCCCTGGATCAAAAGGGAAAAAGGGACGACATCTCAACAAAACATCGCTAGGTTGTTCTCATTGTCAAGGAAGACTTAAGTGAAGCCGGTGTAACTATGCACTGGACCTTATATTGTGGTAGAATCAAAATTTACCATCAAAATGCGAAGTCACGCCCCATCTACCCCTTTATACCCATTTACCTCGGATACTAGGTCTCCACGTCCAGGCACCAGTAGGACAGCTGCTGGGGAACATCGAGTACCTCGACCTACGACAGCAGCAACTACATCGCCTTCCCAGGAAATTGTATGTGCTATAAGTGAATCCAGGGGTATTTCTCCAGCTGTTGGGTTGGCCTTTGTCAACCTATCCACCTCAGAAGCTGTTCTTTCTCAAATTTGTGATAGCCAGACCTACGCTAGAACGATCCACAAGCTTGCTGTATTTGAGCCCACGGAGGTGCTCTTGATGAACACCTCTAAAGAACCTTCTTCAAAATTATATGCTGCCGTCGGAGAGAACCTATCCCATATCCGAACCGTTACTGTTGATAGGAAATACTGGTCCGAGCAGAATTGCCATGATTATGTTGAGCGGTTATCTTTCAAAGAGGATACTGAAACCATAAAAATGGCTCTAGAGGGCAGTTATTTCTCTGCCTGCTGTTTTGCAGCTGTATACCTCCCGTCCGAGTGTTTTATCCTGAAAACGAACGCTGACTAACAGACCCACAAGGCCTTATCGTATATCGAGCTAGAGCTCTCTGTGACATTTGCTCCTCACTCTCTTAGATTAAGATACGAGCCGTCTGAAGGGTCTATGATGATAGATCTAGCCACCATTGTCTCGTTAGAACTTATTCAGAACCTGCAAAATGCAAAATCAAAGGATTGTCTTTTCGGAATACTCAATGAAACTCTCACACCAATGGGTGCCCGACTACTGAGAAGCAATATCCTACAGCCTTCCACCGAAGTTTCCAAGTTAAACCTGAGATATGATGCTGTTGAAGAGTTATCGTCGAACGAGGAGATGTTTTTTGCTGTTCGACAAGGTTAGTCGCTGAGCCTGGATACGTCTATACGTTGCTAAGAAATAAAATATACAGCTCTTAAGTCGTTCCTTGATTCCGACCGAGTATTAGCGGCTGTATGTTAAGTTTACTTTCCTTCTGAAGCCTTGAGACGTACTGTTGCTAATATGTAAAGAGTAGTTGACTGTTGTTCTAAAAAAGCCGAGCATCTCATATGCTGAACAATCTATTAATAATATTATTATGCTGAAAACATTTATATCTTGTATACGGCCCATCTATGAAGCGTTAAGTGGTGCGAAAACTGGACTCTTAGAGACCATACGTGAAGCAAGTGGAAGAGCTCATTGCCAATTTGTTTTGTGTTTTTAATAGCTCCTCCTGCTAACATTATAGAAACAGCTATGCACCCCCAGGAACTACGATACAGTCCAAACACTTCTCAGTGAAACGTTAAATGACGACGTTAGATACCAATCCAGCGCTCTTGACCTACGAAACCACAGAACTTACGCTGTCAAAGTGAGGGATTAAATCTATCTGAATATGTTTGAGACCCTAACGGTCAGTATAGGCTGGAGTAAACAACCTCCTTGATGTTGCGAGACAAACCTACATGGAGGCCAATGATGACGTAGCAGAGCTATCAGCTCGTCTTTCTGGTAAGATATATATAATAACAACTAGTGAAAATATTCTAACCTGCAAAGCGGAGCATGGTATCCCATTAGATTTGAGGTTTGAATCTGGCCGTCATTATTATTTCCGCGTAAGATCTACTGATCTCCAAGGAGTAGTACTGCCTGATATTTTCATCAACGTTTATCGGAAAAAGGCATTTGTGGAATTCCAAACCCTAGACCTCGTGAAGATGAACCAAAAAATAACAGACTCCCATAACGAAGTGATTAGTATGAGCGACCGGAGCATTCAAGAGCTTATTGATGACGTTAGAACCATGATTTCAAACTTATTTCGGATCAGCGAGGCAATCGCTATGCTTGATATGATTGCAGCCTTTGCCTACATACAAGCCACACAGGGCTATGTACGCCCTGAGATAACACCTATTCTGGCCATCAAGGCTGGGAGACATCCTATTCGAGAGAAAATCCACTCAACAAAATATATACCCAATGACATTTACGCCTCACCACAGTCCCGCTTTCAGATAATAACTGGCTGCAACATGAGTGGAAAAAGTACATATATTCGATCACTTGCTTTGATGGCAGTAATGGCGCAAATTGGAAGCTCCGTTCCTGCGCAGTATGCCTCATTCCCGATTGTGCACCAGCTATTCGCTAGGGTGTCAGCGGATGATAACCAGATTACCAACGTGTCAACGTTCTCCACTGAGATGAGGGAAATGGCTTATATTTTACGGAACATTGACGCAAAAAGCATGGTCATTGTAGATGAACTAGGCCGTGGAACTGCTTCCACAGACGGGCTTGCCATCTCAATTGCTATTGCGGAAGCTCTCATGGAAACCCATGCCTTGGTCTGGTTCACTACCCATTTCCATGATTTAGCCCGGATTATGGAGCATCGTAGCGGGGTTATAAATCTGCATCTTGCTGTTGATATGTCCGAGCCGCAATCAAAAATAAACATGCTATATAAGATAGCGGATGGATACGTACGAGAACAACATTATGGCCTCGCGCTCGCCAGAATATTCTCTTTACCTCCGTACCTCATCGAGGTGGCCGATGAGGTGTCACACCGACTTACTTTAGCAGCGCAGAACAGAGCCAAGTCGTCTGCAGCCATTTCCCTTGCCAAACGGCGTAGGCTTCTCTTGACCTTGGTAGAACAGTTGATGCATGTCTGCAATGGGGTCATGGAAGGTGAGGCGCTCAAGGAATGGCTTCTCAGACTTCAAAGGGAATTCACTTTGCGCATGACGGATACTGAACCAGAAACAGAATCTAACGTAGATGACAGAGAAATATCATTATCACCTAGGGAAACTGAGGGATCCCACGTAGATGTTGAGAATATCGAGGCGATATCTCAGGCTTCCAGTCAATCCCTTCCAATAAGTCCAATATTTAGCCGCAAATGTCCTAGGGGCTTAGTCCATCACTCCATCGGAAATAGCGAGCTGGTACTAGACAGCGGCAATGAGCAGCTAGGCACTACTCCCTCCTGCACATCAAATAGGTAGTAGGGTGCCGAAGAATATCGCAATATGTTCCTTGTACCTTTATTATACTGCTGTTGAGTAATATTTTTCGCAGGAGATATATTGTACCGTCTGGTTTGAGTTTGCGGTGGTGACGTTTTATGAGGTAGGTAAAAGATAGGGCTATGTACAGTTTTTCAAGTCATGCCTGTCAGTTGCTCGTGATGAAAAAAGCTCAAAGAATGACCCTGCTTTTCCGAAGTGATGCGCTCAAAATTAACAACACTAATTAAGAATACATTTTTATGCAATGGCACTTCCAATGAACAATTTTATCCAAAATGATACAGAACTTGCTTCCCCTTTTTGCCCTTTCCTTTTTTATCTTGAGAAGCGGACGAATCCAATTCGGCAGGCGTTGGATCGCTTGATAATCCCCAAGCAGAAGGTCTGGCACTTGCAGAATTTCGGTCGTCCCATCTTACGGTTCCACGAGTAAGGCCAGCCATAAGAGTGTTTGGCTTGGGAGCCGCCGGAAGAGCAGGGAACGCATTAGAATCCCCAGCGACTTTTGGCCGTGAAGTAGAGGCTGCCAGTCTAGAGCCAGAGCTGCTTGGGCCAGATGATATGGCTGTTGTGGTGCCCCATGCATTGCCTCCCTGAGTGGGTTTGCGACTAGTAGCGTTGTTGGAAAGTGGAGGGAAAGGGTTAGAGGTAGAGTTGGAAGGAAGAATCCCAGAAAGCCTGGAGTTTTGACCTGAGGCTGATCGAGAGGACTGCGTAGTAGATGATTTTAAACGCAACACTCTTTTTCCTGAGCCAATTCCGCTAACAGTTCCGGTGTATGGAGTTGTTCCACTGGGTCCTGGAAGCGCCGGATAGTCTTCATTGATTGCACGCCAGTCATTCCAAGCCTTTAGAAGACCCGTACGTTTGTTCTCATCTTCATAGATATGGGCAAGCTCTTTTATCAGCTTCCCTAATTCCGCTGATGATGCATCGAAGAGCGAAAAGAACGCTTCGATAAGTTGGTTGGCTCCAATATTGTTGCTTTGATACTGTGAGACCTTCCCCCGGAAGTCGCCAATTTTCCGCTGGTCATTTCGGAGGAGAGAACATGCACGCTCCATAACTGCAGAGTGTGCTGCCTGCCTAGCATGGTCCTGTGGCGTTACCGGGGCAGTGGGCTGCCCAAGGTCAAGGGCTTCAATTGAAGGTAACCCTGAATTCGGTGTTGCCATTGTTGCGGGTGTAGCTGTAGGTGTAGGCCTTTGGGTGGTTGGAGCAGATGACGTTGTTACAGGCCGTGAGGATGTGAGCTGCCCGCCAAAAGTTCTCGTAGAAACGGACTGGGAGCTTTGGATAGCCATCTGGCGCTGGTAAGCAAGTTCATCTCTCCGCAATGGTTGGGCGCTTGACTGTGGAATTGGTTCTGAATTAGGGTCGCGGCCTCTCCCAGCTCCTCTGCTATCGCGGCCATCACGGCCATCTCGGCGCGGGCGAGTTTGTTGGTAAGGAGATCTATAGTCAAAGGTTGACATGTCAACGAGCCTGGCATCTCTTCTTGCATCTTTTGATAGCCCAGAAGGATGGGACTCAAGCTGGTGTGCTTTGAGGTCCATTTGCGAGTCAAAAACCACAAACTTCTTATCTAAGCATTCTTTATCAAGGCACAAGAAGTGGTCTTTGTTAAAGTGTTTCTCTAGTGCATCATAGTCAATATAGTATTGTGGGTTGCTGCCTCCGGACCTACGATCACAGATATGGCATCTCTCGTGTTTGTCTCTGCAATGTGCATAGAGCTCGTCATCCCCATAGAAGCGTTGGCGACAGAATCCGCATTCCGGATGCCCTTTGAAACCACTTTGGTCAATGGCACCTGGGTTGTCATCGCCATATCTTTCATGCTTTCGTAACAATGCTGCAGTGAACAACTCGTGCTCGTGTGTAAAAACTTTCTTATTTCGCGTACAAAGATCACTAGTTATTCGCCTCGTTAGTATGGGTTTTTCTTTGCATAATCTCGTATTGAATAAACGGCGAAACTTACCACATCACCTTAGCATGTTTACTTTTGACATGACGGTGCAAGTCTGGCCATCCAAGACATGCAACATCACAATCACTATCCGGACAATTGTATCGAAGCAACAAGACGGTATCCTCAAAGATCTCGAACTGCTCATATTTTATCCCCAGATTGTCATCAGAACGATCAAAGTCAGAGTTCGTAAACTCCTCATATCTCTTCGTGGAATTATTGGTGAATATGACGAAATCAGACTCAGTCTACCGTCGTACGGAGTCAATACTCTTTATCCAGACCAAAAGGAAGGGTATACCTGGACTTACTCGACAATGAGCACAGGCCTTGGTTTTGTACAACGCTCTCAGCCTGAGGGAACATATATGACAAGTCCTATGGTTACAAGGCGCCACGGAGATATGGTCAATCTTTGAGGCGCAAATGAAGCATATCTCGTTCTCATCAGCCTCTTCCTCCTCTCCGGCGGCAGGTCCTCCAGGACTCTGCGTCGGCTTCTCCTCGCCCTGGGAACGTTTGGCATCTCCGGTCAGGCGAACACCGGAGGTGCCAGTGCCCTCAGCACCCGCTCCTGGTGGCTCGCCGCCGACATCGTGTCTGTTATCTCCATCCTGCGTTCGATTTCCTCCACGTCTTAGGTTCCTAGCCCCGCGTCCCTCGTGGTGTGCACTGCCTCCTCTGCCGCGGCCTCTACCACCGCTTCCTCCCTGGTTATGCCGGCGCGGCTGCTGGTTATGATCACCTGGAGAAGAACTAGTCCCAGTGCCTGTACCACCGCCTCGCCGGTTGCCTCTGCTGCCGCGATTTCCTCTGCCTCTGGCTGTTTCTCCAGACCGAGGGGTGCCTGGTGGGTTTGGTGAAGAGTGGTCCGCCATTGCCGCAAATAATAGGGTATGGTATGAGCAGGAAAAATGGTCCAGGAATGCTTCGTCTCTGTGATCAAAGAAAGAAGAGAAACGGTGCGCCGCGACCTGGGATGTAGCGCTCAGTTTTGCAGTTATTCATTTATTTAGTTAGCTATCTTCAAAAAGCGTCGTTAGGATCTTTCGGCTGACTCATCAACCTTTTTGGATGATTCATAGTGACTCTTCCAAAGAATTTGAGAATGGAAAGAGTCAGATTTTACGAGCTGAGAAGAGAAGTGCATATAAGATTGAAGGGAGCGCATTCCGCGTACCATACCGAATATATGTATATATATATGAATGAGGCAGTGTAATTAAAATACTACTTAACTAGTTAACTTAACTAATTGGTTGCTGGTTGAATGTTCTGTAATAGCCGGTTCCATCTAAGCAAACCCTGATGCTTCACTGAAATAAAATAGCTGATGTGGTTGCATCAAACACAGATAGGCTTGTCGCCTTTTGTCGTTAGAAGATGAGTAAATATTTGCATCATATAGAAGTGGCCGTTTGTGCTGCCGTTGATCATCAAAATATGTAAAAAAACGAGGCCCTTCGAAGGGCAATATAAACACCTAGTAAAACACCTTTTCCTCCCATATTGGTGGTTTCATTCCGACTTTATCCCATACCACTTTGTTCTTGCCGTTAAGATGAGCTTCATTGTCGGTCATGGGTATAATGGCACTGGTAAGCTCCACCTCCTGACGGCTCACACCTCCAGCATCTCGAGGGATCCAAAGAAGAGGTGGCTGGCTGTAGACGCAGCTCGGATGATACGCATTGTCCGAGACTTGTTCATCATAAGGGATTGACGGATCCTGTCGTATCTTCTCTCGCAGTGCCGCATAGTTGGCATATATGCTAGGATGGAAGAGCCACCAGCGGAAGTTTTTGAGCTTTCCCGATAGCGAGTCTGGCGCCGTGGCGATCTCTGCCAGAGTTAACGTGTTCTGACGTCGAGGTAGGAACTCCTTGCCGCTGGTCATGCTTCGAGACAATAATCGAGGCTTTTCCAGGTCGCTCGGTGTTGTACACGTCCAGTCTTCTTCATTGTTGAGGGTGTGAGGTAATGCCGATAGAAGAGGTTCCAGTGCTTCATTCAGGGAAATGTGACAAAGTCCAGTGAATACAGTAAACATGCCCATTAAGACCATAGGGCCGATGGCTGCACGGATGGCAAAGAGCCCAAACATGCATATTTCTGCTAGGTAAACACCCGTTAACACCTGTTGGAGTGCTCGAGGGTATACTAGACCCTTTGTGTCGATAACTGGCTCGTAAACGAAGAGTAGGTTGTATCGATAGGCTTGGTACACCAAATAGAGGCCAAGTGCAGAGAAGCCAAGAACCAACGGAGCTATACAGCTGTAGGTAATTGCTATCGTACTTCGTGTTAGACTATCCCGCCAGAACGTTCAACATACAGTGACAACAAGAGAGATTTGCTTACCGATCACAGTCATATTCGTGAAAACGGGGAAGACTGTTCCCCACCATACTCCTGTAAGTGCAGCCCATCGTGAGTATAACTTTCGAGGCGTGGTGTCAAAGACAGTCCGAAGGACCTGGAAAACCAAAAATGCAATAACCTGCACCACAGCCCCTGAGCTCAGCATTAATCCTTGGAAAAGGAAGTACGAAATGTAGAAATTTGTAGCCTTTGGTAGGTTCTTTGCTAACAAATCTTTCGCCGAAAGTGGGTTTTTGATAATTTGACTTGTAGCCGCAGAGGCCGCGGATGTAATGGTAGTTACGAGGAATACCTGTACTACTTGAAAGCAGAAATGAGCATTCTGCGTAAAGAGTTCTGCTTTAGCCGTTGAAGGGACACCTGATTGTCTTGCACACCCTAGGTCAACAACGTTAGAAGAAATCCAATTTATAAGATGAGATTCAAGGGTTTCGTACATCTCATGATCCATGGAACTGCCGACATCAAAATAGCTAACCCTGCCGCAGGAAGAAGACCACTTATTACTCCCTTTATGAAGGAAGGTAGTTCGTTCACGAAGCTGAGGAATTTAAGAAGATTGGTGAGATAGGTAATGTTGGAAATTGATCCAATCAAGGCAGACGGTATGGACCAGAAAATGATCAAAACGGCAATGAAACCCTGCACGGCAAATTTCCTGACAATCCTTTGATACCACGAATACCGCAGAGCCGGCCATAGTACCTGGTGCGGTGGAATGCCAATGAACCGTGGTGTCATCTGGGATGGATGGTGATGCGAGAGAGTTTGGTATGCGATTTGGGCTTCTCGTTGGGTAGTGAATTCCACAAACACGCCGCCTACACTCTTTGCTTCGCCGACTCGGTGTTCCTGTTGCAGAGCTTCAACCTTCGGGATCAGCGCAGCAAGACGAGAGCGAAGGTTTTCAATGATATCAACCTTCTCGCCGAAGAGATAGTGGGATCGTCTTGAAGGGCGCTTAACATGTAATAGCCAGGGGGACTGGTGGAGATCAGATTCATTACTGCTCTGCTTAACAGCGGCTTCTTCTAATGAGACCTCCAGGTCTCGGCCTTGTTTCTTCAACGCCTTTAGGCGGGCAGCATGTGCATTTTTAACATATCTTGTTTCGGCACCTTCTAGGCTATATGCAAGGTTGTCCCGCTTGCGAACAAGTCTCGCTAACTTCGACGTATCTTCCGACGTCCAAACACGCTTGACCGAGTCACCGAATATCTTCGAGAGCTTCGCTTTATTCTGGTAGGATTGTGGAACTGACATGAACAGAACGGTTCGAGAAGAGATCCGGTCAGCGTATAGCGGCGAAAGGAGATAGGCCTGGCGAAGAGCTGCATAAAAGATGCTTTCACGGCAGACCATGAGAAATACAAACCCTGTCGATAGGTTAGAAAGGGTAATTGGCGTCGCTCATGGTTATCAGGCATTTAGTTAAGGCACTAGTGCGCTCACCAAAAAATATCCAGGAGACAATTGTATGCGCGTAGTATCGCTTAGGATTGACAACGTTGCTAAAAGTGAGAACATCAAGCTGGGTATTTCCGGCGCCTCCGGTGATATGTATTGGCATTAAAATCGGCCATGTAATGCAGCATCCAATGAAGCTCAGCAGGGACATCTTCTTCAGAAACCGAAGGAAAAAATAGCCGTCCAGAGATGAATGTCGGAGAACATGGCTATCTGGGAGGCGAATGAACTCCCCTATCCAGTTGACAAACCCATGGGGGAGTTCCGGGCTTCGTTCACTGTTCAACAACCATGCATTAGATACACATTACCATTCCACTGCCCTGCTGGAGAATCACAACGTACTGGTCATGCATATGCCCTAGATATGACCTTGGAGAGTAGAATCGGCGCTGTGTTCGGCGGCAGATGAGAAATATCAGGAAGCAAAGGGCAGCCAGGATGAATGCGGGAAGGAAAGTGGAAAGCAATGCCATTCCAGATGTAGACGCCGTTATCCCCACGGTTTGGAGTGCCTCCGATGTCGAGGATTTGTTATTCCCCCGCGCTGATCCAATGTTAGGGTCATTATTCGGGTCCTTGATAGCATAAATTAGCTTAATGTCCTCTCGAGTTATGAGTCTATAGAGGGCTGCGAAAGAATAAAGCATGAAAAAAAAATATATTCATACCAGCACATTCCTACTGACGAGTGTGGCCATTGAGACCAGTTCTTCTGGAGACATCTTTATCCTTGATTGAGAGAATTTGCTGACACCGCGGAGTTTTCAAAGACTCAGCACATTCTCTTGGTGTGCGCCTACTATGTCATAGCTAGATCCCCGAACGTTGCAGTGAAAACGTCACTGAGGGGGAGGGAGGAAAGCTGCAACGGTTCTTATGAAGCAAGGGAGTGACATTGAAAACTCTAGGGGAGAAATTGCCATGGTTTGTCCTAGACTGGGGATGGAAGATGGCTCCCGGTGGGCTCCTATGAGCTGTCATATATATAATTCAGTGACGGGCTCGCTTTTTTTCCCCAGCAAGCCCATTTTCTTCGATCAAGAACTCCAGCAGGGAAACCCCCGAGAGCGAGGGACGCCAGCTATTGGATGATAGGCAACGCTCCAGCCCGCTGCTGATATGCGAGAGCGAATGAAAGGCTCGTTTGGTTGCTTGATGGCGTCGTGCCGCACGGTAAAAGAAAAGTAAAAAAGCCCGGAATAATAAGCAGTGTGGGACAGGGACATCCAGGGCCGAAACGATTGGTCTCCCTACGCAGCGAGATTGACAGTCCCAGCGTTCGTCTTGCGCAGGGCAGGTGGCCAAAAGAGAAGAACTAGAACCCGTGGAGAGCTGGAGATGAGGGCCACGTCCAGGCGGTCGAGCAAAAAGGGGCCCTCGACCCGGTGGGCGTTTCCAGACAGCTCGAGCCGTCAACCGATCGTGGGGGTGGGAAGTCCGACGGGGTGCATTAACTAGTCAAATCCCTGGACGAATGGAGAGGCGGCTGATGTGGCCGACTGGTCACAGATCGAATAATATGGATAATATAGTTAGCTGTGTCTGTGTTATCCTGTTTGACCCAGATATTGATATAGATAGTACGGAGTATCCCGTATAGTTTCTGTTCGCCCACCCATCTCTCACCGGGTTTACTACCTGGAGAAACGAGCAGCCATCTAGTCGTCTGCTCCATGTCCGATCTTCCTATCACGGTTGGCGGGCGAGATGCTTTGTTTGGTAGACGTTGTCCGAGATGGCTGTCTGGCTCTGCACGTTCTGTAGGATGATGCTGAGCAGCAAGCCAACCACCAGAGACGAAAAATGCGTACGCAGCCCGTTGCACAGCAGTAGCTTTGGATAACTCGGGCTTCTCCAGCTCATGGAAGCGTCTAATCGCATCGTTTCGGGGGTTGATGCCATCCGACATCCGGCCGTCCTCAGTGTCACCACCACCGTGTAGATGTTGTGCGTAGCTAGTTATGCCGCTGCCGGGGAGCCCGTAGCTGTCGTAGAAAGAAACGACTCTTATCTGCCATGTAAATAGCCATCTAGCAGTAGTCCAAGGGCCCCAGGAGACAGGATACCACTCCTCGCCATCGTCGTCGCCGTCGCCGTCACCGTTGTGTCCGCCCGCCAGCCCTGCGCCCCGACACCTGCTATTACCTATAGGTTATACCACAACACCCACCGCCAGCATCGAGCATCGCCGTGGAAGAGGCCGTGTTTCGGTAGCAGAGAGAGAGAAGATGAGCGAGCAGCGCGCGCGAGCAAGAGGGAGAGCCCAGCAAGGTCGCCTGGCCCTTTGGATCTTCACATCGAAACGGTCGTCTTTCCTGTGCCTTTTTCTTTTTTTCTTATTCTTTTCGCATCGCCATCTCAACGGCCCCATAGCAAGCAAGCAGCGCAACATCGCCAGATTCTCGCTCTCTCGCTCTCTCGTATTTCGCCCCCGGATGGCTTGGGCGGCTCAACAAAATGCCTGGAGAATAGCTGAGCCCCCAGTTCCCCTTTGTCCGTCCAAACGATGGAGCAGCCGCAGAGCCAGCAGAACCCAGAGCAGAAGCACCAGGAGCAGAAGCCGGCCAAGTTTCGCTGCCAGTTCGCGGGCTGCAACCGCTCGTACCTGAGGAGCGAGCATCTCAACCGCCATGCGCTGATTCGTGCGTGATCTCTTCCTCTCTGCCGTCATGCCATGCCAACGAGGGCTTCGAGTCTGCTAACGGGGGCCAACAGACAAAAAGGGAGCCTTTCTCTGCTATCTGTGCCAGAGGCGGTTCACTCGAAAGTAAGCCGGACGTTGGATGCTGGACGTTGGACGCTGAAGACCGAAAAGACTGACATCTCGATAAATTCTGTAACCGACAGCGACCTCCTCAATGCCCACCTACGGCGCCATGAGAAGCGCAAGTCTACGTCCGAGGGCGTAGAGCAGCCGCCGAACGCCTCAGATGCTTCCGCTGCTGCTGCTGCTGCTGCTGCGTCTGCCGGCCAGCCTGCTGCCCTCGCGTCTCTCTCGCCGCCGCCGTCAACCACCCTGGCCATCGTCGCCAGCAGCTCCCCGTCAGAGACCAGGCCCTCGCCGGCCACTGCAGAATGGCATCTCGAGCCTCAGAATCGCCTCGACGGAGCCGTGGGCCAGTCGCCCGCTGCCTACAGCGAAGTTGGCCGCTCGCCGGTGGCCCATTTCCCTGCAATGGCTCCTCTCACGCTCCCTTCGCCCTCGCCTCGAACTGATCCCAGCAGTCATATATACAGCAATAGCCACAATAATAACCATAGTCACAGCCATCTACCGCCTAGCGGACAGCCGGCCGGCATGCATCAGCACCATCAGCACCACCACAATCACAGCCACGCTCCTCCGCATTCCTCGATGCCTCCCGTCGGCCATCTGCCCCATCTGCTCAGCCATCAGCAACAGTCCCACCAGCAGTACCTGGCAATGCCCACTCCGTTTGACGGCTACCCGTGGCTGTTCCATAGCACCAGTCTCTTCGATCTGCCCTCAGACGACTATCTTAATCTTCATTTCGGGGATACAACTGACCATACATCGCCTCCTGTATGTTGTCTATAGAATGGCCATGATGAGCCTTTGAAATAAAAGAAAAAATATATTATAAAGAACCTGTTACTTACTAAACCATATGTTTCAATTGCCATCAGGACTTATACCTCCCATCTATCGGTTCGAACTCCCCCCAATATGAGGCCCCCCAAATTACGTCTCTCGACCATGAGAGGATATTGAGCCATTGTTCTGTACGTGGTAATAGAATACGCATCGTTTATGCCTTTTTGATTCTTTTTTCAGCAAGTATTACTAACATCAACTTAGGATCTTCTGAATACCCCTTTAAAGGATCATATCAGAATGAACCAAATTCTCCGTTTGGCGCTGGACTATTGCGATATATATATGCCCTTTTTCCATCGACCAACCCTCAATTTGTCCCGGCTCTCTCCTGTTGAACTTCTCGCATTGTGCAGTCTAGGTACCTTTCTTAGCAAAACACAGGAGTTCTACGAGGTGGGGAAGCTGCTTCACAAACATGTGTGGTCTCAAACGATTGAAGTAGGTACTATGTCTTTACGCTATAGAGTCTATACAGTACCCGCAGCTTACAGTTTACGGGTAGAAACCTCTTATGAGCGCAAGGGTCGAGATGCCCTTTATACAGACATTGTTCGTTTCTAGACCTTGGGTTTCTAGAATTGCTATTAGTGTTCTTTTGTCTGTGGTATTGATCGACTAACTCTTATTTAGAGTGGTCCTCGAGCATATCTGTACGTATGCCATGGCACGTCATGAGCATGAGATGTCGGAGATAGTGCACGGAATAATTGTGACGGTAAGCTTTATATGGCAGTCATACTTAAAAGGGCCTACTTCTAACCTAGATGGAAAGCTCGCACGGCGAAATAATCTCATGACTGAGGGTCCTAGTCGGGAGGGAGGGACACGACAATCCCCGGATGTCAGATGGAGAGAATGGGCACAGAGGGAATCCGTCATCAGGTAACTATTGAATTGACACGAAACTAAAATTCATGCTTACACCGAGTAGAATAGCGCACACTATCTTCGTTAATGATGTTCAATATATGGTCTACTTCTCACACCATGCTTTGCTCTCTGTGGGTATGATGAAGATACCGCTTCCGAGCCGACAGTCACTCTGGGATGCACCGTCAGCCGCCAAGTGGGAGGACGAAATGCGTCAGCTAAAGAAGACCAACCGGTCGAGGTATTTGAGCCTAGACTCTGCCGTCCAGTCGATACTGTCCATGAAAGATGCAGACCACATGCGTGAGGTCCTACATTGGCACAGCACTCCTAGCCCTCTATCACTACACATTCTCATCCATGGCATAACTTCGGCTATAGGTGATGCAAAGTACCGATCGGTGTCTTCTTCCAGCAGTTTGGTTATTCGCGAACTACAGAGGCTGGAGTTTGACAGCGCACTGTCATACTGGCGAGATCAATTCGACCAGCTCTCTAGTTCAGATCAGCGGTGTCAGCTATCGTGGTGCGCGCTGGTCATGTACGACTTCTCTGCGGTACTGCTGCGGAACAACCTGTCCGATATTCAAATGGCAGCTGGAAGTGCCTTCTCATCGGGACGGACAGTTACACCGCAAGTAGCACAGGCAGCCTACACACGATTAGTCTCAACAGACCCAGTCTGTCATGATTCATACCTACATGCCCTCGAGGTGGTGGGCCTATGCATAGAGGAAGACACTGGCAACGGCAGCGTCAAGTCTGGTCTTGGTGTGTTATTGTCCCAGCCCATATCACAACCTCGGCCGTTATGGCAAACATATTGTGCGTTCCTTGGCCTTCTCGTCCTTTGGGCTCGAGCTCTCGGCTTGGAAAACAAGGAGCAGCTTCGCAATTCTTCAAGGCTAGGGCTTCGGCAGGTTTCACTCCAGTCGATTCCGTCAACTGCCGCAACCATTTTGGCCAATATGCACCACAGGGAGCAGGCTCAATTCTCGGCTGCCTCAGTAGAAGTTCAGGTACTTAAGAGTGAGCTGAGGGAATTGATCAGTACTGTCAGTAACCGTCTCTCGGCCAGCTCATGGGAAATATGTAAGTTAAGACCCGTCTATCGTCCCATCCTGGCCATGTCCGTGCCATTATTATTTTTATATCTAACTCAACGACATTGCAGCACATGAGGCAGCGAGAATCTTAACCTCCTTGGTTGAGAGGGAAGGGCTAAATTACCATAGAAGGGCGAGCTCTCTTCTACAAACTTCCCGCGAATAACACTTAAGGCAGGGCTAGTCGTGGAGTAGTATGAAGAGATTCGAATACTCCCTCGATACCCGCCCGTTTTGTCCTTTTTTCAACCAAGTAGGTGTACAATTAAGATTGTTTTCTATATATACGTTTGGTACACAAGAAGGGAGCTGCCTTCTTGTCGATATTGGCATGAATAGCCAGATACCCTTTCATCAAATGATTCCCATGGCTCCTTATACCTGTTTCTTTTATGTGTCTACTGCAATTAGCATGACGCTGTCTGCGCTTTTTCTTTCTTTTCCTGTGTTGTTAGCATCAACCATTACCTTTACTTAGAGCGTTTGGATACACAAGAGACAAAATAACATCTTCACTCGCGTCTTCAGGCTCAACATCTACGCTATCCAGCCAGCCCGTTTCTCTTTGAAGCCCGCCTTTTTACCATCCACGCCACTCCAATACTGCTCCTATATCGCTCCCCTAATACCTTGTAGAGGTAAGACTTCTTTCTACTATGCAGGTTTATAGACAGCTCCTAATAGAATATTCTCCTCCTAGCACTACGCCATACACTCACTACACAATCCCATAGTCTTGCAGTGACACAACATCCAAGCATGTGCAAAATGACAGCTCCCAAATATGCCTGCGGCCATCTTGGAGTAGCTCGTATGCTTCCGTGCCATAAGGAGGAATGCAAGGGGTCTGTTTCCGTTATTCTTCCTAGCCACCTAGAGTGCCCATCATGCTGCAAGATCCGAGATATTAAATAGGAGGGAGACACGATACACCCAAGGAACGCCGGGTCTCTAGAGCATGCAACGGAGGATCAGATGCTAATTGACTCTTACTGTGTGTCTATGTGAATCTAGCTGTAGAGCCGGATGCTTCTGTTGTAAATAGCGTCGAATATCAAATCGCCCAACTGCTAAGCACTAACAACTCAATTATAACTAAGCAACAGCCAAAATATTAGCCACCGCCATCTCAAACGCCGTCGGTAACTAAAGAGTTATGTATGTACCTTGTACGTAAACATATAGATACCCTTGGCTTGCCGCAGCCCCCTGTCGGATTACACATAACTAACTAAGCAACTGTTAGTTACGCCTGCTGCGGGGGCGGGGGAGTCGATAATAATTTCCAGACATCTTCATCGCTGAGGATCTGGGAGAATTGGCCTCTGAGATACCATACAACCACCTACCTAAGATACTGAACGCATCAAAGGATCAGCTCCATAGATAGGTACCTAGTTAACCGTCACGATGAGCGCGCAAGACCTTCACCCAGGATACGCCCATGCAGACGCCTTTGACGAAGGCTTCCTCTCGGTAGGATCTATCCACAAGATCCACTACGAGCAGTATGGAAAGAAAGACGGCAAGCCAGGTGAGTGAGCGAGAGAGTCCATGCTACAATTGCACAGCAACAGCCAATTGTCCAGGCTTGCTCATTGCTGAAACCCGCTGCCTACGTAGTCATCTTCCTCCACGGCGGGCCCGGCGGCCACTGTACCAAAGGCAATACAACCTTCTTCAACCCGGAGGTCTACCGCGTCGTCCTGTTCGACCAGCGTGGCTCCGGCAAGTCTCTGCCCAACTCGGAGATGCGTGAGAACACAACCCACCATCTGATTGAGGACATCGAGGCCATCCGCAAGCATCTAGGCATTGAGAAGTGGCACATGGTCTTTGGCGGTTCCTGGGGCTCGACGTTGTCGTTGGCGTATTCTCAGGCTCATCCAGAGGTCGTGGGCTCTCTCGTCCTCCGCGGCATCTTCACCTTCCGGAAAGAAGAGCTCGAGTGGTCTCGAGACATCATTGCTGGCCGTCTCTACCCAGACGCCTACGAGGAATTCGTCAACTTCCTCCCTGAGGCGGACCGAAAGGACCTTGTAGCTTCATACTACAAGCTGCTCCAGTCCGATGACAGACAGACACGCATCACTGCTTCCAAGGCATGGAATAAATGGGAACTGTCCATCAGCGAACTACGCCAAAACCCTCAGAGCTTGAGCAAGCTCGAGGACGATGACTGGACGCTGGCACACGCCTCGATGGAGCTCCACTATGCTATGCATGACGGCTGGCTTGAGCATGGCTCGCTCTTGAAGAAGGAGAATATCGACCGGATCAGACATATCCCAAGTAACCAAGTCCCCGTCCCTCGCCCCATCTTTATTCTCACTCTGCTCTCAAGAAGAGGCACCTTGCTGACTCTCCTCTCTCTTCCTCTAAAGCGACTATCGTCCAAGGACGTTACGATATCGTATGCCCACCTCAGACCGCCTATGAGCTGCATAAGGTGTTCCCGGAGTCCCGGCTATTCTGGATCGCAGATGCCGGACACAGTGCAATGGTGAGCCATTTTTATGACATGTTCAAAACTTCCAGGTAGTCAACCAATTGTCTAACTAACTAAATGGCACCAGGAACCTGGAACACGCAGTAAACTGACTGAGACTTGTGACGAATATACCAGTCTATGATATGCAGACAAATTGTGATTGTATGTATCGATGAATGCCTGTCAAGATGGCAAATGATACGCAAATGTTAGTTATGACGATTCAATGTATATTTCTGAGTGCTCTCAATAAGTAACTAGCAACCTGATGGACGAATATTGATCGAGTCAGTTAACTAATCTGTAGACTCCATTAACTTACCTACTAGTTACCGTTTGTTCCTTTCAAGCGGGGGCCCCTGGTTAATTGCTCCAGTGCTACCCGAAATGTTAGTTATAGCTCTCGTGCTATTTAATTAGTTGACTGGCTTGTCAATATCTTAACTAGTTATAGTCACGGCTACAGTCGCTAGTTTTATCCAGGTTAGCCGTAGCCAAAGCGATACTACCTGCTGGCGTCGTTGGTTAGCCAGGCGGGAACGGTGACAACCCTTAACTATAACTAACGTGGTGATAAAGCAAATTTTGACAGTATTTGAGACGGTGTCATCGAGAACGACGCGCATATATAACCAAGTGACTAACTAGGTACTCAGAGTACGGAGTACCTTGTGAAAAGCATTGTTTATACCCTAGCTAAACTAGTTAACTAACTAAACATTTAACTAGCTAGTTATTTAACGAACGCCTTTGCGGGCCTGGGAGCGAGCGAGGCTTGACCAAAAAAAGGACCGAAAAGATAGACGATGGTGAAATACACGTCGTGCTGCATGCATATTAACCAGTTATCCATCACTTCTTTTTAATTCCACTGGGGCTCTCAGATACATACAATTACCGACAGCCGTGCCCGTCAGATGCTGGAGTTGAAGTAATGTTCGCCGGTTTCAAGTTCCCGATACCCAGAGGCATCCAAGGATTGCTTCACCTCAGACAAATACTCTCAAGGCATAGGTATGCGAGTATCTACGCTGGAATTGGGCCATAATGGAATGATTTTCTTTCTATTCTGTGCACAGGGAGGACGAAGACACCCATGTGGGACCCTTAGCTATCTCCAACCTTACGGCCAGAGGTTTTATTTGCCCTCTTGTACCCTAATGAGCTCAACAAGGTGCCAGGGCCGGATGTTTCTCTCCATTTGTGCTGGAGCCCGACTCCATTGTGACATGACTTCAACTCCTGGCCCTGTGGATATAACATCGCTAAGTCGCCCACAAGGTCGTCAAGGTCATCCCAGTCCAAGGATATAGAAATATCCCGTTCTCTCCTGGCCAGCAGTCGGAGAGCCATCCGTGCCGTCCACAGAAAGTGACAACTACTCTACCATATCACCATCTCTTCTACCCCATCAGCTTTTAGTCACTGCGCTGATGCACCCAATTATGAAGGGGCTTCTCTCATTGCTCATTGTAGGAGCTGGCAATGTTTTGGCGGCTACCCATGGACCACGCCCTTTGGCTGGGGATATGCTGAGTGACAGGTACAAGAACTCTTTGGAAGATACCAGATCGGCTGTACCAAGAGATAAGATATACCATCCATCCGGCACTCGCATGGAACGGAAAAGAAAGCCTGATGAGACGTGGGACAATTTCATTCGCGGAAGTGATGTTAAAGTTAGTTGGATAGGTGGTAAAGGAGAGGAGCCTTCTGATATCGGAGAGTATGAGATGAGATCCAAGACCGTGGACCCAAGCACGCTGGGTGTCGATGACGTTAAGCAATTAAGCGGTTACCTTGACAACAACAAGGACGGCCAGCATCTTTTCTTTTGTGCGTGCCCATGCATATTTACCGCCGTTTATATCTATCCCTTTTATATCATTGCCGGTTAAGGGAAATAACTGCTAACACGTTTTATGTCCAGGGTTCTTTGAATCTCGAAATGATCCGAAAAACGACCCCGTTGTACTTTGGCTGAACGGTGGCCCAGGATGCTCTTCCATGACTGGCTTATTCATGGAGTTGGGACCAGCTAGACTCAACAAGGACCTGAAAGTCGTCCGCAATGATCACTCATGGACCAACAACGCTTCTATTATTTTCTTAGACCAGCCTGTGGGTGTTGGGTTTTCATATGGTAAAGAAATTCCTATCGGTACTCGCGCAGCTTCGAAGGATGTCTTCGCTTTTTTGTCCATGTTCTTTCAGCAATACCCTCAATACGGCAAGCAGGACTTCCATATCGCCGGAGAGTCTTACGCTGGTCACTACATCCCAGTGTTTGCATCTGACATCCTCAAGCAAAAATCCAACATCAATTTAAAATCTCTCCTTATTGGAAACGGCATCGTCGACCCAGCCACCCAGCACCCATTCTACATACCAATGGCCTGCGGAAAGGGAGGCTATCCAGCTGTCGTGGATCAGGCCACCTGCAACAAAATGCAGTCCGCTGTTCCTAAATGCCAAAGACAAACCAGGGCTTGCTACAAAAATCCCCAGAACCGTGCTCTCTGTTCCGATGGCTCTGTGTTTTGCGAGGATGCTTTAGTCAAACCAGTCTCAAATGCTGGAGTCAATATCTACGATCTACGTAATCCCTGTGAAGAAGGCAGTAGTGAATGCTACGCCATCCTTGACTGGATCGAAAAGTACCTCGACCAAGATGAGGTTACGGAGGCTCTCGGCGTCAGCGATCAAGTCCCATATTACCGAGGTTGCAGCGGAACAGTCAGCCGCCGCTTTTGGGCCAATGGAGACTTCAACCAGCCTTACCACCACCTGATGCCTGGGATTTTGGACAAAATCCCGGTTCTCATCTACGCCGGTGATGCTGACTATATCTGCAACTGGCTCGGCTGCATGGCCTGGACCGACGCTCTCATGTGGAAGGGTCACCTTGGATTCAAGCACCAGAAACTCGAGAAGGTCAACCATAGCGTTACAGGAAAAGCATTTGGGGAGGTCAAGCACCATAAAGGTCTTGCTTTCCTCCGCGTTTACGGTGCTGGCCACCTGGTTCCATATGACCAGCCTGAGAATTCCTTGGACTTCTTCATCCGCTGGATCAAGAAAGAGTGGACTTCATAGATCCCCGGTGTTCACCACTGATAGTCTTGCATACCCACGAGACTGAGCTGAATTCCTTCTTTGGGCACACAACACAACTTAGTACTTAGGGCCTATTGTTTGCTTCTTGGACATTGATAAAAATAAATCTAAGATTTTCTCACTCGTCATTTAATAATTCTGATGCCATATATATCCTCCCTTATTAGCTCCATCCTTCACCAGTTTCTTCACATACTCCAGAGCGTCTAGCGGCTCCCTACCCAGTAACTCACCCATTAAAGGGTCCACTGTTGCAGCATCCCCTTTTTCCATTGACTCTACCAGGCTCTGCCAACTTGTGAAGAAAGCTTCCGATTTTCCCCCTCTTCCATCTCTGGCATCTTCCACAGCCATTATGCGAGGAAATTCCTCCTTTGACACATGCTTGATTTCCAGTCGTTTACCAGTAGCGTCAGATATGGCGTCAATGACGTCCTTAAGCCGGTAAGTTCGAGAGCCAGTGAGTAGAGCAATGTTATTCTCCAAGGTCAAGCTCCCGGGATCCCGTAACATTAGCTGAGCAGTTGCTTCACCCAGTTCTTCTCGAGCAGCAAAGGCAACAGGACCATCGCCAGATAGGTATATGGTAGTTGTGTTTGGATACCAGAAGACAAAGACAGGGAAGGCATCGATATACACCCCTTCACGGACAGAGGTATAAAATAGCCCAGAACTAGTTATTTTCACGAGTTAGTACTCCATTCCACCGGCTGGCGTTGGGAGGGGAGAGAAGACACACTTTTCTAAGAGCTTCTCTGTCACCAAGTGAGCTTGCTGGACGGAAGCCTTAGACTCTAAACCATACCCGCCAAAGGCAAGGCTAGAGTAATACACCTAGCATAGTAACCCCCATTAGTTGAAGGAAGGAGGATTTTCCAGGACAATGAATGACTCACATGGCCAACTTTTGCCTCTATAGAAGCCTTAACTACTTGTTCATGCTGTTTGTTTCTTTTCTCGGTGTTCACGTCAGGGCTGGAGACGAAGAAGAAGCGTTCGACACCCTGCAACGCCTCGACAAGTGACTTTGAATCATTGTAGTCAAGATGTCTAAATTGGATCCCGGGGTAAGCCTGCTGGAGCTTTTCACCTGTTTCAAATCTGGAGGATGCTGCTGCTATCTGTGAAGGGTCTGGGATATTTTGATACAGCGTAGCCAGGACGGATCCCCCGAGGCCGCTCGATGCTCCTGTCACCAGGTATTTGGCTGGGAAACTCATTGTATATTGAGTCGGATAGATTGATTTCGATCAATATTGAAGATCAATATAGTCAATGAGGTTCAACTTTTAAGTCATGATGGCTGCTGTTAGCAGGAATGGTATCTCCTTTTATACCAGCCCCCCGTATGCTGCATAATGCGGGTGCAACAACGAGCTATGTATGAAATGTCGCCGTAGCGGACTTCCAAGTTGCTCCATAGCTACCGATAGCCGTGAGCTTTGTATTTCATATCTCGGAGACATTTCGCAGTGGGCTGTCAGCCTGCTGCGCGTGGATAGCACGACTAGGCAGTTTTATGTGACCAGAAAAGTTGCCGAGCCGGGACAACTTTGGATTCCTTGTCCACCACAGGAGTTAAAAGAGGTGAAGGAATGCCCCTCAGCTCGTGTTCAAGGCTGGCTATGCTGTGCCGTCAGCTCTTATAGGCTGTACGTGTCGTTGGCGGCCTGGAGCTTGGTGGGGAGGGTGATAACCAACTGCCTATAACTCCTGCGTTTTTCGTCCGTCACGGAAAAAGAGCTACTTGTTTTAACTAGCTAACAACGCACCTAGGTAACTAGTTGTTATACAAACTTAAGATAGGAATTGAAGTCTCTGCAATCCGCCCTGATATTTGAAATTCATCACTATCGACGGTTCTAGCTGTTCAAAATGGCTTCTAACCCACCAGCAGAGTGCTGTATCAGGGGCTTCATCCATGAAGGCACCGCTACAGGAGAGATACGGAAGATGGGGGACCGTGAGCACCTCGGCCATGCTATACCCTCTTGATTACTTCTTAGAACGAATATGACTAACTAAATCATAGTTGATATCTACTTTGCTTGTCCCAAGGAATGTAATAAGAAGGCTGGCAAGGCGATCGTCATCCTCTCAGATGTGATGGGCATTCGCATCAACAGCCAGCTTCTGGCGGACTATATGGCATCCCAGGGCTACCTTACGGTGATTCCAGACTTGTTCCATGGTGACTGTCTCACGCCCGACGCATTCAAGCCAGGTTCTGGATTTGATCTCCATGCGTGGCTGGCAAAGCATAATACTAGTGTCGTGGACCCAGTCATCGAGTCTACCGTTAAGCTGTTGCGCGATGAACATGGTATTGAGAAAATCGGGGGTGTGGGATACTGCTTTGGTGGCAAGGTATAGATGAAATGGTCGATGAGCTTGACTTTGAGTATAACGATCTCTGACGGGTTTGTGTAGTATGTATGCCGATTTTTGAACGGCGGGAAGATGAATGTTGGGTTTACCGCACACCCGTCTTTTATCTCGAAGGAAGAGTTATCTGCTATCGAAGGGCCACTATCCATCGCCGCAGCGGGTATGTATTTCGTTTCCTCGGTATATGAACGCTTCCCTCTGACAGTTAATCGCCTGCATAGAAATTGACGATATCCTAACAACCGAATTGCGCCATGAATCTGAAGAGATTCTAGCAAAGGGAGGCAAGCCATACCAGATCACGCTCTATGGGGGAGTATCCCATGGATTTGCCGTCCGTGGTGACCTCTCTAAGCCGGATATCATGTTTGCAAAGGAGCAAGCGCTGGCTCAGGCGTTGGCTTGGTTTGGTCAATACCTATGATAGGCCATTGAATAGGCATGTCATGACTTAATGAGACAAGGAAGTAGACAAAAGAAAGGGATGAAATCTCTATGATAATTCATTGCAACCATAGATGTGTCTGGTCGAATAAACAAATGTATCAGAAACCTTCGAAGGTATTCCGCCCTTTTCTGTCCTTCCTGCGCCTCTCATTTCGACGTAACCGTACAAAAAGACATGACATGACATGATATGATAGAAAAGGATTAGTGTCGAAATGAGAAGAAAAAAAAAAGTGAAAATCAAAATCAACAGAAAACAATAACAAAGCAAATGCACGCAATTAAGTAATGATCTCTTCAGTCTCTTCGATGATCTCCTCAACAATCTCTTCTACCACTGTATCGCCCTCGGCAGCAGTGATACTTGGCTGAGCAACAATATCATCGTCTGAGTTGGGAGACAGGCCGAGATCTTCTCTCTCCTCAAGAATCATTTGCTTCTCCTTTCTGAGCCAGGCAGTCCATTCGCTGAGGACTCTCTTTCTCATCTCTACTATCGCGGTGTTGGCAATATCGACAGCGTACTTGTCTTCTTCGTCAAACTCGCGGGAGTACTCGCGGAGGTTCTTGCGGACTTGTTTTTGCTCTTCTTTTGAAAGTAAGGTTGGGGGCCGTGGACGCCAGAGAAGCTGCTTGAACTTCTCGGTGGGGTGTTCGGCCAGTGTTGTGCCGGAGAATGTGTGGACATTATAGCCGTTCTCAAGCTGTTTATGGGTTAGTTATGGTGTTTACAGAAGCAAGATGAGATTATTGTCAGTGTATCCATACCGAGTGAGTCCAGGCGGAGGCGCTGGAGATGACAAATCGACCGGTTGGGTCCCAATCAACATCGGTCACACCGAAGTGGTCAATCGTCTTCATAAGCTGCAGATTGGCTGAAAGGTCCTTCTCGCTCTCTGGCTTTTCACCTTCAAAGTCCAAATCCCAGAAATCAAGGTCAAAGTTCTGCTGCGAATGGACGGTAGCAACAACAACAAAGCGGCCCTTGGGAGACCAGTATATTCCATTGCTTGTTTTCTTCTCAATGGTGCGGATGAGTTTAAAGTTACCAATAGCTCCACCCTTGACCTTCTCGGGACAGAAGAAAGAGACGGCAGTCTTTGGAGCAACGGCAGAGCCTGTGGGGGCCTCGCCAGTTGTGATGAGGACGAATCGATCACCTTTGGGTTCCCAAGCGAAATTTATGACGGTATCCTTTAGCGAGTCGACGACCTCAACGGGTACACCCTTTTCTTTCACTCGGAAGATCTCCAAATTCGTAGCCATGGATTTCTTGGATTTGGAGTGCCTGTCAACCTTGACACAAACATAGGCACCCTGGGATTGCCAGTGCAGCTTCACATCGGAGACGTTGAAAAGGTTTCGTGTACGGACAATCTCCTTTGAGGGTATGCTCATCAAACCGACCTTGGCAGGATTACTTCCAATTTCAGGAGTCCAGAAGCTGAGCAGCTGCTCGTAGCGTTTGACACCTTCTCTTTGTACGGTGGCAGGAGACCATTCGAAATCCATGACACCCTCAACCTTGATCACGGTCTTGTCAAGGAGGTTCATGCGAGGCAGCTCATAGACGGAGATGGATTGGTGCTGAAGCATACGGGCAACGTATTTCTCATCCGCCGACCATTTAAATGCAGGCCACTGTACTTTCTTCTTTTGGGGAGCAGCGTCGCCGTCAGTGCCAGCTGGGGCAGAAAGGTCATGGCTGACGAAGGATCGGAGGGGCTTCCCAGTGGTGATATCCCAAACGATTATATTCTTGCCATCTTCATCATATGATAACACTCCAGGCGCTCCCTCAATTTGTATCGGGCGACTAGACCACGTCGTAAGGTAGTTTTCCTGGGGCGAGAACTCCACAAGTTGGACGAAAGGGTGAGGAAACTGTTTCTGTTTGCTGAATTGGGGTCCGCCCCAGAGCTGGATACCTTGTGGATGGACGGAAGCAAGGTATGTACCCATGGGAGACCACTGAACGAAGAGTTGAGTCCAATGATCTCGGTCAACAATATTCTCTGGAGGATCCTTCTTCATATTCCAAAAAACGCCGACTTTGTCACCGCGGTACATTGCGAACTGGTCGCGGGCGTTGGGGTCGCCTAGCCATGATCGAAGGTGCTCCTTTTCCTGGAATGGTTCGATCTTGGGAGGTTTGTATTCGTCATCTATCCGGCCCTCACGTCCATATCTGTCTATATCAGTAAGCTTGTTGACTGCCAGGGTATGTTTCTTATCCAGGGGCGTTCCATGAAGGCTCTTTATAGCAGCAAAGGCTTCTTCGGGAGTGTCATATTCAACAAAGGCGAAACTGCATGCGAGAAAGAGATAACCCAGTTAGTTATGTACCATACAGGCTTCCCCTTATTTAGCTTATAGACGGAGCCTTACCCTTCGGACATCCCACTCTCATTCATGGGTAGAAAAATCTGGCGGTTCGGGTCGATACTGCTCGAAGAGGGGCCATCCTTCTTTATTTTCTTTAACAAAAATTTAATCAACTTCGCCTTGTTATCTTCAGAGACGATTGGGAGCCCATCGAAAACAACGAATGTGTCCAGTCCTTCTTCCAGACGGACTTCGAATTCGGCCTTTAAATCTGCACAAACGCCAGTTGTTGTTAGTTTAATTTCATCAACTAGGGTCTTTGGAGCGGGACGTGTGCGGGCATGCCTGAGAAATCGATCTCGACCTCATCCTGCTGCAGGTCCTGTTCGGTCAGGGTATCAAACGTCGACATTGTGGCAGTCTGGTGTCTCGCGAGCGGCGACAAGACAAGTTGACAGGCAAAGCAGAGGCGACAGCGAGGTTCGAAGTTCGTGGTGGAGGAAGAAATCAAATATTTTTATGTGGAAGAAAAAAAAAGGTGTGAACGAACGTTGTGTGGGCCATTCCACATCGGGACTAGCGCGGCACAGTCCAGGTCGACGTCGACTCGCAGCATATAAAACAAACAACACGGACAGCGACGGTACGGTGACAATGATGGCGAAGACGATAGATGATGGATATGGCGGGAGAGAAGGAAGGCCGGAGACGAGGAGGAAGATGTTCTGTTTCATTGAGGCTGCCGCAAACTCCAAGCTAGATACAAAGATATCTCCTATAAAAATGCACCGCTGACGCCCAGTGAAAATAGATGGCAAGATAGATAGCAGGAAAATGAGGAGAAGACAAGACAAGAAACGCCGATTTCGCAGCATTGGGGTAGGTCATCGCTAGACTTCTCATGCGAACAATAACAAAGGAGAAGAGGAGGAACGAGGGCAGAGTACAGGGTCGTTGTTATCGTAAATGGTTAGAACAAGCAATCACTCCTCCGGATCGTAGAGGTTTTGATTGAGAACCTTGGTCATGGTAAACATGTGGATACGATCCTGTTTGAAAACAGGGCGCATGAGGTCGTCGCATCGAATCTGGCGACGGTCGTTCGGGTCCTGGAGCTCATGTTCGCGGATGTACTCCCAGACCTTTTTCACCGTCTGAGGTCTCGAAAGCTGTGTAGTCAAGTTAGTGACGGAGCTGGCAAACGGTAGCACGCAAAGAGATATAAGCGCTTACAGTAACTTCGCCACCAAGCAACGCGGATAGCGCAGGTGAAAGTGCCAATGGTTTCTGTAAACAAATATGTCAATAAATCCCCTACACGCATGAGGTGGAAGACGTTGTACGAGGCTGCATACATGAAATCCGCCTGTGCGATTCACTTCCTTCTTATTATCGGCACCAGACCCATCAACGTCTGAATCATCAGATGCTTTCACCTTCTTCGCGGTCTTGGTGGTGTTCTTTCGTTTCTTCTTGACCACTCCAGTCTTCCTTGAGTTGGCGCCACGCGTTGTCCGAGCCCGTAGATTCTCTTCAGCCTGTAGTTTCGCTGCAAATGCGGCGTCTGAATCCACCACATCGTCTTTCCGCTTCTTCACGGGAGGTGGTGAGGAGTCTGTTATATCCGGCATGCCTTCCGGGTCTGCGCTGCGCTTCTGCGTCGGTGATGGCAAAGAGTTACCATTAGCGACGGGTACGGAGGAGGTGACGGGCTGCGATTCAGCTGCAATGGCGTTGGATTGCTCGGCAAACATGTCGAAACGCTCCATGATCAGCTCCTTGAGCGTAGCCTATGTAGCTATCAGTACCAGCTCACTAGCTCACAATAACACAGAGCAAGATAGGTGGCCCTGAAACCTGGGGTAGCTACAAACCTTATAAGGTGTTAGGTCATGGCCAGTAGTTTCCTGCAAGCCCCTGCGGATGCGCTTTTCTGATATGGTTGTGAGATCACTACTAGCCAGAATAGAATCAATTATGGTAGTATAAGAAGCTTTCACATCGGGCGACACTATGTTTACGGAATAGGGTAAAGGCTGTCAGTTCATATAATTCTTTCAACAGCAAGAAAGTGAGAGAAAGAGCTCTTACATTCCATGTTGACAGCGCTCAACAAGCGGCTCTGCAAAGTAGCAAAGTAAAACAAGATAAGCAAAGGATCTATGAAGAAAATAGAGACAAAGATAAGGTGTGTAAGCAGGCGCTATTGGGTGCCGAAGAAGAGGATGAAGGCTAGCGTCGGTAAGAGAGCCCAAGAAAGATGGAAAAATGATGTAGTTGATGGGATGAAGAAGCCGGAGAAGCCTTTATTTAGCGCGGCTGGCGGGGCGAGAAGACGCGAGATGCGCTGCTGCTGCCGCCATGGATCTAATAATAGCGCGCGGCCGGGACGGAAGCCTCTATACGAAACGCGCGCCGGCGGCTAGGTGCAGCTTCGTATATCCAATAAACAGATATCTGATGAAATGAATAAAAACAAGTAAATTAAAATATATGTACAGCTTATGTTACATGGGCGACTAGTTATCATGCTAGGAACTCACCGTCGGCAAGGACATTCCATGGCAGGCCTTCCCGCCAGGACTTTTGCATGAGCTTTCTTGCTCCCCGTATCTACAAAGACAAATTAGACGCGTACATTACTGAGAGTGAGAGAGAGCTGGAACTCACCTGTTTCATGCCGACACTCTCAAAGCCCTGGACACGCTCACTCACTTGTTGTCGCTGGTTCGCATCCTGGCTCTCGCATCCGGCAGTAAATAGTGGGAACAATACACACACTTCTTCCTGCCCACCACGAGAAACTTGATCGAGCGAGTCAAAGAGCGCGTCCACCAAATGCTTGACAATAGGATCCGAGGATTCGCGTCCCAGTACTCTTCGATGTAGGTGGATCATCCCAGCAAGCCGATACGCCTCGTCCATTGCAGCCATACTAGGCTCAACCGGCTTCCGATGGTGTGTCTTGAGTGTCGACGTACGGTCAGGACCTGCTTCCTCCATGTCTTGGAGTAGCTGCTTTGCGCTTGCTAGCACAGACGCAGGCGGATTCCAGCTAGTAAAGAGTCGTCCGGCTGGGTCCACTCGTACGTTGTCACATTGGTGCGTCAGTGTACTGAGCCGCGATAGTAATGAACAACATCGCGGAGTAAATCCAGAAAAGCAGTCTACTTCGAACTCCTTGTCGCAATATAAAGTTGGATCTCCTTCCGTTGCAGTATCAAGGGCCCAATACGTGCCATTAAACAACGGAGGCTCTGCGTGTCTAGATGAAAGGCTACCGAAGAGATCAAGATACACAAGCCAGCGATGCAAGAAGGAGTTAACCTGCCCAGTGAAATGTTCAGGATCGGATTTTTGACGTGTTAAAAAGATCTCACGAGCTGTCTTCAAATGGCTCTCCCATCGGATTGGGACCTCGAATGTACTAGGTGAAATAACTTTCAGAGAGACAAGCATGATCGCCGTCGCCAACGTGGCAGCGGAGGTCCTCCTGCCAGGGTCACCAAGAGCATGGCGGAGGGACGGAAATACACCGCTAGTCCATCGCGCTATTCGTGTGTATGGTTCCGCATGGCCTAGGAGTCGTGATCTATGGCTTGCTGAATATGCTAATAACAGGCTTAGGATATTATCCTCTTCAATTGCCACTGCGTATGCATATTAGTGCTGCTCGTTGTCAGGGATAATGGTAGGAAAGGAACTGAACATACTTGCGGGTAACACCGTGGCGAAAGGGTTTAAATGGCAATCATGAGGTACTAAAATTTTCGCTGTATGATTTATGAAATGATGGAAATACAGCATGTTTATTGGGTTTTCAAGTAAGGTAGATGGCAGTGGGGATAACAAGTGTGATACATGTATCGGAACAGGTTTGGCGTAATAGCCTCCTTTAGAGAACGCCGTAGTCACGCTTCGATGAACGCCGGCGGATACATCCTCTTGCGATGAGGATGGGGTGGCTGTGCTGCTAGAAGTTGCTTGATAGGAGATGGTTTTGAGGTTGTTCATAACCCCTAGGGACGTATCACGCAAGCTAGCTAAGAGTTCGGCATCTTGATGCACGTCCAGGTCGGGTTGACCACAGTCTAGTCCATAGTTCCTTGCGTCACCTGGGCCCGATCCAGAAGCGGTAGTGTGAGATAGCAGTGAGTTGACTGAAACACGATGCATGTCCACGGGTGTGTTTACACCATCGGTCGTTGAGACTAGTGGAAACTGCAGTGATCCCTCCTCAGTTATACATGACGCTGGAGGTTCTCTAACGGCCAGCCCAGGAGCAAGAAATATATCCGTAGTGTTAATGATTGGTATATAGCTATTATGAGCTGTGGCTGATAAACGTCGAGGGTCAACATGCTGGACACGGGTAAAGGAGTTGGGTGAAGTCACTTGGCTATTATCTTTCGAGATAGCCTTTTGATAATGTGACGGGGAGGCTGACTGCCCTGGGGAGGCATATGAACTGGAGTTTGGCGTGTACGGCAACCACGCTGAGTCTACCGATGTTCTGGGTGGACAGACATTTAGTCCTGATAGTGACTGGCCATCATCGACTGATATTAGCGGGCTACCAAATGGTTCTGGAAGACCATCGCTATGATCTGGGTTTCGTTTAATATCGAGGTGCGGTCCTTGATATTGCTGTATAGGCATCAATACATGCTTTAAGGAGGGGGCTGGGGAGCCGCTTGCTCGATCTCTTGTAGAGTTCGGAGTGGGTGGTGACAATGGCGATAGCATTGACTCGCTGTTGAGCCCCGTATTCTCCGTGGTGGATCGCTTCCTTGACCGGCCGTCCCAGTTTAGCCGGATGCTATAATCACACTTGTCTCCTTGCCTCTTGCAATTAATGCAAGACGGCTTTTCTTCACCACTTCATCGTATATCATCAGCTTTCTATATTACAAGTAGTTTCTGAATGCAGCAGAGAGTTATGACAAGTCCGCACGTACCACTTTACCTTTCGAGCTTTGCATGGCCTATTATTTAGATAGTTAATTTGTGTCTCGAGTTCAAAATATAGCTCGGAGGATAGTGTGAGTAACATACCAACAACCTTTTCTACTTCTTCTCTTTGGCTCTGGCGCACCTGGCCTCTTCGGGCGAGGCATTTTCTTTGTGTTTATTTTTCTAGGCCGTATTACTCAATCTATATAGTTGATACAGATATTTCGGTTTGAATGTTGATTTCCTTCTTGTCTTTGTCGCTATATTATCGATCTCAAGGAAGCTCGCCCACCCGCCCAGGATAAGGAGAAGGGCACAGTCCTAGGCGCATCATTGCCCGGCTCGACACAAGTTAATAAATAAGGGTATTCAAGCAAGGGTATCTATAATAACAAAAATCACGATCGCAATGAGGACCTTCAAGTAACCCAAGGGCTGATATATTCTCCAGCTTCTTGTACAGCCCAGACCCTGGACGACCTAGTAGGAGGGGTTTCCGGCGGCAGAAAGTAAATCAGAGGCTGAGGTAACAGAGATGCCTTCTATCAGCGCATACAAAAGCAATAACTTGATATTCGGTAAGATGACAGCCACATTAGTTGTGCATCGAAGGGTCTTTAATTGTCCAAGGCACGCAGGCTGAAATCAATCGATGACTTGGATTTCTTCGTATCCGATTTCAGTCTTCCTCTTCGCTGTTTCTAGTCCACTTGCTTTTTATATCACGTGATAATTCGAGGGAGCCTATTAGTCATCAATTTCCAATAGAGCAGAACGGCGAGGTTAAGGTTGGTTATAACTTTGGCCTGGATATTACGGGTGGCTGTACGCCTGTCACCCCCTAGGTATACAACCACTAGATATCTGGTCTCTTGGCGAGCAGCTGGTTATACTTGCAGGTGTTCTTAATAGAAATGGCCGCTGCTTAGTAACCACTCTTCAGTCACTGGACCATTGACCATGTGACATTTGTATTCGTTTATGTCAGCATATCTTGGCAAGACGATATGCTTCTTCTAGACAAAATGAACGTCAATTTTCGCGAGCATTAACTTCATCACCACCACCACCAACTGGAGCCTTCTTCGCAGCCATGAATCCGCCAATCCGCACGGCAGTCCTCGGTGGCAGGCTCTCCAATGCTTGGTCACCCTTAGCCATCGGCGCCAACTCTCCAATATCAGTGGCAGGATACCAGCATCAGCCATGCCGCCGGTCAGCACTAAGACCATCACCGCTCAAGCAACAGCCCATACGAGCTTCAAGCTGCGCTACAACATACAAGTCGCCAGCGCGTCCAGCTTCTTTGTCCTCAAACACATGCAGAGCAACTTATAACCAATCTTCCACCAACAATTCTACCCTCCTATCAGCTATCCGGCGTTCACAGTCATGCCCCGGGCTACGGCGAAATACATCTACCTCCACTCAAACTGCGTCATCCGGCAACCACCACACCAATACTGTGGATACCCCCGTGAAACTTGACTGGAATACCTTTTTCCAGCTCCGTGCCTCCCGCCGGAAATATTCCCTTATATCTTCTGTTCTCGCTGCGTTCACAACCACCGCTGCCGGTGGCCAGATCCTAGCTACTCAAAACCTAGAGAATTTAGGCGCACAGATTATGGGCTTTGATCCATTGATCGTTCTTGGCCTGGCTACTGCTGCCTCAGGCGCATTGGGCTGGCTGGCAGGTCCATTCTTAGGCAATGGCCTCTGGGGACTGGTTTACCGGAAGTATAAGAGCGCGGTTGCTATTGTAAGTCACTCATCCAGATCACTCCTCCTTATGCGAAGACATATCTTTTCTGGGTTGACTAATCAATATAATAGAAAGAGAAAGAGTTCTATAACAGGATAAAGCGCTTTCGCGTTGACCCCTCAGCCAATTCGTTTGCTAATCCTGTGCCAGACTACTATGGAGAAAAAATTGGCAGTGTCCAGGGATACCGACAGTGGCTTAAAGACCAACGGGCGTATAACCGGAAAAAGCGAAGATTTGTCTAGGTTACTGGGCTGTTATATTTGGTTTATGCAGTCAATCATTATGATCTGACCTAATATTTCCCTCATCCCTCTTTTTTTTATTTTACCTTTACCTTCGTAAATGTATTTGGGCTTCTGCGCATCCCCCTTGTCCATCCGCGTTATAGGGAGGGCTGACACAATCTGTATAACCTCTGCATACCAATCAACCCCTTGTTCCGCACATATTCTACCAGAATAATTCCATTTTTTTTTTAACAAACTAGATGGTGTCTGATCCTGTTTCCTAGAAGAAAAGCGGCTCGATAATTGTCTATTTCACTGATTGTAATACCCATTCTGCGTAGTTGTGTTAAAAACACCCTTTCTCATGCACCGCCATCCATTATTATTGCTCCTGAAAATGAAACTGTTTTTGTCATCTCTCCCTCATCACATCCAAGGATCGGCACAGGCCAATTCGATAGTACATTTATCCTCCGACTCTTCGTCCACCTCGGCGCCAGGAAGAGGTTGAGCACACGGATCCAGAGCAAAGCTAACTGTACATTCCCTCAAGAGTGATCGGAGAATCCCGTACGCATTATCTGCAGCCCGGATCGAGCTAAATCGGATATTAATCTCTGTTTCTTCAGCATTCTCAGTCATCCTGTCTCCCATCTCAAAATCAAGCCGTATTTTGTTCTTTAGGTTCTTCGCTATGTAGCTGTAGCGATTAGGGTCCCGATCTCCTTGAATGACCAAGCAACGAGAAAAAAGCTGGTTTACGATGTTGTTCTGCATAGCCTTGGGGATTGGGTATGTTGGAGTCTTGGAGAGGCAGACGTTGACCCTGGCATCATTGAAGTAAACGCCATGGTTGATCGCAAAGTTGACATAGGCAGAAGCGGCTTTGCCCCGAACAAAAGTCACAACTCCCATGTGATAGCCCGCAAACTCCTCCATGTTCATGATGTGGGCTGAAAACACAGCTCCTCCTCGGATGGCCGAGAGCAAGGTCCTCATATCCACATCTAAGGGGAGCTTAGTGAGTAAGACAGTTCGATAGGCATCTTTATCATCGAACCGGGGGGTGTAAACCAAGCCATGAGCCACAAGTTCTACACTGGATCCGAATCCCGAGGCCCTTCCTTCTAGTTTGCTGAAATCAGTATTGGCCATTGTATCGGTCCAAGAAATATAACCGTCCCAGGGCAGAGCTTTCGCGGGTGTGGGAGGGGAGGAGCTCGAAGTGAAGAACTGCACACTGTTAATACCGGGGGGTAAGGTTAGTGCTGAAGATGTCACATACTTCATCATCATCAGAATCAGTAGTATTCAAGCTGTTTCCGCTCCCACGATGGTGAATGAGATCATCGGCCGACCCAACTCCATCGACCAAGGTCTCGTTAAGGTCGAAGGCCGACTTGACGGTCACCGGAGTGAGTGGCGTAACTGCGTTCTCCTTTGTGCTCCTCATGCTCCCCATGCTGCTGAGGCACGACTCGAAGGCATCCAGGTCGTCGAGAAGGTAAGGCGAAGTCTCGTCATCGGCGTGGACTGCAGTGACTTCGCCGTCCGAGTCGTCAAAGAGACTTGGTTTCCACATCATGGCGGCCACTCTTTGTACAGCAGACATTCACTGAGCCAGCAGAAAGGCGATATTGAGCTTAGATCTGGCTATCCGAGATCTTTCCACGGCTGGTTGTGAAGACTGAGTGGTAAAGAGGCCAAAGGAAGGCGATGGTGGTGGGAAAGAGGAAGCAGAAGAAAAGGCGAAGCTCAAGTCAAGCCAAACAGAGAAAAAAGGGAGGCGGGCAGCCAACACATGCTGAAAGGGACAGAATCTCCCAGCCTCTTCTTCTTCTTCTTCTTCTTCTTCTTCTTCTTTATAGGTACGATATAAACGAGGCTACCCTATTCAATATTCTTCCTTTTTCATTGAAATTAAATAGTAGCTGGGAAATAAAAGAAAATAAAGAAGGAGTGCAGGCTGGGGTTGCTCCGGTTGATATCGAACAGGATGCTCAGTGGTATATTGAAGAGTTCAGGAGTGTATCTAACAATTGAGATTTCATAATGCCCTGAGTTATGGAAATATAATAAACAAACTCTCGCCTGGTCTTTAACCTGGTAGACGGGTATACTCGAGGAGCTTTTCGGGCAGCTCAGAGGCCCCTGGTATACAGATTCAGAATTCGCTGGCTTTTCTTCGGGCCTTCGACCACATGGCTGCTTGCCCAGCTATGTATATAGCTGATGCAGTGTTTTGAAACCCGAAAGGCATAGGTAGTCACATAGTTGTCCTCGACGCAGAGATGGCTTCCGTGGGCAAAAAGAACAGCCGTCTCCCCTACGTCTGCTGAGGCTGCTGGGGGGACAAGGCCTGATCCGTCAAAGCCACCCTGTTCCCCTTCACCTTCGCCTTCGCCCGTAAAGTGCAGTTGATGGAAAAGATAGTCCGGTAGGTCCCCAGTCGGATTGTCTTGTGTGCTCTCTTTGCTGGGTTTCATATTGACCTTGACGAACCAGACGCTCAGCCCGGAGTCTGACAGACGCCACATATATTTGCGTGACCATTTCATCCCAGTCGAGTTAAGGCCTGACGGGTCCGGCATCTCTCCTTGCTCTTCGTAGACAAGGTCAGGCTGACTGCTAGACCTTTCATTGCAGGCTGGTTTGAAAATTGCTGTCCCGCTGAGTTCCCCCTGCATGTCCAGGTTGTTGGCGCTCTGAAGCCTTCGGGTGAGATTCCATGGTCGAGCGTCGGTAGCGAGAGCTTTCAAGATACTAGATGCTACGCAGCGACTAGGGCTCATACTCTCTGGTTCTCTCCTCATCTGCTCCAGTTGGCGATTGGTGTTCCTTAAATGAGAAATTTATATTTGGTTGAAAAGATTGAGTTCGCAGCGGAATAACTAGGTGGTTATTTAACGTTTTATAGTTAGTCTTGATATACGGAGTACGAACCAAACATATCACGAAGCTGATGATATTAAAGGCATGCATTAACTAGTTTCAACTGCTAATGGATTAACAGCTACCTATTCATTCTAGACAGCTAGGTGTATTCTATGGAAGTAATTTTCCTTTTTTGTTGTTTTTAAAAAGAAACCATGCTTAATTCGAGAAGTTTACTTTTACTTTCGTATGGTTGTTTAATGGCGGTCTCTCCTGCGAGGAGCACTGCGGATGATGTTGTCAACCCGTAGAAGTAGCTAAAATGCAATGTCAGTTAGAAATGAACAAGCTAGTGTTAGGTAAGTCAAAGGAGCGGGTTTCAACTAACCTCAGCAGCTTCGGAAGCTGATGAGACAACGGCATGCTTGAGCTTGTAGCTTTCCACAACACCCAATTCGCGCATGTTAGCGATACCTCCGCCAGGGGTAAGTAGATCTAGACCGGAGCTGGTCAGACCCTTGTTGATGGCTTGTCGAAGTCTTGTGACAAGATCACTTGAGTCAAGACCAGCGTTGTCAGCAAGAATAATGGGTAGCTGTTTCAAAGCTTGCGCAAATGCGTCCACTGCCAGCTGCTTTTTTCCGGTAGTGTTTTGTGCGGCATGTTCAACTGCCTTGGCCATAACCATTTCAGCACATCCGCCACCAAGGGTAACCTTAGGCTCCTTTACAGTCTGAGATAGAACGGCAAGGGCGTCGTGTAGAGACCGGTCAGCTTCGTCTAATAGTTGCCCAGTAGCTCCACGGAGAACGATGGTGCAGGCCTGACCAGCAGCAACCCCAGAGAATTTAATAAGTGTATCTTCTCCAATAATCACCTCCTCGATCAAATCACAGTGACCGAGTTTAACTTGGTCGGGGTGATCGAAGGTAGAGGCAATTTCACCTCCGGTGACCAGAGCGAGCCGCTCGATACCGTCAAAGTCGGCATGCTCAATAGAAACAATGCCAGCGTCCGTGAAGAGTTGCTCAGGCCAGTTGTAAATGAGCTGACGGTTGACAAAGCAGTTAATTCCGTGAGCCTTGATTCTCTCAACTTTTGCCCGCATCTTTTCCTTCTCCGCTTTTTCAAGCTCAGCTAATTTTCCCGTCGAGTCGACCTTGACCCTAGCACCAAAGATCTTGACTTTGTCAGTGTCCATGCCGGTATTTGCAACCAGTATCTTTGCTTTCTCAAGTCTCTTGGGCTGATTGACTCCAATGCTTTTATCCAAAATGAATCCTTCGTCAAGGTACGAGTCGGAGAGCTTTCCGCCAGCCTTTTTAATGATCTGTATATGGCTGAGGTCGGTGGACCCCTTTAATCTCAGCACCGCATCGCAGGCAAGATTGGCAAACTGGTCTCGATCTTGGCTTAAAACTTTGGAGCTTAGAGTCGTTCGTGCAATAGCGTGGAGATCTTTTCGGAACGCAACAGGGTCGGCACTATTGTCGACCGCACTCGCCTCCAAGGCTTCTAGGGCAGCGCGACTCGCTATCCGGTATCCATCAATAATAACCTGAGGATGAATTTTCTTCTCGACAAGTTTCTCCGCTTCGCGTAGCAGCTCTGCAGCTAGCACTGTGACTGATGTTGTTCCATCCCCCACCACGTCGTCCTGGACTTTGGATATATTGACTAAAACTTTGGCAGCCGCGTTATCAAGTGCAATAGCCTTGAGAATGGTAGCTCCGTCATTTGTCACCATAATCTCGCCTGTTGAACTATGATATAAATCAGCACCCTTAATTCTCACAGCGGCCCCTTAAGAGCTCTCTGCCTAAATTTCAACTCACGCAGATTGCAGGATCTTGTCCATGCCCTTTGGACCTAACGTGCTCTTAACCAGATCTCCAACGGCAATGGCACCAACGAAAGCTGACAATCGCGCATTTTCGCCCTTTTCCTCAGTGACATCCTCCCCAAAGATCTGTGTTGGGTTGTTGAAAGAATTCGCCTGGTGGGGTTAGCATACAAACGGCGGTATTGGGGGTAGCTGGGGATTCAAATACCATGGTAGCAGCTTGATGACAATTTCTGCACTAATTCAACGGCAAGGAGAGTCCCCGGCAAGATTTAAAGGCGTAATGGAGCTGGGTTGGTTTTCTATAAACTGCTTGTGCTTCCTAAATATTATATATTTCTTAGTTATCAGGCGATAAGCCCTTGTCCGTTGTGGATATCACGTGATTCGAGTTTTGTTAGAGCTATTCCTGCGGCTCTAAGCTGCGACAGCTCGTTCTCGGTGTATGAAGCTTTGGACAAAATATAAAAGGAGATAAATTAAGGCCAATCCACTTAGGGAGCCTGGAGGTGCTGCACGAAACCAAAGCTATGTCCGAGACCGTGGGACGCTCTGAAAAATCAGCCAATGTGAGGTTGCATTCGCAGGTGGAAGAGGAGGACCGGGAAGAAGGTCAGTTTCACACCTATGGTAACTACCTGGAAGAATTACTGATAACTGATAATTCTTAGAGAATAACTCTTCCTCTGATGATGAATACGGCCCGGCTCTTCCTTCTGGCCCGCTGAAGAAGAAAAAGCGGAGAGAACTCCCTTATGAAAAGCTCTATATCAAGGCCCTGCCAGCATCTCCACGATACTCCAAATCGTTGATGCACCGTGATCAACTTGCCTACGTTACTGTGACACCACATACAGATTTCATCATCACAAGCTCAATAGATGGCGTGGTCAAGTTCTGGAAGAAAATGGCAGTTGGTATGGAGTTTGTGAAGGAGTTCCGCGCCCATATGGGTGAGATCAAGGGGGTCAGCGTGACATCGGATGGACGAAGTTTTGCTACCATTGGGACTGACAAGACTATGAAAGTATTTGATGTGATAACGTTTGGTACAGTAACTTCTCCTTACCTTGCAAGAATTTTGAATTAACTTGACAATTAGACCTCCTAGCAGTCCTTAACCTCGACTTTATTCCTAGCTGCGTATGTTGGGTACACCAGCGAGGCGCGTCTCTACCTTTATTAGCGGTGACCAGCGAAGAGGATAATACCATTTTAATATTCGATGGCCGATGTGAGAAGACAACGCCTCTTCACAAATTGAACTCAGTACACAGAGCACCCGTTATTTCTATGGCCTTTAACAACGCATTTAATTGCGTGATATCTGTTGACAATAAAGGGATGGTAGAATACTGGCGTCCAGATGAGCCATTTGACAAACCGGAAGAGGTGTTTGATCTGAAGTCATCGACAGATCTCTTCATATTCAAAAAATCAAAATCGGTACCGTCGTCAATCTCAATATCTCCATCAGGTCACCAATTTGCAACGTTCTCATTCCCGGACAGACAAGTCCGAGTCTTCGATTTTGCTTCTGGAAAGCTATATCGATCATACGATGAGTCCATTCAAACAGTGACAGAGATGCAACAGGCAGGAACTGCTCTTCAAAAGCTGGAGGAAGTCGAATTCGGCCGTCGATTGGCCACCGAACGTGAATTGGGGAATCCTGCCACTGCACCCAAAGTAAATGTGATATTTGATGAGTCTGGTCATTTCATATTATATGGTTCAATACTGGGTGTAAAATGTATAAATACATTTACAAATAGGGTTATCAAGGTGTTTGGAAAAGATGAACCATTCCGAGCGCTGAATGTCGGAATATATCAAGGTCAGCCGCAAAAGAAAGGAGTTGTGACCGTTTCCATGGCCGCTAGTTCAAATCCGCTTCTACAAGAGGCCGAAGAACGTGACCCGATCTTGATAGCCACTGGATTTGCCAAAGTCCGGTTTTATCTTTATACCAACGAAACAGAAATATCAAAAACAACTCGAGACGTGCAGAACGAGAAGCCGATACATGATAAAGGTGGTGCCGACTCGGTCGCAGCTGCAAAGCCTGCAGAAACTGGAACATCCGCAATCCTACACACCACTCTCGGAGATATTCACCTTCGGCTTTTCCCTTCTGTTGCTCCAAAGACGGTCGAGAACTTCGTTACTCATTCAAGGAATGGGTATTATAACAACACCATATTCCACCGTGTCATTCGCAAATTTATGATCCAAGCTGGCGACCCACTTGGGGATGGTACCGGAGGAGAATCCATATGGGGAGGGGAGTTCGAAGATGAATTCTCATCTCTCAAACATGACAAACCATATACACTTTCCATGGCTAATGCAGGGCCAAACACCAATGCAAGCCAGTTTTTCATAACGACGGAGAAGGCGCCTTGGTTAGATGGGAATCATACCATTTTTGGTCGGGCTGTGAAAGGCATGGATGTGATACATAAGATTGAGAACGTCAAGACGCACAAGGAGAAACCCGAAGAGGATGTAAAGATTGTTAGCATTAGCATCAGCTAGTCGCTACCATGTACAATTACATCATTACTTGGGATACCAACCTACCCCGAAACGAAAAATATAGTAGATTTTTCAAGTAGATTTTTCAAGTAACGAAAGAGTTCGTCAAAGATCATTACTTAGCGAGCGATATATTTTATTCACATTTCATCAATTCATTCAGTAACCCACAATCCAACTACAAGTACATTCCAAGTCAAATCCGTAAATAAATTCCCGAGAGGTAAAAACAGTCTACAGCTACACTTCTCATGGCGGGGTGAAGTATCGCTTGAATCTCTCTAAGTCAACCAAACCGAGCCTTCTAATGACCCAGTGGCAGTTTATTAGCAATCCCGGGAAACGCACTGTCCAAAAGTTCAAATACCCATCTGGAAGGCCACCGATGTGGGCCTTGAGGTGTTCAGACATGTCATTATAATGGTTACGCTTATTCCGTAGCGCACGCAACAAGTCAAGCATCTTTGAGCCAGTATACTTGCGTTGCTTGCCGAGACTGTCTTTAAATTCCTTCGGTAGTAGCTTCAGGAAATCCATGTCTGGGTACATGACATTTTCGGCCACGGATTCAAGGCATTGCAAAGCTGGTGAAGGAGGGTCTCTTGGCTCAAACTCGAAATGGTCTGAGACATCGCAGAGGAAACTTAGCCGTTCGGCTGGAGACCAGAAAAAAGGGTGAATCAGGACTGAAGTGGCGTCAGGTCTGGGTAGTGAATGTTAGCAGGGTGAGCCTGTTTGGGTTACTGTTGGATGAATGGGTGATTTACCTTAGACGAGGATCTACAGATAACATGCGACTAATCAAATCCTCTGCTTCAAAGGCGTAATTACCGAGACGTTGGAGTTCATCGAGGTTGTAATGGCCTTTGACAATGTTTGCTTCACGCATGAATTTGCCATCCTTATCAAATGGATGACATCCATGAGTGAGGACATAATAGAACACGCAGCCAAGAGAGAAAATATCGATAGCTCTTGTGGCCCTGCGGTTGGTCTGTGGATCAACCACGGCCGGTTCAGAGGAGTCCAGAGTACCATTGTTAGCCCACGAAGCTGGGTTGACGTTAGACTGGTCTTCATCGACGAGAAGTTCAGGGGCACGCCAGCCAGATGTTCCTGCAGCATGCGCTGTTGTGGCCCTGAAGGAGCTTTGGTTGTCTTCGAGCTTCTTACACAGACCAAAGTCGGAGATGAGAAGGCGCAAATTGTTCAACCCCCGTGCAGACTTTTGTGCAGCAACAAGGATATTTTGGGGTTTCAGGTCCCGATGAACAATCTTCAGTGAATGGAGATAGCGAACACCAGCCGTGATCTGGCGGAGGATGTCCGGCAAGACTAAACCATGCCGAAGGAGCTCTGGGAAGTTATGAGGGCGCTCAACGATGTCTTGTAGCGATGCTGGGCAAAGCTCCAAGGCAATATAAAGGAAACCCGCGGTTTGCTCTCTGCAAAAGTAACGAATGACGTTGCTGTGATCGTCACTTTCTTGGAGCAGGCCTACTTCGTGGGCTGCAATATCATAAAATTCGACGAGCAAGCGTTTAACGGCAACGTTTCTGCCATCAAAGCTACCCTTGTAGACCACTGTGCCATGGCTGCCGTGTCCCAGTACCTTGTCAGTGTATACTTTCAGCTGCCCAATGCGAATGGCTCCGTCAGCATCGATAACCTCGGTGTTAGATGGAGTGCGAACTAGTTGTAGATCGGGCTGCAAATTAAATCTAGCGCCTTGAGATCCTCCAGACTGGCTGGGAGGATTATCTGGATCGGCACTGTCCTGAGTATTCTTTTTGCCACGCTTGTGTGCCTGGCCACCCCTTCTCCCGCGACGGGCTTTCTTTCGTGGAGTCTTCGCTGCGGGATCTTCCGCTTCGGCGGGTTCACCCGCATTTGGCGTTTGGGCTTCCGCCGAAGGTGTTTCTTGGTTTGACTCCGAGGACAGTGGACTGGATGCATTTGGATCCACTGCCACAGGTTCGGCTTTGGATTCTGCGACTGGTTCGTCTGGTTCCTTTTGCTCTTCCTTCTCTGGGGGTGGATGAACAACTAGTGAAGGATATTCTGTTTGTTCATCCGTGGGTTTCTGTTCAATTTCTTTGGAGCTTGTTGTAACTGAACTGTCAGGTATGGAAATTATATTCTTCAGATCAAGACGGTGCTTCATCAGCTCCTGAAGGTTCTGGGTATTGTAGTAAATGAAAGTGCCAATGAATAATAGAACGAGAGTGACAAATATGTCCAGTGCATTGTCCCAGCCCTTGCGTATGATTACGCTGTTCCTGCCTGGACCAGCCGGCGCAGGGAGCTTTTCCGGTTCCCTCGATACATCCCTGGGAGTGTCATTGGAAGATTCTGCAGGCGGGCCGGAGATGCTAGGAATGTTAGGATGAAAATGGGCTGACGGTTCCGTGAGAGAGTGTACGCCAACAAGGACAGCTTTCTGTTGTGCGAGGTCTAGAGCCGTGATCGGCCTGTCCTGGGACAAGAAGTCTCTATTATAGCAGTCTGCTATACGTGCTCGACCGGTGACGAGCGGGTAAGTAAGCTCGGACATGGCGTACCAGCCACCTGTTTCTGTGCAATTGATAAAAACGCGAGACTCCCTGTTATCAAGACCCGCCGATCCGTAGTCATTGGTGGACGGAGGCTGCGCAAGGATAGCTAGTGGCGTGTCAGGCTCGTCAGAGGACATGGGACGAGCAACGTCAAACACGCGGGCTACAGGCGAGCTGAACCGTTGGGTGTAGCGGCGGCCATCTATCTTGGAGTGGTCAAACCCGAAGATGACTCCGTCGTGCATGCTGTATATGTGGCGCTCATCCATAGTTTTGAAGTATTGGCTCTGGAGGTCGACGTCACGGTTGTTTGGAGTCCATTCGGCATATTTGATCGTACAGATGGGCTGACCGGTGTTTGTATTCTGGATGGAGACCGTGTACTCGATACGCCCAAGGGTAAGCTTGCCGCCGGACTTGCACTCGTCTCCGGCCGGTTTGAAGTCATTGAGCCGCCGGCAGGTCTGGTCTGGATCCACGAGTCCGCGGGAACTGAACATGCGGAGGATTGAGCCGGTCCTGGCGTCAACAGTATAGAGAGTAGTCTCTTTCCTGGCGGTATACGTAACGGGAGGGTCAACGCCGGAGTAAGGAGTCTCGTCAACGAGCATTTTAACGGTCAATCCCAGCCGCTGCAGGCCACCGTTCTGGCCCTTGTTGTAGATGAATAGATTGCCATCACGGCTAGGTTCGACAATCCAGAGAAAGTCGTCTTCAAACTGGGCATCCTTGGCCGAGTGCGAGCGGTTTGCTCTGTGGTAGACGGTCTCTACCATGGGGCTGCTGGGCACTTCCAACGCCCAGCGGGGAGCACCAGTCTTCCGGTCTCTTGCGTGAATTGTGCCATCGACGGTCGCCAATAGGACAAAGTCCTCCACTTCCCAGTCCTGTAGAGATCGCGCTTGAAGCTGCGGAGTCGGGTCGTTCCGACTGCTGATCTGGACAGGAGGTGCTCGAACGGCGGAGCCAGAGGCCGCCAGAGCCAGTGTTTCAAGGGCGCTCTCATCAGACCTCACGGGCGGACGGACGGGATCGGATACTGCGTTGGGTAACCGCAGGCTGGCATCGGGAGCAGCACCGCGAAAGGAGGCTGCCAGAGGCACATCGCCGGCCTGAGCGAGTAGCAGCTGCTGCTGAGCTGCTAGGAGAGGGAAAAGGATGGCGAGGCTCGCGGGGAAGGATGCGCGAGACCCTCGAAGCCGCCAGATCATGGTCTCTTTTTTGTATTTTGTATTTAGGCGTTGGACGGGCCTGCGGCGGTATCAACGAGGAGAGCTTGCCAGCAGAGATTGGATCCAGGAGAGACAGAGTGTGATATTGAAAGAGAGGAAGGGGTTCGAGTACGGAGTATTAGGCCACCACCATCAGACGGCCCTCGCGGTCCTGGTGGTCTTCGGTGATGACGCTGGCGGCGGTGGTGGTAGTGGTGGTGGTGGTGATGCTGGAGGGAGACGACACATATACGACAGCATCCAGCGGCGCTCTGGCGGCCATCAGGATGGGAGCAAACGCGGCGACAGTTGGTATGCAGTGCTCCCGTCCTCCCTTGCTTCATGCAGAGTATCGAGGTAGAGCGAGCGGGCGAAGTCGAGAGAAAGCGAGGGAATCACACAGTCGAAGGGGCGGACGGGTTGGCGGTTGGCTTGCCGTAGCCCTGAAGCCTTGGTTGGTTAGTAAGTTCGGCGGCTGTTTCTTCTTCCCCTTCGAATTTTCTAGCGCCTAACTTGCGCCGGTGCCGCCTGTGCCAACTACCTAGTTACCTAGATACACAAGAGTTAGGGGCAGGATAACCACCTATAAATACTTTTGTCCTAGAACTGTATGTGTATCCTTAGCCACATGGGATTTACTTTCTATACTTCTGCATCTACCTCTTCTGCTTCTTCCCTCCTTCTCCCGCCGTTTTCTACCCCATACTTGACGGCGCGGCCCCTTAACTCTCCTAGTAGCTAATCCCTCAACCCCCTGGGATGTAACCCTGGTCCTGCCCTAAGGTTAGATAGCTGTAGAATAAGGATAGCAATTGAGTATTACACATGTCTCATATGACTACACATGTACGGAGTACAGAACGACAGAATCCCACCCCTGAGGAGAGAGCTTTGCGCGTACAGGAGGATCTGAGCAATTAGGCGATCTCGTAGCTGGTCCTGGCCATGGGCCCGCAGGTTTCGGCTCTGGGCAGGGATATTTCTTTTTCCGCCCATCCGCAAAGCAGTGGACGCAATGCGTACGGAGAAGAGAGTCAGGAGGTACTCGATGCTGGAGGCGTTGTTGATATATTACCGGCGTTGGCGCTGGAGGTGGACGGGAGTCTCCTGGGAGTGAGCAAACTAGCTTGGTGAAAACCTGAGCTCAGTTAACCAGGTAACTTTTTAACTAACAACACAACAAACAACACGCCGGAATATCCAAACCATCCGGACATCCACCACTCCAACACCCACAGAAACAGTGAAGGCAGCCGGAAAGGAGAGAGAGAGAGAAGAGACGGAGGGCGGCAAGATGGTGCTGCTCCGTCTGACCGTCAAGGTCGCCCCTCGTTTGGAAGGCGAGCAGGCAAAGGACGAGGATGGCCCGAGGAGCACCACCAGCTTCCTCATGGTCATCCACCAGCCAGACAAGATGAGCCTGGGAGAACTCGCATGGAGGATCTCAGAGCAGTGGAAGAAGCTCCGTCCAGAGGCTGAGTATGCCGCTACGCCTCTATTTTTATAGCTTGCTGCTGCTGCTGTTGTTGCTATTCTAATTCTAACGTGTGGGATTTGCAGGCCGCTGAAGATCAAGAAACTCCTCGATGATAACCACGACGCCGACGAGCTGGACGCTGATTTGACCGTGGCAGACGTGTTCATAGACTATGGCAAGGCGCGTGCAGACGGACTGGACCAGCGGGGGACGTTGCGAGTCATCCCGCAGTCCACGAACACTCCATCAATTCGCTACGGCTCGGTCGTTCAGGACTGGGACTCTATCACAACCCACCACTCCCGAAGGGCCCCAAGACTTGAGAGGCGGCAGCTTCCACCCTCCCCAGTGGCCAATGGCCCATCTTCAGCTTCTCCCGTCAAGAATAACGCCGATACAGCTAACGGGGACGCCGTTCAGGTCGAAGTTGCCGAATCCGTCCTTCCGCTTTGCTCGATCGAAGAAGAACCACCAGCTTTTGAGGAACGAGAATTCACGCAGGAGACCACAGACACCAACCTTTCAGAATTACCGCCATCCCCTCTAGATGCTTTCCCCAGTTCCACACGCCCACCCAGATATCACCGTGCTCGGCTAGGCAAAGATAGTGCCAATCCCACCGCAGGAGCTGATACTTCTCTTCTTTCTTGTGAGTAAATGCCGGCTGCGCTCTCTTTTCTTTCCCTCTGCCCTTCACTGACGTTGTTTCACAGCACAAGCGGCCTCACAGAACCGGAATCGTGAGACTACCAAATCCCTCCGATCAGCTGTTGACAGTCATCCGTCTCTAAATGCCGCCCATCCTGAAGAACGGGGCTCAAAGAGAGCACGAATTATCGATAGTGACGAACTTCTCGATCAGTCTCCATCCTCCGATGCTAAGCAGAAACGTTCAAAACGACAAAGGGTTACGGAGACACCTGCCCCAGAGCCACAGACCGAAGATGAAGAGATGCTCGATTTCCTGCCTGTGGAACCTAGTATCGGGAAGGCTCTAGCTTTCCTATATTCTGATAAAAAAAACGCAGATGCACAACAGAACCTCCAGGAGCCCGTGAAAGAGAGTCTCAAGGGGGCGCCAGCCGTGACTGGGAAAATCTGCACAACGTGCAAAGTAAGACCCAAGAGTACGCCGAAACCGAACCAGTTAGGTTTAGGTATAACCGCCAGCCCCCCTAAGATACGCACAGTTAACAAATTAGATATCCAAAGAGACAAGTCCAGCGCACCCCTAACCTCCAAGGCGCCAGGACATCTTACGCGCCCCCGCCCAATTGGCACGCGCCAAAACTTCACTGATATCACTCAAGACGTGCCATCTTCTACAAAATCGTCCAAAGACAAGAATGCCATGCCAAGTAAAAAAGATAAAGCTAATGCTAAGAAGAAACCAACCGTGCCGCTGGCGAAGACAAACCACCGAGAGTCAAAGACTAACTCAGCCATAGGCGAGAGTTGGACTAATGAGTTTGACTGTCGGCTACCAAACTGGGACCACCGGCTGGCTATTGACCATGTGGCAGACATAATCCAAGCCGCAAAAGAAGTTGATGACTCTCAAGTTCAAATACCAATTTTGGAAAAACTGCTCGAAAATATGAAAATATTGCGGCGCACTACCGGTTCACCTCGGAGGAATGCACGGAAACGAGTGATTCGGTCAATTGAGTCTCTAGAGCAAATGGCTAAACCCAAGCTTGGCTGGGAGAACCCTCAACACAACGAGAACGAGGAGGATGTAAGTACTATCTACGGTCCTCCCCAGTCATCCTCCACGGATGAAGAGTCCAACGAAGAAGAGGACGGAGCCCGATCCGAGCGTTTCTCTCCTGATTATGATTCCGATAAAGAAGTAGATGGAGAACTGATGACAGATCCAAAGGCCGTCAAGCAAGGTGAGGAGGGAAACGAAGGGGATAGTGGAAATGAGAACGAGAACCAGCATAATAGCGGTGAGAACGACGAAGGGAGAATTGATGAAGAGGACGAATTGGAGAACATGGATGAAGAGGAAGAAGAAGAAAATCATACCCCGTCCCATATACGCGTATCTCCTTCTCTCTCCGATCCTGGCAACGAGAGACTGTCCATCACTGGATCTCGAGGATCTTCTAAGAAGAACGTCCGTGATCAGTCGCCATCCATTGACTCGGTAGCCTGGTCCGGATCTGAAACCCGTGAACCTGATCCGGGAGACTTGAAAACTGGTAGTGAGAGAGCCAGTGGAGGGGAGGAGGATGATGAAACCACACCTCGCGCGAAAGAATACTGGAAGAAACCGTTCAGCCAGGCATCAGCTGCTGCTTCCAAGTACAATGAATTATTGTCCGTTAGCAAACAAGGAGAGGAACTTGAATCGAGGGGCACGACTCGATCCGAGAAAGATACTGACGACAAGCCCAAGGAGACCCAGCAAGAGCAATATGCGGAAGAAAAGGTAAAACAAGGAGAAGAGGAAGCCAGTAGCAGCTCTGAGGAAGAGCAGGCTAGTGACAATGATGAAAATGACGAGCAAATCGACAGAGAGAAAGCCGAGAGCTCCAAAGGAGAATCCAGTTCTGACGAGGATTCCAACCCTGGTAGCGAAGACGAGGACGCCGTATCTAATGCGGATACATCAAAAAAGACAACAGCAAAGAAAGAAGCTGCTGAGCCTAAAGACTCGGACACGAGCTCAGACACAGACACAGACTCGGACTCGGACTCGGACTTGGACTCCTCTTCTGCCTCAGAGGGATCAGATATCCAATGCGGCAAACAAACTCCCGAGGATGGTGATATGGAGACGGCACAACAGTTGTCTGCCAAAAAAGACAAACAAAACAAGCCGCCAACTGCTCCAATGCCTCGCAAAAAGGCACATGTTTTGAAACGATCTAAGACATCACTTCATGCACCTTTCCAGTCAAGCCGAGCCTCAGCCTCCAACAAGATGAACCTAGCCAGCTCTCCGCTCGCGGAGGATAAGTCTATCAAGCCGGAGTTCGTTACTTTCTCCCAGCCTGCGCCGACGGCAACCAGAGGTTCGCCAGCAGGATCTGGCGGCACCAGCCCCCGGCCGACGTCCTCCATACCAACCCCATGGCGCAACAGTAGCCTTAATAATTTCTTCAAGAAGGACTTTACTAGAAATATGTTTTCCTCCACCTAGACTAGCGGCCAGTCGGGCTGCATGCTGGAAAACTGAGGCATCTAATCAGTGGCTAAAACAACGTCGAGCCGGAAGATCCAGTGAGTTCATTGAATAGGTTACACGAATTACTAATTCTTGTCAGCAATTTGCAGTTTGTGGAGAGATGGAGAGGGGATTTGTGCCGGCTGAAGCGTGTGTATTTGTAGATGTACGATATCTGTCTCCGTAGCCATCACCGCGAGAGTATAGCCACATACGAATGAACCAGTGTATACTTACTTAGTTTGGCCTTTTATCCCTTGTAAGTCTTTCGTCTTTATCTGCTATTTAACTAGAGAATATTTGTGGCTTCCATGTACTGGGATATCCATGCAAGCCAGATGCATATGTCTACGGGGGAAAGTGTCTCTGTGTTATCTATCACCACTTCTGGCGGGTGTATTTTCATTTCTCTTTTCTATATCTCACCAAGCTCGTTTCGATACTCTTGGTTCTCTCCAGGATACTATTATCACTCTATTTGGCCGGCCAATGAATGGTTATTTATGATGGCCTGACGTTTACTTTAAGGGGTGGAAATTAACTATACGAAGCCCTGTCATCAAGCGCCAACCAACCCACCAAGGTCAGCGCTGTCAGTCAGCCACCGACATACATACATATACGGATGTATAGTTATTATGTATATGCGGCCACCTACCACGCCCGTTAGATACATTGCACGGCGATACGCATAGTTGTTGACAGTATGGACTTTGATCTCTGCTTTACTCTCGTTCAACCGGCGCCAGATGGCTATGAGTCCGCCGTTCCCTTGGTTCTGATCCACGACGGCGGCGGAACAAGCGTCAACTACTACTACCTACACTCCCTTGACCGCGCCGTCTACGCCATCCAGAACCCCAGCTTCTACTCCGGAGAGCCCTGGGAAGACGGCATCCCCGAGATGGGAGCGACCTACGCACAGCTCATCCAGTCTCACGTCCCGTCCGGCCCAATATTGCTTGGAGGTGAGATTTCACTCATGTCGCGCGAGGGGCATCACATCGCATATACTGATTCATCCTTCGGGAGGCTGAGCAGGCTGGTCCCTGGGCGGCATGATATCGCTGGAAATCGCCAGCATATTCTCGAGACAGTCTTCGAAGCTGCGGGTGCTCGGAATCGTGATGATCGATAGCGTATATCCGTTTACCCCAAAGCCAGCGGGCCGAACGATTGTCCCACATAAGCTGCAGTTTGGGAAATATACAAAGCCTGAGACACAGCGGCTTTCCTCAACTTGTATGGCACAAGCCGTCGAAATGGCGCAAACCTGGACGATGCCCGTCTGGCGGGGCTGCTCTGACGAAACGAAGTATAGCCGTCGAGCGGTTCTTGAAAAGGAGCTGTCTCAGAAGATGAGGACAAAACATCCAGAGATCGACGAGTACGTTGAAATTCCGCGCGAGGAGCTCGCTTCCCTGCCACAGACGATCCTCCTCCGTTGTAATGAGACGGTCCCGGTTTCTACACCGGAAGATCCGAGTGCGATATGTCGAGTCGACGTGGCTCGTGAGTTAGAGAAGCTCGGCTGGGAGCAGTACGGCTATGACTTTATCTCAGCAGTCCTTCAGATTCCCGGCCATCATTTTAATATATTCTTTGATGAATATGTAAGCCCCCAGGGAAAAAAGCCCACCTTTGAAGTCTGGATATGTTACTGATCCGATTCCTCTAGCTTGATGACCTCACATCTCGTATCAAAGTGGCCTGCAGAATGTTAGAAAGATCCAACATCTAAGCAGGAACGGTGTGTACTTGGCCCCTTCATTCACGGAATACCCTCTACTTTTTTTCAATCCAGAAACCCAGTTTGGCATAGAAGAAACTTAAAGATATAGAATACAAGTGGCAATTTGGAAGAGCTATTCCCTTTCATATTTCCGATAATGACCAGTCTGCCGGGATCCCTGCGCTCTGATCCAAGCAGCGTGCGCGGCAATTCAAGTACTGTGACCTCGCCTCCAATCCTGGAGTGGCTGTGCTCGAACCAGGGACCGCATGTTCGCGCCAACACCTCAGTGGTTTATCCACGGAGTACTCCGCATAAAAATTTAGGATACCATGGGCTTGAAAAAGTGTGTGTCACCCTTGTTGGAAGAAGGTTAAACATTACCATTGTTTTAGACGAAGGGTTTCATCCCCTGAGTGAAATGACTAATTATAACTCCATGAGAGGGAAAAAAAAGGAAAAAAAAAAAGGCGCCTGTCACCTCTCTCGACAACACTCTAGTAACCATGATACAAATGGCACATTGAGCACTAATTGTTGATTTTGCCAATCATGGTATTTCTTTATACCATCCTCACCACGCCGTGATAATTTGTCCATATATTCAAAGAAGCAAACCGGATGCTCAATATAACAAAGAAGAGGCGGGCAATACAGAAGCTATTGCTCAGATCATCATTCCTCACTAGCCTTGTTGGCCGCTAACTTGCCCTTTAGTCTTGCCTGAACACCGATGGTCTTTAGATTCTTCGGCCGAGGAATGAATAGGTCGTGGTGGATTTGGATATCTTCCAGCGTGGTGTTGCACATTTCAAAGTCAAACCGACGGAATATGGTGCTGGCCGTAATGAATATTTCGGCTTTGGCAAGGCTGTTGCTCCGCCAGAGAACAAAGACGTCAGCAAACAAATATTTTCGTTGGGTACACAAACGACAGAGATTTACTATAACTGCTAGTTATAGCTATTGGCCCACACTTACTTCATCCCAAGGCACCTCCTCGATCCTGAGCTAAAGGAGACCATGTACTTTTCCAGATATTTCCGCTCCTGAAGATCTAGCCACCGTTCAGGGACAAAACTGCACGACTCGGGAAATATGTCTTCACTGTGATGCATGATCACAGATGACATCCCCACCGGTGTCTGTTTTGAAATCCAATACGTTAGCCTTCCATATGGAAAAAGGTGGAACTAGAGCCTTTGGCGCTGATGTATACTCACACCCGGTGGGATAGCATATCCGCCATACTCGATTACGTCTTTGGGAGATTTTCGTTGTAGGCGAGTGCTGACGCCATATGATAGCCTATTCACCAACGTGGTTGGTTAGCATTGCGCGAATAGCCAGATGGATGAAACACCTTTGTCGTACCTTAATCCTTCGAGGACAACCGAAGACTGCGGGATTTTTATATTGTTAGCGTTAGTTACCCTGACGCTTGGTAAGTTATTAACTAGTGTGGTAATCCCAACTTACCAGGTACGGGAGCCTCTCAAGTTGGCACAGCTTGATCTCCGCCGTTGGGTCTGGTTCGGCTTCCCGAAGCTCCTCTCTGAGTCTTCGAAGCTTCTCTGGATCCCGCAGGAGATAGTAGGAGATAACAGATAGACAGTTCGAGGTTGTCTCTGTTCCCGCACCGATAATAGAACGGACTTCCTGGGCCAATCTTGCCGGCCGTTTCTCTTCACTGCTGAGTCTGGAGTCGAATATCTGGTCAAATATGGTCTTCTTGTGCCCAACAGTCTCTCCGGCGCCTTTGTTTCCCTTCTGACGTTCGTACTGCACCTCGTCGATCCTTTCCTTACAGCGTTCCGCCAACGTATAGAACAGTTTGAGGCCTGGGTTCAAAGACATCGTGAGTGATTTTGGAAGCATCTTCAATAGCGACAGTATCCAAGTCAGCTGTCTTGAAACCATGGACATCTCGGATGCATCTCGAAGCACTTGGCCCCAACTAGGGTACCAGTCTGGAGCTTCGAGGTAGCCGTAACATCGGTCCATAGTGAATGTGGTGATCAGATCTGTGGTCAGACAGGTATAGCCGAGTGACAGCGGCACAACGCCGCCATCTGCGCCAAAGCTCTCGATCCGGCTGCATAATTTTTTCACAAGGTCTTGAATTAGGCTCTCCTGCTGGAGAACTCGGCATCTTGCAAAAAAGGGGTTCATAGCACCTCGTCTTAAGCGGTGAAGCTGGTGACTTTCCGTGCCAAAGGAAGAAAGGGGAAAGTCGAATGGCTTCAGATAATAATATTCCTTGTCTCGAGGGTTGCTATGTGAGTACAGAACACTGTAGAAATGCGGATCACTGATATGAAGTTCTCGAGGGCTGATGCGAATTATAGGTCCTAAAAATGAAGGAGATACTCAGCATATCTCTTTTTGCCATCTTCCCCAGCGGGTATATCCCTCGTTGAAAAACGTACCATATCTCTCATGCAGCTCCTTGACTTTGAAGATATAACGCCCCTTAAGGACGGCATCATAATAGAACTCATACAGATATGTCACCGCGGCAATCTTTGGACCCGGAAACTTGGACAAGGGGGAGAAGCGCAGTTGATATATGACATCGCCAATGACGTATGCAAAAGCCGAAACAACAACTAGTGCAAGCAGATGCACAGGGAGGAGAGATTGAATGTCCATGTTGGCAGACATGACTTCTCCTGTAAAGGGAGGCGGGAAATGACCCCAGAAGGCAAATATCTATGAAGAGAAGATGCACACAAAAAGTTCCGGCTGCTTAAATAAAGGCAGACTTGGTTGGGGCTTTTGCTGAATATATTCTCATTGTTCTCGGTATTCACCGCAACCACGGGCACAAGCGGCGGCAACTGCCAGATGTATGCAATACACGGGGCATAGTGACTACTACCAGCAAAGGGCAACGGCCAGGTCTCGCTCTACTTTGGAAGGCAAAGAGTCGCGTTTAAATGTTGCATGAGACCCATGGCTTCATTTGCGGCTTTTTTCACTTTTACCTTTATTTTTACCTCAGTTCCTTTTTTTTCACTTTTCGTTTCTTCATTTCTTATTCCTGGCCTGCCTCGTTCACCCTCCCTCTTTACTCTTTTTTGCAATGGGTACGGAGTATGCATACACTACATCGCGTCTCAGCCACGAGAACTGGGCGAAGAGCAGTATGACGTCTCAGACTGCGTCCGCATGTGATGGTTTTTTTACTCTTCATTTTGCTTCTTTTTTAGTTGCAGAAACGGTGGCAGTTAGGCAGCTGCCGGTGGCTCAATACAGTACTGTCGAAAGCCTGCCGAGCACTATACGCCGTTGTACACCCAATGCAGCCCCCCTGTACGGAGTGTGGAGTATGTATGTCCCTCTTTGCCATCCCTGGCACTGGAAACCAAACCCCCCTTCTCTCTCTCTCTCTCTCTCTCTAATCTAAATCACAGGCTTATAAATAACGTCCCACAACAGACCCAAGGTTGCTGCAAGTTAGTTATCATATTATATAACCAGAAGCCGAAGTTACGCATGGACGGATTAGCTGGCTTGCGAATATCTCCACTAACGCTCCAGCAGCCAGTTAATTTCTTGCTTCCGTAATGGCAAGATTGAGTTGCGGGAGGTCAGGGCTCTAATTCCTGCATGTTTTATGGAGCCCGGGGATACGGGGCAACGAAGCTAGAGGGTGGATGGACAGAAGTGCATGGTCCTCTGAATGAAAGCAATGAATTCTCAGGAAAGCGGATACTGGCGTGGTATCTCGATACCGAACAAAGCCTTCTCACAAAGACAGCCATCAAGGCAGAAGATGAAATAGCAGGTTATATGCCACTACTGCTTCCAACCCTGCTCCTCCTCCACCCCTCTTCTTCAGAACTAAGCCTAGACGCCAAAAAAGGATCACCGTGTCGATCGGATTGGCTGCTGAGGAAGCTCACCAACATCTTCCTAATGCCCTCCAGGAGGTGGCGCTTGCCAAACCGGACTGGCTATTGCCCATATTGCTGGGATCTACGGGGTAGAATTGGGTATCTCGTCGGGGATCACTGTTACCTGCGTCTGCAGGAGCCAGAGTACTGGGAAACGAAAACCAATGACATCTATAATACTCCTGCACCCAGCATTTACACGGTTGAGTAGCGCGTGTATTTGAACCTGATTTTAATTTCGACAGGGAATTAAGCGGTGCAGAAAAACCAGAAAAAGCAAGTATCACCTGGGACGGTTCCAATAGGGATACGGAAACCTCTGTATACAATACACAGCTCATGTGTAGTTATACGGAGTAAAGCTGACATTGCATGTTCATGCATTCCGCAAACCCCGAGACATGGGGGGGCAGATCTTCTGGTTCGTTATAATTCATCGCCGCCCAATCACTCTATATGGACATCTTACTGACAACACTGATAGGCCACGTATACACCCGTTTGGCTCACTTCTCCCGGCAGTTGATAACCAATAAGAGAGCGTTGTCCCCGGATGTTTCAACCCGTTGATGGACAGCCTCTTCTGCAGACATGTACCACACTTCATCCCAGCCTGTACTGAGGTGATCAAGCGATATCAGCCCTCCCAAGTTAAGAGAATTACGAGTGTTCTCGCTTGCTATAGCGGAGCAAGCCCAATCGCTGCATGATGTAGCCACCAACCCATGGGACTTTTTGACATCTGAATGGGCATTCACAACAACTCCGACCGGTATGCGGTTGTAGCGCCGAGTTAGGGGGCGGGAAAAGGAGAAATAATTCGACAAACTACACAGGGATTCCATGTCATGGGCCCTTCACTACCTGCCAGACTAAGGAAGGGATGGATGGTAGGAGGGTTCGGAGTTGGGGTTGGAGGACAGCTATCAACCCTGCACAAGAAAGGCTCTGCAGCATGCAACCCCCTCAAAATGGTGCATAAGGCGTTTCTAGTCCGGACAGGGAATGTTTGTTACGCCTTTGCTGGTATATTGGATAATGGGAAACGAAACAAATAGGCCGGTTGACACCTCTGATATGTCGTCAGCAGGTACGAAGGATGCGTATCTGGTGACATGCGATTCTGTGGGAGGGAAGCTGAATTCAATCTCAGCTCTAGGTATGAGAAGGTCATAGCACTGGGCAAAGGCATCATGCTGTATAATCGGTTCTAGATCAGCCCAGGGTCAAAGAACCGTTTGGCAGCGGCCTTGTAAGGTGGTCACATCGCAGCGGACGGATGGATTCCGCATCTCCAGGGATGCTGCAGGCGGCACCCAAACCTGGAACGGTTGTTAGGCGAGACCACAATGCCGACAGTCCCATCCATTGGGAACTGTTTTCCTCATTCACTCCTTGCATGTGCAGAGCCGCGGATTCGAAATGAAGGTTGCCCCGGCCTGTCTCATAGAATGCTGCAGGGAATCAATCGAAGCAATTCGATAGCTTTCCGCAAGGTTAGGGCAGAAAGGCAGACAATATGCAAGTCGGCCTTCTCTCATTTCTCTTTTTTTTTTTTCTTTTTCTGTTCCCTTTCTTGTCTCTTAACTATCACCACAATTAAAAATTCGGAGGAGGCAAAAACAACCAGCAGCCCAGTTTTGCGCATGGAAGCGGAAACCCGCACTATAGCATATGGCCCTCCACACAGCAGCAGCACCAAACGAGCGCCGAGACCACGGAGTAGGTGATGATAGAATCCAACCATCCTCCATGTGGGTGTGGCGGAACAAAGAGATGGAGATGGCAAGCGCTCGATGGCGCACTTCTACCCGCGTTTGCCTTGCCTGGCTACAGGGATGTTAGCACTCTCAAAACTAGTTGCTGACCCAGAGTTCGGATGTTGATCATTAGCTACTCACGCTCCTGTGATTCTACATTGGCCCGCATGCAAGGAATTTTCCTCGCCGTCTTCGAATTCACCTGCCATTTGAGGTGTGAAGTCATCTACCAGGACGAAGAAGAGATACAGCAACGTCGTCGACAACGAAGTTTCACCCCGAACCACGCCGGTACCTAATTATTAATATCAGCCGGAACTAACTCCGATAAAGAAATACAGTTAGGTAATTCACCGAGAGCCTTAACTAAATCCACTTGGCTCTAACTTACCACAACTTCAGCCTCCTGTACACTGAGTTGGAACGGAGTACAACGCATGTCACCCATCAACGAGGCATCCCGAGGAAGTCAGGCCAGCCACCTTGCATTTGTGATCGGCTGTTGACGTGAAGGAGCAATACGAGAACAGCCAACCTGCAGCTTAAGTCACCCAGCGAGGTCTCTAAGCGGTAGTTACATAGTGAGGCAGGCAGAGGGACCAAGCAAGTGACTAGTTAACTAGTTAACTACGCATTCGCCTCGGTAATTCCCAAACCACAAAAAAAGAAGACAGGCAGTCAAAGAACGTACCTGGCACGACAGACCGCAGTTCCGCCCGTACCACCGCAGTGAGCAGCACGATGCCAGCTATCCAGTCCCCCGGGGCGGCTATCTCGCACCAACGTGGCGAGCGTTGGGACCAGGCTCATGAACTTGCACCTGCGGATGAGGTGGTTGCGGATGCTGCGGGCCGGCATGAGTTTGCTCCCACTACTCGCAGCCGGCAGATTGCAGTTTTGATATGCAGCTTCCTGGCTGTTGCTATGACCATAGGCCCGAATTTTTCATACGGTGTATTCCAGGAATTCTACGTTACGAATAGCAAGAGCATCTTAGCCCCATCCGAGGCAAAGAACAGAGCAGCGGTAGCCTTGGTTGGTACACTCGGCGCTGGGTTGACCTGGAATGGCTCCATTGTGATCAATCCTCTCGTGAGTAGACTGAGCGGCAATGCAAATCAGAAGATTGCAACTGCAGGATGCTGCCTGATGAGCGCTTCGTATGCACTTGCTAGCACGTCCCAAACGGTCAGTCAAACCAAACTGCTCCGTCCGTCCTGCTCCGTCCTACTTCGCCCTACTCCGTCCCACTCCATCCTACTACATACTTCCTTGCATTGACTCCATATACCCTTTTTTATCCCTTCTCCCCTACATACAACTCTTATTTCCCTCTGATTGGCTGGACATGCGGCTGGTTTGATCTAAATAACCGAAAAGCCATAACCAACCAACCCAACCCCATGGTAAACCGTGACAGATAAGCTAACTATAAAAAAACCCGTAGATATGGCAACTTTTATTGACCCAGGGTCTACTATACGGAATGGGCAGTTCCATGGTTTATTTTCCCATCCTTAGTGTTGCCCCAGAGTATTTCGATCGCCATCGTGGAGCTGCTATGGGGTTCATACTAAGCGGTGCGAGCATCGGAGGACTGGTATTCTCCCCTCTCATTCGAACACTTCTGGGTGTTATTGGTATCCGCTGGACACTAAGAGCAATGGCCCTCGCAAATCTTATTGTCACCCTTCCAGTTGCAATATCCGCACCTCCAACCCGCAGCATGACCAGAAGACCCACGCTGATCAACATACGGCTTGCAAAAAAGCCAGCATTTATTTTACAGTCTTTTGCAGCCTTACTGCAAGCGAGCGGAAATTTTGTGCCAATGACGTTTTTACCTGAGTTTTCAACTGTTATCGGCTACTCTGTTTCCTTTGGTGCTACGCTACTTGCTGTTAATAACGGCATTAACGCAGTGTCACGAGTCCTTATGGGTGTTACAGCAGATAAGCTTGGGAGGCAAAATACCCTAGTTCTCGGTGTTGCTGGAAGCGCCGCAAGTGTATGGTGCCTATGGCTCGCGGCTGCTGTTAATGGTGGCAAGACCCCGTGGCTCATATTTGTTGTTGTATATGGAATCCTAGCAGGTGTGTACCGCCATCCGTCTCATCCGTCTATTCATATACTTGCTTCGGGATAAATGCTAATAGCTTTGTGATAGGTGGTAAGAGCTGATCCAACTCTCCTATTTCAAGACTTAACTACGGCGTTTTAACCAAGTAAAGAGTGACGCTAACATGAGGATGTGTAACCCTCAATCCGTCTGATACATAGCGTTCAATGCACTCTTTCCAACCACAGTCACGGAGATATTTGGCGTACATGCCTACGCCTCTGTCAATGGTTTTCTTTACTTTGTGAGGGGTCTTGGTGCACTTTTTGGATCCCCCGTTGCTGGGTTTATTTTAGGAGATTCTCGTGTCCCTTCACCGGGTCAGGAGACCTCTACTCTGTTGCATAATTATCAGAACCTCATCTGGTATGATGGTGCCCTCCTTCTGGCCTCGTCCATTTGCGTAATTGGGGTACGCGGTTTTGATGCCCTGGAAAAACGCAAGTGGGTTTGGAGAGCATAAGCTGCCTTTCCGAGACACTCCACGTAGGTACGTATGTGGCGTATCATCATGCGGTCATCACTCACCTGGCAGGCTACGGTACCGCCAAAGGCACTATGGCCAACTGTCGTGAAACAAGTGATGAACCAATGTGCGAAATCCAGCCACAGGTATCTCTCTAGCACGATCCCATGCCAGATTATATACCTGTGAATACTACTGCTATAGATAGGCACTCATAGGATCTTCTCTCCACTCATGACTTATAGATACATGTTCTCTCATTTAGTATCCTTTTCCCCCAGAAGATTTTGTATATACAAAGCAAAACAAAGAGAAAATATGTTTTGATATCCTTGATATTTTTTAGAACAGCAAGATTGACATGCATTCAAGTAGAGAGATATAGCTGTGCTTCATAAATGGTAAGCCAACCATATATGGCTATCAAAGTCGTTTAAAAAAGGAAATAGACGATTCTCATCAAAGGAGAAGCATTTCTTCTCTTCTCCATGACTTGGTTATGGGCCTCCCAGTCGATCTCACGACGTCCCGCGTCGACGTCAACGTCTCGGAGTTTCAGCCACCCTTTGCGTTTCCAGATATGCGCACATAGCCAAAATAGAATAACAACGGGAACAGCCAGATAGGTCTTGAAGAAACCTTTGGCGTCATTCACGCCTCCACCAAGTGGCCAGACGGCAGTGTAAAACTGTGGTTTTTGTTAGCCATTGCACTGAAGCTGGTCACAAACGACTCCTTGTCTTTGATGACGAGAAACAAGGGCCTACATACCTGGGCAATGAACACAAGGCCAACCATTATAAGGCCGAACCATGACCCCCAGACGCCAAAAGCAGCCTTAAACGGTATTTCATCGAGGGTGTGCCCCTGGAGCTTCCATGCAGCGCGAAATCGGATATGTGAGTAGCATATCTACAGCCCAATTAGTACTCGAGGAAAAGGGGACTAGATGAATGATAGGAACGAGGAAAGACGGATAGAACTTACGCTTCCCCAGGTAAAGAGTGATGCCAGGCCAGAGAGAGCAAGCAGCCAGCCGAAAATCTCTTCACCACTGGCTGTGATATTGATATAAGCAAGAAAGCTGACAAGAATCATGGCAACTGTAGAAACAAGCGGTCTTCCAGCTCTGTCAACATAACGGAATATCTTAGGCGCATAGCCCTGCTCAGCCAGCGCTGTCAGAGTTCTCGAGCCGCCGTATACACCTGAGTTCCCAATTGATAGCACAGAAACCAGAATGACGACGTTGAGGAAACTGTCAAAGCCCATGAGACCAGCGTCTTTTGCAATGATAACCATGGGAGACGCCGCCACATCAATAAGACTGCCACTACCGAGGAGACGTTTCTCAGTATATGGCACCAGGAGGCCAACGAACACAAGAGAAAGGATATAAAACAGAATGATACGCCAGAACACTTGTTTCACTGCTGACGGGAGGGACTTGAGCGGCGTTTTCGATTCGGCTGCTGCTAATCCAACAAGCTCCGTTCCTGAGAAAGAAAAGGCCGCGGTAACGAAGACGGCACAAACACCTGGCGAAGATAGTCAATATACATACCGAATGTCTATTGAATGCATCCACGGCAGGACTCCAATGGGGGATGTGACTCTACCTTTGAAACCATTGGCAAAAGCCCCTGGGTCTTGCCAAAGCCTGGCACCCCAATATTCGCTGTATTTGCCGTGTGATGGACCACCCCCCAGAACGCATACTAGGGCTATAATCATGAATATTACTATTGCCACCAGCTTCAAACTACTGGCCCAAAACTCTTCTTCGCCGTAGCCCAGGACGCCAAAGAGGTTGATAATGATAATGCCGACGATGAAAACGGTAATCCAGACCGCTACGCTAACATTGACTTGCCAATATCCGATGGTCAGGGCAGCAACCGTGAGTTCAAGCGGCAATATAATAGCCCATTGGAATATGTAGTTCCAGCCCATTGCAAACCCCCAAGAAGGATCGATAAACCGAGTGGAATATGTATAGAAACCACCAGATATGGGATATAGAACCGCAAGCTCGCCGAGCGCATGAACGACGTTAAACATCATCTATACGATATTGGAATATGGTTAGGGTCCTGATATAAATTCAAAATTTCGAAATTGGAGCCGCGAAGGTAACTACTGACCATTCCCGCAATTGCAAAGTCGATAACCAATGCTCCTGGACCGCCAGCTCGCAAAGCAGAACCTGAGCCAACAAACAAGCCAGCACCAATGCTACCGCCTATGGCAATCATATGCAGATGCCGGGACTTCAGCGTCTGGTTAAACTGGTTGTGCCTGTCCTGAAGTGTCCGCTGCTTGAAAGACTCCGGGGTACAGCCCATGCGTGTCCAGAACCCCAGCGCCGGCGAGGCCTCTAACGAGCTGTCCGATACAACATCATTTTCCTTGCCGCTACCGCCGTTGCCCATACCCAGGTCCAGTTCCTTCTTCTCAAGTTTATCCATACTGGTTGATGCTCGGCTCCTGGCTGGTCAGCTGCCAGGCGCAATGGGTAGAATCCGATGACTCAGGTTTGACGGGTCGCGCCAGACGAATTCTTCGGATGGCGGAGGGGTGATATATATATATTTATATTGGCACCCGTATCAGCAATGCTGGGGGACCATGGGGCGTCTAGTTGAAGAGCCAGGGCACCTGTGGCCTGCGGGCCGAGCAGCGGGATAAAGTCCAAATTGTTTTCAGGGTTGATCAGACTTTGGGGGATGACTTTTCTCTGTGCTCCCTTCGCTGCGTCTTCGCCACAGGCCCGGTGTAATGTGAGCAGGAAAAGCTTTCAACTCGGCAATCCCGCTACTCCAAGGAGGGTATGATACTACCCGCTCTTCGAAGTACCAACAGTTTGGCATCAACAGGTCACTCAATTAAGCGTTGTCCTGATTGAAGATACGACCATAAGCGAAAGATTCCTTCCAAGACTGCAGGCAGTACCAAGGGACCAGCATCCATGGATGGCCCATCACGAATCTGTTCCAGTTTGAAGGAGAGTCCACAGTCAAAACCCAATTTCGAGCCGTCGATCTGTGTCATCACGATTTTGCACTTTCATAGGCCGTTCTTTGCTGGATGCGACGACCTCAAGCCTGTGATATTTTCTAGAAGAGCTTTTTTTAGCCTCCAACACGCACGATTGGCCAGGGGTAATCCCAGTCTTTTCCATGGCTGAGGAAACTCAGCTAGGGCTGGTCCTGAAGATGGTTGACAGAAAAGTCTAACCGGACAACGTTCAAGCTGGCAATGGAATTATCTTTCCGGCCTTGAGAGGACGGTTATCAACAGAAGAGCGACTCGCTTCTAGATATTGAAATGCAGTGGGAGTGCTACAGCGGAGTGACAAACAGAGCAGTCAGCATTAAACTAAGGAACCCGACGTCAAGCATCCGCGGATCGTGGGCTTGGTCGGGTTGGAAATAGTTATGCAGCTAATTTTTCTGGTTGAACTACGATGGCCTCCACGAAAAGAGAGCATGACCAGAAAAAAAAATGTGATTAATCTCCATATGGATTCCACTGTTTGCACACTGCCCTTAGTACTCCGTAGAGTAGCTACTCTGGCTCAGGGCGTGGAATATATACTCCATACTCCGTACAAAGCTTCGTGGCCGCAGGATTTATTCATATGAGCGAAGCCAGGGTCTGCCCTTAGGTGAAGCCAGGAAAGAGCCATTGGCCAATGAAGTGGTCGATTATTGCGCCGCATGGAGCTCGGTGGGCATTGCTTTCTTGCAATGCTTTCTTTAACTACTAGGATGGGTTGAGATAACTACGGCCTGCCATCGTGTTGAGATGGTTCTCTTTTTCTTTCTCCTGCAGACTCCTCAATGAAGGATCGTGGCTTGCAGGGACGCAAGTTCAAGGTCTTGAGTGAAACAAGTCGCTGCAGAGAAGACAACGCCACGCGGTTGATCGACTCGCTTCGTTTTGTCGGCTGATCGGGATTATCCCGTCAGCCCAGCCGTTTAGCGATTGACACGACACGACCACAAAGAGTGCCTGCAAGAAAAGGCCCAGGGGCCCAGAGTCCAAGAGGAAAGCCAGCAGCAACAGCGGCTTATAATGCAGTTACGGGAATAGACTTCCCTGTCACTGCTTTTTCTTTATTTTCATCTTGATTTATTTTCATTTGTTTTATTTTATTTTATTTTATTTTGCAAAGGCTCAAAGCGTTGCACAGAGGGAAGTCGTTGTATTATAACTAATCAACCGCAAACCGTCTCTTTCAGCGAAATTGTTAATCTGACTGCGAAGTATATACCTCATTACGAGAGTTTCGGAGATTTGACCAAGCATTGGGGATAAGGGGTAGCACTCGAAGTTCACTAGGGAGTATTCCGCATTGCTCCACATATTGCTGGCGATAACTGTTTTTTGGGCATTTGTCTCTAATCCTCGCTGTTGGTTTGGCATAGGGCAGAGGGGAGTTTGATAATGACCGTCAAACTTGAGCGAGGCAGATTAGTAGTGCTCATATTCCACAAACCGGGAATTCTCTCACTATTCTTTGTTAATAAATGGCAGTTGAACCTGGATTGAAATTAAAAAGAGGTGACACTTAACCTCAGTTCCACAAGCCTCGTCCCTTCAAAATGCGTATGATCAGTCTTTGCGTATTTTACAAATATCTAGAGATTTTCGTGGGTTATAATAGTGACGGCAAGTCCATGGGCGGTATTTACATACAGAGTGGTGTCCGTCGAGCCATGGCAGCTGTCAATAACATACCTATATATGCCGTAGCTAACCCTCAAAAAACTAGGTACTTGACAACCCTCACAGGAGCTTCAGACGATGAGACGCTGAGATGAAGTCGCTTTGAGATGCAGCGAAAAAAGGTAAAGTCATAGATCGTGATTACATAAGCAGGCCTGTCCCCCAAAGAGCAAACAAACCAACATCAACATCAAGCAACAAGCAACAAGCAACAAGCAACAAGCAACAACACACAGCATGCTCCGACGGCCGCCTGCTGTACTGGCACAGCGACGCGGAGATGTGTGTTTTCTTAGGCTAGGACGGTATTGCCAATGGCACCGGTATACTGCAACTCCTATAGCTTCTTCCATTGTCCACCGTAACAGACCATGGACCACGAACGTCTCTCGAACGCTCCCGCCGACTCGCAGCCTCTCACTCCTTTTATCTGTACCGCCTATCCTCGTTCCTCCGGTCGTACTCATAGGATTGACAATTACACTCTGGCTATATAAATGCGCTATGATGGTAATTTTTCAAAACAAGATAATATATATGCCGTCTATGCCACCGTTCTCAAGGCAGGAGAGGATAGCCAGCTATGAGAAAGTTTGCTCGCCAATATTTTGGGAGGAACAAAGGATAAAGTCTCTGGACGGAGTGGAGATTGCCTTATGTGTTGGACGGAACGTGGCGAAAACAGACGAGAGGGAAGTAAAGAAGATGGAAGGACGCGAGGGAGAGGTCGTGATACTGTATTTCCAGGGGTTAGTTAGCTTCATCTCTAGCCCAGTGGATGCATCATTTAATAATAGAATCAAACTGTAGAAATGGGTCATCGATCCCGCCTCGTTTACCTCAGCTATCAGGCGTGTTAAAGGCGTTGGACGACAGAACATACACCCTCATTGCGGTCTCATATAGAGGATTCTGGACTTCTCGTGGCCGGGCGTCCCAGCGTGGAATTGAGCGTGATGCCATTGCGGCCCTAAAATGGGCCCGGAAGACATATCCCGATCTAAATACCCAGCTTGTCTTCTGGGGCCAAAGCATAGGAGCAGGGGTGGCCACTTTTCTTGCAGCATCAGACCACCGACAACATGACTGCGCGAGGCGGTCAGAACCACCAGCCTTGATACTTGAGACACCATTTGTGAGTGTACAGTCGATGCTGCTCGCCCTTTACCCACAACGTTGGCTGCCATATCGGTATCTCGGCCCGTTCCTACGAAACTGGTGGGACTCGGAAGAAGCTCTACGCGCTATGTCTAACACTGGAGCAAAGCAGACAGTACGGAGAAGGGTTTTAGTTATTTCAGCTGAAAACGACGAGCTGGTTCCTCCCGAACAGGGTGATTTTATAGAAGACTTATGCATTGAACAAGGGATGGACGTTTCTCGAACAAGGGTTCGGGGTGCATTACACACTGAAGCTACGTTTCGGGGTGGCGGGAGGAACGCAGTAGTGAGCTTTTTGAAGCAACTTTAATTATATAGTAGCTAGCTGGGTGCATGATTATAACATTAGAGCTCATAGACATATGAGATGTTGAAATTCGTGATAGGCATGTCAAAGATATCGTAGAGAAAATAAACGCGCAGAAAGCCGCCAATCTTTTTGTAGTTAAGGATTCCAAAGAAATCATCCAAATTCCACCCGCTAGTTTGAGAATAACAAAATGACAATGCGAAACCAACAATGAAATAAAACGTAATTCGTACAGGAGTGGAAATTCAACATATCCAAGATGAATTGGATGGGGTATATAAATATTATAGGAGGTTAACAGAGCCAAAAAAGAAATATCGAAATAAGAGTCATCAAACGGGGGCATAACGTAAAAGGACATCAATAGATGCAATAGGAAACCAAAATATTAGTGACGGAGCTTTTCCTTTTGTTTCTTTCTTTCTTTTGATTTTGTGAGTACGTGCTCAGCACGCGGAGCTCACGACCGTTCTCTGTGACTGCTGCCGGCTAAAGGGCGAGTACTCTGGGGGAGGCCTCACCGTGGCGCCCGTCATCGTACTGCCGATAGAGTCGATCGTGCTCGAGCGCTGTCTGCTGTACGCTCCCAAAGAGGCACGTCCTGTGTATTCCGCAGGTGGTGGTGAGATGCTCCTTGGGGTGAAGAACGAATCGGTATTCTGCACATTATCACCACGAAGGGCGACTGCCTGGGCTAGGCTTTCGGCGCCTGCAACCTGTACCGGGACGCGGATCGAAAGTTGTGGCGTTGTCAAACTGGTGTTTGGAGGGAGGACAGAAAGGCTCATGTCCAGTGCATAGCTTCGGGAGGTCAGGCAGGAGTGGAAGGTGGGTATAAAGGCCTTAGTTTTTGGTAGAGTGATAGGGGCGAGAATGGTGCAGGTATAGTAGGTGCTGCCGGCATAGGCAGATGTAGGGCCAGTTTGAGAAGAATCAATAGAGGAAGTGGACTGGATGGAGCCTCTGCGAGAATTAGGAGCGGAGGATAAGGGGGTGGTCATGATGAGACTGCCCGTTGACGAGGATGGGGAGCAAAACGCTGAGTTTGCGTCTCCAGAGTGTTTGGTCCATGGCACCGAGGCGATACATCGAGTTTCAAGCGGAACAGTTTCAGTATACATGCCGTGGTTGAGAGACCAGTTGGGCATATTTGCACGGGTTGCGAAATCCTTCCACGGCTCTGAAGCATAGTAGGTGAATACCTTGAGCTTCGTCCAGAGGGTATTGAGACGAGGGGGTTTCTGGTTTTCATCGGCAGGGTCAAACCTAACATGCACCTTCACAAGAGTGCTAGGGGTTTCTTGTTCCTCGGAGGTGGTGATGCCTTCGCTGCCAGGGTGACGGATGGGAGGTAGATGGAAGGGCTTTGGTTGTGCGGCAGCCATTGCTATGCGCCCAAGTTTACCGCGCAACGCACCCCTCTTGACGGACTTCTCGTTTCGGAGACAGTAATCAATGCTGTTTTCAGAAACGTCCAGCGGTGGCTCAACATCGGTGGCTGGGATAATTCTGACTTTCTTTCCTTGGTCAATCACGGTCCGAAGTGTGTCAGAGCTAGGATTGTGCTTCGACAGCTTTGCTCTGATGTTGTACTGGATCTGAACCATCTGAGGCACCATGTCGTCAAGCAGGCTGTTCCCATCGCCAGCTACCATCGGGTCGCCAGCTGAAGGAGGTAAGTTTGTGTGTGCAAGTTGCACCTGTGGATGATTCATTTTGTGTGTACAAGATTGTGGAAGCATTCTCTCGGGCACTACAAATGTGAAGGGGAAGGTATATTTGCGACCAGCCTCTAGAATGCGAGGCTGCGGATAATCAGACTCATCGATCGGTTGGACGAGCCTCAGGAAGGTGTGAAACGCAGAAGAGCGGCCAACAGTCGGCCCTGCAGCCCCGGGTCTCTCAATCAGAGTCCTGGAAGTGCCTGTGACATCCCGTTAGCTTATCGCATGGCCCTGGCTGGGTAGATGTAACTATACGGAGTAGATAATTACTTCACTTATACATACCTACAAAGGAAATAGAGATCTGCTCAAACCGAGTATCAACTTCAGACACGAATGTGGCCTCACCCTCAATAGTATCGAGGGTTGTGTATGAGCAGATACCAGACGCTGGCTGGTCCTTCAGTGTGATTTGAACTCGCAGTGCAGAGCGCTTGGTCCAGGGCTCAAACGGAGCAGCGCGCGACGCAAGAGACGCCGCCATCTTGACGTTGCTTTCGCTCTATGATCGGTTGGTAAGATAGAGACCAGTACAGTCTGATTATGCAACAGTGAATATCTTGTAGAGGAGGAGAAGCGAGAGAAGGAGGTAAACAGAGAGGAAGCTTCGGCGTTTATATAACTCTCGGCCTACGCAGACCTGTCGTGGTAGCACGAGCAAGCGAGATACCGAGCAGTCGTCAAGGAAACATGACCAGACAAGCTGATCTTCTGTATGTAGATAAATCTGCAAGGGGAGCATGTGGGGGGTCATATATTATATATATTTTATGTGCAAGTATACACTTTCCAGCTTGCGAAATGCCGAAGTTGACGCAATCATGGGCTTTCAAAGCAATGAGCGTAGTATTGTATACTTCGTCGGCAACAGCGTGGCGCTCCAGAGGCTTGGTACCAGGTACACCGGGTGCCACCACCAAGGTTGCCTTCCCGCCCAAAGAAAATTTTGAGTCATCCCTGCAAGCGTAGCAGCACTGTAACTACGGTCCAGAAAAAAAGGGATGGCCGAGAGAGGGTGAGAGAGAAAGTGACCTGCTCCATCGGCCGTCGAAAGCGCGAAGCCGAAGTACCGTTTCATCGATGCCGCTTTTAGCGGGCCAGGACCGCCAGTCCGCCAGGCCACTGCGGTTCTGGCCGATGTTAATCAGCGATTCCAAACGTGTCGAAGGAAGTCTTTTTTTGGCTTCTTGATGCACGTATAGATAGAGCTTGATGGGCTATTTCAGCGTGTGATGGCTGGCCGTCTCCACCGGAAGAGATTTCTTTTCTTTTTTTTCTTTTTGTTTCTCTCTCCTTCCCTAGTCATCGGGCACCGCTGGCCGTCGATGTTCGCCGTGGTGGAGCTTTGTAGACAGGCGGTTTTTCTTGCCGTCAGGTTGCATGGAAGAGATTTTTCCAACCCGTTGCTAGGCTCTTCTGCTGGCGTCTGGCCTCGCGGTGGAACCCCGTCATATCATGTTCCGCTGCTTCAGACTCCCTGATGATTGTTCTGTATCCGTGAAAAATGGAGCGATCCGAGTTTGCTGCGCTCCAATGGCGAGCTGGCACAGGTGCACCGTACGATTTTAGCATATCCGCATGAAACAGCAGTCTTCCGGACAAGCCCATCACTGGAGCGACACAGAGTCAATTAAAGGGCGTGCATCCAACAATTAACGAATCCTACTGCGAAACCGCCAAAGTGGCGAGCTGGCGACAAGCTCCTTCCTACAAGTCCATGCCCTGTCCTCCTGATGTGCCCCTTTGGTCTGGATGCCCAGCCGGGTAGTCGGCCAGAGCTTAGAACGTTCGCTGTCGGCAGTCAGTTCTGATATTCATGCAGATGCGTATCTATAAAAAAAAATAAAACTAAAAAATAAAAAAATAAAAAGGGCGTGGGACGCTTGGACCAGTGAGCGGCTGCGTGTACTTTCCTCTTTCAGGAAGGCGAACGACGCTGCTTTAAGTTGATGAATAAGCGCTTGCTTATGTGATGCCCTTTACTAATATCAACACCTGCGCTGTCGCTGCCTTCAAGAGCAAGCGATGACCAATAGCTCGACTTGACTTGGTATAGTATACGCGCGATACGAGTGAAGAAGCGGGAAATGCCCACTTGCTGCCAAATCAACCACCCTCAACACGATCTTCTCATGACTCTATGACTCTTCTCTAGCTAACTAGTTAACTCCGCGACGTGTCTCTCCCCACAGTCAAGTTGTCTTTTCCGCTTCGCTAGCTTCCCCGAGGTAAAATAAAACATATCTCCGGACTGCAGGAAGCTCGTGTTGCTGATTGATTCAAATAGCCTTGGTTTATGCCACCAGGAGATATTGGACAGTTACGGGCTGCCAAGAGTCAAAGTGGTGTCTGGGAGCTCCTCGGCGATTTGACATATGACCTTTTGTTGCCGAAAGAGCAACACTTTAAGGAACACAGACATCGTCTAGACCGAGTCCGATCACTCTCCCTGCGTACACTAGCGCGGCCCTCAATGACGAAGCTGGGATGATCATTGGATGCGAAATACAAAATGCACTCATTCGTTCCCTCTGATACTCAAGCAGAGCTTGAAGCAATCATTGCAGATCAGACTACATAATCATCCATGTGAACACTTTACCTTGATGTTATCAGCAACAGCTACGATCGGCATGGAGATGCGAGGAGAATATCAGGGAACTCTGATTAGGCGACGGTAGAGGTTAAACTCATCAAATGTGATATACCGGTATCGGTCCTACCCCAGCCCTACTGATCTGAAATCCTGTGAGACCACCGTTGTCATACCCTCTATACCCTCCGTACCTCTCACAGTGTCCCATACAAAACAGGAGTCACACCTTGGGAATTCCATGGGGGGTACAGAAATGAAATCCTGGATTTAAATACTGACGACTGCACCCTGACCGATTTGCAGGTTCGATGCTCCTCTGCTGTGACGTTGCCAACATTGTTTGAAATCAAAGGCAACGTTAAAACTGATCGTAAAGAGGACCCACTGTCGCGAGTCAGTTCTCCTCTCTTCGCCTATCTTTCAACTCTGCAGACGGTCAAGGGAGTACTCGCAACAAAAGGAACAAAGATGCCGTTGAAGATATAACAACAGTGTTCCGGAGCAACTTCGGGAGAATTAAGGTTAACTAGTTAACTACGCCAAGCTTTCGCCACGTGGGGGGTCTTTTGTCACGTGGTATACTCTCTTCCAATGACTGCCAGCGACGACGAGGAACAAACATCACACATATGTATCTATATACATCATATGTATATATAAAGATAGGTGTTGTTGACAGGCATTAACCACAGAGGTAGTGATGTATACGCGAACCACCCAATGTTGTTTCCCCCCTCGATATTTGTATCAGCTCTTATCGACATCTGCCTCCCCTGCTTGAAGTGATGCAGGCAAGCAAGCCATCTAAAATTTTATCTTCAAATATCACCTACACAATCATGCAGCCCCAACTTCCTTAATCGCATTTCCAGGATTGAAAAAGAGAGACAAAAACCATCTTGTCTTATGGCTGTCGAGAATTGTCCTAATATATCCTCGCATGCCCTTCCTCCCGCAGAGTCAGCAAAGTTCCTTAAGTCTTCATTTTCTCACGTAATGGACCAGGGGCTGAGTTGCCATCTCCGGCAAACGTTCGTGAACAGGGTATTGTACAAGACCCAACGTTAAAGGGCCGTGACTTCAGTTTTCGACCTGTCCACTATGAGCAGCTCGGCCTGATTGTGAAGTACGGACGCGCCCCTCAGGTAACAGTGGCTGAGGGTCAGTTACTCTGGGTACTCCGTCGCGTCTTGCCTACCGTACCTGTCCCAGAAGCATACGGCTGGACTCATGATAAAGGCCAGGTGTTCATCTATATGGAGCTAGTACAGGGCTTTACCCTTGAGCAACGGTGGGGATTTTTAGATCAGGCCGAACGAATAGAGATCTGCAAGCAGCTTCGCGCTATGATCTTAGAACTTCGCAAGCTACAGCACGCACCAGGCGATTTTTTCCTCGGTAAACACCCTTATAAGTAATATTTTATACCAGAAATATCACTCCATACTTACTTTTACAATGAAGGTCATATAAACCGTGAGCCACTTGGCGATATCGTTTTTACCAACGCAAACTACCCACCCGCGGGGCCTTTCCTCTCAGTTACTCAATTTCACGATTGGATGGCAAGGGTAACTAAGATAGGCATTCAACATCATTGGGATGGTATCCCAGACTACTGGGAGCTCTGTAAAGCCGAATACACAGCCGATGTCAAGGGCGAATGGATGAACATGTATATACCCCTATTTCTCAACGAGCCTCGTTGTCTTGAAGCTTGGGAGTTCTATGCTAGGTCATTTGGATACTGAAAGATCCTATTGATTATACATCAAACCACAGGAGGAATGTTCGGTTCCCAGAGTAAGAGATCATCCAACATGCATGTAGAAATATACATGCAAGCAATAGATGGAGAGAAATACGGCTGCGTCATGCAGAGGGCCTGCCCTGAACACAATTAACACGGCCTACCTTGTTCTATATTAAGTAGTTACAACGTCATCGTGTCCCCACGCAGGATTTATAATCACCGTCGTATTAAAGGACATCGCCTGTCCACATACATACAAGCATATAACCACTGGTTATCTGTAACCGACATCCCACGTCAACACCGACAGCCACAACATCTTGCCAGACCGGAAGAAGAAGAAGAAGAAGAAGAAGAATAAGAATGGTCGTCCTGGGCGTGGCTCAGTGCCTGGCCGGCCATGGGCTGTCGACCTTCGAGGTATGTGATCCCGAGTCTGGCTCGACGATACGCGGCCTGTCTCGAGGGCTCGCAGCAGCCACCGGCGCTGACGCAGAGAAGCCGGTGGTGGTGCTGATACATGGATACCCGCAGACGTAAGTCAGAAGCCACAAGTCACATACTTAACTACAAAGGCACTGCCTCGCTCCTCCTCTTGGCTGCGCTGCGCTGACTCCTGGACGCTGACGGGCTGCATTCGCGAGCAGGCATTTCATGTGAGTTTGTCTATTCATGGCATGCCTTCACGAATTTACGTACAGGTGAATGACCATGCATGGGGGACTGACGTATTGCGACGTAGGTGGCGCCATGTAAGTTTGAATCTGATGCACATCAACATGGACATAGACATGGACATGGACATGGATATGGGGACGTTTCTACAGGCGTGAGGTGTGAGTTTAGTTTACACTGAGAAATTGTCCTGTTTTGCCAGGTCATCAAGCTGCTCCCTCGCGAGACGCGGCTGTTCGTGCCAGATATCCCAGGCTACGGGGCGAGCTCACCACCCAAGGCGAGCGACAAGCGGGCGGTGGGGAAGGCCATACTGGTGGCCCTGGAGACGCTGCTGGAAGTCTCCAACGAAAATACTTCTACTACTACTGACGGCCGGCCGCAACGTATAGTGCTTGTAGGCCATGATAGGGGCGCGCGCATCTGCCATCGACTGACGGTCGATGCAGCCGACCATGCGCCCAGCTTCACCATCCTGGCGACTGCGCTGATGGACATTGTGCCGACGAGCGTGCAGTGGGCAGCGCTGGCGGACCCGGCCGAGGCGCGCAACACGTTCCACTGGCCGCTGCTGGCGAACGTCGAGCTGGCGAGCGCGATGATAGGAGCGCTGGGCGCCGACGTGTTTGTGCGGCTGCTGATGGAGCGCTGGCGCGGCAGCAGCTCGGCGGCGATCTCACGGTTCGAGGCCGACGATGCGATGGAGGTGTACTCGCGGCCGTTCCGGCAGCTGGAGAGCGTGGTGCGCAGCTCGTGTGCGGACTACGAGGCTGGCGGCGGGCAGGACGTGGAGGAGCAGGCCAGGGACCAGGCAGAGGGCCGGCGGATGGGCGTGCCCGTGCTGGTGCTGCACTGCCGGGGGATGGGCCAGCGGTTCGGCGACGTGCAGCGGGCGTGGCAGGCGTGGGTTGAGCGGGAGCCGCTGCTGACGGTGGTGCAGACGGGGGAGGGCGTCGGCCATTTCGTGGCGGAGGAAGACCCCGAGGCCACGGTGGGCGCGATGCAGCGCTGGCTGGCGGCGATAAGCTTAGCGATATAACAGGATGAAGCCAGCCTGATCCTCCTCTCGTCCTTCGTCTCGGCTTCGTCTCAGCCTTTCATCGTCTTCGTCATCGTCGTCTTCTTCGTCATTTTCTTTCTTTTACGGAGATTTTATGCATGAGGCTTAGCTGACTAAGCGAGTAACACTTGAATATAACAAAAAGTCGCAAAGAAACAAGCAGAAGAGAAGAAGAGAAGGAGAATACAGAGTGATAGAGTAACAGAGTAAGGAAGAGTAAAGAGTAAAGAGAGTAAGAGTAGCATCTCTATCTCTATCTCTTCTCTTCACTTCTTCATCCTCGGCCCCTTTTGAATTTTCTTCTTTTTCTTCTTTTTTTCTTTTTTCCTCAACCTCAAAAACGTCTTAAAAACCAAAAGAAAAGAAGAAGAAGTGAAGGAAAGAAAAGAGTCGCAACTCCAGCGTCGCGCAAGAAGAAGAGAAGAAGAGAAAAGGAAGAAGAAAAGATAGAAGAGAAAGAAGAGAAAGACAAGAAAGTCGCCCTCGCATCCCTCTTGGCCGCCGTCATCCTCGACCCCCTTGCGGCTTGTGGCTGTGGCCGTCATCTCGCATCTCGCATATCCCTACAAGTCACACTCAAGCACAGTCAAGGACAGCCGAAGTAACAGTCGAAGTAACAGTCGAAGTAACAGCCAGGACGGTGATATTATAATAAAGTAGCCTGCAAGACTCGACAGCGACGGCTCCAGGTGCGTCTCATCTTCCCCTGCCTCGCTTGCTGCGTCGTCTTCTGCTTCATCTTCCCTACGCCTTACTCTTCCTCTTCTTCTGCTTCTTCTTCTTCATCTGCTTCTCTTTCGTCGCTGTGGCTGATCGACCTTTAGCTAACCAACGATACGAGATCCAGGGGCTCCATCCTTGCGCTCAGTTGCTGCTCCTCGAACCCATAATAGTTATTATCAAGCGCTAGGGACGCATCCCGGGCCTTTTCTTGGACGGCTGCGAGGTTTCAAGGGGGATTTTTCCAGCTTCTTTTTTTTCTTTCTATCTTATTATCGTTGCTATCTTGTCTTTCTTTCCTTCTTCTTCTTGCGTTCTGCTGCTTTTATCTCGCTGGTGCGCAGTCGGTTAATTGCCTGTCGCTGTCCGGGATATCACAAAAGAGACAACAGGCAACAGACAACAGACAAGAGCAAGAGCAAGAGCAAGAGAAGCTATCGACAGCTTGGATGGTCTCGTCGGCGACCTTGACTGCATCTACAACGACCGAGTAACGCGCTCGTGGACGGCCTGTCGAGCAAGCAACCACCACCACCACCAAAAAGACGACCAAAGACCACCACGATGCGGCGCGGCCTGCTCATCTTCCTCCTCATAAACACGGCCATCGTCCTCTTCCTCGTCCGCAGCGTCTTCACGCTCCTCACGCTGCTCGTCGAGGATGCCACCGACGACGCTATCCAGAACGTCGAGCTGCCCGGCGTCAACTCCAGTCTCATCGACCTGCGCCCGCAATTGATCCCCAAGATCATCCACCAGACATACAAGAACGAGAGCATACCAGAGATATGGGTTGGCCCTCGGAACGGCTGCATAGAGATGCACCCGGACTACGAATACATCGTGAGGAACCCTTTCTATACATAAATGTTGTTTTCTTCTTTACGGCTCCTGGCTGACAGCTTGGTTTCCAGCTCTGGACCGACCAGAAATCTAGGGACTTCATCGCCGAACACTACCCATGGTTCCTCACCACGTTCGACAACTACCCGTTCCCCATCCAGCGAGCAGACTCGATCCGCTACTTCATCCTCGCACACTATGGCGGCGTGTATATCGACCTCGACGACGTGTGTAACCCTCTCCTTAATTCCTCCCCCCTCCCCTCCGACCCTTTCCCACTTACCCCTTAAGCTGCCTGCCTTGCCATATCTTTTATGGTGAAGAAAGGCGACAATAACGAGAAGAAAGCGATTGGTGCTAATGCAGTTACAATACATGCAGGGTTGCAACCGACGACTTGACCCGCTGCTCTCTTACCCTGCCTGGGTACGCCGCACAGCCCCGACAGGCATCTCCAACGATGCCATGGGCTCTGTCCCAAACCACCCGTTCTTCCTGCGGGTAATCAAGTCGCTGCAGGCTTACGACCGCGCCTGGGTGCTCCCATACATCACCGTCATGTACTCGACCGGCCCGCTCTTCCTCTCCGTCGTCTGGAAGGAATACAAGAACACCGACCCGGACGGCGTCAACCGTGTGCGCGTGCTGCTGCAGGACGCATACAACCGCCACTCCTGGAGTTTCTTCACCCACCACCCCGGCAGCAGCTGGCACGGCGAGGATGCACAGCTCATCTTCTGGGTACGTCTGATCAACTCTCCGCACTTGCATTCGTATCCTTTTCTTTTCTTTTTTTTATAACTAACCCGCAATCTATAGATGGGGAGCCACTGGATGCTCATTACCTTCTCTGGTTTCCTGGCGGCAGGTATTGTCGGCCTGGCACTCTGGAGAATCTACCGACGCGTACTCTCCATAGGCTCCAAGCACGCCCGTTACACACCTCTTGCATCAGGCACCTCCTCACCACGCCGCTCCATCTCACCCTCGCGCCGAAAAATGCGCATCCTCCCGCTCTTCTTCCAACGGTCACATGCCAAGAAAGAGGACGAGGAGATTGGACCTGACTCCCCGTACGAATTGGGCAATCGATAGTACCGAGTCGATGGCGGCCCAACCTGATAACCCCCGACTTTCCATACCGAATCAAAAAGAAATAAGCAAAAGGAAAACAAGAGCAAAAGAGCAAAGAGAGAAAAGACGACGACGAACAAGACAAGGAGAGAAAGAGACAACTCGGCCCTTGGGGATCCTCCGCCTTCTGTGAAAATATTCCGCCCACATGTTTTGATATATACCAACCATATACGACGTTTTAATACCCTTGCCATCACCACCACCACCGCTACTACGACCGCCAGACAACCAGGACTTGCGATTGCATCCCCCCCGACCCCAGAATCAGGATAATGTTAATATTCCCTTTCCCCTATTTCCCTTTTTGAGACGAACATGTTAGAGGCCAGTCTGATACCTTCGCCATCCTAATTTTGCCTGCTACACTACTATAACTAGCATGCGCATGCGCACCTACTGCGTTTTTTGGAAGCATTGTACCAGTTAGACATGTCTGCCCCTTTGCTCCTTACACCAGGCTCTCTCTTTTTCCCCCTTTCTCTTTCTTATTTTAATCCTACCACTTGGTTTTTCTTGCTCCCTCCAGGATGGTATGAGTTCATTGCACTGCAGCGTTCTGTTGGCATCACACCTGTATTCTTTTGCCTCCCTTTTTCCTTGTCTTCCATGTACTCTTGTATGTAACTCTTGTTCCTTCACTGAACCCTCCCCAGACCCAGAGGGACACTCAATATTATTTATGATAGAGAGAAGTGAAAGCATTCTTATGTATAATACTGGCATCATAGCTACTAGAAAGATGAAACAAGACTATATTTACACAGAGTAGAGACACAATCAACCCAGCCCAAAAACGCCCAAGATGCAAAGTACCAACCAATACCATGCACAGTGCCCGAGATGCAAAGCAGAAGCAGAAGTAGAATCAACCAACAGACTGAGACTACAAGCCTACTCCCTCGCGCGCCTCTCAGCCCTCTTGACCTTCCTGACTACATCCAGATACTCTCCCACCCGCTTCTCAGCCCATATACACCCTCCAAGCGTCATGAAGCTGATCTGTATAAACGTCTTAAACTGCGGCGTCAACCCACGATAAACCCTCGACATGGGTGCGATCGAGTTCGAAAACGACACGAGGGGCCTGTATATCAGCGGCGTTGGCGCGCGGGGCGGCGGTGGTGGTTTGCCGTTCGCTGCGTTCGGCGAGGACGGCGTGTTCGATGAAAAGTGCATTGGATGCGGAAGGGAGAGGATCAGATGGGCTAGGATCGAGAGGGCGCCGAACTGTGCGAGCGTATGTTATTTAGCTGGTTATTACCTTCTCTTGCTTAGGCTATAACTTGTCTTGCTGGTCCCTGCGATTCTGGTGCTGCTGCTGGTGGAGGGTTCATGCGGGATTTGGTAGGGTATGGATATGGGTATGGGTATGGTATGGATGCTGCGGCTGGCGTGAAGGAGAAGAAATAGGACTTAACGCACTCGACCTGCGCCTGTGATGAAGCCAATGGTTGCTTCTTTGGTGACTTGCGGAGGCGGCTCGATGTCCGCTCGCTGGTTTGATGGCGGAGGCATTGCTTGCTGGTATCTGTCGGATGCGCTGGCTGAGCAAAGGCGTTCCGGGAGTAAAAGTACTAGGTATGGATATCCGGCTGCAAGGGAAAGGTCGGCGATAAAATGGCTGGCTGGTGTGTTGAGTTGTTGGTATCAAGCTCTGCTTCGGGGTCTGATATCGGCTTCGGGCTTGTTGCTGTTTGGTGATGGATTTACTTTTGGCCGCTGGACGATGCCGGCCGGGGAGACCTTGACGTCACTTTGGACAAGCCGGTTGCTACGATGGTTGCTTACGAGCCTGATAGACGCTCAAATATTATGTATTCTTGACGCATTATATTGTTTATGTTGTACTCAAACATAATTAGTTGCCGTAAAGCGGATGATGTGCTTGCTGCAAATAAAAAGACATAAACCGCCCAATGTGAAAAATGTAAACCGGCCCAGGAACCATATAAACCGCCTGAAGTGAAGTGTAAAGAAGAAGAGTGAAGAAGAAAAAGGGGTGAAATAGAAGTATGCAGTAGAGACGCTCATTCCCAACGAAAATGTATGTAAATGATAGGGGGAGATGGCGAAATGCACACATGTAGATAGAAAAAAGTCAAGGAGTTGGTCGATGTATGTACTGGAGTTCATGTTCATGTCATTCCGGTCGATCCAGGACAGGTTTTGTTTGAAAAGGCTTTCTGAAAGCGCAGTAGGTTGTTTCATCAAGTAAATGGAAGAGGGAAGGGAGGAAGAAAAAATTAGGGGTATCGAGTTGAAATGAAAAGAAAAAAAGGTATGCTGGCAACGGAAAATATGTAAAGTCTTGCCAAGTGGTATGCAGAATTGGGGAATGAATAGAAGAGAAGTCTATGGGTGTTAAGAGTGAAAAAGAAATAAAAAGGGGGAATGCTCATGGTGGTATATGTTCAACAATGTCGTGAGCTTTTTGCGTGCCGTCTAAAGGAGGTTGATCTCAGGAAGATTCCAATCTAACTGTGGTGGTGTGTTGGGGTCTGGTTTCTTTTGCAGTTCTTTCTTGCTTGTATTTCTGGCGGTTAACATGCCACGTAGTGATGGTGTCCGTGTAGTACCAAATTTCCGTCCGTTGACTGGAATCCTGTCCATTGTCGTGCTGGTATTGGTATTGATACTGACGGTGCTGGTAGAGTTGCTGCTGCGTACGCTGCTGCTTGGTCGAAGGAGAGCCGGTCGAGGTTGGGTGGACACAGGTGCGGCAAGCTCGTCGGTTTGGATATGTGACTGGGACGAAAACCCAGAGCCCGGAAGGACACGATCAATAAGTGCGCTCTGTTTTGAGCAGGACTGTGAAAATGACCAGTCCAAGTTAAAATCCACAGCTCCGATATCATCCTTTGACGTGTCTGTGTCCTCCATATAATTGTTGGCGGTCTTGAAGCTGGCGGACCTACTAAGTGCTGATGCATCGCTAGATGGCGTCTCAGCAACAGAGGTGCCATCTCGTTGGCTCATGTCTTCAATCGGCGTGAGCGAGAGCTGGTTGAGGAATGTGGTCAAGCTGGCTGCTGTGGCCGGTCGTCCCTCGCTTTTAGTGTCATCTTCACCAACAGGCTGATCATTTAAGCCTTGCAGGATATTGTAGTTCCCGGTACAGGTAGCGTTGGAGGCGAGCTTCTTGAATATTCCACTTATTCTGAAGTGCTTCAATGGCAAATTTGATCTCTGGTCGCGTGAACTGGGGTAAGGATGCAGATGCCGCTACGCCAGGCTGTGCGCCATTAGTAGCCCCGAGAGTGGCCGATGATGCGCGACGAACACCAGGAGAACCACCAGTCTGTGAAACTGAAGGGTGTGACTTAACCAACTTATTACCACTACCACCGCTGCTATAAGAGCCTGAAAATGCTGCTCGCACAGATCGACGAATCGAAGATGCAGTAGAGAGACTGGACCGGAGCCCCGTGTCCTTCACGTCAGCTTCCATTTCCCGTTGCACTCGCGCAAGGGATCGTTTGCAGTCACTCGCCATTGATGGGATGTGTACCAGGGACTTATTCTTCTGCAAAGCATTGACTATGATGGTAAATGCCTGCAGGTTGATCTCGTTGTTTTCACAATGTATCTCGGTCAACGAGTCGTTCTCTTCTATTACAGATGCAAGTGTGTTTGCCCCCTGAACGCCTAGCTTTTGGTGCTCGATCTTCAGTACCTTCAGGGTATTATTCTTTTTCAATCCTGTCAAGGCAAGATTCAATCCAATTCCAAATCTGCTTACGTCAAGATGGGCTTGCTCGCTGCTGATGTCGAGTTCTTGGATGGTGGAGTTTTGCTCGAACATGCTCTGCAAGGCCTTGGATGTATCGGCACCTGCATCGTGGGGGAGAGATAGCCTAGAGATGTCAAGATACTGCAAAGTATTGTTCTGAGTAAGTGCTTCCAGCAAATGCCTGAAGTCCTCATCGCGCTGAAACTCGATACTTCTCATCGTGAGATGGGTTGAGGTGCGGTTCTGCGATATGGAAGCGAACATGAGGTCGCAGTCGATTGCCAGTCTGTTGTCGTTTACATGCAAATGTATGTCCCGAGGCTTTAATTCGTCGTCCACCATGAAATACAGCAATGTAGCGACATCTCCACCAGTAATTCCACACTGGTTAAGGCGCATCTCACGGAGATTTTTGGACTCTGGGCTCGCAAGGTACATTGCAATTGACTCCACTGTCTGCTCGTTGACTGTGGTGTTGTTCAGACATAGTTCTTCCAGCTCCCAGCTCAGCAATGTTTCAGCCGAAATGAGAGGCTCACTCTTCGAGGTCCGCAAAACCTGAGAAAGCTCAAGCTTTCGGATATTCCTCAGACAGCCAGCCTGCTGCTGGAACTGGTCTGGGCTCAACCGACCAACAATATTCGAAATTTGCAGACATTTAAGGGTGTCTTTCTGAACTCGGAGGGTGGACAAAATCAAATTCAAATCGTGGACCTGCAGGCCACAGTTGTTCGCTTCAAAGGCTCGGAGTGCCGAGGTCTTCTGAGACGCCGCGTCGACAAGATAATCCAGATCCGAGTCGCCAAGCTCGATGCCATTGAGAGCGAGCCAGTCTACCCGGGTTAGGCTGCGTCGGCAAAGGGGGAAGACGGCTTCTGGAATACCACATCCAGGGTCGCGTTCGCCCCCAACTGCCTTTGCAGAGCGGGTCAAGCAGTATGAAAAGTCCATGCGCTGTAATGTTCTGCTTTTGAGGGCTAGGGCCCGTACCTCCTGGGTTAGCGAGGCAACCTCCTCTTGTCCGGGGATATTGACCGCCACATTCGATCTTGTGCGCAAGGCGTCGAAATCTGGTCCGTAAGAATCGCGCATCTGTTGTAGGATATCCAGGTTGATGCGTGCAAATGAGATTGTGCAGAAAGACTCGTTGTATCGCAGAGCACGGAAAACTGCAAGAAGTTCCAGAAGAAGATATCCTCCTCCATCCGGGCAACCTTCTCGCGGGAGTAGTTGAAAGGCAGGCGCATCTTCACAATGGTAGTCTACCATATAGCGAATTTTCGAGGTATCGACGTCGTATGCGGCGCAGTAAGCAATCAGAGTCCTGTCAAAGCACCCGTAATCCTCCTCAAAAGTTACAGGTGGCATTACCCGTGCCTGGACATGGGGAGGGACATTAAAGGCGAAGGGTTGATGTATCCAACCAGGTCTTAGATACTCTGCTCGTTGTCGTAGGAATAGTGCGATTTCACCGGAATAGCTTGAAGATAGGTTGACTATTGATGGGCTCTTGAATGGTATCCTGGAGAAATAAATTAGCTTAGCTTTCAAAAGATATGAAAAGAATATGCATTGCAAAGAGTGAGTATGCTTACCTGAAAATCAACTGAAAGGTATCGTCATTGGCCTGCACCGAGATGGAGGACAGGGCCATTATTCCGAGACACGCGTCTAAATCCAGTTCAACCAACGATGCCATGGAAGCTCTATTGGATGATTTAGTGTGAGTTGGGAGGATATGTATCTTATGCGCCCCAATCGCAAGTAGACAGGCATTCGATGCCAGTTTCGTGATGTCATCAGTTGACGCGCGGTTCCCTTGCTTGGTGGACATCCGGTGAACGACTCTATACAGTCCAAAACAATCTGGATCATAGTCTCTCTCTTGTTCCAAGACGTTCGTTACATAGTTGATCGTGTCGTCGTCGAACACGGGCGGTTCAATTGAGATGGCAGTCTCTGCAGCCGCTCGAATGCCCATCAGCCATAACTGCGCTTCTTGCGGGTCTGAAAGTTGGATATGTATAGCCGAGCCTCTGGTGTTCTTCTCGTCCGCGTAGCACACTTCGACTGAGAAGTACGGCTTCCCGTCATCCAGCCGGTGGACGGCTATTATGCTGTTCAGAGCAATTCCTATTCCGCCGTCGCCGCCTCCTCCAAGTGCCACCGCGCCTCCGGCAAGCTGGTTTTCGTGTAGAGATGCAAGAGAGACCATAGAAAAACGGTTCGATGCTGCTGCCGCGCCAGTACTTCGGCCCCAGGATGACGGTATGGATGGGAAGACTTCTGCTGCCTTGCTCTGGCTCTTGAAACGGACGAGGTGAGACTCGGTCAGTACAAGATAATGACTTCGCTTCCTCCACATTGCACCCGCAGTCTGCACCTCGCCGTGATGTAAAACCTTTACGCCGAAACTCCGGTTCATCTGTGGTTGGTAGTGATTATTGTTATTGCTGTGGTTGTTATGATGGTGGTGCTGCTGCTGCTGCATCTTATGGACGCGGGAATTGCCAGACTCCCGCATTATTGGGAGGTCATCTTCGTTGCTCGACGTGGACCTGGATCTTGTCCTGGTCGAATGCTGGTCGTCATCCATAGACTTGAGAGATCTCAGTGAGCCAAAGACGGAGCTTCTGCCTAGGGTCTTGTTGACGGATTTTGATCGAGAGCGGATGTTTGGTTCGGTGGCAGAGTGAGGTAGGGTGAAGTTCGGCAGGTAGAGCTCGTCCTCCTGCTGGAAGGGCAGCGAGGGTGAATACGACAGCGGCCTCGCCGTGGCCTTTGACAGTCTCTGTCTCGTAGCTGTTGTCGTGGTCGTCATGGTCGTTGTCTTCATCTCGCCGGCGCTGCTGGTAGGACGCGGCCTGACAAACGCCAGGCTCAGCAACGAGGATCTGCTTCCTGAGCGGGTTTTCCTGTTTCGTAGCTTGTTTTCCTCTTTACTGCTGCTGCTGGCCCATGACAATGGCTGCTGGAGCTGCTGAAGCCGCCGCCGTTGCTGCTGCTGGTGATCGAGGTGGTCGTGGTGGTGTTGGAGGTGGCTGTCGTCCAGGTGGGCTCCGGCTGCAGAATCAAGCACATCCGCTTGTCCGCGACGCTCGCTGTAATATCTAGCCAGTGTTAACGCATCGCAGGAGGACCGGTCTCCAGCACGAAATCGAGAGCTGGCGACGGGTGAGGCGGACTCCAGAGACAATAGCCCAGTGGACCCAAACACGCCAAAACTCTTCCTTCTTTGCTTCTTCGACCGTTCAGCCATGGCTTCGCGACGCTGCACCTTTGCTTCGACGTCAACCCGGCGCAGGTTTCAAAAACGAACAGCAAGAGGAAAAAGAAAGCAGGCGAAGGCAAAAGCGATGATGATGAAGAGAGAGAAAGTGAGAGAGACGCAGCTAAAAGGAAAAAGAAAGAAAAAAGCAACGAGGAGAGACGTTTGGTTCGATCTTCTCGTATGATACAGCCGGCGGAGATTTCAAAAGGTTTAGCAGCAGCTCATCACCGAGACATGAAGCATGCAGGAGGCGATTCTTCTTCTCCTTCCTCCTCTCGCGTCCCTCAAAACACGTCCGGATAGCTCTTCCGCGCGTGTTCTCTTCCTCCTCCCGCCGGCTGGCGTGTTTTTCGGATAGCCGTTTCTCTCGAGCTTCAGACGGGATGCAGGATCAACGGATCAACAGGTCTACAGAAGGTACAAGCATCGCGGTGAAATCAGCCACAACATCCGCTACTGTTACCTGGACAGGGTAATCGTTCGCCGTCTGAGAGATATCTCTATGAGAAATTCCACGGAGATAGGATATATATACGAACCCCCTGCAGCTGGACAAGGACGGACAAACAAACAAACCCGCACACCAAAAAGAAGAGAGACGGGCAAGGAAGAGCAGACCCCAGGACGAATGAGACCGTGAAGAGGCTGAAAGAAAAAAGAACGAACGAGAAAGAAGAGAGAAAGACGCAAAGAAAAAACAAAAGGAAAAAGGGAGGCAGAGAACGAGGATCTGGGTGAAAAATGGGAGATGATGAAGCTTGCCAACGGGGGCGTGTCTCAAAGCTCCTCCATCCACGCACCGGTTCAGCCACTCCGGCTCCAAGATTCGAAAAAATAAAAAATAAATACCAGCAAGCAACAAGTGAAAGTGACATGGCGGAGGGACTCCACCTGACATGCCTTGGTGCTGCTGGGAGCAATCAACCCAGGCATGGTACTACCCAGACAGAGTCCCCTGCTGGAGCAAGCAAGCGAGATCCAACTAGAGGAGTACATATAAAAAAACAACAATATACAAGGACACCATCAGCCAATCCAGGGGGCGAGGGCTTCCAGATGCAAGTTGAGATCTCGGGAACTTACGGCCAAGGCCCCAATTTCATGCATGCCATCCCAGGAGTCCTTAATGCTCGGGACGACAAACCCGCGATCTCACTCCGATCCATCTAAAAGAAGTTGACCTCCCGCTAACTTAGCTAACTGACTAGCTAGTTAGCTTAAAAGGGGAATTGAGTTTGATCTCCTCTGTCCGTGGGCTGGCGCGGATGCATCGATATATGTATCTGGCCTGGCTGGCTTCCTTTTGCGGGCTTTATCCCTACGACGTCCGCAGAAAAAGGAGGTCAAAACACCACAGCCATACGAAGAAACACAGCAGCGTTGTGCTTCAACGGCGGTAAACGGACAGAATCCGTGTCCTGGCAGCTAGTCATCCAGCGAGGCAGCATCCAAACCTGAGCTTGGTCGAGAGGTTCGTGAGCTTGGGAGTAGGGCGGGTCTCACACATCATAAGTATTACTACTTAGTCAGAGAAGAAAATAAAAGGAGGTCCTCAATGTGGAGCCAGCATGATGTCAATGGCCTCTCCTCTGCAGCATCCCTGCAACCCGCAGACTTTTAAGGAACTCGAGGTCGCACAGAACAAGAGCGTGTCATTCGTGCGAGGATGGCCCCTGTGCGTTGGGTCGTCGTTTTCTGTCAGAAGAAATATCTGTCATGCTGTCGAGAAACGTCAGGACGTTTAGTGGTGGTGCCAGCTTTACCCAAACACATGGCTGGTTCCCTTCGAAAGCCCCAAAATGCTTAACCCTCCTCCATCGTTACTCATATTACGGCGAACTGCAGCATCGGGCTACTTACCATCGGGTATCGGATTATGGTACGGAGGGTACCACGGGAAGCTCCATCCAGAGTTTTCCAGCGGCAAGCTTCCCTCTTTAACTAACAAGGCAATCGAAAACCAAAATTCAGTAGACTTTTGGGCAACCTTAAACCTGCCAGGGTCCCCGGTTTAAAGGTTACTTCTTTTTCCAGCCAGCATTTATACATTGGTACATGCACACGTATTATCTGTGCCACAAATACCTTGAACGCCATTGAGGGGAAAATTATCCCGTCTTTACAGGAGAAAGAAGAAGAAAAAGGCCAAATTCCTCGAATCACAAACAACGACGATGAGATCGATACGATACTAGCGGCTCGCACCAAGCAGCATTCCTGTCTCTTGGCCGCTATCGTGGCAAATTGGAATTCGCCAATCCCCCTTTTTTGTATATATTAAGGGAGTTTCTTGAAACAAGCAGCAAGAAGTTAGGCGGGATCGGAACTAAAACTGCCTCGATGGCATTGACGGACTGCAATGCCATGGCGGCTTTCGCTGTCCTCTCTTCCGGGAGTATCTCCCTCTACCCTAGCAGGCAGAAAAGCGGAAGGTGGAAAATACTCAGAGTGATAAAGTCGATCGAACGCCTTGTCAGTCAGTACTAGATTTTTTTACTTTTCTCTCGTCAATCCACCAGCAACAGTATGAGATAGCAACCTTTCTACTCCGTACTTCGAAAACGTCCATCTTGCCCCGAGGCTCATTTAGTGGTTTCTAGTTATGGATAGGGCTGAACTCGGCTTCATTCCCAAGGTTTTGGGATTTCGCCGCTGAGGCTACCTACCTATCTCCGCCCAGCTTGGATATCTCCAGCTCCCCGGGTTACAAGTTGTCCGTCTGGTGACTGAGATAGCCGATATTACGGAGTATGATTGTTCGATTTGTGGGGTTAATTGGATTGTGGGGATTCTTCTCCTCTTTCCCCCTGGCAATAGCTGTGATCCTTGAATGATATTACCGAATCTCCTGAAGATGAAAAGCTTGTCATCCACAACAGCAATTTCGCGACTCAAGCACACTTCCTGTAAGTAAGATAGAGCAAGGAGGGCATTCGATATTTCTCGCTATGATTTCGCATGAGAAGAAGAGGGGTTTCTCGTACATTTTTTCCTCTTGGTTTGTGGAAACGACGGCAAAAAATAAGCCGATTGGCAGTGGAATAAGCAAGGATGCATATCGACAGGGAAGCAGAAGAACGAGCAACAAGGGAGCGCGTCTTGACTCTCCTTTTTGGGCCAAAGCTGAACTCATCACACTCCATTCATAGTTGACTGTGTTGTCAAAGCACTTATATGGTGATCGGAGGAGGATCATACTCCAAAGAAATCCTATCAATTCTACATTACTACTCCATACGGAGAACACAACCATTGATATAGATGTTGCTACGCTATGATCTTCTGGTACTCCAACAATCTCTTAGGGGAAAGCTCTCGAAGGGAAAAAAAGCAAAGGAGCGCCCTTCTGCCGCGTCAATGCCGCATGAATGCCAACGCTTCCGAACTGCAGCTTAAGAAGAAAAAACGCAGCAGGGTGAAGCGAGTTCTTTGAAGCAGCTGGGCCCCGGAACGGCAGAGAGGCGTGGGGGGAACCTGACGAGGCAATCCCTTCATGCATTGTCCCTCTTCTGCAGCTTCATGCTCGACATAGTTACATGGTGCGAAGACGCTAGTTACGTCAAGGTGCCACCAAATGCGCTGGCACAAGTGATGCCTCTAGATGCTGCTTATGCAGTTATGCGGGTTTCCTAGTGAAGCAATCAAGCTTGTTGGTGTTAGAAGAGCAATATTACCGCCTGCCAGCGTCTACAGCTGTACACATCTGCTCGAGTAAAGAAGATGATGCCATTGTATAAACTACAAGTGAGCTGTGCTCAGTATGTGAGAATCAACCATCTTTGATGGAATGAGTGCTACAGTGCGAATCAACCCAGGTTATAGAATGCAAAGTAGCATGGGCTCCTGGCTGATTAACCACTTAGGCTATTTTGCTGGAGATCCGCTACCGGTGGGCTCCGCTGGAGATGTCCGGATTTCGTCAAGGAGGCTTTCAACAATGCCTCTCCATTTATCAAGCAAGAGACACCTTATTATGATTCCTGGGTCGATCAGTAATCTCAGGAGTCGCTAACCAGCTTACGTTACTGGCAACTGACTCTCAGATATCAAATTCTCTAATGGTTTATTCGCAACAGTTTTGCTTCTTCATCGTTCGCTTTGGGGGTGCGATTTGTGACACTATACAACCCCTATTCAGAGATACCCAGAAGCACAATCGCCATATCACATCAATCAGATGACTGCGTGATGCCCAGAGCTCTAGTTAACTGCAGAGCCATGCTGTTCCCCGATTATTCGTGAGTTGCTGCCCGCTATCCAGGCGGCGAAGCTACTCAGATGGTGAAAGAAGCTCTCGATATCATGTCCAATGCAACCCCCCGTCGCCCGATTGATACTTCTCATCAACAAAAGTAATCGCCTTGCTCGTCGCTCGACAAGAAACAAACTGAGAAGGACGGATAGATACCGATTGTCTCGCAGTCTGAATTGAAGCCTGTTCTTTCACGGAAGCCTACTGTCGTGGTGCGGTCATGCTACGTCATGCTGCATGATACAGTACTATATGAGACCGATAACATATAAAAGGGACAAATTCACCAGAGGCACTCTATATTGATCCCAAGTATTCATCTACCTGCATCCAAGTTACTACAACTTCCTATAAAGGACCTTCTGTACGTGTGTCCCCATCTTTTTGTTACTATTTTTTCTTCATGTCCTAACACAAAGATTTAGATATCAACTACGCCACGATGAAGTTCACCAGTCTCCTCTCAACCGGTCTTCTGGCCACTCTCTTGCCAGTCGTCATTGCCAACCCAATGCCTCTACAGGAGAGCGCTGGTGTCCAGCAATCCCCTAACAAGCGTTATGCTGCTGTCCCGAGGGGAGGTGTTCCCCGCCCCGAGTGCCGCGGCAGATGCCAAACTCGAGCGGACTGCGTTGCTGGTTGTGACTGTAACCCAATCCGCGGAAGCTGTGTTGGCTGGAAAACTGCATAGATCTTGCATCCATCTTGGGTAAGCCTACATCTTTCCAAATAACTGCACTTTATTCCCTGTATAATTACAGCGACTAATTCCTAAATTGGTTTAGACAAGACAAAAATTTTGCTTCAGCTATGCTTTGATGTTAGGTTATAACTGGGAGGCGATGCAGGAGGACAGGTGAAATCGTATTTTAAAGCTCAATACCTAGAAAAGTAGGATATGCCTCCAAATAAAATGGTATCTTCTCGACTCTATGGCCTGCCAGCAACAGTAACCAATAGCAGTATTCCCATCGATTAACGGTTACATTTTATAGAGGGTAGGTACCAAATAGCTAACAGGAGAAATATATAGAGACACAGAACGCAACCCATAGATGGCCAGACGCCATACTTTACATAATTCTTTGCTACATGCTCCATCAAGCCATGACTCCCATTATTTTAAGCTTGATTTCATTATATACTACTATACAAACATTTTAGTTGCTATAATTGGTGATACTTCGCACTTTCGCGCATGAAAACTCGCAGTTGTCTTGCCGTCGGCCTAGGTGCATCCAACTATGAACATATAAATACAGCCTAGGTATCCATAGAAAACACAAAATCAAGAAGCCATTCACCCTAGATTCAAATCCTTCCTGTCTAACAGAACGCCATTCCCTCAAAGCCGTATGTATGGGTATCTCTAAAATCTATAATTAAGGATCATTGAGGCTGATAAATAGAATAGAACATCCCTTAGGCACAATGAAGCTGCAGATTACTAGTATTACCGCTCTCCTGGCGCCCATGCTGCCTGCCGTTATTGCTGGGCCATTGCCACACTCCGAAGGTGCCCTTGATCTTGGCTAATCTCCCAATAAAGCTTCCGAAGACCTTTTCCCAAGAGGCGGATCGGATTGTGGAGGTCCTTGTACGGCAGGATGCAAGAAGCCATGCTTCTGTGCTGGCTTGACGGGATGGTGTACTGATGATCCAAATGCAATTTGGTAGGTGAACAGCGGATACTGACACCTGCTTGCAAGGAAAGGATAATGGATGGTTATTCGCGAAAGTGAAACATCTGAGTATCGAGAAATGTCGGTTCAAACGTGCGATGAGAGGTTGTGTTTCGGGTGATACGGAGCTCCGACTTATGATATCAAGTGTTGACATGTCCGCGAGAGCACGATAGAATAGTAATAATACAAATGTTTTCGGGTCATTCCACATGCGGGATCTATAAAAGGTTCATAAACGCCATGTATGCAGGAACAATGGTGGTAAAGGGGAATCAGGTGCAAAAATATTAGCAGAGGGATAATAGGATATAATACAGGGGGCAGCCACTTTGCTTATGAAGAAATCTGAAGGAGGCGGAGGGTGAGGAGATGTTGATACAGAATTGATTGAACTCAAGAAGGGCTATAAAGAAAAAACCGAGTGTAGAAGCAGAGTCTAGCCCTGGTATTGAATAATACCCTTTGCTTTCTCGATTTTATCCATCTCGTCTCTCCATTTCTGACCGTCCTTGCTGATCGCGTTCAATCTCTCTTTAAAGGCCGAGTTCGGTGCTTCATCGTCCTCTAGAGCTCCAAGGAATCTTGACCGCCGTTTCTTGCATGCATTATACAGAGTCCATCCTCGTTCTTTGCCAAAATGAGCAAGCTGGTATTTCACAGTCCATGTATCATTGGCAGTGAACTTGGTGGGCCTGTCCACTTCATTGCCGTTGACAAAATTGCGAATTGATAAAGCCATGGCAAGTAAAGGCTTTTCAGGATCAATTTCATCCCCGGAGGCTGATTCTTTCAACTCTGGTTCTTGCTCGGTAGGGTTTTCCGTTTCACTAGCCAGTGAATCTTTCTGCTGAGCTTCAAGGAGCTCAGGGTAGAACACTCTCTTTTCGTAAGCCTGGATTTCATCAAGGTTTCTTTCCTGGATCTTTGTTATATCTTCTTCGGTCATGGGTTCGGCAAAGATGTACATAAATGGATTCTGAGTTTCACGGGTATCAAAGTGGAATCTCAGGGACTGCTTGGGGAATGCCTCCGTAGCCACGTCAATGACCTTATTCCATATATTAAGACTGAGTTTGAACTCTGCATCGCCGAGAGCTGTATCCTCTTGACCATGGATACACTTGTCCATCTCTGGTAAGCTGATATACTGGAATCCGAATATTCGTTTGATGTTATGGAAGGCAACAAATATGCCATCCATTCGACCAATGCGAACCTGAAGATGATATTTCAAGAATGCAGAGCGCATCATATCATAGTACTCCCGCTCAAAAGACTCAAAATCTCCCAGGCGTGTCTTTATTTGATATCCCATCGCGTTCCATGGCTCTCTGGCATCCATGCGAATGGAAACAACGGCGCGAGTCTTCAAATCGAACATACCAGTGCCCGGGAGACGGGGATCGTATGCGTCAAGTTGTGATCTCATCAAGAAATCACCGCATGTCGAATAGTGGTAGACCTCAGGGGGAGAGTCCTCTTTCAGTATCTTGTCCGGGCTGTTCCTCCGGTAGCGTTCATACTGGTCTCTGGGGATAGTGAGCAGTTTCTCCATGGACTTTCCTAGTCCCATCAACACATTGGACGTGTCCCATTCTTTATCAGCATCGACAGCATAGACTCCATCTTTATATCTCAGGAAAACAACTGCGGGGAGCCGAGAAAGCTTTGTATAGGTTTTCGAGGTAGCCGGAAAAGAATTCGATAGGTGCGACGTGTTGAGCTCCCGCCATTCAGACAATAAGAAATGGAAATGTGAAAGCACACCGGTCATACTAGACGAGGACCCAATGTATTTTTTCCCCGCTGCTATCGCTTTGTCCTTGAGCACGGTATCTTTCGAAGATGTGATGTAGTCATTCAGCGCTTTGAAGTCAAACTCGGAAACGGGCATTATGTCGCGTAGGTATGGGTCAAAGTTATAAACCATCGTCCGAGGATCCTGTAATTGATAAACGCCAGGGCTAATCAGGTTAGCGGGGGTTTTTCTGATGAAAGGATAGGTTACGAGCATACTTGAATAATACTCTATCCAGACCATATGACAGGGAGGGAACTTCATCTGATTCAGTGTTCAAGGCTATGCAAGAAAGTGATCCTGTTAGAAATGAAGATCTTAAATTAGACACGGCCATCAACTTACGAAGTATTTCAATGTCCCCAAGAGTAACCTCGCTTGTGAGCTTGGGAGACGCAGATCTCACGGGAGCAAATTCATCTAGACCACCTTTGGACGCTTTGCCCGATTTCGACTTTCCATTCTGAGCTGCGAGGTTTAGGGCCGCTATAACTTTGCTGGGTCGAAGCTAACGAGCGAGACGGACATGGTTAGATGGGGCCAATATAACAAATGCGTAGAAGTCAAAGTACAATTACCTTTTTCAGTCGAAGTTTTGATTTCTGCTGAATTAGGATCATATTCTTTATATTCTCGTCCGAGTTACCAGCCAATTTCTTGGTCTGCGCTGCAGCCTTTTTCTTCCTCGTCTTCGACTTTGACTTTCGCGTTTTGGCAGATTTCTCTTCTATCTCTGGGACGACTTGGGTATTCGCCGATTGTACCGATGGTGCATCTTGGGTAGATTTGCTCGCCTAGACATTTACACAGGTCAGCTTGTCAGAACGGCCAATCAAACCGACAAATGCGACAGATAGTCACGTACTTTATTCGCATCAGCCTTCTCTTTCCCTTTTCCCTTCTTTTTGCCACCGAGAGATTTCTCACTCCCTGTTCCTTCAATGCTTCCTCCCTCGTTCGGTTTTACTCCCACGCTGTTGGACTGGGGGGGTGCGTCCGGTTGTATGGGAAAAGTGCCATGGTTGTGACGGCGTATAACGGTAGAAGAGAGCGCAACGCTTCTTGACAGGCACGATTGACAGACGTAGGAGCAAATTGGCCGTCTTATCGACTTAGACAGCATTGCAGTCGAGTTTCGGCGCCGTATCTAAAGGAGGGTATTCTTCATGAACAAAAAAAAATCCAACAAGAACAAAATATCCAACGTGAAAAAACGACGCTTCAAAGAGAAGAATCGCCGAAAAGAACCCCCCAAGCAGCTGTAAAATCTACCAAAAGAAAGGAGCAGAGAATTAGCAAAGCTGAAGCGTGAAGAAGGTCGAGATTTTGTTTTGCGAAGGAAAAGCTCGAAAAAGGTTTTGGAGAGCTGTCTTTGTTTGCACTGTTTGCACTCTCACGGTTAAAATAAAAAAAAAAATCACAAAAAGTAAAAAAAGATAGAAAATGAATTGAAAGACAACGAGATGAAGACACTGTCTTTCTGATGATTCATCTAGTCGCAGAGGAAGAGTAGATTCCATTAGTTCATATAGACTTGCAAAGTTGCAGTTGCAGTGGCAGTGGCAGTCTTGTTGTTTGTAGAGTAGTTAGTTAATAATCAAGCCAAACACCATGTCCCGGGTAAAAGTAGCCAACTTCAAGTCGATATCATTTTAAAGCATCTCCTTTAGCTACTTGTGACTATACTTGTTTGTAACTATGTCTATCTATATAGATGCACTTTTGATGGTCATTTCAATGCTGCCGCCGTAGCGAATCATCATCATCAAAATCGGTTATTTATCAAAAACCGCCCGCAGACTTTTGGTGGAACTTGAACTTAAAAAAAACCCTCGCGGGAAAAAAACTTTCGAGGGGAAGAAAAAAAAAGAGTCAAAAATTCGTAGCATTTTTCTTCATATCCAACGTTAATGATCAGATAGAGGTGCGATATCAAGGGATCTTCTTCTGGTTGGGACGGATTGTAAGTGTCAATTTTTGTTTTATCTTTCTGGTCATTTCTTTGTCTCTTTTTACTGCAGTTTTACTCTGCGCTTAGCCCCTCCATGCCCCGCGGTTTGGCCGATAATGATGATATCATGGGCTATGTGGATGCATCAAACGCGTGTTACGACTGCGATCTCAATTCGAGATGCATTATTGACACTGTTTGTTCGTTCTGGCGCAGGCGGTAGGCGTGCTGCGTTGGAAAACCTGCTTCTGGCATAATTTGATACCCTCCGCCAGCAGCAGTGCTATACTACGCAGCCAGCAGCAGCCATAACAACTCATCATTGAACTCCTGGGACAACAACGGCCACTAACAAATTTATAGTCGGTTTAAACCTCGAAGAGCGCAAGATGCTCCAGGAAAAGCTTCGCGTCCTTGTTGTTGGAAGCGGTGGGCGTGAGCATGCATATGCATGGAAGCTGAGCCACTCCCCCTTGGTAGAGAAGGTCTTTTGTGCCCCTGGAAACGGTGGGACAGATGGAGGAGCTTCTTCAAAGATATCAAATATCTCAGTCAAAGGAGATGATTACCCGGGACTGGTAGCGTTCTCCAAAGAGAACGGAGTCAACCTTGTTGTCCCTGGTCCTGAGGCTCCCCTTGTTGATGGCATTCAAGGATATTTCCAGGCTGGTAAGGAATAATCAACAATTTACAGGATACGCTTTGGATTGTTTTTTGATCGCAGCTGATAGAGTTTCTCAGTTGGCATCAGATGTTTTGGACCTTCCAAGGCTGCTGCCCGTATGGAAGGTTCTAAAGCCTTCTCAAAGGACTTTATGCAACGTCACAACATTCCAACGGCTCGATATGGAAACTTTACCGATTATAAGGCCGCCTGTCAATATCTTGACTCTGCCAACTATGATGTTGTTATCAAGGCTAGTGGTCTCGCCGCTGGTAAAGGTGTCATTATTCCTCAAAACAAAGAGGAAGCGCTTATGGCCCTGAAAGAAATCATGGTGGACCACCAGTTTGGAGATGCAGGCAATGAAGTCGTAATCGAGGAATATCTTGAAGGAGATGAGCTCAGTATTCTTACCTTTTCAGACGGTTACACCATCCGGTCGTTGCCCCCTGCCCAGGATCACAAGAGGGTCTTTGATGGTGACCAGGGCCCCAATACCGGTGGTATGGGGTGCTATGCCCCTACCCGAATCGCCTCTAATGCAGTTATCGAGACCATTGACAAAACCATTGTGCTACCTACTATAGATGGAATGAGGAAGGAAGGTATGGCTACCGTCTCACGCTCTAGCTATCAAGGGCCGTAAGCTAACAGTTTCTAGGCACACCGTTTATTGGTATACTGTTCACCGGCTTAATGATGACCAAGAATGGACCCAAGGTACTAGAGTACAACGTCAGAGGAGGGGACCCAGAGACCCAAACGTTACTACCACTCTTGAGTGATGACACGGATTTAGCCGAAGTTATGGTTGCCTGCACAGAACATTGGCTTGACGGAGTAACTCTTAAAGTGGAGCCTAAATCGTCCGCCACCGTTATTGCTGTGGCAGAGGGCTACCCCGGATCTTACGCCAAAGGGAGAGATATTACACTCGACAAGACTGCAGACAACACCTTGATCTTCCACGCGGGAACCACGCTTGCAGACGGCAAGCTCAAAACCTCTGGCGGCCGTGTCATTGCTTCCACTGCAACAGCAAGCACTCTTGAAGATGCCGTAAAGGCATCCTACTCTGGCATCTCCGCGATTCATTTTGATGGCATGCATTACAGAAAGGACATTGCACACCGCGCGTTTAAGCCGTCGTCGAAGACATTAACTACTCAAGAATCACTAACTTATGCCTCAGCGGGTGTCTCCATAGATGCTGGTAATGAGCTTGTCAACCAAATTAAGGCTAACGTTGCCCGAACCCGCCGCCCTGGATCTGACGCCATCATCGGTGGGTTTGGAGGAGCTTTCTCACTAGCATCATGCAAGTCTGGCTTCCATGAATCATCTCCAACTCTCATTGGAGCCATTGATGGAGTTGGCACTAAGCTTAAGATTGCGCATGAAATGGGTATCCACAACACAGTCGGCATTGATCTTGTTGCTATGAATGTCAACGACTTAGTGGTACAAGGTGCCGAGCCCCTTATGTTCCTTGACTGCTATAGCTGCGGGAAACTCGAGGTCGAAGTTGCCGCTGCTTTTGTTGCTGGCGTTGCAGACGGATGCGTGGAATCCGGTTGTGCTTTAGTTGGAGGTGAAACCGCGGAAATGCCTGGTCTTTTCACCGACAACAGTTATGACGCTGCTGGAGCCGCCATTGGTGCCATCGACACCTCTAAGAACCGTCTACTTCCAGACATGGACGCAATGAAGCCTGGTGACGTCTTGCTTGGTATTGGCAGCAGTGGGCCACATTCAAACGGTTTCTCACTCATCAGGAAGATTGTTGAGAAGTCGGGACTGTCGTATCAAGACCCTGCACCATTCAAGATGGGCAAAGAATGCGCGAACTTGGGCGCAGCTCTGCTTACTCCAACACGCATTTACGTCAAGCCACTGCTTGCTGCTATCGCCAAGTTCCCCCAGGGAGCAATCAAGGGTATGGCGCATATCACAGGCGGCGGTCTGGTTGAGAACATACCTCGTGTTCTGCCCAAGGGCCTTCAGGCCGACATTGACATTTCATCCTGGCCACTACCCGAAGTCTTCAAGTGGTTGAAAAAGACCGGCAATGTGGCAGGATCAGAGATGGCGAGGGCATTCAACAACGGTATCGGCATGGTTGTTGTGGTGGACGAGTCCGAATCTGCTAATATCAAGAAGTACCTTGAAGAGCTGCATGAGACCGTCTTTGTTATCGGAAAGTTGGCTGCGAAGGCCGATGGAGATGATAAGGGATGTGTGCTTAGGAACTTGCAGGTCTGGGACGAATGCTAACTAGTTAACCATGAAAAGCGTTTGATTTCTTTTCTTTTTTCCTTTCGCTCTTTCCTTTTTCTCTTAAAGATAAATCTGGTGATGAACTTTTCACGGATTTTTTAGCTACACTTGGACTCCGGCGAATAACTAGGATATTCTCGCTTCAAAGACGAAATAAAATAAAATTCAAAGAACCAACATTGATGCTGTATGATGACGACGATAGCTTATCTTTGCCCTCCAGTGTTGTTGGGTGGCCTAATAAGACATTTCCAAGCAGATGCCCGGTCCTAAGCACCACGGTCAAATATAACGTGTTACAGGATAACGATATACAGGATGTCTCTTCTCTGGCATCACGTCACTCATCTGACTGATCTTCTCACTTCTTCTTCCTCTTCCTCTTCGCTTACAAAGAGGTTAAGATGAGCTTGTTTTACTCAGGGCTCGAGCCGGAGTTGCTCAGTCATCTTGCTGCTTCTGCAGAGTAAGTCTAGCTACACAGTAAGCATGCATCGGCTATCAAATCAACTGCAGCATGGCACCATGGTTACTCTATAAGAGACAGGGTCTGCATGTCTTGCGCCTATGGAGTCCGATTTAGACCCCGAAACTCGTCTCTTCTGGATGAATATAGCCACGCGTGGATGCGAGTTATCGGTGACAAGAGGCACCGCTGGCTATTTGGTTGGAATTACCTGCCTCTGCGGAGTACCTGGGTATATATCAAGCACTGCTCTTACAAAACGTCCTCTGACGCGGCCCAGGTAACTACGGGAGACTTTAATTACACGAGTCTGACATCTCACCGGCCAGCATCTGAATGAATCTCTGCGGGCGTCCTCTCTCGCTTACACTTCGTCTCTTGGATGCCTGGCTTTAATTGAGCTCGATATATTAAAGTGCCCCTTCGAGCGAGAGACTCCGAAGAACGAAACATATCAACTTCTTATTTCGTGCAGATCGTAATCCCTCAAATAATCATCGGGCCATGGCAAGGATGTCCCTCTTTTGATCTGCGAGCACATACTGTCCAGCCTATCATGAATATTGATTATACGAATTTGGTCCTTCGCATGGCTTGGTGCCCGCTGTGTGGACTAGATATGCGAAAGTCAAGACTGGAATACCGACATTAACAGCCTACCACAAGCCGTGCCTTTTTTATCACTCGCCTTGGAGAAACGAGGGCGGGATTTTTATATAGATCGCCTCCCTTCGGGCGAAAGATGAAACGATGGGGATCGTCGATGGCTATGCTTGTAACGCAAGGAGCCTCCCCTCAATCTAATTGACAACATATATACTCCGTATACACTTTTTTTCTCTGGGGAAGAGAAATTAGATGGCCCTTAATGAAGCCGCAGAGAGGTCAAGACTTTCACCCGGCGGGGAGCCATGTCTCTACGTTCCTATGCCCGAGGTCTAGCTCCTAGCGCTGCAGGATGGATGATGCTCACTAGTTAACTAGTTAAGTCAATACTGCATCATCCCTCAGAGGGGAACCGCATTCTGCATCTGGCGAGTCGGTGTACGGCAGATGCAGGGCTCCAGGGGACCTCGGCCATGCTACGCCTAGCTATCTATAGCGCTTGGCCCCCGAAGTCCCTCTTGCGCCTTGCCCGACAGAGTGTGGTTAGCCGGGGCAGTGTCCTCTTCCAGGCCGGGGGCGGCCCTGGGGCTTGTTCCTGCGGCAGGGGCCCTTCATCCAACCCGATTGCTTGGACTGTCCAACAGCCAGGGAGGCAGCGTCATGGCCCCGCCGGACGGAGTGAGCGAGAGGGCGGATTCGACTGGGATTCTGGAAGTTCGAGGCTTATACGCTCACAATCCGCAGGGCCAGGCACACTGCAGTGCACATCCAGAATGCTACTCTGGGGACGACTAGTTAACTAGTCGTCCTCTCTCAGGGCTTGCCGACCTTGATATCCTGGGGACGGTGACGTACGCCTCTTCGGGGCGGGTATGCTCGATGCTCTTGTCCCATTTATATCCGTCTTTGCAGCGGACTAGTCAACCCTCGAGGCAAACCACACTCGCAGCAGCATGCGTCTTTTGGTCTGTTCAGCGATGGGGTACGCTACGCCCACCACTAATCGCCTTTGTGACAGAATGTATTGGAGTACGGAGTAATCAAATTTTACTCTCTCTGGAGGGCCCTTCGCTTGAAACCGATGAGGAACCGGGGCCCTGGCTCATCTATACTTAATTCCTCAAGGCTAGGTTGGCGGCGAATTAACAATCTCGACTACCCATGTCATCTAACTATATATCCACCCCAAGGCTCAGATACGTGCCGGCCTCACTAGTAATCAAGAGACTCCCCCTCAATCCCCGTTGGGACGGGCGGACGGACAGGCATAGATGATGAAGGCCCACCGTCATCCGCGTGCATTTACGCATGGTTCGATAAGCAGACAGCGATGTATGCGGCGTTCTCGGTCTGAGCCGAGGGGTTTCATTCCTCCCCGTGGACAGTCAACCATGCCCTTCTCTTTTCCGTGAAGCCAGGGAGCTTGATATAAATAATTGTGCCGGCAACCCTCTTTTGCCATTCTTTCTTTGGACCATGATCAAAGCATCCTGAGGACATCAGATCATTCCACCGGACAAGCAGGCCTTGGTCTCCTTCCACACTCCTTTTCTTTTCTTGTACTCTTTACATTTTCATTCCTTCAACATGCGATTCTCTTCCGCTCTTGCTCTAGGCCTGGCTTGCCTTGCTAACATTGGTGATGTCTTTGCAAGACCCACCCCCGATTCGCGCCCTCCACCAAGTGGCGGGTATAAGACTGTTGGATACTATGGAGACTGGGTGCGTTAAGATACCAACTGGATACCAATGGTTGGCCTCTTCCTCTTTAGCACTACTGACCGGTATAACTATTAGGACGTCTATAAACGCAACTTCCACCCAAAGGATTTAGTTGGAGACCAGTGGACTCATATTCTTTACTCCTTTGCCGCCATCTCCCCTGAGGGTGAAGTCTCCTTTAAAGATACTAGCAACACCCAGAAGATCTATGAGGGAGATAATCAGAGTCTTCAAGGCAACAACCTTTTTGGTTCCCTTAAGCAGATGTACTTGATGAAACAGAAGAACCGCCAGATGAAGACCCTTATCTCTATCGGAGGATGGACCTACAAGGATGCGTTTAGTGGACCTGCCAGTACTGATACTGGGCGTCAGACTTTCGCTAAGTCATCTGTTAAGATGCTTGCAGATTATGGTTTTGACGGAATTGATATTGATTGGGAGGTAAGTAACGATAAATAAAACTATTAAAGTAGTATATACTAACTGAACATAGTACCCTACAAACGAGAAGGAGGCTGGAGACTTTGTTTTGCTCCTTGCTGAAGTTAGAAAAGTATGTATGATATATCCTACAGGTTTAGTCCCTCGAGCTAACTGGTATTTTAAGGCACTGGATGAATACTCCAAATCAATTGGCGACGGATATAAGTATCTGCTCACTGTGGCCTCCCCAGCCGGTAAGTATCTAGACTTCCATTATAACATACAAAGATACATCTAACAAAAAACTTCCTAGGTGCCTCGCACTACAATATCATGAAGCTCGGTGAAATGGATAAACATCTTGACTTCTGGAACTTGATGGCCTATGATTACTCTGGTAAATGGGACCAAACCTCCGGACACAGTGCTAATATCTTCTCCTCTACTACCGATAAAACATCTACCAAGTTCAATACCCAGGATGCCCTCCTTGCTTATTATGCTGCCGGTATCAAGCCTGAGAAGATAGTTCTTGGTATGCCTCTTTACGGCCGTTCTTTTACCGGCACTGAGAACAAGCCAGGTGCTTCATTTAGCGGCGTGGGTGAAGGCAGCTTCGAGGATGGTGTATGGAACTACAAGGACCTTCCACAGCCGGGCGCCACAGTCGTTGAATGTGAGCAGGAAGTTGCTAGCTACAGCTATGACCCAGCCAAGAAGCTCTTTATTAGCTATGATACTCCCAAGATTGCTGGCATGAAGGCCAACTATCTCCGCCAAATGGGACTCGGCGGCACTATGTGGTGGGAAGCCAGTGGTGATAAGCCAAAGGGCGAGGGCAGCCTTGTTGAAACCGTAAGTTCCAACTCGCTCCCTTCCTGATCTCAGTCGTTACTAACGTAGGTGGTAAACAGGTTATCGAGCGCCTTGGAGGCCGCGAGACCATGGACAAGAGCGAGAACCAGCTCAGCTACCCACAATCGCAATACGACAACATCAAAAACCAAATGAAAATGTAAAAGACCGCGAGTTCGGTCTGACAAGCTCCTCTTGAGTCGAGCTGAGGCAGGCCCTTGATCACACATACAGTGGTGACGTTTGCTCATCGCTTGTATTTTCTTTCTCAAAACCCCTATACGGCCATACCTACCATGATGATCTACCACTCTCCCCTCCTCTACTACCTCTTTTCACTCACGCTCCATGGCCTTATATTTTACTTCTTCTTTCTACTTCTTTACCTTCGTTGGTTCTTCGGAAGCCCCCTTTTGACCATTCACCTTTAACCTTTTGACCTTTTTTTTTGTCTTTTGCATTTTTTACCATCTTCGCTTCGTCTGCCGTGCATTAGACCATGTACGCGTATCCTATTTTATATATACCCTCGTTATCAGGTGCTAGGCTCACCTTTATAACCATTCGTTCAGGCGCTTAAAGGGTTGGAAATCTTTTTATATATTTTTGACTGACCTCCTTTGCCGTGGCCATGTATATATCTAGACTCTCGTTGATTTATGAGCTCAAGACGATACAATATATGTTTGCATATGTGTCAAAGATCTTCCAACTGCCCATTCTCTCACCTATAAACCTTCTAGATTCTCTAGTGCAATTGAAGTTGATTTTAGCATTCAGGAGATAAGATAAGAGTTTGCTGATTAATAATTATGATTATATTAGCGCTTACTAAGCATATTAGGTGAGTTGAAGCTGATTGTATGGCCAGCGTTCACATTGATCGAATACTTTAAAGATGGTGGGTTGCTAGTATCTGCTCTATATTTAGATTCTGACGGCTTGGTCTACGATATTATGATCTGCCGAGTGAACAATGGATAAAGCGATGCATGTATACCTAGGTCGATACGAAAGAGTAGAAGCGAGTTTTGGCCGGGCCAGGTCACGTGAAGATAAAGAGGGGCAAGGGCGGGGAGCGATAAAAAACGAAGAGAAGTGGAGGAGGCAGAAGAAAAAGGAGAAGAAAGTATTTAATTTGAATTTGAAATAAATACTATGGACGACGAAACGGGTTTTGAATAAAGGGGGGAGAAAGGAGAGAAATGGATAGATAAAGAGAGGGTCTTTTTAGTTGACTGCGAGTACGATATGGAGTTAATGGCCGTAGAACACATGCATCACCGAGCTGTGACCTTTTTTTCTTCTTTTGGCGGGTGGGAAAGGGGGAAGTCTGATGTTTTTTTTCTTGGGTTGGTGCTGTTCGCGTTCTCTTTTTCTCTATCTATCAATTATTCCGACGTCAAGCTAAGATATTCAACGTAGTCCGTATTAACATAACAAGGCTCGATTCCAAGCAGCTATCGTTGCTATCTCACCGGCAAGACAAAGGTAGGAGTTGAAATAACAAGCAGTGTGAGAATAATAATGAAAGAGTAGTAAAGAGGCTGGTAACCCACCTCTTTAGAAGCACTTTCGGTGGACAATGGATGGGCCGGACTCGTCGTATTCTTGCTTGGAGATCCACATCTGCTGGAAGGTAGAGAGGGAGGCGAGAATAGAACCACCGATCCAGACGGAGTATTTACGCTCTGGAGGAGCGATGATCTTGACCTTCATCGACGATGGGGCAAGAGCAGTAATCTCCTTCTGCATACGGTCAGAGATACCTGGGTACATGGTGGTACCACCAGACTACAAAATATCAGTTAGCATCGGGGCTGTAGAAAGGAAAAAATGAGAAAGGAAAGAGAGAGAGGACATACCATGACAATGTTTCCGTAGAGGTCCTTTCGGACGTCGACGTCACACTTCATGATGGCGTTGAAGGTGGTGACGTGGATACCGGATGGCTCGAGACCGAGGACGCTGGGCTGGAAGAGAGCCTCAGGAGCACGGAATCGCTCGTTTCCAATGGTGATGACCTGGCCGTCGGGAAGCTCGTAGGACTTCTCGAGGCTGGAGCTCTGGGCGGCGGTCTGGATCTCCTCCTGGAAGTCCAAGGCGACGTAGCAGAGCTTCTCCTTGATGTCACGGACGATTTCACGTTCGGCGGTGGTGGAGAAGCTGTAGCCACGCTCGGCCAAGATCTTCATCAGGTAGTCGGTCAAGTCACGGCCAGCCATGTCAATTCGGGAGATGGCGTGTGGCAGAGCGAAACCTTCGTAGATGGGGACAACGTGGGTGACACCGTCACCGGAGTCGAGGACGATACCGGTGGTACGTCCAGAGGCATAGAGGGAGAGCACAGCCTGGATGGAGACGTAGAAGGCTGGGGCGTTGAAGGTCTCGAAGATGATCTGGGTCATCTTTTCACGGTTGGACTTGGGGTTGATGGGGGCCTCAGTCAACAGAACTGGGTGCTCCTCTGGGGCGACACGGAGTTCGTTGTAGAAAGTGTGATGCCATATCTTCTCCATGTCATCCCAGTTTGTGACGACACCGTGCTCGATGGGGTATCGCAGGGTTAGGATACCACGTTTTGACTGTGCCTCATCACCAACATAGGAGTCCTTCTGGCCCATACCAATCATGATGCTATTCAACCCAATTAGCTGCTGGCCTCTCTCCCCTCTCTACAAGACAAATGGTTTAAACCTACCCATGGTGACGAGGGCGACCGACAATGGATGCTACAGGCAGGAGTTAGCCTGGACTTTTGACATGGTGTTCTCCCTTATTTCTGGAGTATGAGGACAACTTACGGAAAACAGCTCGTGGGGCATCGTCACCGGCGAAACCGGCCTTGCACATTCCGGAGCTGTAGTGAGAAGTCGGGTCAGCATCCCGCCAGACAGATCAAAAAGCAGCCTTCATCCATCGAACACATCTAGGTGTATCTGAGAAAATGCGACGTAGGGGTTGGTTGAGGTCGATATTGATGTTGATGTTGATGCTGGCTGTCGTGTTGCGTGGCGAACAGACAGCGAAACAACACAAGTGTTCAAAACGGGCAGAAACCACGGCGGGCTCAGCAGAACAACGCAGAACTCACCCATTGTCAATGACGAGGGCAGCAACTTCCTCTACACAGGAGACAAGTTAGCGAGCAGCACAAGAGGACGACGGGGCACGAAGAAGAAGACGGCCGAGGGAGGGAGGGTTGGCTGAGGTCGAGGGGAGGACGGTGTCTGGCGGGTAGGGGGGGGCCAGAGGGCCAGAGCTTTTTTGGGGGGGTTTGTTTGGTTTCGCAACATACCCTCCATGGTGACTGATAGTACAAGTTAAAAAAAGAAAGAGATCGGGAGAAAGAGACGAGCGTAGAGTCGGCGAGAGAAGCGAAGAGGCCTGCACGCGGACGCAGGGAGGTGGCAGGCTGATGGGCGTTGGAAGTTGTGGTTGTTGTTGTTGTTGTTGAGATACGGAGCGAGGAAGAAGAAGAGAGAGAGAAGGAGAAGAAGAAAGAAGGCCGGCTTGGGCGAAGCGGGCTTAGCTTAGTGAGGTTTTAGTGTGGGAAACCAAGAAAACCACCTGGTTGGCTCGTTCGGGGGGCGGCAGCCTCGTCCTTCACCGTTAACTGTAGAAATAGAAGTAGAAGACGACGACGACGATGGTGATGATGGTGATGGTGATGGTGGTAGAAGTGAGTAGAAGAAGGACAGTTATAGTAGAAGCGCTTCATGCTGCTGCCTAGTCGTCGTCATGCTGTGGTCAACCAGAACATGGCTGCCTCGCCGTCGTTGCTCTACAGGTGGTTACTAGTAACTATCTACGGATGCTCCTGGCGACGGACAGGATGCCATGGCGCTGTGTCAGGTAGACGCATTCTGCTCCCCTCCCGCTACGAGAAATGCTCTTAAGGGGGAGAAATATCGCTGCCTTCGAGGAGCTCTGCCACTCCTTGCTGTACGCTATACGCTGTACGCTCTTCAGCCGTGGTTACGCCGTACTCGAGAATGGTGCTGCCTAGCTCCGAGGCTCTCCTTTTCTCTGTCTCTCCCGTCCTGCCCACCGCTAACTAAATTGGATAGACCACAAGCCTGCTCAATAGTTGCGTAGGGGGCTACGTAATAATTAGTCGACCCAGCTTCCCCCCAAGACCCAACGTCTTCACAGGATGATGTGTCTTGTCTCTCTTTTGCCATCGTCCTTCTTCTTCTTCGCCTTCTGCTCTGCCTCTACCCCTGAAAAAGTACTGGTCACGTGAAGCTGTTCACCTCCAACCAAAAGAGCAGCATTTCGACGATATCAAGAGGCCATTGAGAGGGAAGATACGCCTAGAGAAAGGAGAATGACCTTTTAATAGGGAAATAGGATACGGTGGCTTCTCATGTCAATACCCTTCAGCCGATGAGCGGAAAAAAGGATCCCCCAAACCTGCCATGCATTAACTAATCGCCTCTACCCAACAGCCCTTTGCTGTCGTGTATCGCAGCCGGGGTCCCGGAGTCGGGGGCAAGGAGTCTCTCCTCTTTTCCCCCTGCACGTCGCCTTGCCCAACAGTTCACTTAACTGACTAGTTAAGCACGGACATACTCGCAGGGGTAGTTAAAAGGTTGAGCGGACAACTTCTTTGGTCTCCGATCTACAAGATCTTCCGCGAGTATCTCTCTGACCCGACTCTCTTCCATGCACTGGTCTACCTGGACGTTGTCGAAGAGGAAGAAAGGGCTCTCAACTATCACGGTTGGCCTTTAGCCAATTCTTCTCTAGCCTTCTGATCGTTCTTCCATTCCATTTGACGGCCAGCCCGCGGATTGGGTTTCGGAAGTACCAATTGCCTTCCACTTTCACATCCTTTCCAAACTTTTCTTCCATACCTACACAAAGTACACAGTCTAATGTACCTGTATGGGCAGAAATGCAAATATGATACCACTGCTGCTTCTATACCCAGCTTCGTCGTCGTCGTCGTCGTTTTTTGTCTAAAACATTTTTGATAAGAATGCTTATGTAATCATGGATTCGAGGTGGGATCGATCGAAGCTTATCGAACGTCGCAGGCGCTTCAAGAAAGTTGCCGTTCACCATGACATTTCAAATTTTTTTCTCTTTCAGCAAGTCAAATAACTAGTCAAGGGATTTCGTGATAGTACTTCACAAGTTTATACGCTCTATTAACCTGTTCTATACACCCATAAAGCGCTACACCCTTAGAAAGTCAAGCGCAAGACCAACTTTCACAGTCATGGACCCCTCGTTGAACAGCCTCCTCAAATGGAGTATCGAAAACACTCCCGCAGCCGCAGCCAACGGCCAGACGAATGGCACCGAACCAGCTGCCCCTAAACAACCCATTGACGCAGAAGCCCTTCAGCGCCTGCTAGCAAATACCCCCTCAGACGCAGAGCTCATGAAAACCGCAATGGCAGTCGTGCGGTCCTCTGATACGACGTTGGAGAATAAACTTATCGCTTTTGACAATTTCGAACAGCTGGTCGAGAACCTGGATAATGCGAATAATATGGATCCTCTGGGACTTTGGCCTCCACTAGTAGAAACGTTGAAGGACGAGGAGGCAGAGATAAGGAAGATGGCTGCGTGGTGTGTTGGAACTGCGGTACAGAATAACGAGAAGTCACAGGAGAAGGTACGTTTTCATATACCTTTTAAAAACTAAATATGCTTTGCACATTTTGCTGACGGATTATTTAGGCATTGGAGGCAAAAGTTATTCCCGAATTAGTTCGAATGGCCAGGGAGGACGGTGATACCACCGTTCGACGCAAGGCCGTGTACGCGATATCCTCCTGTGTACGAAATTACCAACCTGCCCTCGACCAGCTACGAGAATACTTGCCTGCTGAAGTTGTGCGTGCTGATGAGAAAATCTACGCCGGTGACATGGATAAGATAGACGCTATTATCGCCCATTTAAAACAGGCGGCTTGAGCTATGTCGCTGTGAAATGGTTCTTTTTGAACAGTCATCAGACTCCACCATCAAAGGACACCCTGAAGGGAACTGAGGATAATACATCCCCTTTCCTTACAGGGCCTTCTCATTTTCGAGGACTGCCCAAGTGGTATAGCCAGAGAACAACCCGCGCGGTCTAGACGACTTCGTTGTAAAACCTCCCAGAAGGCGTATTGCCTCCAGGTGGTGGTCTAGAGAAATTCTAGGCATCCACCTGGTTCCTTTGGAAACCCGCAGCTACTCTCATCTCCGCCATAAGAAGGCGAGGGCAGCAGATGTGGGAGCTAGCTAGATGAGCAGAATTTATAGACTAAACAGCCTTACAATATAACAATACCTATTTTACTCAGAAATCTTGGTTATGATAATAATCACGTAGCGTCAAGTAGACAACTTAGCTTATCCATTCAGAACGAAGATGCAGGGATAGAAGTTTATAACAGTATCATTACTCAAACTATTCATATTCTACAGAATCAATAAAAACGAAACAGAAAATCGGGATAACATGACGATGGGAATAAGCTGAAGAAAGCGGCTGCGGAGACAGTGGTTCCAGCATTATAGAGCAAGAGTGTAGGTATAGTCATCTTCCATGTTTTGCGCAATCCATAGAACAGCGGAACTAGAAAAGAAAAATAAATGATTAGCTTGAGAACAGACATAGTCATATTAACCACAAACTCACCTCATCATCACCAATGCATTAGCAATAACGTTCGCAATACCAAAGTAAAGCGTCTGAAGCGGGTACCCATGGATGACATATTTCAGTACCAGAACCGTCTAAAGCAAACATTAGTATATCAACAAAACAGCAGTCACAGCCAGCAAGACAGAGACTGAACATACCACACTCCCCGCCAGACCACCAGCCAACAGCGCGAAGCCCAAGAAAAGAACAAATCTTGCCTTCCAGGCAACGCTATCTCCAGAATAGCTGAAGCTATCCGCACTCAGGCGTGACTTTTCAATCGAGTTGATGACTAGCATCCCTAAGGCGGAGCAGATACCAGGGATCCAGTCCACGAATTTAACATGGACCTCTGAGCCATTTCTTGCACTGTGGGAGAACGAAGCTGCGTCGATAAGGAAGAAGAGGCCGATGGAGAACTAGATAGAGGTGAAATAGGGTGTTAGCCTGATGAATCCTGGGAAGCTCGTGGAGGTATGAAACAGCACAGGGATAGGGTAGACGGTAGTAGACGGGGAAAAGGCAGGGAAGCAGAGGTCCATACTAATGCACCGGAGGCATATATGCCAGATGTACGAGTGTTGGCATTGTTAAACCACTTGGTAAACCGGAATAGACGGTTGTCCGAATCGTCCATGATGGAGGTATTCGTGCAGTGAGCCCGCTGATTACCAGAGCTTCCAGGTGTCTGATAGATCCAGCAGCTTCGGGAGTTTCTCTGGGTTGCGCTTCTTAGAGACGAATAGCAAGCCCTCGTCGAGATCAATGTTGAGTATGCAGCTGTTATGCCTTCGGTCAACCAACGTCTGCTTCCTGTAAAAGCGCATCACGGGCGCCTGAAAGCTAAAACGTCACCAGCTTATGTAATGTTAATATCACGTGGCTAAACTTGGTCCAAGCTCTCTTTACTTTTTGTTTTTCTCTCAATATCAATTTGAGAGTAGAAGCATCAGAATAGAAGGAGATGGAGCCGTCTTTCTTTCCACGGCTCAATACTACTAAATCGAAGTCTATACCCATTTGCTAAAGGTTTTGTAAATTACTCAATGTATCCTAGCTGACTTCTTGGAAATACGCATACCCATTCTACTCGAACAACAAAAATGTAACCTAACCTTGGATACATTTCTGATATTTGCCTTAGGTTGCAAATTGTGAGAATAACAGCTTTATCCTATGCAAAAATACTGCGTCTTTATTTTATTTGGTCATACCCTTATGCCATGCTGCCAACCCATACTTGGATTAATGTTATTTCCCCAAGCGAGACATATATAGCTGTCTGCTAGCTGGTGACTTTTAGGTTATAAATATATCTTCCTTTTAGGCTGTATATATCTATAGCTATTTATCATTCATTATGCTATGACTGGTTTTATTGGCTCTTTATTGAATCACTATTACTTCTTTCCCTACATACATATGTACATCTTCCTACCCTTTATTGCTAGCCACAGTTTTTCAAGGAGGTGAATGTGATAGTTTAAGCCAGTCAGCTGCTCCAGATGAATCCTCGCTTAACATTAGCGCGTCAGTTGCACGTGAGAAGAGATATAAATACCCTTTGTTCTATCAACTCTTTTGTGACTTCCTTTACCTCTTTCTCCTTCTCCTGCTTTTCTCTTACGAACCTGATCATTCTATACACAAGTACTCTTTCTGTGTCAGCTAGTGGCTGTCTTGAATATCACTTTTATCTGCCAACCCGTTTTGGGAGATTATAGATGCTAATAAAAACTTCACTATTTAGAAGTTATAGATATCTTCTGGCATAGACCAGATACTGTTCTTCACGCAAGACTCGACTCCAGTCATACTGGCTGGGGTCGCTGGGCTTTATAAAATATAATAAAGTACCAATATTAGGTACAATATAAAAAGCCCAGAGAGCACATCTATAACTTTGGAGTTGCTTTGACAAGCATCTTTTCAGCAAATGCTGATATATAAAGGCTTCAAATGCCTTTTAAAACATTCTCCAGTTCCTGGAGCAGATTCTGGGGATATTTTACCCTGTAACACAGGTTTGTATAGCTCCTGTCTACTTCCTTTCTTCGTCTACTACTGCTTTTACTGATATCTTACCTTGACAGACGGGGGTTCCTAAGATGATAAATAATACCTGCCCCTAGGGTGGGCTCCTAGGCTCACCTCAAGTTGCGAACATCATGCCTTGTTTGCTGATAGAAAATATCAGGTACCTGTTTTTTGAGTCCAATGCTTATACATTGAAGAAAATATAGCTAATATTAATATCTATAGCACCTCAGTTTTTCCGTTCTCTCGCGACGGCCTGCGGGCTTTACTTAATCGCCATTCCCAAGAATGCCACAAATTGTTAGTTGAACAATCACAGCCACTCCCTGTGTATTCAATCATTTCTTTCATCCTACTGACAGTCTTGAGAGTATGAAGAACAAGGAGCCTTTTATTTTCAAAACATAACCGTGATAACCACGAATACGAGGCAGTATATATAGGGTGGAAAATCCCATCATTGCGGATGATGAAATTGGGTCTTTCTGTTTTTATTTGTATATATATATGCATACCATCTATTATATTATCTACTTTTCATGATTTACTTTTTCTTTATTTAGAGGGCAGATTCTCTAATGTGGTATTAGCTGCAAGTGCCTCAATTGGTGTAAAGAAATCAATAATATAAATAGACGGCATCAATCATTAGTCATTAACCTATCGTGAGCGTACTCAGCTATTCTCCATCGGAAATTTCACAGAACAGCTTTAGAACAGAGTCTACCGTAGTCATTGCCTTGTCTTTTCCCAAGATGGGAATATCATGAGGATAACCCGAACTTCCTGACGGCCCAACATTTTGAACTGAGGGTTTGAAAAACCGCCTCAAAGCAAATGTCGAAGCACGGTAGGTAGCGTGGTACATTTCCTTAAACCCTGTATCATCATTTCCGTCAACTTCTAACCGGTTAGGTTCCCCAGTGTCAAAGCCATCCACATGGTTAGATGTGTCCAGTTTTCCTATGTCATCAAATGGAAGGAAACCTCCAGGATCTGAAATATCCTGAATACGGCTATCCCTGGCTGGATTAGACTCGTATTTTATAGTTGGCTCGCCGGATGCTGGTAGTTCCCGTATAGAAGAATGCAGGCTATGGGCCGCTCGGGTACTTGTCCGACGAAACCCATAAAAACGCATACAGGTGAGAATTGTACGGGTCAATAAAGATTTGTTAGAGGCAGCGATGTCTTCAAAAGAATCGAAGTGTGGGCTTTTGGATTTATCACGCGGTTCTGGTTGTAAGTTGGGGGTATCTGGCTTTGAGGTGAGTAGCTCTTTGCGGCTCGACGTGCTTAAAGCTTGGGAAGCTGATGACCCAGGACGATGGAGTGAGGGTCTCCTAGACCCTGCACGTATATCCATTGCATTTGACGTAGCACGCTTCCTAGAGATACCAATATTATTCATGTTTCCAGTGAAGTCTGTGTTGTTCTCACTCTCTCGTTTTATCTTGATACTAGACGGGAGTTGGGGGAGTTGAGACGTGGAAGATTTTTCTCTAATGAGATAATCAGACATTGCCGCAGTTCCCTTCCTCCTAACATTCTTGTGATATTCGGTAGCTGCTTCGAACAAGGTTGCAACCCTCTTCCTCTTTGGGCTTGGAGAGCGGAATATATCCGGGAGGAATTCACTATATGCCTCGTTTTCTAAAGCCCTGAACGCGTTGTACTTTGGGTTGTATGGTGGAGTGGATAATGACTGTGTCCGGGTAAAGATATTTGAGCAGAGAGGGATGGCATACACTCTTAGATGAAACGAGGGCCCTTCGGAAAATTGGCCTCCATCTGCTGGCGAAGAGAGATATGGTGGTGATGGACACTCATTTCGTGAGTTGGATCTTGACAATGTCCCGAATATAAGTATGTCCGATATTTCTTGACGTGCTGAATTGGCCTTTAGCTCTGGGGAGAGTGTCTGCTCATTGACGCGGACAAGAATACCAACAGGGCATTGGCGAGTAGAGGAAAGCTCTTCATAACTATCCTCTGCGGTCTGATAGGTCCGTAACAGTTTGTGCCTGATCCAATCTACCGTTGTGCAGTCCGAGCTATGAAGTTCAAGCGATGGGCCGGTAAAGCAGATAATTGGTATTCGGTTTGGATCGACATAGGCTCGTAGGGATAACTTCGCATTTCGGGATAAGCTACTATGGCTCGTGGGGTCCGGGTTGATTAATCGTATGCCTACATATGGTCAGTAATGTGCCTCTTTCTTACGTAGCCATCTACCTACCTGTCAGGGACGCGTTTGAACCAGAGTCAACATCAATGGCACCAGACCACACCTCCATTTAATTAGTATAGAGATATAATATACAATGACAGAACATAAGGCTACCGCGTAAAAACAGAATATTCATAAGAGGATAAGCCCGAGTGGCTCTGCTTATTGTAAATTAATGCCCACTGGATCCGGAGTTTAATTGTCGCTGCAAGTCAATCATATAGCGACACGTGATCAAATAACATGGAGCTCTGAGATCCATAGATCCATGGATTCGTAGTTTATGATATTTGTAGGTCTGCTCTTCCATACGGAGGATCGAGAAAAAGGGTTTTACAACCGGGGGGAATGTCATAAGAGTGCAGTAGAAAAATATATGGAAAAGTGCTAGTTATCATACAGTCAGATCAAACATAAAAACGCCAAAGATAATCACAAGGAAAAAGAGACGTGAACTCTCAGCCCTGAGAATGGATAAAGACGGGTTCCGGGTATAAACTCCGAGGGGATTGGTTCTGAGGATAGAGAATACTCGATCGAAGCCGGAGACTACCTGTCGCAGGAGACATGTATATACAGCCACGGACCGAGGTCATTAATCTATGTTGAAGGGAAACAATCTGCAAGCAAGAAAGGCTGAGCAACAGCACCCGAACAAATTAGAATTCTTCCGTTTCTTGGAAGAACATCGAAAAACTGATGATGGTTCCGTATATTAATAGGCCACCCAAGATTGACATGATCATGGCCGGGACCTGGATTGAGCCGCTGTGAGCGAGTACCGCAGGGAGAGCTAGCGCCAGAGGATATTAGTTAGCATATGAGTAAGGACAGATAAGGCAGACTTGATGGATATAGCTCCTCCTTTCGATATAATAGGAGTCAAACATACCAATTCCCATCACTACTAGGAAGCCGGTGAACCACCGCCCAAAGTCTACAACACCACTGTTGGAGCTATCCATGAAATCGTCCGAGCTTGCGCATCGGCTACATATCCAGTTCGGTATTGGTGCAATAACATATGTCGCAACAACAAGGAGTGGTAGGTAGTTGTGCCATAACGCCGCAGAGAGGATAACAAGCAAGAAACCGATAGCAAGAACCTATAAGGAGGAGTTAGCTGAACCCTGGTCATCAAGCGAGAGTAGCGGTAGTATTTCTGTGAGCTTACAAAGGAGAGCGCGATGATAGTCTTAAGGCCGGGCATCTTGTCAGGCAGAGAGGTAGATCAAGCGTATGGGAGGGAGGCTGACGCCTGGTTTGATGGTAGGGTAAAGGAGTCAACTGCGGGACCAGGCGGCTGTATCACTGTCGCATCAAAAACAAATAGACAGAGTAGAGTTCGGTGATAGCTGGTAGATAAGTGTCTCGCGTTCGATCTTCGTCTTCTTCCGTCGTCTTCTTCGTTGTCTGCTTCAGCGTCTTCATGCTTCTGCTCTGTCTTCAACTTGAATGACGATGCGAATCCTTACATAAGCAGCCCAACTGCCCGAAGCTCTGGCGCTAACCCTAAAAGGGCTGCGAGCTACCGCGTCTCCTTCTGCCTTGAAGCAAAGACAGAGAAAGAGAACATCATAGACACACCAGCAAGACTCCCACAAGTGATACCTCTTCGCCCGTCTGCAGCAGCTTGCTCGCCGATACACATCCTCTGACTGTCATCGTTACGCTGCTGTGACCATGTTTAGAAATAACTACGACAACGACTCCGTTACTTTGTGAGTTGACACCGCTGGACGATCTAGAGACAGAGACGTGGTTGTTAATACTAGAACAGCTCGCCGCAAGGCCGAATCTTCCAGGTCGAATATGCACAGGAGGCTGTCAAGCAAGGCTCAGTGGTGGTCGGAATAGTCAGCAAGACACACGCTGTCCTGGCTGCTCTCAAGGTAGGGTAACCCCCCATCCGTTATTTAGGTCATTAGGTCATGAACTAATATTGAGATACCAAATAGCGAAATGCGGAGGAGCTGTCTTCTTACCAAAAGAAGGTCATTGCCGTTGATTCCCACATGGGAATTGCAATTGCTGGACTTGCCTCTGATGCCCGTGTACTATCGAACTTTATGAAACAGCAATCACTAGCTTCAAAGATGACCTACGGCCGCCCTCTCCAGGTAGAACGCATCGTTAACCGAATCGGAGACCGTGCTCAAACAAACACACAAGTTTACGGAAAAAGACCATATGGCGTGGGCTTACTGATTGCTGGTGTGGATGAAGCGGGGCCTCATCTCTTCGAGTTTCAGCCCTCTGGCATGACGCAGGAGATGGCTGCCTGTGCAATTGGAGCCCGAAGCCAGATGGCCAGAACATACCTAGAGCGGAACTTGGATTCATTCGCTGACTGTGGCCGTGAGGCTTTGATCACCCATGCGCTGAAGGCTTTGAAGGAGAGTTTGTCACAGGACCGAGAGTTGACAATTGATAATACAACTGTGGGCGTCACTGGTGTGCCAAGTGCGGCCACCAAGGGGAAGATTGATACCTTTAAGCTATACGATGGACCAGACGTGACAGCCTTCCTTGAGAGTGCAAATGAAGAGACGACATCAAGCGAGACAAAGCCATCAGAGGAAATGGAGGTGGATTCGTGATGATAATGATTCCATAGATATGACCGGGATAAACCTCTTCTGTTTATTTGAAGCGTTTATCTATCCTACAATGAACCTCTTTCTATGATAAGCTCTCTTAATGTTGAGACTGTGCCATGCATGCTATTGAGCTTTCGTATAATTCTAGTCTATAAGTGGGATATCTCGGTAATTAACACGCCAGGCCCGAGCCTGAGTCTTCCTATCACTTATCTTTTCCGAATTCCACCTCCCAGGTTAGTCCAAAACGGCCCTGGCTTAATTTGTAGTTCTTCAGTGCATCAAGGGCATGTTCTACATCCTTGCATTCCACCAATATCTCTTTGTTCACAGTGCTCACAAAACCCTGCTCAACACTCTTGTCAACCCATGCAAGTATGCCGTCCCAGTAGTTGTCAATGTTTAACAGAACAACTCCCTTATCATGGATCCCCAGCTGATTCCATGTAGTCATCTCCATAGCCTCTTCAATCGTGCCAAATCCTCCCGGCAAAACTAGAAATCCACTTCCAGGGCCACCGGAAATGACTTCTCCAGCCATCATCCGCTTGCGAGTATGCATATCCGGTACTATTGTGGTCACACCGTATTCTGGGTTCACAAATTTGTTCGTCCCTCCAGTTGCTGCACTCTTGACATCCGAAGATTCAGTTCTTTCTGGCAGCTTGCCCTCACGCTTATCAACAACAGCTAGCGGGGTACGGTGGCCATTCTCAATCTTTACAAGCGCCGAAGGAATAATGCCATGAACTGACTCGGGCCCCGAAAGCGAGACCAAAGTCCGGGCAATTTCACCCATGAGCCCAGCTGTGCCTCCTCCATAGACGAGTTTGACGCCTTCCCTGTGGAATAGCTGGGCAAGGGAGCGGGCTGCCTCGATGTGCGCGGGGGATTTCCCAGCGGCGGAACCGCAGCTTTTACGTCAGTCAGCGGGGGCTTTCTACAATGGTAACTTGTATGTAGTTATGGGCGTAGATGTTATAGGAGCCTATATGGGGGATATATACGTACAAGACACAGACGACAGGTCGCGGTTGGTTCGAAGCTGCAGACATCTTTGATTGTGGCACGATGCTTGTTTTGCTAGATAAGAAGTTGATGGTCGAGGATGGGAGAAATAGTTACGTAGTTATTGGACGTGCGGGCCTCGTAACCCCATGGTCTTTATAGGCAGCTAGCATGCGTGAGTCACGTCTGGAGTAGATAACTAATCCAACAGAACGGGATAAGTGTACTTCTAGGTAAGGCTTAATCAACCGTATAGCTACAGGTGGCCGCCGGATATGGGGGCTGTCAACCCCCAAACCTATGAAAAAGGAGCAGCGTTAAAAAGTCTCGTTTCTTTTTATAGCGGTTCCAAGCATGCCGTGTCATTTTATGATATCGCTGCAATTATATCGTGTCCACCATGACTATAAAGGGTTGTTTGTTTATTTTGGCTTCTCAAGTCACCAGCCCAGTAGTGGACTCCAAAGAAAACATCGTGACGTAATTGTAAGCTAAAGAGCTAGCTAATATGTCCACAGCGCGAGAAGAGGAACTTTGGCTCCGCTAGGGGCTTCCTGCAGGAGAAGAAGCTTTTAAAAGTGCTTCACAAAGTGTTGGTGATAGCCCTCTTTTTACCTTTTCCTGCCATAGGCTGGCTGGAGTCAGACACACCCCCTAGTGCAGGTGAAGCACCAGGTGTATCTGGTCCCAGTTTTGGCGCTGGGGTCCCCGATGGTGATCGCACGACAGGTTTGGTCACCCCGCCAATGCCAGTAGCGTTCTCGGCCCCAGGAACTGCCAATGTGTTTGCAGCATTCTTCGAGATGATAAAGGACCCTGGCTCGCCGACCAAGGGCATCTCATCCATATACTCGTCGCCATAGCGGGAGAGAAGGTTGAGCGCATCTGCAAGAGTTCTCATATCTTGAGTTGCTGCAGCGCCTAGCTTGGAAGGCGGTGACACTGCGCCAGATGTTGTACTTTGAGTCCCAGGTACGGGAGTCGCTTCCTTTCCGGCTTGTGCAGATTGGGTGGCAGCCAGTTGATTTGCCTCAGTGTGCTTCTGAATTGGGGGCGTGTATGCATGGCCGTGAGATGGCGTAAAAAGTAGCTGTTTCGATGCGGCTGGAAGGATCTTTGTGAGAGACGTGACAGTAGAAAGCTAAGGATAATGACAGTCAGTAAAAGAGCTGGTTTCCCTTTGTGGGACTGGGTACAGTGCAGAAAAGTACCATTCGGCGTCCAACCACATTCATCAATGACGGTGCTATATAAATAGAATCCCCTACAACAAAGTAGGTAGCCAGTATCTGTACTTCTTCTCGCATACCGGGCTGCCGTCGCCTATTTTGTTTTCTAATAACCCATATGTTCGATGGTTCTTGGGGAACATTTCCTGCCGCTACAGCAGCAGCGGCTTCCTGTATTGGGTCCTGAGCTACTACAAATTCTAGCCCTTGCATGGTCTTTAATCGCCCCTCGAAAGCTTCTCGAGTCTCGATGAATTGGCGAAAATTCTCATTATGCATTGCTTGCAATGTCAATGTCGCATTATTCGATGTAGAATCGAAAAAGGGGGACTCTGCAAAGTAGAACAAGACTAAAATACCAGAAGTAAGTCATTAGCAATGATCTATGTGATAGTAGTGCGAAAAAAGTCGATTAATACACGACGCTTACTATTATTGGAGTGGAGGAAGCCGCCCATTAGCTGGACGTGCTGGGGAGACCGCCATGTTATTTCCTCCAAAACAACATCGATTGAGCTCTCCATGATGGCGACTTGGATGAGGGCCACGCCTCGTTCATCATCTGTCGCCCCTCCAGAGCAGAGACCAGAACAGCGGGCTGGAGACCTAGATGGAGGAACAGTTGCTAATCTTTATCAAATCACCAGAGTGGAAGGTTTGAAGTTAGCCTACCTCTCCTGTGTTTGCACTGTTTGCAAGGAATTAAGGTACCAAGCTAGCGAGCTTGCTATGACGTCACTCACTAAGGCGTAAATAAAACTGCGGCAAGGGAAAGCTTAGAGGACACAACTTTCGTTTTTGGTGAGTGAATAAGTTTAAAAGAAGCTTCACATAATAGATAAGGAGTGGGTTTAACTACGGGACGGAGTAAATTAAGGCTGGTGAGTAGAATTATTGAAGGGTTGATTTCTTCTGCCAAGTAAACTACCTAGTTACCTAAAGCCTTCTTCCAATTTACCTTGTTCCGTTCCGATCGATTATGAGGCCGTTAATAGAAAAAAGATCATGCCTTAAAGAATGAGAAAAATAAAAAGTAGAAGGGAAAGTCGTGTCAGAATAAGTAGGGCAAGGGATGGTTCAGATAGGCGCATATCTCTGAAATTTGTCAACTTCATCAAGACATGTCATAGCAGCAATCCAAGGGAAGCTGAGGAGCTTCTCTTGGTGCGTATGAGCACTTCGAAGTCCGGCCTTCTGTCCGGCGCTTTGTTCGTTTATGGCCACCCAAAAGCAGGCAATTGAGCGCTCGAGGGCCTCTGTTCCCCCTGATTCCGTGTCCCTGATCATAGAAATAGTAAACTCCACAAGACGGTTGTACTCTATTTATCAAATTGTTAGTATATATGATTGTTTTTATTATGTTTCCAAGGGAAGTTATTTCACTCACCATCCCGCATTTCGTTTGCATTTTCCTTATCTCTTCGTCGTTGCTTATGTCCGTGGCCAAGAATAGTGCCAACAAAAAGTTCATATTCCGAGATTGAACTCTTCAATGGCGTGGACGAATATTTATGTAGTAGTTCGCGAAGCTTGTCCTCATAACTAGCGAACTCCAATGCGTTAGCTCGACAAACATCCACATATGTATTAGTAGCGAGAAAGATAACTGATATTCATACATATCCTTGATATCATGGCATATCCCTGTGAGATGATTCCAAAGAAAACCATCCACCTCTGACTCCACATATCTCCAGATTGATTTAAGAACACTATTACGATTGTTGTTATCGACTGCTCCTGCATCACGCAGCTGATGGAGGAAGCTTTGCTCATCAATAGATCGATAGAGCCGACCTAAGATATTATGACTCTTGTAGTATCGAATTTTCGCACGATCATTATCGTCGTCGTCATCATCTTGCACGGTTGATTCTTTTTCACGAAGAATACTTTCAATGCTATCTTCAACGCGGATTCTAGGACTCGGAGCCATAAAATCTGGTCGGACTCGTGGGGCTTTGGGAATGCTCATGACATCGACCTATATGATGTATGAGAATTTTATTCATAACTAGTGAAGAGTGACGCAATAAACGTACCGCTATCCCGCTTTTCGAGTAGTCTACCGCAGTTGAATGTAACCGGGCAAGTGTTAAGCATACTCCGTCCAGAGTGCCGCGCTCTGACTGGTCTGCAATTGCTTGGTGTGTAATTGCAATGCGGCCTAATTGATCTTGTTGCATAAAAGTCACAAAGAAGTCAATGATATCCTCGGTCTCTACCTTTCTATCTAGCTCCTTAGCTTCAGCTCGAGGATAGTCGGCTGGCGAAAAGGTCTTTTGAGGAAGAAGTCGGGTGTCGTAAATGATATTGTAAAGATCACCGTCAAGATCTCCACCGCTTAGCATACTTGGGAGATCACGAGTGCCAAATTGACTAAAGGCAACACAGTTATGTAGCTTTCGAAGGGGGGAATTTGCAGGGACATCCACTGCATTAGCAACCTGAACATCTCCTGGATGTAGAGCTGGTGATCGCGTGATAACAACATTATCCCGGACTAGAATCTCACGTCGACCATTCTCTGCTAGGTAAACACAGTAAATTTCGTTTTCCTTGAGGTAGCCAGTTTCGTCCATGATTCCGTAGAGCGTAACGGCATTAGGGACACGGATTCTTGCACGATACTTCAGGTCACGGAGCCTCAGCAACATAGTGAGCTCCATCACTCGCTGCAGGAAAGGATCCTGTGAATATCGTATCCCTAGACTCTTTAAAACTAACAACAACCATGGTAGCCGGAGAGATCTGGGTACGGGCGACTCCTCAAGGAAATTAGCAGCTCGTTCAATGGAGCTGAAGGTTGAATATAGAAAACTAATCTCGTCTTGTTGTAGTTGGTGGAAAGCTTCAAAAGGGACTCCCAAGTCCTCCAAGATTTTGATAATCTGGTTGTTTAGATAAAACGGTAGTGCTCTAATTCCGGCTCCGCAAATCTCAATGTTGTATAGATCATCTGTGGGAAACTTGACCATTGACTCTCGAAGCATCAAGAATTCGCCTTTTTTTCTGGTATCCAGAGAAACCATTCCCTTGGCTCCTTAACAAAAATTAAAGTTAGCACATATAATACTAAATGATCAAAAATTTCTTTTATGTAGCAGGAGCTGAGGTTTTAAGGCACTTGACTAACCGGCAATTCGGATCTGAAAGACTGTCGGCTTTACCCTCTCCCGGAGAGCATATTCATTCCAAATCCTATACATCAGCTCACGCGATATGACTCCAACCCCATCGCTAAAGACACGCCCATTTCTCTTGACATCTGGTGCTTTCATCTTGACTACCTCCTTAGAGACAGATATAGAGGTAAGGGTATCGGAAAATGCTTGGCCAATCCTAGCGGCTTGCTTAGAAGGAGAACGTATGTGGTCAAAGTGACCGATATTGCCGATTATTGTTTTAGCATCGAGATAGTCGCCGTTTGCTGTGGTAAAAGGAGCAGCAAACCAGCAAGTCTGAGATCGTAGGGAAGAGTGAGAGAACCCGAGATATTCGAACACACGGCCAGCAATTTCAATACCTCGTTTCATAACCCCAGCAAATCTTTGATGGAAAATCGATTCCAAGTTTGCACTTGGATCGAAAAACACAGGGTCGCCTGTCTCATCAAGGAACTCAACACGAATGAAATAATCAATATTGTCCAAGTATTTGCGTAGAATTCGGTTCTTCGTTTCCGTGTACGGGCCGGAAAGGTAGATACCGCAAGGAGTAACCATTGCTCGATGCACTAAGACGCTTTTCTCAGGGATAAGATTGATCTCCCATTCACTGCCCGCCGTTACGATGGCATCTATACTCTTCTCCAAAGCCTCAACAATTGTTTCAATCCCAACATCAGATGCCAATACACCAGGTGATGGGTATAGTTGATTTTGGCCTAAACGTATGAGCGCTTGGGCAACAATGTCAGGAGTATGTTGTCGATGCAGCCGATGGACTGTGGGGAAGAGCAGTGAGGCTTGATTTAGCGAAAGGTCTCCATTCCATACGAGCTTCTGCAATTGGAAGTTGACACGGTAGTCAAATGGCATACGCCTCAGATAAACTTCAAATTCCCTGTCTAGAATATTATAGGCCTTTCGGGGAGAAACACACCAATCATTCCATGTGCTCATCTTGGGAACGTTGCGGTCATGAGCTAATTTGCGTACTACACCAGTATCTCGAGGGTCCTGGAGGGCGAATCTATAGGTAAAGCATCTCGCAGAAACCTTTTCGTGACTTGGAAGTAAATGACCGACTCTCCTCTTTGATGGTGGACGGCGCCCGCTTTTCTGGAACAACGCGGCCATTTGCGCTTTCATTTGCTCTATTGGATCGGAGATATAGAATCTCGGGGCGACTCCTGTGGTGATGGCAACAGATGGCTTCGCATAAGCTCCCACGTAGATATCGTCAGCCACATTCCAGTAGGGTATCTCCATGCTGTATTTTGTTGTGGTATGAAAATCTGTAAAAGTAGCTTCAAAGGCAGTTTTCCCAAGGTTGATAACTCCTCCGTATGGTAATCGAAAATATTCAACAAACACCGGTCGATTCTCACGGTACTCCCAGGACCCGCAGGACATCATAGTAACCTTGAAATGTCGGACTCTGGCAAACTCTCCTATAATTGAGCTTGGAGCAGGAGCAAAGCGTGCATTCAGCTGTGCCTCCTCCTCCTCCCGAAGTGACTGTAGGAGTTGTAGATAGGGCGTGTTGGTGCTCTTACACACCTGAACAGGGAACCCAAATAGCCTGAGAGTGATAGGAGGACGGGATGGCTTGGGAGGGCCTCGCATAGGTTTAATGCGGGATTCATATGTGTCGAGGAAGCGCTGGCCTTTCCTAGCATCAGCAACGGTGATTTTACCATTTTTCCTGCCCACCTTCTGGAAGTCGAAAACGTGAATTTGAAATTGCCCCAGTATGGGTTTGAGCTCCTTTCTCAGATGTTTCTCTTGAACCTGCTCGGGGATGTTGCGGCAGAAGATCTCCATATCTGGCGCATAGATGAAGCAGCCTGATGGTCCGGACCGCCCTGAACAAGATAGATCTTTTGGTGATAAGGGGGAGAGGAATAAATAAGATAGGGCGCGACCTTGTAGATGCAGTAAATATGCTTAAAGGACAGTTTAAGCAGCAAGGCGATCAAAGAAGTGCTCAAACCCTCACTTATAGAGGGGAAAAGACGCGCCAAATTGACCTAGGCTGGTGAAAAGAAGGCCGGTGGTAGGTTCAAGAAGTGTCTTTTGCTTCCTCTTCTATGTCATTCTAGGGTCATAACTATCCAAACCAGTACAGTTTCTCTGGATAGCTGATCTGGGTAGCTAAACGCCTATGTTTATGTTAATACCATCAAAGATACTGTGACTCTAGATCGTTAAGATAAGCGTTGGGAACGCAATGTGTTTGAAAAAAAGAGAGGGTAGAAAAGAATGAAGAGACGAGTCAGCGAAGTTGTGAGAACTTAGTAGAAACGAATGAATGTTATTGTTCTTGTTCTTTTCTCTTTGGCTGCCTTCTTCCGCCTTTGTCCTGCAGGTAGACGAGTTGACGCCGAAGAGGACCGAATTTGATGGTGTTTTTTTCGACTAAAGGACTAGGGCGGCTCGGCTGGAAGGTTCCGTTTCCATCAAACTCGACGGCTTCCCAGGATATTTAGACGACTATTAACTAGGTTATGAACAACTAAGCAGTCAAGTTGCTGTTACGAGCGAAGAACAGATGGCAAAGATAGCGTTATACAGGTAGATGATGTTTTATTTTAAAGCCTGCGAACCAGTTATCCCGATGATGCTTGCTGTCTTCCCAAACCGACGCTAAATCGCTTGTTACTTTCCCGAATCCGCAGGAGATACTGCAGTTAACTAGCCATTTGTCTCTCTGCCAAGTTAGTTAATAGTGATTCTAGCAGCATTTATTCCCCTGAGGGTGCTGATGGAAGCGTATGCAGGTATCCATTGTGCGGCCTTCAGTCGGGCTTGCCCGGCCAGTGTGTTGCATGTCGGCAACCGCGGACAGAACATCGATAAGGAATAGCTTCGGGTACTTGCTTGACGCAGTCTTACAGAAGTAGCCCCTAATGGCGCGGGATGCATATAAGTCGACCAGCAAAACTTTGAACTTGGAGCATTCCTTCGCATGCTCATAAGTAAACTGGATTGTCTCCGCGTTTGGTAGTATCTGGTTCCCGTTAAATCTCTGTTTTGCTCTCTCTATGACATGGTTGATGATGGCGTTTTGGAAGTCGATGTCTCCAAATCTCTTTCCGACCGTGTAGGCTTTGGCCAAGATTGCCCATTCATTTCTCATCTGCTGCTCAGAATCAACACAAGGGATAGTGCGTCGGTATATCCAGTTGACATAGAACTGTATGGCATCGCTGTACTCTTTTGGGATGCTAAAGGAATATGTATCTCCATTGGTCTCCTTCTTCCTCCAAAGGCTGTGTAGCAAGGTTGCAGATTCCTTTATCAAACCCTCATGGATATGGAACGAAGTATCTCCAGAACGGATACTGATCAAGTTCCCGCTGAATCTATATAAGGACTGTTAGCCGCTTTTCCCAGCGCGTCGCTAAACAGTAGAATGATATCCGTACTCATCCATTCGATTTTCCGAGCTCCCATGCATATTCAAACCAATGTACGTTGCTTGAGCAAAGTATTTGTAGCTAATGTTGTGGATTTGCTGGTGATAAATGAACCTGTCGTTACGCGGATGAAGATGTAACTAGTTAAAGAAAGGGAAACTAGAGAAAACAAGCTAGTAAAACATAAACAAATAAGGGAAGGAAATGCAGAGAGTGTTTGGCATCTATCATATCAGCAATAAGATGAAGAAGACATGGCACTATCTCCTCGTTTGGTGAGAAATGTTACTTTTGGTGGTAGGTATTCGAGCTGTGCAAGTAACGGCTTGACTACCACTTCTTGTGCAGTGCTTCTGGTCGCGCAGCTATTGTTTCTGCTGAGTCATCCAAATTTTCCACCAGAGCTCTGTACGCTAATGGCACTCGGTAACATGTCTCACCAAACGAGATAGCAAGATGGAGGTGAATCTCCCATGGATATTATGCTCTTCGATTCCAGATGATACCTTGATATGCGGCAGGCAAATATATCCCCTTTAAAATCATGGCCAGTGTCAATCTGTACATGAAAAAATGGATTGCCCGTCACATAGTTAACTATCACCTCTGGGGGAAAAAAAGAAAGAAAAAAAAGGCGCCCTGTATTAAGGTAGGTGTCATGGCTCGAGGGATTTTGATAACAAGAGGGATTTCTTCTGTAGGCAGCCGCTCTAAGACGCCTCCGTAAGGGAAACACACATGCTGCTTTCCCAGGTATATATCCGTTGAAATCGAATATCTCAATCCAAAAACCTCACGGACTACCGACTCAAAATGATGGTTAGGTGCTTCGCATGCAGGTATTGATGGTATATCAGCCCATTGTATTACAGAGATGAGATAATATAGCATGATATATGTTCTTAATCACGCTGGCCGGCATGAGTCGGCTATCTCTCTCACTATATCTCCTAGGAATGTGGGTTCGCAAAAAGCGACCAAGAGCAGCATCCACATCTGCCCAAACACCGCGAATTGCGTGATGCTTCAAACGAGGCGTAGGAGGATATACGGTGAGCCATGAAAGACTAACTAGTTCAGAGTATTATCATTATTATTATTGAAGAATGCGGGTATGATAATTGCCTGTGTATTCTTCAACTCTAAACCTCCGCTGCTCCGCAAGTTTCTTGCCTCGATAACCGACGTCCGCTCATTAACTCGAAGGGACCCCACGGAGGGTTGCTAATAGTAAGTACGGAGTAACTACTTATCTTGTCAACCCTCACCAAAAAAAACCTTGATTTAGGCCGTTTCTTCCGTCGTTTCTTGCAGACGGAACTAACTGGAAGCTAGTTCATGCCTTCATTTGACCAGGGTATAGACTCCAAGTCTACTGACAAAACTTGAACGGTCAGGGCAACGCTATAGTAGTAAGGCCACTTGGGGCATCCGGAGGATAAGCATGATGCCATCCTCAGCATATATTCCGTAGCTACCGGAAAACAGCCTATTGTCAGAAGATGAACAACTAAGGGCAAGGTATATTCTCCGCACCGACAGCGTCAATCACGATGCCTCGAGTTATTATCGCCATTTGCCCCAGCGGGGTTTCCCTGATCCTGGTCCTTATCAGCGCAATTTTAAACTCACGAGTCGCTCTCTTGCGAGGTGGAACGACTTTCTCCGCATCCTGCACCCTGGACGGCGCATGCGGGAGCGAAATTATGGGCACCAAGGTAGGCGAAGGAAGTCCGGAGAAATGCGTTATATCCTTGGCCGGCCTCCAAAGCAAGCGCAAGCAAAGCAGAACGCCGGCTGAGAAAAAAATCAATATGATATCATGGCATCGAAGCAGCCCCATAAGCCATGAATAATAACACGGAGAGCTTGTAAACTGATTTGAGTCGCCCTCGGCTAAAATAAGGAGTTACAGAGTTAAGCTGCGTTCACGTGCCAGGCACAGAGGTTATTTTGACCTCCGATATCAAAACTAATTGGTGAACACTTCGGCTGCGACTTCGACTGCGACTTCGCCATCTTTGCCGGCCAGTCGACGAGACGGGGCTTACATTTTCCGGTTGAGACATTGCTTGGGAGCAGATGGTGGAGAAACACGAGCTTGTATATTGCTTGTTAGTACCAAGCTATTATTGGCGGTCGGAAGCAATGCTTGACCAATCTCGCTAGCTTGCGAGAGCAATGCAACTCTGGCAGGGGGGCCTTGGTTCGTATTATCTATCTTCCATCCTGGACCCTCTATTACTCCTGTACGGTCCCATGCAAACGCATCGCTCACTTACGGGGAACGGCACAGCATGTCCAAGGGCCCTCCAAGGTGCATGACACAAACGGAGAAGTGCACACGATGTCGCTTCTTTCTTGGGTCGCGAAAGACCGCAGACGGCGGCTTTGTGCCGCTTGGTGATCTGCCGAGAAAGGGGGATGGTGCACGGATTGCCAAACTAGTGGTTCTCAGCTCAAGCTGTTCCAATGGCCTCTCTCCCCAAGAATCGCCATGGTGCCGATCATCCCTCCAGGTCTGGGTATTTGCCAGTTCTCCCCTGGCGATGAGATACGCTCGTTCTATTGGTTTGGCCCTGGGGAACTCTCAGAAAAAATGACCCCCTAACCCAACCCTTGCCCGAAGGACAGAGTTCCTTCAAAGGCACCGGAGAAACCCTTTTTTATTGACAGCTTTTTCGATTCCGTCAAGGGTTTTTCCCCATGTCAACCCCGTTGTTAACTTTCTTAACGAGAAAGTAATAACTTATTACACTTCTCTGCGAGTTTGAGGACCCGCAGCACTCCCGGGGAAATATTATACATACTTTGCAAGGATTCTCACTTCGTGCACATCGTGTTGCTTTCCCGACCTTACGAAAGTACTCCGTACAGCATTCTAGAACAGAAGCTCTTCTCCAGCTGAGCACGCTTTCTCGTAAGCTAGCGGGCAGCTGCGGGAATTTGCTGGTCAGCTCGTGTATAAAAAACCCTCTCCTATCCTCCCGCAATTCCTCTTGCAAGAGTGACAACCACAGCCGGACAAGACATCGTCGACGGGATAGCCCTCAATTGCTCTTCCCAACCATGGTTTCCTTCACCCTTCGGGCCATTGGTGCCTGTCTCATCGGCCTGCCCGCCTTGATCACTGCTGCTCCAACCTCTCATATCTCTAGTGATTTCCATGTGGTCGAGCAGCTCAATGCGGCTCCTCAAGGTTGGGTTCAGGGAGGCTCCCCAGCTCCATCAACCCTGATGAAGTTCAAGCTTGCACTTGTGCAGAGCAAGACTGCTGAGTTCGAGCAGCGGGTTATGGACATCTCCAACCCCAGACATGCTGACTATGGCAAACACATGAGCCGCGAGGAGGTTGATGCTTTCCTACAGCCTTCCTCCCTTGCGAAGGAGTCCGTCCTTAACTGGCTTTCTTCCGAGGGTGTCTCTAAGCACTCGGTTAAGGCCAACACCGACTGGCTCACCTTCACTACTACCATTGAAAATGCCGAGAAGCTGTTCGATACCCACTTCTACACGTTTAAGAACACCGCCGACGGCAGCCAGATTATCCGCACCCTGAAGTACTCCGTTCCTGCATCCGCTGCTCCATACATCCAAATGATCCAGCCAACTACCAAATTCAACGCCCCCCGCCCCGAGCTGAGCAGCGTCTTTACTTCTGACCTCGAAATGACCTCTTCTGCCGATGTTGACTGCAATGTCACTGTTACCCCCGACTGCATTCGAGACCTCTATAAGATGGGCAACACTTTTGCTAAGAAGGACCCACGAAACAGACTCGGCATTTCTGGATACCTTGAACAATATGCCCGACTTGAGGATTTCAGCACCTTCATTGACATGTTTGTTCCTTCTTTGAAGGGAACTACATTCGACTTCAAGTCTATCAATGGCGGAAAGAATGAGCAAAACTCTACCCTTGACAGCGTTGAGGCCAGTCTCGATGTTGACTATGCCATTGGTTTGTCTGGAGCTCTCTCCACTTACTACGGTACCGCAGGACGAGGAAAGCTCATCCCAGATCTCGACCAGCCCAACATCACTGACAACAACAACGAGCCCTACATTGAGCAACTGTTCTATCTTCTTGATCTCCCGGATTCAGAACTTCCAGCCGTTTTGTCCACTTCTTATGGCGAAAACGAGCAAAGTATCCCAGCCAGCTACACTTCCGTGGTCTGCAGCTTGTTTGGCCGCCTTGGTGCCCGAGGTGTTTCCGTCATCTTCAGCAGCGGTGACACGGGTGTCGGCAGTGCCTGCCAGAGCAACGATGGAAAGAATACCACCAAGTTCAACCCAATTTTCCCAGCTGCCTGCCCCTTCGTCACCTCTGTTGGCGGTACCCACCAAATCAAGCCCGAGGTTGCCATTCATTTCTCATCTGGTGGCTTCTCCGAGCGTTTCGCACGCCCATGGTACCAAGAGCTCGATGTTAGGCACTACCTTGGACACGAGCTTGAGAAGGGCAAGTGGGATGGTCTGTACAACCCTAGCGGACGTGGTTTCCCTGATGTCGCTGCCCAGTCCTATAAGTTCGCCACTCGCGATCATGGAAAGACTATTGGCGTCTCAGGAACTAGGTTAGTCTTGTCCCGTGCCGAGAACTTAAGTAGTTACTTTTGAAATTTCCCTTGTGGCTAACTCTGACTTCTAGTGCTTCTGCTCCCCTCTTCGCTGCTGTTGTCTCGATCCTGAACTCTATCCGTCTCGCTCACAACAAGCCAAAGATGGGATTCTTGAACCCATGGCTCTACACCGTCGGTCGTAGCGGATTTACCGATATCGTCCACGGTGGTTCCACTGGCTGTACCGGAACTGACATCTACAGCCACCTCCCAACCCCATATGTCCCCGGCGCCAGCTGGAATGCCACTAAGGGATGGGACCCAGTTACTGGACTGGGAACCCCTGACTTTGAGAAACTCTCCAAGTTGGTTCTCGCCTTTTAAAGGCGATGGTAATGGGAATGGGTTACTAGGTATAGACCGTATCTATTGAGATATTCGGTATATATACGAAACATAGATGAAGCCTTATAGATATCTTCTGTGCAACAAGCATATACTCACGACCAAAGAAATATACATCCATTTCTATTTCTACCATTAGCTTATTTAATAATATACAAAGTGTTAACTATTCATGGATGGAGCTGAGAACTTTATCAAACCCATGTCTTCCACTGTAACAATGCAATATGATGGCTAGATGCTCGAACTTCCCGAATGAAAACTGAAACTAGGCAATTAGCTAAACCTTTTTAATTATCCCAGAACACAAATAAATAAGTCCCACTTAGGTTTAATGCCATTAGGAAGGATCCTGTTATTCACTTTGCCGCAAGTATTTGAACGCATTTATCAAAGTATTGGGTGACGAGACTCTCTCTATATCAACGGAGCCATGAAATTAGCGTTCTGCTCAGTTATAGATGTAGGGTTGTCCAAAACTTACGTATAAAAGCCATGTTCCGCCCCGTGGTCAGAGACAATGTTATGTGCAAGTTCGTGGCATAAAATCACAAACCAGTACACTAATCCTTCTCTCCTTTCACCTCGAACAACTTTCTCGAGATGTAAGCGTTCAAAATATGCGTAGTTGCAGAATAAGCTACCATTCGAATTAAAGGCAATGGTTTTCCCACTGGTATCGTAGAATATGCTGACGGTCTCTAGACGCAGCCCAAAGATCTTTGCACAATCTATGAGTATCCGAGTGAACGCCTCCAGGTTAGAATGGTTCGAGCGAAGGAACCCTTCCGGGTCCATGGGCTGCTTCCCTACAAAAATCTTGAGACCTCCCAAAACACAGAAGAACTTAAGATCTTGCGCAGGACGTTCATCACAATATGTCTTCTTTTCTTCAATCTCCTTTTGTTGCCCTTGACTACGAAGTTCATTTGATGTAAACGGTCGTGAGGCATTGATTGCGGATTCCAATTGCGACTGTAATGCTCCTGGGGAGGTGGTGATAGTTTGATGACCACCCTTTTTCTCCTCTTCCTGGGTAGGAAGCCTGTCCGACAGGCGTTTTTTCAGATTATTTTGTGGGAAATCAAACGGTAGGCCGAATCGTTTTGTTAAATCGGAAAAGAGACCACCTGGAGACTGGTTTTCATTTGATCCCGAAGGGGGAGCTGGAGATGAATGTCTGGCTAGGGTATTTGTAGGGGAGTCCGGGAAGATACCAGGCATTGCTGCTTCGTGTTGTTGTTGAACCGCAAGCCGCTGCGATTCCTGCAATTCTTCAGCTCGTTTTTGCTCGAGTTCTTGCATCTCCCGTGCCTGTTGCATCTCCTTTTCAAGCTGACTTTGTCGTTGCTGCTCCGCAATTCTTGCTTCGGCTGCTTTCTGGCGAAGAATTCTTTCAACATTATATCCTCTTGCACGTAGTTCCAAAAGATCGGTCTTCAATAACATCTCTAACGTAAGCGTAGAGTGTAGTTTCGGTCTTGATAATATAATGCTTACAAGAGCCTGGCTAATCTGATACAGATCAAGCCTACCCTCAGCAATTGACAAAACAACGCTGCTTAGCTTATGTGTCATTACTGCACTGCGGTTTTCCACATGAGACATTCCCCAGCCACGGAGAGAGCGCCGCAACTTAATGCTGCGTACCGTCTGAACAGTTAGATTCTTTTCTAACCATCGAGTGTCATGGCGTATTGTGCTGCTTGGAAGGTCATGCAAGAACAGCCTAGATCTCTCATAAATGAGTTTTTGTAGTTTCGAAGCACTACGCTGGTCAGAGCTAAGTTGACCACATTGGGCTGTCTCATCGACCAAGCTGCTAAGGTTGGAAGACCCAAGCGTGGAATACATATCCTCAAGCAACTCTTCCTGTGGAGCTGCGAGCAATTTCTCCTTAAACAGGCTAAAGCTGGAATAGTCGTCGACGATAACTGCATCCGCAGCACTTGTTAGATGCCACTCCTTAATTGCCTGCTCCTCCTCTTCATCGTCGCTAGACTCTCCCCTATCCAGAAGTGACTGCTTAGTACTTGGACTGCGAGGAATCTCTTTGCTTGCAAACAGGAACGGGGCACGCTTCATCTGGGCAAAGAGGGCTTTATCCTTCTTGATTGTCGACATGTTCTCGGCAATTCCTCGTAGTAATTTTAAATACTTCTCAGAACTCTGGAGCTTAGAAGATATCTTTGTAGGCTCCCTAACAAGGATGGAAGCCAGTTCAGAATGTGTTGGCTGTCTCTTAGATCCACATGCAAGCAGAAATATGTTCGCCTCAGCGCCAAAATCCACAAAATCGAAAATGTCACCATATTCTTCAGAGTCACCAAGGTAACAATTGCGAGGAGCAACATATTGCAGTGTGGAAGAGCTCTTTTCTGTTAGGGATTTCCGAGCTATAGGGATTATGGGAGCTTGTCCAAGGCGTGCGGCAGCTGGGGGAGATATTTCCGCCACACGGCTGGCCATATATTTAAAAAGGGCCCTTGCCTGGGGTTTTGATTCTGCGCGTTTTTGAATGAGGATTGTAATACATTCATTGATTGATGGATGCTGGCTCACTCCAAATTTTAGAGCATGAGAGTGCAAATCCCTTCGAAGAATATCAAACCCAAACAACGCAGCTCCTTCTGCGGTAAAACAGTTCGAAGGGTTGCTTAGGCCGCCCCCTTCTACCGGCAGAAACGGAGTCATAGATCGACTATAGTCAAAGTTGGCGTAGTTATTGGAGACATGGTTTGTAATGAAATAGCCCATGGCTTTGTCTAGCAACCTCAAGTCATTGGAGGCGGCGGCATATGCCATGAGCTCGGTCATTTCCGAGGCAGTCGGTATGCTCTTCAACCCAAGAGAGACCAAAAATTTGCCCTCAGCGCTTGAAGGAAGGTATTTTCCAGGCCAGTACAAGAGGGGGAAACCTAGGTCCCTAAAAGCAGCATTCGGTTCAAATAGCTGTGAGACTTGATACCGTTCTTGGGATGGTTTTCCTTCACCTTTCGTCTCAGCCGAGCATATTTTAGCCTTGCGGAGTTTTATTATATCTTCAGGTGGTATATCCTGCCGAACGGAAGCCAAATACTTGATCAGCTCGACATGACTCCATTTTCTCTGAGGTGTTTCACTAATATCCGTTTCATTTTTGGAGTTGCTCAAAAGGCGTTCAAAGATAATGCTAATGTCCACGGTTTTCCGCACTCCCAGATCGGCTAAAAGCTTCTCTTTGACACCATTTAAGCCTGTGACAACTGGAAGGTCATCGAAAATCCGGACTGACGGGAAGTATGCCTCTTGGGGTTTAGTCATTCCCGCTTTTGTAGGGATGACAGTATGTTGCCGTAAAGAATCCATTATTTCTTTCTTCGAGTTAGCTGATAGGGAATCCCACTGTTTAGACACAACCGGGAGAACACGGCCCGAAAAATCACGCGAGCGGGTTATATCATGCTCTGCCGGCAGAAGATTGCGATTCGAGGAGTTGTGTACTAGCCACTGAACCCAGGTATCGACCTGCAGCTCCTGCCAGCCGATTGACGCTAGGCCTGACGCTGACAATGCTTTTGAAAACTTCGGCGGTAGAACAAATGGAGGCAACGGTAATTCCGGAGGTATACGGGCCAAATTAGCAAAGCAATTGATATCTCTTAATACCAGGAGTGCAGAACCTCTATCACTCTCCTCATTGTTGGCCACAGCAACCGCAAGGAGTGATTTGACTGTGACATTGTTAATTCCTCCGCTCTTTGACTTCTGGATAATCCAAGAAAGAAACTCGTGCAGTTGTGATGAAGTTAGTGCCTTATTCTCTAACTCGGCCTTTATGTCAGTTATGGTGACTTCAGTGATCAAGCCAAATTCAATCAATCTTCCAACAAATCCCATAGCTTCAGAGACCAATTGTTCAGGAAGAACTGGAATTCCGTCCATAAAGCTAATGTCCTTTGGTGCAGTTCTAACTTGGTGGCTTGGAAGGATGCCACGAGTAGATAGGATCTCCAAGTAGGCATTCTGGCTGCAAGTCCAAAAGGAATCTTCAACCACCTGGCCTACTTGTGAAGTTGGAGTTGACTCCCGAAAGACGAATTGATTTGAAATATGAACGGCCTCCGGAAGAACTGAGCTGATATCTTCTTTCTGAAGATACGACTTTCCGGACTTTTTAAGCCTAGAAAGAAGTTGGTTCTTTAAGGACGACATCTCAGCAGACCAAGCAATTCTGCAAACAATCCCAACAACCCGTAGAAGCTCAAGATTCCAGGTACGAACCCAGCGAGCATTTAAATCAATGCTCTCTCGCTCTACGGTTGGAATTAGCGAAGGAGCTGATACATGAGCGTTTAAACCTGTGGTCTGATGAGTTGGAAAACCGATATAGATTCTTCCAGAACGAGAAGGGATAACATTGCTAAAGATATCCTGCGCATCGGCCTGCTCCGAGTCGGACGAAGCAGTGTATGACGTGGTAAGTATCGCAAGTTTCGTTGTTTTTGGAGGCGGCTTCTTCGTTGCCCGCTCTAATTCATGGCTGAAGGACGATGAAACTGACGTCTTAACGTGGCCGGTTGTGATTTGGAGGAAGACGGAAGAGTTCTTATAATCAAGAAGATTCTCTTCAACACCATTCCGGCCAGACTTTTCAGACTTTGAAGACTTATCATCGTTTGTAGATGAGCCGGTAAGTCGGGAGAAGAAGCTCCTGAGAGATGCCGTAGTGTCATGCACGCGGTTGCCTTCGTATCTAGACGAATTAGTCGGAGATTTCCAACCTACAGCCTTCATACATGCAGCATCCAGCTGCGCAACTTCTCGGGTTATATCAGCTACCCTCATTATTCCATCCTGAGTCTTGGTGGATATATCTCTGGGTATCGTTACTGGAACGCTTGGAGCAGTCTTTTTTGATAGTTTCAAGAGATTCCAGCCATCTAGCCAAAGTTCTATAGCCTCTAGTCCAACAAAAGTAAGACTACTTGCGAGAAACTGACAAAGCGACATGAGTCCCGGGATCGGTGAGGTTGTATTTCTATAATCAAGCACAAAAACGGTGTCAGGGCTGCAGTCTCTCTCGTCTAGTTTTAAACGACGGGTGAAGAGCGCATTTTCCTTCCAATAGAACGCAATAGCCTCCTTGCCAGAGGAGACAAACGGTTCTTCGCAATCGGAAAATACACTGTAAAACCCAACACCGAAGGCTCCTATTTTTGTCTCGTCTGGGTTCCCCTCTGCGATCCGCTTCAGCCGAGCCCAGTCATTAGCACTGAACGGTATGCCATTATTCCGCAGGGTCAGCCGTTTTATTGTATGATGTGATATAACATGTTTTATCAAAGAGCTGTCGTCTGTGGCTGTGGGTGCGGGTACAGCGGTAGACGGCATAGTCTCGAACTTGATTATCACTCTAGTGGCCGAGGCATCGGAAGCGTTTTGGATGAGTTCTCGCAACACGGTCCTAAGCAAGAGTGTTAGAACTGGGGCAGAGCATACGGATAGCAGGCAGAATCAAAAATATAATCACCATTCTCCAGAGTATCGTGCCAGCACTTTGTCAATCAGAGCTCGAGTATTCACGGTAACAGCCTCTTCATCAACACCAGAACCGATGGCCCTGGCCTTTAGGGAGCTAAAATCAATATTGTTTGCCATAGTATATCGTGTGTATGGAGTCACCCAGCTTCCCAGGCCCAAGAATTAAATGTCGACGGCCGCGCAATAACCAACTCATCCCCTTTGCTAGAACGATATTTATATCGCCGCTGAACCACCAGGCCTCCAGCAAGGTATGACGTAGAAGACTCCGGCCGCCTCGCGATCTCCAGGCCAGACAAAGCAGCAAGCGAAAGGGAAAATAGATAGGATATCCAACGAGTGAAGTCCAGTAAATCTCTCCTTTTGTATCCTACACTGGCAGTTAGCTCACGGCCGTTCGTGTTATTTTTATGTCTCAAGAACACGCTGCAGGCGTTGAAGTGTCGATAACCTTCGACCTCCAGCTCATGTGACGATGCAACTTTGGTGATGTCAACACGAACAGTCAAAAAAACTGGAACTGCTAACATTGGACACCGTAGCAGACTTGCGGTCGATGAAACGGCTGGCCTGTTGATGGACTTTTGAGCGTTTAATAAACTGCAACCAAGGCCTAATAACTATTTCTTCCCTCTATTCAGCTTGAAGTTAACCACCCCTACGATGCTCAAACACCGCCTCGCGCGCAACCCTGGCCAGCTGTGAATATCTACGACCAGCCTCCGATCCCAATGTCACAATGACAGTTGACCCCCTTTCCCCTATTGCGCCGGCGCGCCTACGGGTTCTATTACTTCCCATCGGCAGAATCAGGCGATCCAGATTCTTAAGTTTTGCTGAGCGACTTCGAGCGCACAATGTAGTTCGACTGGGAGATGTGAGCCCAGAAGGGAGTTCAAGCAAGAGTATGGAATAGCCATTAGGCTCCCAAAGTTGAAGATATACCTCCATATTAAGAGTTCATTCTATAACTAACATTTATTGGCTCTAGAAACGTTTTCTCCGCTTGCCTACCCATCTGGAATGATTATCTACGACCTATCTATATCCGTACCCCCTATTTCCCACTTGGAGGTGTTTCCATTTGAGCTCTTCAGGGAACCACTTGTCATCCTTGCAATTGCGGATGGAGCTGAGATTTCGGTAAAAAGAGGCCGGGATGAAAATGACTCGGTCAAGGAGAAGTCCAGTGGGACTGGACAAAAGAAGCACCCTACCCCCGAGGGACTCGACCAGCTTATCCAAGAGCTAGATGGAATAAACGAGGACTACCCCAAATCTGTCCTTCAACAGCTGTTAATTTTCGATTACAATGGATTAGAAAACATAGTTCCGGGCCCCGAGCAAGTGATCTGGATACCTAGCCGGGAGGCATCACGTCCAACTACGATGAAGACGGTAATGTGTGACATATCCGCTCGGGTTCTGGGAGCGCTACAAATATTCTCAGAATCATTACTGCAATGGCAAAGTATTGAATCTCCAAAGGTTTTATCTTGGGGCCCACGACGGATTTTAGATTCCAAGTCACCCGACAAACTCTCCCACAGAATGACGATGCCCGCACATCTACCGTCACGACCAACCGAGCAGCCTTTGGAAGGTGCCAACTCGCCCCCTACTATCAGTCATGAATCTCCTACCACATTCGATGAGATTACCCGTTCAATCCAAATATCAAACAAGGCCCTCAGCTCTAATTCCAACCCCAGATCAAACGAACATAGTCGAGATCGATCATCGGTGGCAGGAGTTTCTAACATTGCTTCTAATGAAAAAGCAAAAGCTCGTTTCCAGGGTCGCCTTCATGTCCTTACCGGTATACTCTATCTCCAAGGCGGCTTATGGCCCGATGCACTCAAAGAACTTATAGAAGGCGCTGCCATTGCTAGATCAGGGAGTGATTATATATGGCATGCGAAGGCCCTAGAAGCGATACTTATCTGCCTGCTCATGTTTGGATGGGTGGGCGCGAATTTCCAGGTATGCAGCTTCTCCCGCATTTCTGCCGCTTCCCTTGATTCCTTAGCTGACACACGCAACTTTTTAAGATTCCGCATATATGTTTCCCTAACGGTGACAGGACCATGCCAAAGGCTACACTCGCTCAAGGAAACGTTGACTCTCATGGAAAGTCAGAACCTGAAGCCAGAGCGTTGGCTCTTCATAATCTCGCAAGCATTCTTCCTGACATCTCAAACTATATATTAAGCCTCTATAACCGAGCGATCAATATAACAGATGAACCGCTTCCCCAGCTAGTGTTCTCGGAAACAGTCATAAGGCTTGCAAAGCTCCTGACAACCATGCAAGTGCGTGATGGTTCTCTTGATGCTGAGGGTTTACAACACATAGTCTTGAATAAACCACTGGAGCGCGCGCCACTACCTGACCAACAAAGAAAATCCAACACTTTCCGCAAAACAGAGATTACATCTTTCTTATTCCGTGCCCTTCCATCTTCTCTGTCTTCCGATGTTCCCGTGACAGATGCTGTTCAAATATTTATTGGTGTGGCTGCTGTCTTGTCGCCTTTAGGAATGGAGCGAAAGCGGGCATTCGTTTTAAAAGAGCTCTTTTCAATACTTATCCCTGGCCTTGTACAAGCTAGAAAAATTGGTGCCGCCGAAATTGGCATTCATCCGGCTGCAGGGTTATCTGCTCTTACCAACTCCTCTTTTGACATAAATGCTTTGGACATTGGCCCAGCAAATATGGAAGCCGGTCTCAGATCTGTTTTGTCTCTCGTTGGAGGAGTTTACGGTGCTAAGCTTGCCAATGGACGGCAAAATGGCAGACCGCAAGATCACGGGCATGATTTTGACTTTGACTCAGCTGAGGCAATTATTGAGCGTACATTTCAAAATTCTGCTCTCGATACATACGGCGACTTAGCTTTGAAGATTGAAATACTCAAATCCTGTATCAACTTCTGTGAGGCATTGCCTGACTTTTCAGGGGTATTGACGTTTACTGTTGCCTTGTTACAAGCTGTCAAGGGCACATATATGCTCACCACAAACCCTCAGAAGGGCAGGCCACTTCTGAGCCAAGACGAACAAACACGTTTATACAATACAGTTAAGCGCACAGTCAGCGTTGCACACAAGCTTGGAGTACCGGATTTGGAGGCCGAATACTGGGACGATTTCTTAGTTCGCGATGTTCTATTCCAGCCTTCTAGTGCGGAGCGCCCTGTTCGACGGACGAAGCAAGATTTTGGGGTTACCTTCAGTACCGAAGAGGGCAGTGAAACGGAACCCTTTATCTACAACGCATTCTCCAAGCCCCTTACTCCAACAGCCGAGGCACCGTTGATTGCCGGTGAGCCTGCAATCGCGAGGGTCGTTCTACAAAACCCATTCGACTTTGAACTTGAGATTGAACACATTAGTCTTGAAGGCGAAGGCATTGCCTTTGAAGCGAGTGCTTCAAATTTGCTCCTTGCTCCATTTTGTCTCCAGGAAATTGAGATTACTTTATTGCCTGGCGAGGAAGGCCTGCTTAAGATTACGGGATGCACTGTTAAAGTAAAGTTCTGCCGAGAAAGGCGATTCCCAATCTTCAAGAAGTTATGGAAATCTGCCGTCGAAGCTAAACTAAAACGCAGCGGATTGGCGGCCAAGGACCCTTCGTTGTCACGACCTATCTCATGGAGTTCAAATGCGTCACAAGGGGCATTACCTTTGAGGAAACTGCCAGAAGCTGCGTCTTTATCTGCCAACGTTATCAAAGCACAACCCATGATCGAAGTGCGAAGCTCTTCGCTTTTGCAATCCGCAGTCATGATGCTAGAAGGGGAGACTAGTTTGTTTGAGATTACACTATACAACTCATCTAACTGCCCAGCTGATCTCCTTCTATTTACGTTCCAAGATTCTACAACGGCGCATCTGCAGGCTGCGTTAAACAATAAAGACAATCTGCCTACGGAAATATACGAGTTGGAATATCAGATGCTGAAAAGGCCTCCATTACGCTTACGGTCCTCCGGCCCAGGGCAAGAAATACCATCTCTTGACCCCGGTGAGTCAAAGACTCTTGCAATCGAAATCCTAGGCAAGCCGGGCCTGAGAACTGCCACTATACAGGTTGACTATGCATGTATTGGCGCACCGCCTTCCGAACTTCCAGACTCGTTCTACGCCAGGCAGATTAGTATACCCTTAACTATCACCGTCAATGCTAGCTTGAATATCGCTCGGTGCGAGATTTTACCTTTTAATGGCCATCTTGGGTGGATTGGTGACGCATCTTCTGTGAGCAATCCAGAGAAGCAGTCAACATCAAATGCTGTCTTATCGGACTCCTCAATGGTTTCTACCAAGGACCGAACAGATCCACAAATATCACCTGTTATATCTCAACTAGGGTCGAAATACACGGGATCTGACTACTGCCTACTGCTTATAGACCTACGAAACTCGTGGCCTAATCCAATATCCGCTAACCTAAAAGCCACCGACCCGACTGAGGAAACAACCGATAACCCCGAAGCTGGCACTTCGACTCCACATTTACAAGAAGTTTCTGACATACTGCAGCCCGGACACCTCTCTCGCTTTGCCCTAGCTATTCCACGGATATATCTAGATGACCCCCACGAGAAAATTCCAGCTCTAAATGCTGCAAACCGGCGACAGTTTGTTGTTAGTGCTAATAAACTCAGTTATGAGGCAGAAACCGCCAAAAGAGAAGCATTCTGGCTTCGTGAAAAGATGTTTGAGAACCTCAACGGAACCTGGAGAGATGAAGTTACAGGCCGTGAGGGAGTTATTGATTTCCGTACGATTGTTTTAAATAATCGTATGATCAGTGCACTCCGAGTAGACGACCTAGAGCTAAGCTTTATGCTGCTGCCTCTGCAGAAAACGGGCGATGCGATGTCCTGCGGTGACCAGAACCAAACCATTCTACAAACAGGCCAGTCAAGGTTTTCTGTTTCAACTGACACATTCTTCAATCTTCAAACTACGATTTTCAACCGCTCTTCAAAACCTATTCATCCCATTATTCGGTTACAACCAACCTTACGCAACCAACCGTATACTGTTGCACTCGAACTATCAAGGCGGCTGTCTTGTACAGGGATGCTTCAACGAGCCCTTCCACTTCTGGGCCCAAGGGAACGAAGACGAATCAACCTTGGCATTACTATTCACTGTGCTGGAGAGTACGAAATTCGAGCTACAGTGGAGGAAGTGAAGGCCGCAAACACGATCATGGCATTGACCGAAGAGAAAGCTGCTCCCTCGTCCGATAAATATGCATACCATCACGACAACTACCAGCAATCTTTCGATACCGGTACACCGCGACAGAGACGCAGGTGGAATTCTCGACTACCATGTATAATATCAGCACGGGAGAGCCTCGTGTAATACCATCTCCCCGCGACCGTTTTGGACATGATCCTGTTTACTACTCAACAATACCTTTTGCTTCCCCTTCCCTAAGATCCTTTTCGATGTTCTTTTTTTCCTGCTTTTCATTCTCTCTCCTTTTTTACGATATCCAGGACGGTAATGAGGACGCCCGTAGATAACGATTATGACAACCTTCCTATCCCATATTTCCTAGCTCACATAGCACAGACAAGTATCACCACAGAAACCAACCAGCTTTCGCCGCAGCTTTGTTGATAGACTAGAGTTTGCATAAAATCAACTTTATTTAGAGTTCTACATAAACTTAGCATAAAATTAGTTATGTCCGAGCCTCGGTTGAAGAAAAAGATGGAAGCTTTGTTTGATAAGATAAGCTCGCAGATTCCCGGTCTTATATAACTCATGTACTGCAAGGGTCTTAAACAACTTTTCCCTCTCCTGATTCTGTTCTTCGGAGTTTTAGTTGCGGTGATACAAGCCGGTTTCGCCTCTTGATAATCCATTGACCTTTTTCGTTTTAGCGTGGCTCACCAAAGGAACTTGACAAAGCTCTTCATATATACCCCTCCCCACCGTTTGGACAGCAACAGACCATTACCTGGTTAGTTAGATAACAACGTCTGTGGATAACAACGTCCGTCTATGCAAATATTTGAAAGCAAAAATATCGTACCTACGCAAAATCTCGATGGGAGTTTTCTCCTGGCTTCTCCCTAATGGGAGGGTATCTTTCCATCATTCAGGGAAATCGGTTATTTTGAAACGGAAACCACAAAAAGCAAACCCTGGAGTGGACGAGTCGAAATACATCTCCCTTGCCGACCTCTGCAAATCCGCTACTCCCGCTGACTGCCAGCTAAATCCTTTCTTATTTAATGGGCATTTACAGACGGCATGGACCCTTATGAGAACAGACGATATCCCGGTTTATTACAAGCGATGGCGGTTTGAGGGAGATAGCCCGGACTATCGCGGGAGCTTCGAAGTGGATTTTGTTGTTGAGCCTTACAACAACAGCAAGACGAGCAGCAATGGAACTGCTATACAGTCAGATAATGGCACATTCGAATCTTCCACTCCACCGGACTCAACTCATCCGTCTCCCCGTACGAGCTTCTTTACCGAAGAAGAATTCTCTGCTCTCCCTTCCGATGATAAGAAGCCCATGCTTGTCGTTTTACATGGCTTGTCTGGTGGATCGCACGAGCCATACCTACGAAATATAGTCGACCCGCTCCATAAACAAGGCTGGGAAGTATGTGTTGTGAATTTCCGAGGATGTGCAAACTCGAAGGTTACGAGTTCGATATTGTACAATGCGCGCGCAACTTGGGATGTCCGGCAAACTGTACGCTGGATTCGAAAGAATTTTCCTTCCCGACCTTTATTTGGGATTGGATTCTCACTAGGCGCAAATATACTAACAAATGTAAGCTATTTCACTTTCCAACTCTTTGAGACCTATGACTGTTAATACGGGCTACTGACGTATATTTACGGTAAGTATGTTGGAGAGGAGGGCGAAGATTGCCAACTAAAGGCGGCAGTTGTTTGCTCTAATCCCTGGAATCTTGAAGTTAGTTCTTTGGCCTTGCAAAGGACCTGGGTGGGATCGCAGGTTTACTCCAGGACCATGGGGTCAAGTATGAAGAGACTATTTGAACAGTACGCAAATATCCCTAGGGCAAAATGAGAAAGAGACTATATTTCTAACGCTCAACTTATAAAGACATGTCGACAAGTTACGAGAGCATCCTCGAGTCGATGTTGAAAGAGTTCGAAAAACTACCTATCTTCACGAGTTCGACAGGTAAGTTTGTCCGTCAGGTACGGAGCTTAAAACAGGGTTTATGTTAACCTGTCTCTTAGAGAATTACAAGCACCTGTTTGGGGTTATCCAACAGAAACCGCTTATTATCGTGATGCTTCCTCGATTGATTCACTGTTCGCAGTAAAGATACCCCTTTTTGCTATTCAGGCAGAAGATGACGCTGTAAGGAGTCAAGTCCACACCTTCTCAATACCGGGATGTCAGATGCTAATATATAGCGTAGATATCCTCAAAAGAAGCATTGCCATATCTTGAGATGACCAAGACTCCGTACGCAGTAATGTGTACAACCTCTTGGGGAGGCCATCTAAGCTGGTTCGAGTACGGGGGAGGAAGATGGTTTACCAAGCCTGTAAGTTTCAAAGAATTTTATTCAAATAGATGCTATTATCCACTCGGACTTCCTCTTTTACCAAGTTCCCCACGCACGCATAACACAAATAGAGACATAATTTCTAACCCACTGGGTATAGGTTGTCAATTTCCTCAATAAAATGGCATCTGAAATTGACCTTGATGCTCCACTGACTGTCGTGGAAGAGGAGCCAGAGAGCAAACTGACTCCTGCAACATCTTCTGAAAGGGTCGATGGTCCCCATCCGGACTTCAAGCCCATGAGGCGGAAATTGCATATGCCAATTCCCGACGGCGAAGAATAGCCGCATGCTTTGTATTATGGTATCAACCCCGTGTCCGCCCCACTGTAGGGAATCGGAGGCCACAGTGACGAAAGTCCGTGAACAGATTAGAAGTTTCTCCCACAATTGTAACGGCTCTCCCTTGTCTCTTGAGTTGTACATATCGCATCTTGGACATAAGTTGGCGATAACTCCGCGTCTCTGGGTTTACATGTATTGTAGCGAGAATTCCCTTTTTATAAGCTTAGAAGCTCATTTACGCAAAAGCAACTCTTTTGGATTTCCCTCCCGTCTTGACTTTTGGCTCGTTCTGTTCTTCATGCTTGCTACCCTTATTCTCCTTGGATCGGCGAGACTTTCGAAGAGAATCTTTGGTCTCCTCCTGTGAAATTATTAGATGTGAAATGATGTAAAACATATGCAAGTAGCATGTGCGTTACTGGACAGCAATCCACTTACTAGTTTTGCATTCTTCTTATCCTTCCTGGCTTCCGCCTCAGCCCTCCTCGCCTCGCGTATTTCCTCCATATGCCGAGCCTTTATCATCCTGGATTCTATCTGCCCTTCTTTTTCTGCGTTCACCATGGCGAGGATAGTCATCATGCTCTCCTAAAATCACAGTAAGTATACGCATTTCCTCCGAAATAAGTGGAAAAGGTCGTAATATGATTAGGATGACAAAACATACCTGATCATCGACAAATACCTTGCCCTTCTTCTTGCCTCGTGGTTTTTGCACACCAACAGGCGTGATCTTATTCAATGTGGGCAGATTCAGTTCTTTCTCAGTATACACTCGCTTCTTCTTTTTCTTCAACATTTCTGGAGCTGATCGTGACTTCGCCTTGACCTCAGTTGGTTTGGGCTTTGCGCCCGATTTTGCGCCAGACTTTGGTTTTGATACTCGGTTTGTGGAGGACTTCCCGCCGGAAGCAGGCTTTGTTTTCGAGGATTTGCCCTTTGGCCCCTTCGATGAGCCAGCCGGCTTTGTTGGCGCCATTATGACAGTTTCGTTAGGATGTGGTTGTGTCCAGATTGCGCATGCGCCTGTTCTTCCGGACTTTCTTTTTGATATCAGAATAAAAAAAATATAGAAATCGGACCCACGATTAGAGTTCGACTGATGCCAAGACTTGAGTTTGAGCAGTGAACGAAAAAAAGCGACGCCCGAGCAGTTTGACAGCAGATTAAAAGGAAACAAATAGGGTGGAGATATCCGTGAACATAGCTAAGTACCTAGAGCAATAAAGGCCGCTGGCTGCGATATTTATGGGTGCATCAACTGTGTAGAAACCCATTTACCATCTGCTACTAGAGACGCATGTGCTTAGTCATCCACCACGCCAAGTTCGTCGGCGATCGAGAGTTGAACGAACAAGAAACAACACCAACCTCAAGCCGACTCTCGTTTCGACCGCATAGCTGTGTGTATTGCATGATACTTCGTAGCCGCAGCCCACAATGGTCTTGAATCCAACCTACTTGGCCCAGCGAACGCGGTCTTGTAAGTTTTACTCCCTGCTGGCAGCGGCCAGTCCCTCGCTTCGTGCGCTTTCACTAACGGTTGTCTGGGAACTTGTAGCCGTCAATTGGCAAGATGCACAGAGAAGAGTGCTAAGATCATACCGGGCATGGCTTCGCGCGGTATGTCCCCTTTTATCGTCGTTATTATGGCTGCCATATATCTACTCGCTGGAGTTCCCGCAACATATTTGATGCGCATGCTGCAATTCCACCCTCTCAATGAACGATTGATAACTTATACCTAAGAGGCTGAACAAATGCTAATGGTATCCATTCGTGGCTTATCCAGTCTCCTGAGATTCAAACTATGTACTCCCTTCAACTTCCGGTCTCCGCTATCCGAACCAAGATCAGACAAGAATTTGAGCGACACCGATATGTCAACCAGCTGCCCGTCGTCGATGTCCTACTATTCCAAAGCCACAGCGAGTTCCAGGTACTAATACATCCCTACTAGTTTTACTGATGTAATTCCGAGTTTTCGGCTTGCTATGCTCGTCGAATTATATGTCCTGATACATTCACCGGTTTTGGCTTTCGAACTTCGCCCGCTTAAGATGCTAATCCGGACTGCTTGATAGGAAACAATGAATTACTGGAAACAGTTGTCCCAATTGATGAAATATTTCAGAGCTGAGGAAGATCCATCGGCAAAGCTACCCAAGAACTTCATGTCTGGTTTCATGGAGGTATGGCATGCCATGTACTCTTGCCGTCTTATTCACAGTATTGCATCTAACTAATAATACTATAGGGACGAAATTAAGCTTCTCAACTTGTAACATTGTGGGGCGGGAGTTGCGATGAAGGCAGTGAAATGTGTATATATTCTAGCTCTGCCCTTATATTTCTTATACCTTCGTTATCTGGACCTTCTTAACTAGAATATGGACACTCCCAAAGAACAAAAAACAATTGAATAAACCCTCTAATACAGTGCAAATAACCGTTGCGCCCAAACTAGCATTAAATGACAGGAGCATGCCATTGTAATGCAACTGTCACTTTTATATCCCGCATCAATGCTGCATCTTGCTAGCTTCAAAATTTTCCCTTGATATGACAAACTTTTCCGTAACGACATCACACAGATCCATCAAGTCGTCAAGCCCTTTCTCCAGAGCTGTAAATACATCAGTCGAGTCTAGAAAGATGGAACAGCGTTAGCTACGTAGCTGGCTCAATGTGTCTAAAGTCATAGCTAAATCTGGAAAAACGCGGGGACTTACCATAAGTCTGGATTCTTAAATTCAATTTAGCTTCGGAAGGATGAGGCATTGTGTATCCGCAAAATTCCACGTCAGGGCTATCGCAAATATTTAGCAGGCACTCCAGGCTTTTATGGTTGTTGCATCCCCGCAGCAGCAAATATCACAACGGCTGGGCGGTTCCTATCTCACTTTTTCATGATCATGTATCGTAGCGCATTTCCAAGAGTATGATCCTCAGCTTCGAACTGGAATGAGGCGGCTGTCTCGACGGCACCGGGAAGCTATGTAAAATGAACATGGTTAATAATGTAGAACAGGTAAAGGCGTCCGAATATGAAGGCTAAACAAAGCTTACAATGGTTATTCTTTGGTGATCATTGGCAAGAATTTCTTCCACTTGATCCTCCTCCTCCTCCTCCTCCTCCTCTTCTTCTTCGTAGTACTCAACATCTTGTTGCTGCTCTGCATCAACTTCTTGGTCTTCGAGTGGCTGCGCATCAACCATTGATTCGTCTTCGGGGATTGTGCTGGGCATCTTGGGCTTATAAAATAGTTTTATATATGCCGTATATAGATATCTCCATTAAAAAGTTTAAACAATATGCCTTTGGTAGTGCCAGTGCCTCTTCGGTGAATTAAATCAGCTATCTTGGTATCTTTTTTTTTTTTTTGATATCTCACCCCAAGAGCCGCATGGACGCTAGTTAATCGTCACGTGACATGGCTCTGGGCCCGGCTCAAAATAGACCGCGCAATAGAAAGGTCGCCAACTTCACCAACAGCTATCAATACCAGCTTTTTCCAACTTTTACTTGTATGTGGAGGATATCAAGTCGGGGCCACTGCAGAGTGCAGCCCATTTATACCGTCTGGAGCCGTCCTCAGCTGTGGAATCGCTCAGGCCGAACTCAATCATTCATTCAGTATCCCGTCAAACCGCCCGTCCAAGTTAGCCCTCAGACGAGATGGGCATCTTTTTTTCAAGATGAGAAACCAACAACCATATATGCACTATCCACTGCCTCTGGTAGAGCTGCTATAGCTATTATTAGAGTTTCAGGGCCAGATTGCATTTCAGTATGTAGACGTTCTGTCAGACATGCCTTCGTCATACTGGGTGAAATCTAACTGCGGCGGAGTTTTAGATATATAAAGCTCTCTGCCCTAACCGAAACCTTCCAAAACCTCGTTTTGCAGCTCTTCGTACTCTATATGAACCCGGCAAACCAGTATCGACCAACAATATTCTAGACTCAGGCGCACTTGTCTTCCATTTCCCAGCACCCAACACGGTGACAGGAGAGGATGTTCTCGAATTGCACGTCCATGGAAGCCCAGCGGTGATTAAATCTATCCTTAGTGCGATTCCAAAATGTGCAAGCTCTGGAGGTGTTCCGTTGGCGTCTATTCGTTATGCCGAACCGGGGGAGTTTACCCGCAGAGCATTTCTTAACGACCGTCTGGACTTACCTCAGATTGAAGCTCTAGGCAACACATTAGCTGCGGATACAGAACAACAGCGCCGACTTGCCATTAGAGGTACAAATGATACTTTGTCCACGCGGTATGAGCAGTGGAGAAAGCAGCTTTTGTATGCTCGGGGAGAGCTGGAAGCTCTAATAGATTTTTCCGAAGACCAACATTTCGACGAATCTGTGGAGGATTTTATATCCTCTGTTACTGTTCAAGTCCACAATCTACTGCGTCAGATAAATCTACACATTAAGAATGCGTCAAAGGGCGAGCTCCTAAGGAATGGCATCAAGGTTGCGCTCCTGGGAGCACCAAATGCTGGGAAAAGCTCATTACTGAATCAGATTGTTGGACGGGAAGCTGCTATTGTAAGCAGCGAAGAAGGAACTACGAGAGATATTGTCGATGTCGGTGTAGACCTTGGGGGTTGGCTGTGTAAATTTGGCGATATGGCAGGGCTACGGTCCAAGTTATCGCAAAACCATCCTACCGGTCAGGGCAATGTGGTTCCGACGGCAATCGGCAAGGTTGAAGAAGAAGGGATTCGTCGTGCCAAAGCTCGGGCCCTTGAATCTGATGTGGTGGTCGTTGTTCTCTCGGTTGAAGGACCAAGAGAACAAGGATTGAGTTTAGAGCCGGAAGTTGTGAGTGCTGTCAATGGCTGTCTCAAGCTTGACAAAAAGGTCCTAGTGGCAATCAACAAGACGGATATGCTCTGCGTGGAGCCAGGGGACCATATCGTGTCCAACTATAAGGCTCAGGTGTCTGCGATCTTTAACGGCCTGGACCCAGATCTGATACTACCGATATCCTGTCAAAGGGCTCAAAACCCCACTGGCCAGGACCCCGGTGGCATCCAATCACTACTTGGGGCCCTGATACGTACGTTTGAAGAGATATCTACGCCTGCAGGTCTACACTCGGATGGAAATACAACGGGCCAGCAATATGATAAATCTTATTGGGAAGATTCATTAGGGGTAACGCATCGACAAAGCTCTAATCTACAGATATGTGCCCAGCACCTGAACGATTTTCTATCCCAAGCTCATGATAGCTCCATAACGCCCGATAATGCCATCGATAAAACTGAAAACAGCACGGTAATAAAACAAGTGGAGAAAGACATCGAAATCGTGACAGCAGCCGAACACCTGCGGTTTGCAGCTGAATCCCTCGCAAAGATCACAGGCCGTGGTGAAGGAGGTGATGTCGAGAGTGTGTTGGGAGTTGTCTTTGAAAAGTAAGTTCCCGTCGTTGTGGCAGTCGTCCCGTGTAATGCAAAATTAAAAAAGAGTTGTTGTCCATGATACTAATGCAAGTCCCGGATGCAGATTCTGTGTTGGTAAATGAGCTCAAAGGCCCAACCATCCTCCCAGGCGAATTTTTCGCCCTTGCACGCCCGCTGAATCCGTGAAAAGAAAGAAACCCAAAGAGCGAAGAAAGAAGAAGAAGAAGAAGCCCCAGGTGCATCAAAATCGCTAGATTAATGGCCGGCATCAATCAATCAAGAAAAATAGGGGATTCTTTTCTCGGGAGAAACCCCCCATTTTAGGATTCATCGTCGCCGTCTCCGTCATGGGGGCTGTTATAGCCGCCTCTGCCCTGCTGGTTGACTAGTTGCCGGCTTGGGCTGTTGTAACCACCTCGACCCATCGTTGCTAGAGTGCTAAAGTCTGAAGTTGGTGGAATCTTTGGTGGAATGGTTCCGGTTCGAGGACTCGGGTTTGCCGTGTGGTGAGAATTTGTACGGACTGATAGGCTGTTCTTATGCTTTGCTCAGTCGAGATGTGGATATCAGGAGAGAACCCAGAGACCAGACAGTTGTATGAAGGGGGTCGGTTATTTATATCCTCGAGGTCTTGGGCGTAGCTCGTTGTCCTGAAAGCAAAGACACGGTTCACTTGAGGTCTGTTTCAAAGGAGAAATGCAGCCACTAGGTTATGAAACGCCGTGAAGTTATGCTGGAAAGATATTATTATAAAGATTCTATATGTATGATAACAGGAAGAATTCGAATAGATGCTGCCTGATGCTGAATAGACAATGGAGATAGAAATTAGAATGAAATAAAAAAAAGGCAGAAAGAAAGAAGGGCGAAAAGAGAGGCGTCTTATATATCTTCAACCTCTTCTCTTTGTGTCGTTGTGTGTTTGATAGACGCTGTCACTCAGGGTTCCGCCAGCATCCATCAGCCTCTCTGTCTCTCTTCTCTATTTTTGCAGTTTCGGAAGCATTATGAATCATCTTCTCTGCGCTTCTTCTTCGGTTTCTTTCTTTTTTTTTTGCAACCTTCTGCATAGTTCGGGGGATTCCCATGCTCACTAAACCAGCTAGTCAACGGTCGCCGTGTGAAAGGGCCAAAGGATGAGACGAGAACGACGCCAGGCAGAAGCCGGAGGCCAGTGGATAGCTAGCTGAGGCAGAGAACCGTCAGTGTAAGGTGTAAGCAAGGGCAGCAAGGCTTAGACCTGCAAAAAAGCAAGTTAAAGGGAAGCAAATCCTCTCTTCTCGTCTCTTATTCGTTCTGTTTCGTCTTTGCCCTTCTCTTCCGAGCTGGTAACGAGTTAACGCTTTTGCTAACGAGGGTGAACAAGGGACCCAGTCTTCCTTCGAGCCCCATAGCTAGGTAAAGGCCAGCTGCTCAGCGTAACGTGGGCTCCTCTTTTTGCGTTTCCAGCGCAGCAGGAGATGGCGGCCCCCTTCAGGCCTGGAAGAGATCGGTGGAGACGGCGGGCTGGACCCCTGCCAGGCCATGCAGGCCTCGCAGGCCTTGCCGGGGTAGGATGAGCGAGCATCACGTCAACCTCGTACTCGATCCTGGCCATTCAGCAGCCTTGACCAGCCTTGACGGGCACCGACTGACTCACTGCTGGGCCGGAGGAAAAGATAGCCCACCAACCGATTAACTTGACTACTGTGTAGGAGGCTTTTCTTACGGCGGCTGTGCCGGAAAGGAACCGGCTATCGTGGTAGCTCGTGGTGGTGATCCTGATATTGCCCATGATGACATCCGGCGTGAGACGGTCCAGACGGAATGTCTGAACATTGGCAGAGTGATCAGAATATCGCAAGAGACCGCCTGCGGCTTGGGAAAACCATTTACTATTTACGGAGAAAGAGATAAATTTAGATTTCTCATCCCCTGCAAGCAATCACCGGCATAGGCAAGTATCAACACACAACATAACACAACGGCGGCAGCGGCAGCAGCAGCATGAAGAAGAACAGTAATCGTATTTTGAGGATGGGAAAGGGTCCACCAAATCAAATCACTGGATAAAGTGAAAGAAGGAGGCTTGCTGGACACGGAGTACAAGGCGTTATGATTACCGTCTACGATGGTTGCACGCAATCTCTATATTTTTGGCCCTCTTACAACGACCGGCCCCCCAAGATGGCTATACAAAAGAGACGCATCATTGGAACATGGACGACCCAGGGCTGGTTACTTCATTCGGCCCTTTCTCCGAATATCTTCCCTCTTCACAGCCTGAGCCGTCACACGGATCAAACGCGGACAGGCGTCTCGCCGTTTTGGGTGACACAGAGATCGCGAATTATGCCGGATTCCTTTCATTGATGTCGTGGCTCGGAGCGTATACGTACATCGAAGTACGGAGTACTCGATATATAAGTTATGCAGATATAATACTCCGTATAGCGTATGTACGTTTGTCTTCGCCGGAACCTCCTGGCCGCTGCAAGATCTGCTGACCCGAGATTACGGCCACCGCGATTGACCATGCACGAGGCCCTAAAAATAAAGACGAATGAAAAAAAGGCTAAGAAAAAGAAACGAGAGCAGAGGAAGATTGGGTTCAGAGACCGTTACACTGGAAACATCCTGCCGGAAGATCCCTCATTCCTTTTTGTCTCGAAAGGGAACCGCTCCTTTGTTCCTGCAAGGACGGACGGGAGGGATAGGAATCCTGCACCCGTTGACTAACTTGCTGTCTTCAATCACGCTTGCAGCGCTAGTTAGAGGGTGGCGGAAGAAGAGGGTGAGAATGCAAGGGACCAAGCTGTCAGCCGCTGCGTATGGGCTGCGCATAGCCTCCTTTTTCCGACTGTTCTTACCTAACTAAGACCGAAAACATTAACTTGATATACCTTTGCAGTTACATTGCAGGCCTGCAGACATTAACGGTGTCTACGGCGATAACTAACCGACGATTGATTATTGATATTATCAGAGAGTCAGTATACCGTCTCGGTAAAAAGTCCGTACAGCTCCTATATTTAGCCTCCTGTCCTATGCAGACAGACACAGAAGCGAGCCACGTTACAGTGAACAACAAAACGTCAAAGGAAGGAGGCTGAATCGGCAAGTGATTGTCCCTGCGTTCATACATTGATCCATAGAAACGCATGGCGCCTGGCCAAAGAGGGCAGATATTCAGAGACGGGATGACTTGCAGGGTCTGAGCATGACCATCCATTCAGATATGAACCCGTCGATATTGATAATATATTTCGAAACACACGATTACCGACTAGAGAGCCCTTGCATGCAGACTCCAGGCCGCAGCAGACAACCACCGAGAGAAAAGCGGACATCGATCTCTCTTCCATCCACTACGGAGTTTCCCTCCCCCAGTCCTTCGTCCCATCCCTCTGACCCTGGCCATGCCACGAGGTGGAGCGTGGGTCAGTGAGTTTGAGGACAGGCCACGAGTGTTCCAGCGCATTCATGAACTTACCTGGGATTAATGATTATGACCAATAATTGATCCAGTCTTGAGCCTTGTGTGGCGACTTGATGGCTGGAGGACAGCCCCCTGAGTGTCGATTTAGGGCTGAAGCGTACGATGGGACCTGTAACTGATAGGGCTGAGCTGGTTATGGTTACGTTTATGCATGTAAAGCATACCTGGCAGGGAAGTTATCCCCTGCCTTGCGCCAGAATGTAACCCTGCTCAGCTGTGTTTCTCAAGGCATAAACCTGATGAGCAGGGAGCCTGTCTTAGCTGTGCTTGGGATAGACAGTGACTCAGGTGTCAATCGTGGTGTCCATCTCCGGTCCCCGAACGATCACCAGCCACATGACTAGCGACCCCTTATAATTAGTTAACGGGAGATAAAGATTTTGCCAAAGTCCCTCTATTGATACTAGGCCCGGATTAGAGTGGGAGGCAGGTCGCTTTAATCACCCTGAGTTAGCGAGGTACCACCTAGCCCTAGCACAAGCAGTGAAAGCAATGGCTCCGAGCATGCTTGAACGGCTCTTGAAAATTCTACTCCATACCCGCAGGACACTCTCAAATACCCATTGTCAATTCTAGTTGTTTTAATGTTTATGTGGAATTTTCCTGCAAATAAGTGAATATGCATGCGTCACGGGATATCATCTGGAAATGTTTTTGAGGCACGGCGTTCGATGGATGTTTGTTCCACTCGATATTTACTTATTTAGCCATATTAGAGACCTAGCTCAATGGTATGTCGTGGAATATATTTAATTCCAAAGTTACCTAGCCAGCTATCTGGAGACTCCGATCTTCCCACTCTGGATTAGGGCGAGAGGCTCGCAATTATAAAGCTCGCCTCATCCCCTCCTCATCCTTACTTACCTATTAGTTGGCCGTCGGCGGGCGCACCGCTATATGAATCTTCAGGATCATTGAGTTTACATGATATTGTAATCTATCATTCTCCTTCTTTTCTCTTTTCCAAGTTTTATTATTTACAATGAAGCCATACCCTTTCGCCATGTTGGTAGTTCGACTTCTTGATCCAGGACTTTGTCGAACTTAGCAACGTCAAAAATTCCATCAGGGCCTGTGAGTTCCGGGTGACAGTAAATTTCCAAAGCCTCCTCCCGAACGTGGTCGACAAAGGAGACAGCTGTATAAATATGCGAAGCTGGCATCCGCCATTTCCAAAAGAAATAGCCATCATCATACTCTTTGAAATTTCCGACTCTTAGATCTTTACCCTCGTCGAACCAGTAGTCTGTTGTTTTCTCCAAACGATATAGTACCACTGTAGATTGGCGAGCAGAATCTTCATCCAATACGGCTACCCAGCCTGGCGCGATACCCGTTGCGCCGTACGCTCGTGCTTGATAAAGTTGTTGGTGAAAGCGGATAATATCAAGCTCACTCATGCCCAAAAAGCCTGTTGTAAATTCATGAACAGGCCAAGGAGTCCATTCCTCGAATTCTTTTTGGTCGGGTGTACGTATGATGCTTAGGGTTGGAACTGCACTCTCAGCCAGCTGGGTATCATCGAGTATTTTATTAATCACCTAGAGTAGAGGGATTAGCTGGTATTAATAGCCAGGATTCTGACTTCCTTACATTTGCAGGTAAATTGGCAGTACAGAAAGTGGCGACATACGACATAGGTGATAGAAATGAACAGATGATGAGGGCGTATGCAGAGAGCTGGAAAATGGGTTATGGAGCGAAGGAGACACTGAAGTTGGTGTATTGTTTAGACCTAGAGACAACAGCCAAAACCCGGCGTCTTTGTATGCAGCCAGTTAGGGGCTTAGTCGGATCTCGGGCTACATAGATACTCCGGACTTCTATGTGCTCATTATTGACGACTATCCAACATATGACTAACTGCATAAATCCAAGACATATGGATAGGCAGTCTGGTTATGTTTTCGGCGCTGAGACAGGGTATGGGAATGAACAGCCATAGTACGGCCAGGATATTTGGACGCATCGTGCTCACAAATCAAGGTTGCGACCTTAGGACTCCGGTTTGTCAACCCATTACCATAAAAGGGGGGATATGGGGGTGGATATCTTATAGGTGAGGATCCGTCCTATATATATTGTCCTTTGCAAGATCGCGCGACAGGGCTGGCGGTCGCAAGTGATTCTATCGTCCTCCTCCAACTTAAGGCCATTCTCTCCACGATACAACTGCGCGATGAGTGCAGTAGGTAAGTATCTCCCGATGAAATAGGGGGGCCACGAAGTCCTGGAGAAAAGCTCAAACAGAGACAACAAAAAGTAACATGAAAAAAATCTGGCGATAGTATTAGAAGTCTGCGAAAGGTTCAACAGATCGATAACTTTATCTAACACGGCTCAGCGAGAAAACTAGAAAGGGGTGATATCGGCTGGTGAAGAAGAGAAGAGGGATGAGGCGAGGCTGTAGCATAAAAGGAGATCCGGCCCAAGACCAACGAAAGGAAATTAGCCAGACATGAAATCCTGTAACACGGGTACGTACCAAATGCATGAGGGTAAAAAACGCAAGGATGACTACAAAGAAAATCTCATACATTGGATCAATCATAGTCAAAAAGAAAGGGAGGGGAAAGGGCGACGAAGGAAAAGAGCTCTAGCATGAGTGAAATAGTGTATATAGTGAAATGGACGTTGAGATGGGGGATTATGAAGATGACGGCGACGCTTCAGCAAAGAATGCATATTAAGGGTCTGATAATAGATAATATAGGGGAATAGAGCGCGCTAAATTCAATAGGGGGAGAAGTTTAATAATAGGAAAAGATAGTGAAACTCTAGGTGCAAAATCTCAAAGAGAAGGTGTTTAGTCGGATATCGTGATCGGGTTAGAATCTGTGCCTCCAGGGGTTGCTGGTAAAGGCCGTGGTGACATTTCAGGCTCGTTGGAGATTTCTCCCAGTATCGCGGATGTAGTGCTCCCTGAAGAATCTCGTCTGCTTCCGCCTTCGGTTTCAGGATGCGCTGAGAGAAGTAATGAGCCATCGTTGGATTCTTTATTGGTAGATGAGGCTGGGGCGCGTCGTCGCATTCGCCTGCTTCTCCGGGCTTCTTCGGCACTATCTCGTCGCCGGGATCGACTGCCCTCAGAGTCATTGTCGCTCCTAAGTCCCTGGAGCATGCTGGCGGCTCGATCCGCGATGTCCTCGCCCTTGGATTGCGAATTCTGTGGGGTATCATCCTTGGGTGCTGCAGCTGGCTCCGCAGTCGGCGTGCTCTCACCCTCTTGGCTATCGTTCACCGTGATACCAGGTACATGTTGTCCAGAAGCGAGTCGTACTTGATGCCTCTCCTTCAATCTTGCACGGCGCCTTCTATCACGCTGGTCTCGAGCTTGTGGGGCAGCAGCACGTAGCTTCTCCAGTAATGAGTCCATTGCACCGTTTGATGTAGGCGAAGTTGGTGTGCCGGAATCAGCGCCGTTTGTAAGGCCTGGTTTGGCCCGTTTGCGAGCAAGCGAAGCTTCTGTGCGCCGTCTGTTTTCTTCCCAGCTAATGTTCTTCTCCTTGGATTTCTATAAAAAAAAAAGTCAGTATGAACACAGCGTAAATAGAATGCGTAAATAGAACTTACACGCCACTCCTGCAAGAATGTCGCAAGTTTGGAGAAGAATTCGCGTCTTGAGTTTTCATCCGTATGGTCTTCACCGTAAAACACCATAATGTCATCATACGTCTGGCTCGTTTCGTCAAGGTAGAGCTGCAACTGCTCGGCTTTTCTTCGGGCATCTTTCATACATCTTTGGACAATCAAATTCACTCTATCTTGAGGGTGGAACTTCTTAGGGTCGCTCAAGTTGCCAGAGTCTAAACTCATTTGCACATTTTTGATGTTGTCAATATATTTCTTTGCATCAAGCTGGAGCTGATCGACGTTTGCCTTTTGGACTTGAATTACTCCATCAATGTCGTCAGTGAACCCTTCCCACTCCGGGTACTGATTTCGAACAATTCGCTCAACAAGGTCTGCAAAAGTCGACTCGTTCTTGTCATCTTTGACCATCCCAAGTCGAGCTAGGGAGCTAAGTTTGAAACCGACTGCCTGCTTATTGGAGTCATTCATGAAGTTTCCAATATCAAGGATGAGCCCAAGCACGTTCATCAAGGAGACGGAATCACGTAACGACTCGCAAACTTGTCCTATCTCTCGTAGACTGGATGATAATGAATCATAATCTTGCTCAAAAGAGAGAGTCAAATTAAGCGCACGCATCCTTGATTTCCAGTAATGGTTCAGCTCAAAGGCCGTCTGCAAATAGATTTGATCTTGGCGAGTAAGCTCTGAAGGATCCTGCTCTCTCTCGCTCGTAGCTGCTCCGGGCCCGGTCCAGTCCTTGCTATACGGAGCCATCAACTTCGACGTATTTTCTGGGATATTGCATATCTCGTCCTTCTGTAAAAATTCCATGACGACGGTATTGTTTAAAATTTCGGCATCACAATGAATGATCTTGCGAACGAGTTCGTCTGCGGAGATTTGAGAAAATTTGGCGAATGCAATTTCAAATCTGCGGACCAATTCACTGCTGATGATTTGTTTCTTATCAGTCTTCTTCCCAGAACGACCAATTACCTTCGTTTCCTTGGCCATGAACAGCCTTTCAACTTCATCGAGAACTCCCTTCTTAGCAAGGTCAGTGTATTTCTGTTCCTTGGCTTCATGTGTGGGTGCGTGAGCAGCCCAAACGGTTACTTGAGGGGTATCGACTTTGTCCCAGTGAAGTGCCTTGAGCTTCTTCTTGGGCCGTATAAATGGTAAGCCAACCGTAGGTACTGCCGAAACTTGTCCTGCCGGGAGATATGTTTTCTTCCAACCACCAGGCATTGGGGGTGGTGGTGGCGGCGGCATTCCAGCTCCTGGCATTGGCGGAGGAGGTGGCGGTGCGCCGTTTCCAAAGCCGGGCATAGGAGGAGGTGGAGGAGGTGGAGGGCCACCAGCAAAGCCAGGCATAGGAGGGGGGGGTGGTGGTGGTGCTCCTCCAAAGCCAGGGAGAGGAGGAGGCGGAGGCGGCGGAGGACCGTTGAAGCCAGCAAGGTTATCAGACTTGGCATCTTTTGTTTCTTCATTCTCGGGACCTTCAGCAGGAGATGCTGAAGCCTTCTCTTGCTCTTCCTTCTCCTTCTCCTTTTCTTTTTCTACTTCCTTTTCTCTTTCTCCAGCCTTAGAAGCAATTTCATTTAGCAGCGCCGTGGCACGCTCAGGGTCGAGTTTTGGTCTTCTGATCTCCACCAACCGGCCCTTCTCAAATACGGCCTCCTCACCCTCTTCGTCTAGATCATCAAGTTCTCCATCCCTGCTATCATTATCGTTGGAAGAGTTAGCCCTAAGAGCCTGGCTACGCTTCCTCGAAACGGTACCAAAGGTGCTATGAGTGAAGTTGCGCTTAGTTTCTTCATCAATTTCGGGATCGTGAGAGAAGTCACCCTCCATCAGTTCACGCAACTCCCGAAGCCTATCTGATGGGCCATTCTGAGGCCAAACTTTTCCTTCCAATTTGAACTGGGTCTTTGCTCGATCGAGTTGCCGTTCAAGGCGGCTCATGAGTTTCTCTCGATCAAGAATACCGTTCATCTGGGCAGGGTCCATTGCGCCCACATCGGTTCCATTGCCAGCCATCTTAGACTTCGATGCTGCAACATCCTGTGCGTCTCGCAGCATGAGATACAGTTCTCGGGTTTCAAGTTCGTTCCTCTGAAGCTCCTGTCCTCGAATTCTCTGGACTTCGGCCAATTCACTTTTCAAGGACTCGTTTTGCCGGGTTTGAAGACTTATTACCGCTTCTTGCTCCTCAATTTGCTTTTGAAGCTTCTTGACTAAGCCATCAGCGCCCAGTTCGATCTGAGCTTTCATCTCATCTCGCTCTGCAATTGCAGCCTCTGCGATCTGACGAGCTTCTAGGGACTCATCGAACGCCCTCCTTGCTTCTGCGTCGGTATGTAATTTGTCAAGGAGACTTTGGACGGTGAAATTGAGACTCTGCTTTAGGTCCATGTCTGGAAGCCTCCTATCCATGGCAACATAGCTGAGCATTGCGTCAACTAATTGAAACATTCGATGGCTGTCTTCGCCGGAGTTCTCCCTGATCAGAAGCATGTGCTGCATGGCGGAGATGAAGAAGTCTTGGGAACGGTCTCCTCGTAGCCTACTAATGATAGCATTGGTGATCTGGACAGGGTCGTTCATATCACTGACCTCCCCTTCGATGCTATCCTTCATGCTACTGCTCTCTCTTTGAAGCAGATCTTCGTAATCGATCCCTTCATTCTCCTTGTACCGTTCCACTTGTCTGTCGATGGCCTCGTACTGGAATCCTTCCATCTTAGCCAGAAGTCGTTTGATACCGCAAGCCGTGAACTGTGCTCTGATATGACACCGGAGCTGCAGGTCATCCTCCGAAGCATCTACAAACATGTTGATCAAAAACATGGTTGCCAAAGCATACTCCATGAGGAGGTTCTCCATTCCTATACCACCGCTTCTGAACTCTTCACTCGCGCCGACAAGACTTCCCATTTTGCCTCTTCCGTCAATGCTGACTTCTACCACTCGCATCCAAGCATCAAAACGGCCGGTCTCGCCTTGCATGTTTTTGACCTGGTCCATTGCTTGGAGGACCTTCTGATGTCCTTGGCCATGGGCCCAGTCGCAGAGGAAGGTCAAGATTTCGCTAACCAGCTTTCTTGTTGTTAATCTTGGGGATATAAGGGAGCTTGAGAGAGCCACGATAATCTGCTGATGGGCAAGAGCATCGTCGGCACCATATTTGTTGTTCATCAAGGCTTTCAAACATTTTGCGATATCGTACTCCCGATCTAGATCCTTATCTCCTCCGGAATTTGTGACAGGAACTGGACCTGAAGCCTTTCTCCTGTTTATCTTTAGTAGTACGCTTGTCAAAGCAATCTGCCCCTGAGCTTCAACAAAGGATTTTACCCAACTATTTGATTATATTTGTTAGCATACAACTGATATGTTTTCAAGATTATTTGTTTGGGTTTGATTTACCTTATAGGCTGTGTTCGCAAGCTCACGCTCAAACTCCCCAGCTCCTTTGCTGTGATAGAGTCATCCATGACCTTTTTGACGTACCACTCGGGACTGCCTTCTTCATCGGCTCGCCCAAGTAGGCCTTTGCCTCCATCTCCCGAGCCAGTTTGCCTATTTTGTTGGCGTCGTTTTTGCTCTCCTTGCCATTGCGTCAACCGGTCTTGATGAACCAAAGTCCACTTTTTCGATGTCGGGTAAGCCAACATCTGTCTCTTAGCCTGTTCAGGTAGATTCTGCCATCCTCGTTTTATCATGAGTTCATAAAACATCTGGTCCACGACAGCGTCATCTTTGGGTCGCTGTATTGTTCCATCTGCTGAGATTGGCAAAGTACCGAACACAATGGGTAGCTGGGGAGGAAGCCAGTCGGATCGCGAGGAGGTGGAAGGACGACTTCCGGAGGAGCTGGACGGTTGATTTCGAGGATCTTGGGGATGTGTGGGGTAGTTGTACCGAGACGCATTGTCCGTACTGATAGTATGGGTCGAACCACGAGGAGCGGACGAGATCGCAGAGTAGATGCTGTTCTGATCCATGGAGGTGCGAGGATTTGAAGATTCTGTGGTGTTGTGGCCGTTCCATGCTTGGTATTTTACCCCCTTGTCACTCTGGGAGTGGTATGAGGCGGTGGTACCTGAGGATCCTGGCGGGGGCCGCGGCCCGGACAGATGCATCGCACCGTTGGCTGGCTGGTACCCCTGAAACTGGGGGTACTGGTGGTAGTCGTTTGGCTTGCCCATTTTGGAAGGAGTTGGCTCCTTTCGCACAGGCACGCTATCATACGGGACCGATCCTATCGCACCAGATAGATATTCCGTATCACCAGTCAAATCCACGGACAGGCCAGACTCTCGCTTCGAATATCTCGATGAGCGCGAGCCCGATCCACTGCTAGCCGCACCAAACGACTCCGGCGTCTCAGCGCGCAGATCAGGCTGGCGTTCCTTGTGTAGTTTTCTTCCGAAAAACGACTTTGACGGTTTATCTGAGGTCATGACGGCGTTTCCGGCGAACCATGAAGCTGGCCCCCAGCCTACCGGCTTGCCCAAGTGCCTGGTGTCAAGGAAGCGAAAAAGATCAAACGGCGGGATCGATCGATCGTGCTGGCGGGCTTTTCTTTAAAGGGGCAAACGAGTGAGTGAGTTGGTGAGTTGGGGGATAGAAAGGAGAGAGAGGAGGGGGTGAAAATCGGTCGGTTATTTAGTTAACTAGCTAGGTAGTGATTTTGTAGTTATCCTTCGAGTGACTTTTCCGGGCTATGCACCTGACACTGCTCGGGCAACGCATGGGCAAGAAGAAGACAGGTTTTTTGTCCGTCTCTTACTCGCAGTCTGCAGAGACGGTCTGACGGGCTAGGCGATCACTGTGTCCTCCTCCAGCTGCGGCCGGTCATCCTCTTTTATGTGGGTAGCGACGTAAAATAGCTGAGTGTTTTAAGATTGCAGCTCTGGCTCGGCTGTCTCGACGGTCAGGGCGGCGTAGGAAACGAGGGTCGGCGGGCTCCAGGATGCTCTGTGGTGCGGGCTCCGGTGCTCCAAGTCCATCGCGCGGTGTCTGGCAGTCAAAGAATCCAGCGTCTGTGTCTCTCCCAAGCGCCGTGAAAGCCGTTCAGGGGGAAGAAAAGTCGACGAAGCGGCAAAAGTGACGAAGCGACAAAAAGAGGCGCATCCAGAAGCGGCTAGGGGGTCACGTGGCCGAAGTACTGCGCAAGCCTCATGCAAGCCATCAAGAGACAAGAAGAGAAGCAGAAGAAGCAGCAGAATAACAAGCAGAAGCAGGAGAAGAAGAAGAAGAAGCAAAGAGACTAGAGCGTGACGAGAGTGTAGATGACCTGCCGGTAGCCCTGCTCGTTACGATGGGAGGAGCTACCAGTGTCATCAAGGTCAGCTACATCCCGCCCCGTCCGCCAGCGAGCTATCAGGCTAACACTCAGCTTTGGTTGACCGTAGACACTATTCATTCCGGCGCTGATATCTCTGGTCCTCTACCTGGCCATATCCTTTGTTATTGCTCCTTTCATCCGGCAGCACCGGCAGCGATACTCCCAGTATCTCCCCTTGCACACAATATCGGCGCACACGACCTCGCTGAGAGACCGGACGTTCGACGCCCTCATGAACATTACCCTGCCTTCATCGTGGAGGCACAGAGACCTGGCCCACGAACAGGACTCGGACAGCATGTTCGACGATGATGGTGAAGACGGCTACGAGCTGAGCGAGTCGAGGCGGGAGGCACTTGACCAGGAGCGGAGAGAGGCGCGGCTAGCTCGGGAGCTGGAGGATGGCTTCATACCAGACAGCGATGGGGACGATACCCCGGGCACGAGGCGGATATGACACGGCCTACTCCTACCACATTCGTCGCAGGCCTTATTTTATTTTATTTTCTATTTTTTTTACCTTCTCTGTCTCGTTTTTCCGGTGTGGACATGTGCATCTTCGTCAAGCTTGGAGCTTTGGAGCCTTGTTACTTTTCCTCTTTTACCTTTTTGACTATAGAGATTACATACCGTTTGGACCGTTTTTTTATACCCTTTGAAATTGGTTGTATATTGTTATTGACGCCCTCCGATACATCTTGCCGGTTAAATGCTTTTCTACTTTTTACTTGCAAAATGCTCGATACCTCCGAGAATGCTAGCTTCCAGGCCTGAAACCTTTGGCTTCGGGTTCTTTGATCGGAGCTCAACAACACTGGCAAGAACACACGAAATGCTATACCAACCCGAGTCTACATTCATCTGAAGGACTGATACCATTGTACCTACTCCTCCTCCAGCCTCCTGCTAGGCTCGCATACAGCTCTAAATCTTATCGGGAATTTTCTATTATCTACAGTAGCCTGGCAAGCAGCTGCTACTAGTCTGATAGCACTCTACTGGCAACTGCCCAAAAGACACTGAGAGCCATCCAGCCTAGAAAACTGCGTTTTGCAGCTAGACCTTTGCCGCACAGCCTACAGCCATGGCCATCATCAACGGGATAGAAGTGTTTATAAAGCTTTCTAATTTTCAGCGTCTTCTTCTGGAATTTCCAAACATTCTCTCTCTACCTAACTGCTCTCCCGTGGACTGGGCTGTCGACTGCAAAACTACTAGTCACTACATCTACGGAGCTCAAGAGCAACCATTTGAAATCTTCATACGCATTAGTGAAGAAGAGCCACGGCTCGGAGGCGCAGATGGCATCCACATTTCGCTGAAACTTGGGAGCGGAGATATAGTGGACCATTTTTACTCTATCAAATTCTCGGATTTCCACCGGGATGAAGATGGCATGTTGTGTGCCTCCGTCCCCAGCGCCGCCTATATGACCGAGCATGGATTTAGGAATGTTTTGTTCCTGTTTGGCGTTACGGATAGCGCCTACACTTCCGAATCGGCTGAACAAGAGGGGTCTCTAGAAGGAGTTATTGACGTGACTATCATAAAGGTCACTCACCACACTCTGCTGCGTCGACACGCCACCGTCACCTCCGGCCAGCTACCCTCTCGTTCCCCACAGTCCCCAGCCAAAGAGTCCTCCGTTTGTGCATTGTAAGTTGAAGCCAAAGCTTCTGCCTGTTTGCCCTTGCCATAGATATTAATGGTGAAAAACGAAAACAGGTCCAGCATAGCCGAGCCTATGCCAGTCCCCGTAGTTGACGAGCATGCTCGACGTATATTCCACGAGTCTGGGCATGGGCGTCGGTTCCTGTTTTCTTACCGAGTACTAGGTGGGCAATTTACATACCAGACCTGAGAAGTTGATTGAACTTTGAAAATGCCAATACTCACTTTGTAGCCTCGCCACATCTCGAGACTATCTGCCACCCAGCCCCATTTGGGATGCTCAGTAATTGATAGAGATTAATAGAGAAGAATGAGGCTGTACGGGGGGTATTCAGGTGTTATTTGAAGGCCTACCTTGGGCAAATCATCATGGTTGTAACCCGCTATTTAAGTGACCGGACCCTGGCGCGCGGGCGCTAAGTGGATACAGCTCTGACATAGCCTGTCCTTGACCCCTGGAGATAAAAATAGACAGAAACAGGCACATCGAGCCATTCTCCCCAAAAGTAGTCTTCTCCCGATATACATGGTAGAACAAGAAACAAGAGCTACGGTGCATCAATAACACCATCGAGTATCCTTTCAGCCTTCTCTCTCTCATGGCTTGATCACGTCAGCATTTGTTTGTTTACTTTTATTGGGGTAAAGTTGGAGAAAGACTGAATCTACCCCTCATTACGTCATCAGACCACCCCTCGTCTCACGCGAGCAGATGAGGGGTAAGACTCCCATCTCCAAATTATTATCTAAACATCTACAAAAGGAAAACAGTTCAGAGGCAGCAACAAGCAGTGAACCAAGGAAAGAAGGAAAGAAGGAGAAGAAGAAGAAGCAAATATATCGACAAGGGCCGGAGTGGCGGAAAGGAATATGCATGTATATAGCTCTACATGCAGAGGCAGATAGTTGTACGCATCCCAGCCTGTTCATGATGGTGGGATCATGCAGACCCCGCACGCAAAAGCGCAGGGTGGTTACTCGAGCGCGAGAAGGAACGATAGCGAGAGGTGTGTAGTAGAGGGGAAGAGGCCGTTGAAGCAATGGGAGGGAGAGGTCCATATAAAGCTGGCTTCGTCCGCCTCGTAGATGGTCGGAATCCTGCTTCTCTTCTCATTACCATTCATTGCCCAGTTCCCGGTTAAAGACCCTTAGAAGTTTGTTTGTTCATAGGTAACTAAGTGATAGCTCTCGATGGCAAACTTGGTGTCATATATCTTCCCGGCACCAGGCACCCATGGTTGGAACTTTTGCTAACATCAACCGTCAGACAATCACTGCCAAACAGCCAATTCAAGACTATAAACATCTTGCAGCCACTCAGACACAATGGTAAGCTCCTTGCTCAACCCAGTATTCGTTTTTGAGGAGTTATCTAGATGCTAGAGAAGGTCATCCACATACTTCTTCAGATGTGCCTCTCCCGCCATTGACTGCGGTTCATGTGCTGATCAGCTTCAACTTATAGGTTAAGGTCCTTCTCGTACTGTACGATGTAAGACTCTTCCCGATCCATTAACCTCCCCTATTCATGATGAGCATAGCTAAATCCTCTCAAGGGTGGCCAGCACGCCAAAGATCAGCCGGGCCTGCTCGGGACGACAGAGAACGAGCTCGGCCTGAGGAAATACCTTGAAGACAAAGGCCATACCTTGGTCACCACCTCTGACAAGGAGGGCGAGAACTCCGTTTTCGAGCGCGAGCTTGTTGACGCTGAAATCATTATCACTACACCGTACGTCCGTTATCAAATAGAAACTCAAGTAGCACCTTCAGGCTAACATTCGAGTAACCTTCAGCTTCCATCCCGGTTATCTCACCAAGGAGCGTCTTGCCAAAGCAAAGAATCTCAAGATTGCCATCACGGCCGGTGTAGGCTCAGACCACGTTGATCTGGATGCTGCCAACAAGACCAACGGCGGCATCACAGTTGCAGAGGTGACTGGCTGCAATGTGGTATCTGTAGCTGAACACGTCGTCATGACCATCCTTGTCCTCGTCCGTAACTTCGTGCCGGCATACGAACAGGTCTCAACCGGAGGATGGGACGTTGCTGCTGTTGCTAAGAACTCCTACGACCTCGAAGACAAAGTTGTTGGCACGGTAGCTGTCGGCCGTATTGGAGAGCGTGTCTTGCGTCGTCTCAAGCCGTTCGACTGCAAGGAGTTGCTCTACTACGACTACCAACCACTGAAGCCAGAGGTTGAGAAGGAGATTGGTTGCCGTCGAGTTGAGAACCTTGAGGAGATGCTTGCACAGTGTGACGTAGTCACCATCAATTGCCCACTGCATGAGAAGACACGAGGCCTCTTCAACAAGGAGCTGATCTCCAAGATGAAGAAAGGTAAGCCATCACCTAGTTCTTACTTTTTTTTTTTTTTCTTTTTTTTTGGTTTGCTGTCCTTGATGCTAATATCCTTCTAGGTTCTTGGCTCATCAACACTGCCCGTGGCGCTATCGTCGTCAAAGAAGATGTTGCTGAGGCCGTCAAGTCAGGTCACCTCCGTGGTTACGGTGGTGATGTCTGGTTCCCTCAGCCAGCTCCAAAGGATCACCCGCTGCGATATGTTCAGGGTCCATGGGGCGGTGGTAACGCCATGGTGCCCCATATGTCTGGCTCCACTATCGATGCCCAGATTCGGTATGCTGAAGGCACGAAGGCTATCCTTGAATCATACTTGTCGGGTAAACATGACTATAAGCCTGAAGACCTAATTGTCTATAAGGGCGACTATGCCAACTAAGGCATATGGTGAAAGAAAGTA